GCCCTACACTTGCCCATTCAAAAAGCTCTGGAGGTTATGCCACAAGGTGATTGAGACTCATCCCAAGCCTGAATGTTTCCTCATTCTCGATGCCTTGGACGAATGCTCCTTTCTAAACAACGAGTATGGCCTCAAACCTCGGGTGTTTCTTTCTGAACTCGAGAAACTCTCACAGAAAACTCCAATCCGCACTGCAATCTTCTCACGACCGCAATCTGAGTTTTCGGACTTCATCGACGTGGAGTTTCAGATTCAGGTTGATCAAGGCTTGAATGCCCCTGATATTCAACTATACCTTGTTGATGAGTTTCTTGAGCGCAAAACGCCATCAGAGTACAGGCGTATGATTTCAGAGCAGATTGAAGCACAAGCTGATGGAATGTTTTTGTGGGCTAAGTTATTCCTAGAATATCTACACAAGCCGTGTGAACACGACGAGTTTCTCACAAGGCTGCGTAATTTTCCACCCGGGTTGAACCAAGTTTATGAACAGCTTACACGAGAGAGCACGTTAATGTTGGATCCAGAGCAGAGGTCCCGACGTCATAAATTATTGCTGCTGATGTGCGAAGCACAAGAATTGCTTACCGTTGACGAGATTTCAAGGGCGCTGTCCTGGGGTCGTTTCGACTCTGGCAAGATAATCTCCGAAATTGGTAGACCCCTGGTGGAGGTTCACAGTTCTCGAGTTACATTCATTCACAAATCTTTTCAAGAATGGCTAACTGATGAATCTCGACTTCCAAACACGAGGCTAGATGAAACGGAATTTGTGCAACCAGAGGAGTCCCATGCCAGACTGGCTGAGGAATGTTTGCAATGTCTCGTGGAACCAGAGTATGGGTCGACAGGAAGCATTGGAAAGTATATGCACCACAATTTCGAGACGACTTGTGTCGATCCTGTTCCAGAACCTTCAAAAGGAGTTTCATTCGCATATGCTTATAAATACTGGGACTTCCATTTGACTGCAGTGTCCGATCCACATTCCCGGTTACTCAAATTGGCCGAAATGTTTCTCCACCTCTTCCAATTTGTGTTTTGGAGCGAATACTCTCTCTATCGACTCAGTAACGATTTTTCTAAGATACGGTTGGCGTATGTGCATCTCAGGATATGGTTTTCGCGATTATCAGACGACCAGAAAAAAGAGATCCGGATCGATGACTACTTTGCTGACCCATACGCCCGTATCAGCGATGTGTATAAAGAGACGGAGACGGAAGATAGGACATTACAATGGCTAGCCCAAATGCAGCTTTCAAGATGGTACGTTGATGTCGGTACCGCAGAAAAGGCTGTGCCAATACTAGAAGCTGTAACAAATGGACTTGACCATCTTCTTGGACACAGACATCCTTTAACACTTCGAGCAAGAATGGACAAAGCTACTTTGTTGCTTCAACAGAAGAGGATTCGGGAAGCAAACCTCGACTTCGCTGAGTTAGCTGTGATCGAAAAGGAAGTGCTTGGTCCAGATGCTACTCCGCTCTTCAAGGCGATATATTCTCGAGGATTTACAGAATTTCTCATGAATCGCTATGGAGAAGCTCTAGCTTCCCAGAAAGAGGCATCTCGAGGGTTCTTAAGACTACTAGGGCCAGACGATAGTCAGTATCTAGCGTCTCAGTTCTGCACAGCATGGGTGCTAGTCGAGTTAGGGAAATTGGCTCGAGCTCTTGACATCTTGAGCAACATATTCGAAAGACGCAGAGAGAAATATGGGCATCATGATACTTTCGCTGGCACGGTTCAATATTCTATCGGAGATATTCAACGCAAGCAAAGCAGACAAGAAGAAAGCCTGAAAAATTTGTTGCAAGCTTTCGAACTGACCGTCGCAGTCATCCCGCTCTGCAAGATCTGGTCGATGGACATTGCCATCTCCCTCTTGATTGCATATCGAGATTTTGAGATCAGGGATGATGCTCTTGCAATGCTCGAAAGACTCGACAAGGAAGCCAACGTGAAACAGTTTTTCGACCGTTTCTGTCAGGTTAACCATATTCGTGGGCTACTATACTACGATGACGGTGATGTTAACCGTGCAATTAGCCTGCTCCAAGGAATCGTCATTGACGCTGATCGTGAGGAGTATAACCGCGCACTGCTGTGGATCATTGTCGACTTGGCAATTCTGCTAAGGCGCCGTGGTAAAGAGGGAGACGAAAAACAGGCGGAGTCGAACTTTGATCACATACTCCGTGATCTCAGGTTCGACGAGACAAGTTTGCATGAAAATGGAGATCCAGAGCCCGATCCTCCTCGCCTCCTGAAACTTGCGGAGACCGCACTAACTCTCACCCGACGCCGCGAGTTCGATGAGGTTAGAGACTTGTTTGAGCAAGAGAAGGTAGATTGGTACCATGAAGAGGATTTGTGGATATCTTTCGGTGCACCTGCGGCTGATACCACCTCGATGAAGGCGCCTGCCTAATTGATCCACTACTTCAAGATCGTGCGTCATTTCGAAAATTACCTCCTCTGAAATGATACTTACCATTTAAATAGACTTCGTCTTCTTGAGTGGGATTTCTCTTACCTTTGACTGAAGCACGTTTGCTGAGAACATGTTCTCCGGTGATAGGATTACAGGGCGTTGAGGGTGGTACAATATTGGTTAGGGATACAAAGTAACTGCTTTACATAAGGGGCATCATTGAAATTGCAAGAAAAAAAATTTGCAAATGCTATGGCATTGCTTGATGTTTTCTTTGAGAAGTTTGGTATTTCTTGGCTGCAGAGACAAGGGTTGTGAAGAGATATAATCCTTTTTTCAACCCTGAGAATGATAAGGAAAGTGGGTAGAGTTTGACACAATTAGTTGTATTTTATATTGAGTATTTTGCTTTGTACTGTGGAGCCTCCGATGGTATACAGTAGTATTCAGAGTTTTAGTCAACTATATTGTAAGCAGCCCCTAAGCCGATAACCAAAATGTATTCGGAATATTCGATGATTTCAGCTGATCAAGCTGGACGGGGTCGAACGGTGTTCTCATTGATTGGAACTCGAGTGGTGGGTTCATCACACGAGAACAAATTGCTATGGGCATATCATTTCTGATTTTGGCTACTGGGAACGAAAATAATACTCGTGGGACGTGTAACATTCGCCTAGAAGACTCACTGTGCGTTTTAAATAACGATATCTATACTTGCTCGTGATCAGAAATGCACATTCATTTAATTGACAATCGGCTTCTTGGGGCCCATGCCTAAGTAATCAAATACAAAAATGATTGTACACTGCCAAATTGCAGTTGCGTTTCATTACCGATTGTGAGCTGTCAAGCGGCTATCTATGATCCCTTTAGACCATATCCGCAGCAGTTGGTCATAAGAGCCCGTAATCTCTTTATGATATATGCTATCCTTTGATTCTCCAAGCTCATTGAATCGCCCCAGACTTGCCAAAATTATTCTCTCTGGCCCATGTTGATGCTGCTCTTGTGCTACGTCCAAGGCGGTCTGTCCCTGATCGTTCTTTGCATCTCGTTTGCAGCCGTATCGCCATAAAAGACAAGCAACAGCTGTCTTCCCAGATCTTGCAGCAATATGCAATGCAGTGTCTCCGTTGGGAAGGGTTGCATCCACATCGGCACCCTTCTCGAGAAGCGCCTCGAGCGCATCGGCATTCCCAAACTTGGTGGCTACGAGGACTGCTGTGTAGCCGAGTTTGTCTCGTTGCTCTGTATCCGCTCCCTGTCTTATCAACTCCACGACGATTTCCCGAAACTCCTCCCTCGCGGCAATTGTCAAAGGCGTGTTTCCACAAGTGTCTTGGATGTTGACATCTGCCTGGTTTTCCAAAAGAAGATGTACTAGGTCTCGGCATCCAGCGTAACAAGCCAGCATCAAGCAGTTCCACCCGCGATGATCATCTATCACACCATTGATGTCGAGTTTGCCGCTAAATATGATCTCCCGTAGCAATTTGGGTTCATTTTCGGCAATTGACTTGTACGCAAAACTTTTGATAGTCGTTTCATCAAGCTCAGTAATGGGGATTTGAAGCTCAGTCGAGATCGCGCAAAAGTCCTTTCCGAGAGTTTTGGCATGTCGTTTCTGATGCCTCCTTGCCTTGTCATGTCCAGAGAAGATTAGACGATCAACTTCACAATTGATCTCTGTTGCATAGGCTTTCACTTGTGACCGTCAGAAGTACATCTCTTGTGCGGTGATATAACTACTTACCTTTGCTTTCCTCTACATCACCGTCACTAGGATACAAGCCTCTGGAAAAGTGGATGTCTGACCACTCCATTTTTGATGCCTAAGTCTTTGCGGCTGAGGGGATCGTATTGTAAATTGCAGTTTACTTTGTTCATTGCTTCATGAAGCGCAAGACGTGTGGGGCGTGCGCCTTCAAATAGGCGTGACTAGCACACAACTCACAACTCCATCACGCCACTTTGCGGCCCGCTATAGCTGCTGTCGCGTGTTCCGAAAGTTGCCCTCACCAGCCCTGGTCCGTCTCTGATACCCCTCCTGATTGGCGACTGGTACGCTTTGACGGAACCACGGATTGGCATCCCTCTTCCTCTTGAGTTTGCGATTACCCATCCTGATTTGCGTCTCCGTGCATGAAGCGAGCGGCAAATGTGAATGACGCGGAAACGCGACGTGTCGAGCGTGAAACCCTTTGACGAGAGGTAGGTATTCTGATCCTAGCGTCGCGGAGGACTAGGGTCGATGGCGGGGTATCTGTTGTTGGGAGCACTACTAATTGGTAACCCCACCACTGCAAGTTACTGCCCCGCCCGTGGGTGTACGTTACTCCGCCCCGCGTGCGCAGAATTAAAATTTTCCTCATCTTCCAAGAGCTCCGGCCTTCTCTAATCGCAACTTTCTAACTGTGCTGTTCTGCTTCGACACTGACTCACATCTGGAAACATGCCGATCACTGCGATCTTAGGCTCCCAATGGGGTACTTACAGCCCTGTCTTCGCTTAGCACCGGGCATGGAGATCTGCTAACGCGAGCCTGCTTTCCTAGGAGATGAAGGGGTTTGTCTGCCTTCACACGCGATGTTGAACCTCTTCTGACGATCGTGGCCGACAGAAAGGAAAGCTGACCGACATCCTTGCCGCCAAGGCGCAACTCTGTGCGCGAGCCGCCGTGAGGACGATCCGATCCGCATAGGAGATGTATATATACTGAGATGCAGATGTAGGGCGGTCATAACGCAGGCCAGTGAGTCAAGCCGAAATCTGCTAACTGTTAAAGTTGTCACAATGACATTGACTGCGCTTTAGTCAAATTGTGTGAGTCGAGAAGGATCTGTGTAGGGGTATTGGAGTGGTCTTGCTGATTCTAGAATAGTACCGGGGGTGTGTCGTACAGGTACGCAGTCACATCGCACCGTCAGAAGTGGTGGAGAACACTTACTTGCCTAGTTTCCACCTTCTTCCTTCTGGTCTCATCAACCCGAATTGGTAATTGATTCGATTCACTGCTTTGGTGTTGCAGGACTGATGCTCATCTTAGCTTGAACTTGATTGGTTCAGGTGTTGTTTTCCATGTGTAAGTAGCCGCGGTCTCCCAGGGAGGGGTCCTGGTTCAATCAATTGACTTCCTATAGCCCATCATTCTTTAGCGAGCTCAAAGAACTTGATGAGAAAGGCCTCCCCCGAGTTTATGATCGCATCCTCGTCTCGGACCGGGTTCACATTAACTTGGACCTTCACCTTGCTGTCGATGGCCTTGAAGAAATTGAGCTTGGAGGTGAGCCGTCGGTCTACTTAGTCCGCGAAACACCCTCCAACAGCTTCTGATATCGCATTCTAGAGAATAAAATTGGAACCACAGGCCGTGGAATTGGCCCATGTTACAGTACAAAGGCTGCCGTAAGTACTACATCAAAGCGACGATAAAACCACACTGAAATCTGCCAACAGCGAAGTGGAATCCGATTAGCAGAGGTCTTCAAAGCCGAGCTGTTTGAGTCAAAACTTCGGCGACTTGCATCAGGCTTCGCCAAGAGATACGGGGACTTACTGAGGTAAGAGTCAGCTCATTGCGGATTATGCTGCCCATTCTGACACCATCATCAAACCAGGTATGACGTTGAGGACGAAATCGCCCGTTTTAGAGAATATCGTCCGAAGCTTGCCAGATTCGTCGTCGATGCCGTGTCCTTCATGCGGTCTGCGCAAGAGAAGAACATGAACATACTTGTGGAGGGTGCCAACGTAAGAGCTCTCTTCTTTGTCGAAGTACCGCGCTGATCTATTTGGTGGCCTGAGCAAATGTGCCTTCGCAGTGCCATTGCTCGGTCCGCCTAGATAAAGGCCTTGATGCTAGATCTCGACGTTGGATCATATCCGTATGTATTCTAACGCTCTATCAACCAGATGTCAGGCATTAACAGTGAACAAGATACGTGACAAGCTCTACCACAACCGTGGCAGGCATTATTGGCGGGTTGCACCTTAATCCCCGTGGCCTCACAGAAGTGATCGGGGTGATGAAATCCTGTACGCTCGACCCATTCTCACCCGACTGAAAACAACATTTCTCCAAGGAGTTTCGGCCGCTAGTGGCTTTTTTACCCATATATTTGCTTGTATATGCTAATACGAAACAGATACGACACGAGTTGGGATGGGCAGCTTCAAAACGGAAGATCTTGGAGAGTTAGTCATTCAGCCTACAAAATGTGTTTAGTTGCTAATTATATGCGGCAGAGTTGGCACAAAACTCCAGGAAATCGGCAAAGAATGGGTACTTAATTTTCGAACTTATTTTAATAGTGCTAACTGTCTCAAGGGGACGTCCACTGGTCGACGGCGTCGTTGTGGTTGGTAAGTTCCTCAGATATTCGACACTTGTGACGAGAAAATCTTGGCTAATTCAGGTAGGCTCGGTACGTCAAATCGCTTGCCGCAGTCTAATCTATTCTTGTTAACATTGATTTTGCAGATCTTGTGGTCATGCGATACAGCATAGCTATCAATTATTACACAGCACTTAACCTAACTAAGGTGATTGAGTATTTCTGTTTATGTTCGCCCTTTTGGTCGAACAGCGGCTGACTCACTTCACCTTTAAAGCTGGATGTGCTGGATTCATTCGAGACGATTAAGATCGCTGTGGCGTATAAGAACCCCGAAACCGGCGAAGTTCGTTTACAGATGTCTCCTATAGAGTTGCCAGCAGATCCTAACTAATCTTGTAGGAGTTGGCTTCATACCCTACGGATCCCGATATTCTCGATCAAGCTCAGGTGGTTTATCACGAGATGCCAGGATGGAAGAGACCGACCACGAACGTGAAGACCTTTGATGATCTTCCCAAGCAGGCGCAGGACTATGTCGAGGTAAGAACCATACCATTCCTAGGGGGCTGTGTCGTTAACTGTTGTTGCAAGTTCATTGAAAGCTTCGTTAGAGTGAAGGTGAGATCATAATGTAGAAGGTTGATTTTAACATTTTAATATATTAACATTAAACAGGTGAAATGGATTGGTACCGGCCCTGACCGGGAGAGTATGATAGAGAAATCAGTTGTATAATAAATAACATCTACCCGTACAGGTTCTAGGGGAAAAGAAGGGGTAGAGGTTGTTGACTTTGGGATGATTTCCGTTGCTTTGGAGATTTGACAAGCCTTACAATGATAGTTGTCGGCCTTCTCCTGACTAATGGTATTACCTGCTTTCTCGCAAGTCTTGAGCACTATAGCATCATTTGTATGTAGGAGTCTTTAATGTATTGGAATATAAGGAATGGGCTCTGTTTGTGCCTGTAGGGCCACCTATCCAATGCCCTTTGCTGATGTTCTAGTTAAGAGAGTAACTCTGTTGACCTATTGAACATTGGCAATCTGCTTTCCTAGAGGAAGTAGAGATTATGTCGTTCTTTGGACCCAGAGTGTTACCATTTTTTTGTAGTAGGCTTGAACAGAGTAGGTTATAGCGTATGTCTTTGACAATGGTTTACTAGCGGTCCTTAGTATGCTTTCATCAATAAGAGATGCTCTGTGGCCATTCTGTCTTTTTCGTGGTGATTATATTTTCGTATGCTGTTATATTAACGATAGTTTAAAGTAAATAAATAAACGATATATGATCTATTTTTTAACATTATTAGCCTACTATCTTCGTATACTAGTATTCCTAGATTAGGATCGCTAGTAAGGATAGTAAGATAGTCTGGGCAGGTTAGTAGTTAGGAGGCCTTATGCCAACTCACTTGTACTATGCCGTTCTTAGCCTAGATTAGGGTGGCTATATCGTATGATGGATATTATCATTATACTGGTATATAGTCTAAGCTAGTGTAAGTAGGCTAACCTTTAGTGATACTAGCTATAGAGAGTTACTTAACAAAGTAGTGTCTGGCGTTTTCTAATATGGCTGTATCTTAAGCTAGTGGCTACTTATCTACTACTTAAGTTATAGGAGCTATAAGCGTAGCTTAAAAACTATCTCTATATGGTTATTGCCATTTTTGGTAGATGGCAACTTGAGCCGGGGTGGCCAAAAACAAAGCCTACGATCTGTGCCTGAGGCGGATCCCGGCTCACCCTACGCTCAGGTTAAAGCAGCACCAGCTCAGGTAAAATACACGACAAAGGCAAAATGCTCAGGGCAACTTTCGGGAAACGCATATATTTGTTGTATGCATCGAATCGCCCCATATCACTTGCTAATGAAATCGAGCAATTCCGAAGGGCTAGAACTCTTCATGAAATTGACATAGGAAATTCCATGGATCGTTTTCCCCAAAGTCGAAATTAGATCCCAATTGATGCCATTATCCCTGTGCTATTGCGAACTTTGGACAGTATACGAATCGACTGCCTGCCTGCGTTACTACTATGTAGAAGAATTGGGGTTTGAGTGGGGCTCAAGCTTCCCAACATGACGCTACGTTAGACTAGTGCTGCCTAGGTCGCTACGCGTAACTCCAACGTCAATGCTCGGATTACTATGTATGCGCTGAACTTTGCTCGCAACCAAGAGTTTCATAATAGAAGCTGCCTCTATTGTACAACGAGGTCAAGAAGTTCTCAATGCCACCAAGTAACCCCATCAGACAGTCAATAGGTCTAGAGTTCGTCTAACTATTGTTGCACTGCGCGTGTCATGTCTTCCAATAGCTCGACGTGTCTCAACGACGGGGCATTAGGGCCTGCGGTTGTTGGATGTCGAGATGATTTCGATTTCACCACTTTATTTGAGCAATTGTTGCTATCAATCACACCTTCCTCCTGTTTCCTACTGCTGGCAATACTGAGGATTGGCTATCTCTTTCGAAAGCCAGGCATTGTCCTTGCTCGCCAGTTCCAATTTTTGAAGATTGTAAGCTACAGTTAAACGAAATGAAACTCGCCGAAGTGAAAGCAGTGATACTTATACGATGACAGGCTACTATCCTGTTATATGCGGCGATAATGCTTTCGCTCGTAATTTTGACATCTAAGAGTCCTGTGCTCTTTACTCCAACCAGCATCACTGCGGCTGTTCTCTCATTCGTCAATGCCCTCGTCTTCATCGGTCTCTCTAGTCTTGAGCACACTAGGTCACTCCGAAGCTCAACCCTCCTCAACTATTACCTCTTGTTGTCTCTTCTCTTTGATGCGGTTCAGCTCCGCACCTACTGGCTACGAGATCCTTCCTCAGCCATCACGACACTCTTCACTGCAGCCCTTGCAGTCAAGTTCGGCATGTTGGTCCTAGAGGCTCAAGGAAAGAGTCGCTGGATCAAAAAAGATGGCCGAAGCCCCGAAAGTATCAGTGGAATTTGGAGCTTGAGTTTCTTCTCCTGGCTCAATTCGCTCATTATTGCGGGCTACCGCAAGATTCTTTCCCTTGAAGATCTTTTCCCGTTAGACCAGCAGCTGTCTATAGACGCACAGCGTGCAGGCTTTCAGAAAAGTTGGAAGCACTTCGGAAAGAAGAAACATTTACGACTCTTACGAGCTTTGCTCGCGACCTTGAAATGGAACCTTATAAGCCCAGCTGTTCCAAGGCTAGCAGCTGGATGTTTTACTTTCGCACAACCTTTTTTGATCAATGCCCTCCTCAGATACTTACAACAAAACGACGAAACTAGGGTCCGAAACTATGGGTACGGGTTCATTGCTGCCAGTGCGTTGATCTACGTGGGCATTGCAACCTCTAGGGGTCTCTATTGGTATCTTCATCAACGTTGTTTGACCGTGCTTCGGGCTTGTCTTGTGTCGACGATTTACCAGGCAACGATGGAACTGAACATCAGCGGCAGTGACACGTCTGCCCCGATAACCCTTATGAATGGGGATGTTGTGGCAATACAAGGCGGAATCCAGAATTTGCATGAGTATTGGGCCAGCCTCATAGAAGCCATAGTGGCGAGTTGGCTTCTCCAGCAACAACTTGGATCTGCATTTGTGGCGCCAATATTGGTTGTTGTGCTCTGTAGTCTAGCAGCGGTTGGTTTTGGAAGATTTGTGGGTAAACGACAAAAGGCTTGGATGGAGGCGATTCAAAAAAGAGTTGGCCTCACGGCAAGTATCATTCCTAATATGGCTTCAATCAAGATGTCCGGCTTAGCGCCGCACTTGAAAAGTGCGGTACAACGGTGGAGGGACGATGAGCTACATGCTGCCAGTCGTTACAGGATGTTCACGACATTTGTAGCTGTGATTGCATTCACGCCTCTCTTGATATCCCCCGTTGCAGCATTCGGGGCTACGAACAGAGAAGTCTCTACGACAAGAGTGTTCACTTCACTCGCATACATCTCGTTGCTTTGTGGTCCTCTTACACAGTTGTTCCAGTGAGTATTCTGGAAGGAAAAAAAACCGAAAACGATCTCATGACTAACATGGAATCAGAACTATCCCGCATCTGATGGCAGCCATCACATCTCTCGGGCGGATAGAGGAGTTCCTTGATTCTATATCTAGCAGCGGAAGATTCTCCCAAGATCAAGACGGTAGCACACGCAATGGTATCTCTCGAACCACTGTCTCCAACTCAGAGGACATAGAACTTGGCGATATCGCCCTTCGCCCAGGTGTCGCTGTTAGCATTAGAGACGCAAGCTTTGGCTGGGAACAAGGACGCAACGTCTTGCAACAGATCAATATTGACATTCCAACTTCAAAATTGACAGTGGTCACAGGATCAGTGGGCTCTGGAAAATCTACCTTACTTAAGGGAATCCTCGGAGAGACCACGATCAATCATGGACAGGTGCATCGCTCTGCTCGCGATGTGGCTTTCTGTGATCAGCAAACGTTTATCAGAAACGCAAGTATTCGTGAGAATATCGTTGCTTATGGTGCCTTCGAGCCGATTTGGTACGAGCGAGTTATCAAGGCAACTGCTCTAGATGTAGATATTGCCATGCTCCCCAAGAAGGACGAGTCCCCCGTCGGAACGAAGGGCGTCAGTCTAAGTGGTGGGCAGAGGCAGCGAATTGCGCTAGCTCGAGCCCTATATGCACGTAAAAACATCGTGCTGCTCGATGATGTGGTGAGCGGCCTAGATCATCATACAGAGACCCATATCTTTCGTCAGCTTCTTGCTCATGGGGGTCTCTTCGATGAATTTGGTGCGACAATTATATTGTGCACTCCCCTCGTGCGTCACCTTTCATTCGCGGACTATATCATAGTCCTCGAAAATGGGACTGTAAGTAAGCATGGTTATTCCAGGGACATAGGACCTGATGTCGGTGTTGCTCGCTTTCAAACGGAGCAGCAAGCGAAAAGACACCAGCAATTCAGTGAAACATCTGCTACTACAATGCCACCAATAACCACAGGCCTTGCAGTCCCGAAAGAAGATAAGGCAAGGCAGCTTCGCGATTCTCAAGCGTACAAGTACTACTTGACTCGTGTTGGCACTACATCTTTGGTGTTATTCTTTATCTCTGGTCTGATATTCGCTTTTCTATACAACTTTGGTCCCGTGTGGCTCGAATTTTGGTCTAGTTCGACAGCAAGAGGGGAAAAGAGAGACCACTTCTATCTAGGAATTTATGTCCTGCTAAACGTTGGTTGTCTGGTTGCACTAGTTATCTATGCCGGTGTTGCGGGGATCTCCATGACTCGAAGGGCTGGATATCAAATTCATCTCGAAGCAATAACGACCCTTTTTGGTGCTCAATTATCCTACTTCACCTCGATCGACGCCGGAATTACGACAAATATTTTCTCACAAGTCATATCCATCGTCGATAAAGATCTTTCGATGAATTTCTCCAATACAGTGCTGACTGGGTTAACGGCGCTTGGCCAGGCTGCTGTGATAGCAACCGCTTCTCCTTTCATCCTGGCTGGTTATCCGATCTTGATGGGAGTGCTTTATGTGCTTTGTAGGGTTTATCTAATGACGTCGCGCCAGCTACGATATCTTGATATTGAAACAAAGGCTCCGTTATAGTAAGTCCTTTAACTATTTCAACATATAGCTGACATGCTAATGGGATATCGAAGCTCTCACTTTCTCGAGTCTGTCGACGGTTTGGCCACAATCCGTGCTTTCGACTGGGTAAATCCTAGCATAAAAGATTGTCATCGCCTGTTGGATGAGTCGTCTCGACCAGATTATTTGCAGAACATGGTACAAGAATGGCTCAATCTAGTTCTCAATATGACTATTGCTGTTCTAGCAGTAATAATCATAATTTTAGCAACGCAGCTCCACACGGGCGCGGGTTTCACTGGTGTTGGACTCGTTACCTTAATGTCCTTTGGCTCGATGGGTGCGAACTTGGTTCGCATATATGCAATGCTTGAGACCACCCTTGCAGCCCTGAGCCGTCTGAAAGGTTTTACCGAGACATCCCCTCAAGAAGAAGCGCTCGAGGATGATGAGACATTAAATGAAAGGTTGATATTGTCCGGCTCGGTAGTGTTCGATCATGTCACCGCATCTTACAAGTATGTTGAATAACGTGATACTTGCCTTGATAGGCATTCATAAGAGCTCACAACTACGCTTTTTGTTACAGGGCGTCCGAGGAAGAAGAAATACAATCTCTTCCTCATCCAGTTCCAAACCATAACGGGTTGGCGTTGCGGGATATCTCGGTATCAATCGCCGCTGGCGAGAAATTAGCCATCTGTGGAAGAAGTGGCAGGTATGTTAATCAATGTCATAATACCTCATGAACTTGGGCATTAACACCTGTCCAGCGGTAAATCATCTCTTCTTCTTGTCCTCAGTCGTCTCCTAAATTTTCGAAGCGGCACTGTCAAAGTAGACCACCGATCTCTTACAACCATTCCTCGCCAGACTCTAAGGAGCACTATAATCACACTGCCTCAATCGCCTTTTTATCTCCCCGAAGGCTCCACCTTTCGGGAGAACTTAGATTCCGTGAATACCGATGATCGACATTGCGAATACGCATTGCGATCTGTCGGACTGTGGGAATTAATTACTGAGAGAGGTGGACTCGATGGCGAGTTGAAATCCGATGTCCTAAGTCAGGGACAGAAGCAACTTTTCAGTCTGGCTAGAGCCATTCTTCGCGCTCGTATTGCTTTAGAACAAAGCTTCGCAAATGGAAGTCGGGGAAATGGAGGGGGTTTGCTTTTGCTGGACGAAGTCAACTCGAGTGTGGATCACGATACAGATATGTTGATGCAAGAGATCATTAGAAGGGAGTTTCAAAGCTACACAGTCATATGTGTAGCGCACAGGCTCGATGCTATAAGGTGGTATGATCGTGTTGTCGTAATGGATAAAGGCCAAATCGTGGAGGTTGGGTCTCCAGAGGCATTAATAGCCCAGGAAGCTGGAGTATTCAGGGGCTTATGGATGGCCGGTCAAGGAGACATATGACCTTCTAACACCGCTTATCGAATTTCGAGATCAAGCATTTGCTAAGCAAGTTGATCATATGAACATATACATGATTGAGGTCTAAATAATTCCTCCTCGTTATCGTGATTTAGGTGTCTGAATTCTCAGACCGTATGGTCTTTATTCGGTCAATTTGTATATTCAATTCAGTAAAAACTATCTATGAGTCTATAAACATGTGCGTTCTCACGATGTCATTCTAACTTATCATTGACCAACATTGCAGCTACAGAAATCGGACGCTCAAGCAAATCAATTGCGGGTTGCTAAACCATGCTACAGACTTCCGACACCAAATGCGGGCGCGATCTAGAAATTCGAACCCCTTAATAAGGATTTGCGGGGTTGCTTTTGGACCCCTGAAAGTGAAGCCAAGTTTCCCGGGATAGGGTTGTCCGGAATCTGGGAACGGATCGAGACCGCACAGACACCAACACAGGGGCCTGGGTTGATTCTGCCAGTCGGAGGTTGCGTCCCGTGTCTATCGTTCGTCAGATCAGTGCCAGAGCCAGACTACACTCTCTATGGTCTAGCAGTAACCCGTCGTAATTACCCGGCAACAATGCAATAGACAAGACAACAAAACCCACCGTGGCCATCACCTGTCAAACTTTGGCTTTCATCCCCTGATCCCAGTTTTCCGAAGATTTTCATATGATGTACTTAGACTCCACCTGACGGGAGGGATTGTGAGGCCCATTTACTAACAATGAACTTCGGCGGCTTGATAGAGATGAGGAACATTGGCCATCTCTCACGGCATGTGAGCCCTCCAGATTATGGGCCTAAACTCAACTATGCCGTTTGGATCTTGACGACCTTGTCCACGCTCTTCTTGAGTCTCCGCGTCTACTGCAAATTGTGGCGAAATCGTTTGTTGTGGTGGGATGACTATGTCTTGATAATGAGTTGGGTAAGCTACGATTGAATAGTTCACAAGTAGAGCTAATGTTAGGTAGACATGTCTTTTAGGGGCAGCAGCACTTGTTTCCATCTGTGTCAGCTACGGCTACGGCAAACCCTACACGGACATCAACCCTGGAGACCTCCCCACAGTAACAATATGCTCCCTTGCGGCAGGTTTTGCGGCGATCTTGACAGCAGCGTGGAGCAAGACGTCTTTCGCGCTCACCTTGTTGAGGATCTCGAACGGCAAGATCAAAATATTTCTTTGGTTCGTTGCCATCACGGTTAACGCCGTCCTCGCTGTCAGCGCTTCCTTTCAGTGGATCCAATGCTGGCCACTCCAGAGACTCTGGGACTTCCGGGTTCCTGGGACATGTTGGCCAAAAGCTGTGGTTTATTATGACACTGCCGCCGCGGGTGAGATACTTTGTTAAATATAAGCCCTAAGGTAAATGTTATGGAGCATATCCAGCTAATGAAATGTATCTCATAGGGTATTGCGGAGCTTTGGATATTGTTCTGGCTGTCCTTCCATGGAAACTCATTTGGAGTGCGTCAATTAATAGAAAGGAGCGTGTTGGAGTTGTCATAGCCATGAGCATGGGAGTTTTGTGAGTGTTATGCACGGAAAGATCAACGCCAGTTCACTAACGCGAGAACCCATGATTAGTGCGGGCATCATGTCTTTCTTGAAGCTGCTTGCCGTTTCTAGCGTTGGGACTGATGATATTAGTGAGATAATAGTCACCTTCTCTCTCGGTTTCATGACTTACAGTGTGATTACAGGCTTGACCGCCGACCTTATGATCTTTGGTATTGCCGAGGGAGCCGTGACAATCATGGCAGTATCCGTACCAGTGCTTCGGACGCTCTTTGTGGACCTTAGCCGCAAGACACAGCAACCGGCGAAATTCATTACTGTCGATGGCGGGCGTTGAGACTGGCTAAAATTAAGGTCTAAAAGAGCGCCTAGAATTGTTTACAAATTGACGCAAAATCCTTCTCCCCCCGACAAATGCATTCATTGCGCGGCCGCTCGAGTCAGACTGCGCTTCATGGTATTATGATCTGCTCTAGAGCTCAATTGAATTATACTAGAAAAGAGGAAGAAGAAGGCCTACAAGAAAAATCATTAAATCAGGAGTACGTTCTGTATCAACAACAACCTAAGCGGGAGACTGTTTGTTTAAGGGGGTTGTCAATGCATAAACTGATTAACGCAGCAAGTTGGTGTTCTTGTCTAGGTTGTTTGATTAAATTGTGCCACTATCAGGGATACTCTAGGGAAGTTTGTATTTCAGAATAGAGGTGAAATTTTGAGAAAATTCAAATTCGAATTACAGCATTGATGATGATTCTTTTTGTAACAAATGTAGTTTACCATTCAGCAGACTACTGACCCGTCCAATCGCTAATGGGGATCACTGAACATCGCCTTCCAAATATCATTTTAGCTCCTTGTATTTCATTCAAAGGAAATGTAGTACCAGCTTTTTGTACACGGAGACACTTTCGATCAGCTCGTCAATTTTAACATGCTCCTCTTTACCGTGTGCAAACAATATGGAGCCGGGACCATAGAGGACTTTGTTATGAGATCCCTTCAGTCGGGGAACATCCGTGCCGTAGCTCACCGGAGCTGATTTGAAGCCTTCAATATTCCAGTCAAGTAGAGTTTCATTGTATTCGAAATTGAACTTCAGCTCGACATCTGAGAATTGAGAAACAATAGCCGAAACTTTGGACTTGATAAGAGGTAGATCGGCGGCAACTCGGACCGCGCAGAGAGCCTTTGCAGAAGGAGCGAGAATGTTGTAACCCTCGCCACCTTCAATTTTGCCGATATTGAAAGTTGATGGACCTAGTAGGTCAGAATGCGGCCAGCTCTCTTCCTCAAGTTTGCTCAGGACCTTAAGTAAAGTGGATGTCGCGCTCTTTCCACGATGAGGATATCCAGAATGGCTGCATGGTCCAGTATTAGATAAAGAGGTGAATACATTGGAATATATAGGAATATCACAAGCTCACCATGCTTTCCCGCTCGCTGTCAGCTCAAAGACGACGTGCCCCTTGTGACCCTTTGCCAGTTTTCCTTCAGTAGGTTCTCCGAAGATGATGGACTCCCATGTTAAGCCAAGGTCATTTGCAGCAAGCATTCCAGGGCCGCCTTTCTCTTCTCCAACAACAAATAGGAGGCTGAGATCGCCTTCCTTCACTTTACCCTGCTCCTGTAGCTCCTTAGCTGCCCATATCATAGCAGCTAATGGGCCCTGGTCATCACATGCGCCACGACCCCATACAATTCCTGCATCAAGGTCGAGTTCGAGGGGAATGTGCGGCGGCACGGTGTCCATATGAGATGTGAGCATAACGCGGGTTTTGCGGGTCGAACCAAGATAGGCGTAGACATTATAGCGATTAGAGCCAGGGTGAATTGCGACGCGCTCAACCGTCCAGCCCAGGTTCTGTAGATACTTCTCTAGAAATATACCGACCTCAAGTTCTTGCTCGCTGGTACTGGGAATGGAGATCATTTGACCCAGGAGATCTACCACAGGGTGGACTGAAGACGTCATGTCGAAAGAGGTGATTGTGGCCGAATGAGAACTCGAGGGTAGACTAATGCTATCTAATGACAATAATTGTATATGAGAACGCTTAGAATTTCTGGAAGCAAATAACTCTCAATTCATGTCGAAGTTGAACAAGATGGGGTCCAGCTAGGCAGCAGATACTCCCAGGTTCGGCACGCGGCTGAGCGGACCGATACAGATAGCCTTATTGGCGGCTTGGTTTTGGCCATCGCAATCGGTCGTCAAGACATTGGCATCTTTCAGGGGACTATGTTGAGTAAGGATCCTAAAGCCTAACATGTGGGCGTTGTGACTGGTGCCGGCGTACCGGCGTATCTCGTACTATCCGGACCTCGGTGATGTGGGGGTGTCTGGTCGATCGGCAAGTTTGTCCGATCGGTCGCCTCCGATCTCCGGGCTACCCTCCGATCCGGATCCGTGGTGATCGTAATCGCAAGATCATGCATATCTTTGATTACATTATCGGGCAACATATCGAATGGCCGAAACGGCACTGTTTGGGCCAGCTTGTCTGAAATTGTGACTACGCGCTGGCAAATTGTAACTGTCGTATCACCAAGCAACATTGCCAGAGCAAACAGCTAGATTTTACATGTCAAGATGGGCAGTGTGACTGAAGGCCGTGAAAAACCAACTATTCTCCTCATTGAATCCACTGTGCGCGAGGTCGACCCTGTGCAATGGAGTCGCATACAGTCTAGATTTAACATTATCAACTACGACTGCAAGGATGCTGATGAGTTCTGCGAACGCCTGGCACCTGGTGGCCCATACTCAAAGATTGATGCCATAGTTCGCGTCGGATGGTTGAAAGCCGGACCTTTTGCCTCCCACCTGCTCTTCCGGGGACGAGCTATAGATGCATACCCAGAGTCACTCAAACTTATATGTTGCACAGGGCATGGCTACGATGCAGCAGATATTGATGCGTTGACCAAGAAGGGCATTTTGTACGCAAATACCCCTGATACTTGCACCGAGGCGGTTGCCAATACGGCGTTGCACTTGATTCTAAACACATTTCGATACTTCACAATGGCAGAGCGCTCTGTGAGAACTGAAAGGTGGTTGGATAGTAGGCAACTCGGACCGGTAGCAGTAGATCCAGTAGACCAGATACTAGGCATCGTTGGGATGGGAGATATTGGGGTTTCCATCGCCAGAAAGGCGGCGTTGGGGCTGAGCATGAAGGTGAGCATCACAGTGGACCTGAGAGAAATACTCAACGAGTCTAATTTTTATTTCTAGATTCACTACCACAATAGAAAACCTCGCGAGGATCTAGACAAAGTCCTACCAGTTGAGGCCGTGTATCATGAGTCACTGGACTCGTTATTGAAGGTGGCGGATTGCATTTGCCTAGCTTGTCCCTTGACGCCGGAGACGCAGAGTATGCTCTCTACGAAACAATTTGCTATGGCGAAAGAAGGAGGCACGCGCATCGTCAACATTGCACGAGGTGGCCTTATTGACGAAGAAGCACTTCTTGAAGCTATCAAGGCTGGCAAAGTCCTGGGAGTAGGCTTAGATGTCCACGCGAACGAACCAGGAGTGAACCCAGCCTTGAAGGAAAACTACTGGACAACACTTCTACCACATATTGGCGTTTGTTCCAGAACTAGTTGGCTCAACTTCGACAAAAAGTCCCTGCGCAATGTGGAGGAATACTTTTACGGGGATAGGAGCAAGATATACGCTGTCAATGTTGTAGATTAATGCACGAGGGATTCATCATCTTTTCATATGGCAGGATCTCATCACTCATAAATTAGATACAAGGATGTGCGCCGCGAAACAGCCTAGAAGTTAGGGAATGTCTCAATATCCCACGCCAAAGAAGAAATTCCCATCTCGTTACTTGTGATTCCGAAAGCAGAAGGACTTAGCTCATCGCATGGTTGCTCGAGAAAATCTCGCAGGAATGGACCTTCTAATAGCGTAGATGAAGTTGGTGACATCTCACCACCGGGGGTGGCTTCGGCTAGAATCACCTCCGAGGGTCGTACCGCGTCATGAGCTCCAGCGCGTGCGCTATTAGGAACTACATGTGCAGCGAAGGTACCAGCAGCTGTCACATATCCTTTCTCCGGTCCTAAGCCTTGGACGCCACATATGGTATCCAAATCTCTCTTCAGCGAGACTAGTCTCTCACACATCTCTTGAGCGGGGAGATTTCCATCGTCGGCCATAGATTGAAGGAGTTGTAGTGCTAGATCAATGGAGTTGCTATCTGTGCTGTTCGGATTGAGAATATTTGACACGAGTAGTACAGTTGTGCTGGAAAATATGTAGTGTGAGTCGAAATACCCGAAAGTGGCGATGGCACCGTCGACCCAAAGCTGTTTGAGAAGTCTGTTCGTTGCCCGCGCAGCGTATATGCATGCTTCACTAAGAGCGATCGTCATTGGCGACAGCGGTTTCGCGGGACCCTCTGAGCCCTGGGGGCTAGTCCCTGAAAGACGGACATAATTCTTGAATACAAAAAGGAGGACGGGCCTCGTAGTAAGTATCACGCACTGATGAGAGTCAGTTGATGGTTGTGTATAAGTGTTCTAGAGACATTACCTGATTGAATTGTAACCTCAGTGATGCAACCGATCGCGAGGCATAGGGCGGTGTCTTGCTGTGATCGAGTCTCAGTTCCGCCGGTAACGTAGCGTCCCACTCTTTTAGACTTGTCAAAATTCTGTGAATATTACTGATAAACGTGTTCTCGTTCGGCCTGTGAATCTTGTAGGTATGATCGAGCAGAGATCCGGTTATACGAGCTAGACGTATGGTTGCGACTAGCTGTGAAGCATCAACGAACTCCTCTTGTTCCTCCAAAGTGAGGCCGTCTGGAGACGGCAAGGGAGCATCAATCTCGTCATCTTTGATCATCACTGGATGGCCAAGTTTTGAGCTGTACAGCCGATCAAAAGTGTAGACAGTCCACCAGACACGTCGCCGGTTCTCTATCTCAAAAGGCGGCATATTAGGATCGTATGTAATATTTCGATGAAGTCCCATGGCCACGCTGAGGCGCAGAGCAATACCTGCGTACGTATATGCGCTGTTTTTGCGATTTAAGGCATGAGAGTAGAATGACTAGCTTTCATCAGAATGTGAAGACTGCAACATCTCAGATTACATACTATTAGAAGCAAGGTTTCGATGTACTCAATATCAGGCTCCTCGTATAGCTCCCGGAACAGCGACATAGCCTGAAGAAAGAACTCTGTTCCCGGAACGACTCTGTGTCCCTCATTCGACATCGCTGTCTTCCTCAAGTAGAGCTCGCCTAAGGCGAGAACGACGAACATTCTACAGAGGAAGGTTGGATCAGCTTCTGAAGGAGCAGCATAGACCTGATCAATCTTCTGCACAAAAGACTTTTTCTTAACCAGATGATAGTCATTACCAACGAATCTAAGAACAACCTGCACCAGCATGGTTGCATAGGTGTGGCTTGGTAGGTGGAAGTCCGTGGTTATCACCCTTTGTAGTGTGGGATGCTTGAATACGGTAACATGCTGTGGAGGCACGGGTGCTGAATCCGCGACATGATGTCGCAGGATATCAGTGAATGCAAAACAAGCCGCCGCGCCCACATAAACAGGTCGTGAATTTGACGGTTCGCCGCCCCGGCGTTCAATGACTGGGTTTACGATATTGGCTTTTGCCACATCTTCCTCATCCTCACCCAAACCACTAGCTGCGTCATCTAGTTGACCGCCGGCCTGGACAATGCTGGGTGTTGTGTGAAAGCTATTGCGATAGAGCTGTTCCTTCTCTACTTCGAGTTGTCTGATATAGCTGTATGTGAGATCGTATCAGTCCATCATTGAACAACATATCCGCGCGATTTCGTGCGACTACAGGAGGAAACAAGGCATATTAAAAAAAACAGGGTGCAACAGTAGGCTGACTAGGTTTCAAAGTAATTTGACGCACCTCTGCGAGACCATAACCTTCTTCTCGCGAGCAGGATAGATACACTCCGTTGCCTTGTTCGATCTTATGCAACCCCGGCAAGGGTTTCCTCTAGAGCACTTGATCTTTTGTGAATGGCACCTGAGGCAGGCAACTCCGCCACGCCGCAGTCGTTTCGGGGCCGGCGAGCCGGGACCGTCATTTGGTGGAGTTGACATGCTTTCTGTTCGCCGGTGCTTTGTTTCTGGAACAGACTACAAGTTGGAGGAGGAACAGATCGGTCTGCGACATGCGAGGCAGATCAATGAGTAGAAGCCGGTTCTCCAGCCCCTGTGATAAGATGTATGGATTCCTGCTAGAATGCAGCTAGCATGGAATACCCCAGAAATACGTCGTGAGGAACGAGTAATCTTGCTATAACATTATACTATTACCTGATTTTTGTGGAGATGGGCCAAAGATAGGATTCTGGCCAGTCATGTGGAAAGCGGAGACAGATAAGAAAGATCGGCCATTGCACGCCGAGTAAGCTGAGTTACCAAGAGTCTCAGAGGTATCCACAGCTCTCTTTGCCGACTCGACTACGCTATGCATTACCAATTTACCGCACGCAAACACTAATTGCCTAGCCCACAATACTTGTCGAGCGAGCTGTAAAGAGACGCGTCGATAGACAATAGAACTCAATACAAATCCACCAGCACATGGTCTCGATCAGGTTCACCTCTGCTCGATTATGATGTAGTACATTCTGTGCGCGTGCATTGATGCGCATTGATGCGACCAAGGACTGGCTTGTGTGCTAGACATAAGCGAACATCCAATCGCTAATTCAAAACATGGCCTTCCAAGACGAAGCACTTTGCTGAAGTGTAGATAATTAACTGTAGTTACGTGCTAGGCAGCCTTTATGAACCAAGGCTTGTTGCGCTAATCATCACGTTTGGCATGCCTCTATATGTGAATCACCATTCTCTTTGCCTGCCTTTTGTTGCCTCAGCCTTCAATCCGCCTCAACGCCCTGGCCCCTATAAGTCCTGGCTTGAGGGCCTGTCTTCTCGCATGATATTCTTACAAGCTGTATTTAAAGTGTACATCATAGTCGCCCTTCTCCGGTTGATGGGGTAGCGGATTACCCTCTTGCTCCGCAATCAAGATTTTCTTCGCACGCTTCTTGTTGACAATGTGCATACCGATCATCAACACCGCAACGCACACAACCGCAAGAGCCGCGAGTCCCATGGCAATAGAAATTCCGGGAATGTAACGAGGCTTGTCGGCAGTAACAAAGATCTGTCCAACGGCAACGCCAGCGGTATTGCCCAACGTGAGCGAGCCACCGACCATAGTCGCGCGCTTGAAATGTTGAGCAGCGTTGTCGCTGAGCCACTGTAGACACATACTTGTTAGTAACTGGACTTATGTGATGGATCGTATTCCTGAACACCCGAGAACTTACCATCATACTCATTCCAGTAGTTGGGTAGATACCCATAACTGCGACTGAAGGGCATAATTAGCTCAAATCCAGCTTGTTCATTGACTAAGTACTTACTGAAGCATGCGAAGTAGCGAACACCAAGGCTGTCAACCGAAATCAACATTGCGTAACCCACAATGAGACATATCAACGGCCCACCAATCCAATATCCACGGTTGGCAGTTCGATCAGACATGTAGGCGGTGAAAAGGAAGGTTATCAAGCCCCATACGTAGATGGGCACAGTCATGAGGTTGGCATGGTAAGAGGTGTAGCCGAGACCATTAACGATGGCAGGAAGGAAAGTCGTGAAGCCATAAAGAGAGATGTCGACACTGAATTGGAAGATCCAGCTGGTCATGCCGTTAGCCTGAGAATCAGAGCAGGCTACGTTAGGGGAGGTGCACTTACAAAGCATACCACTTCGGGTCTGTCAACCCGTTGACCACAGCTTTCCAGGAGAACTCTTCGTCTATTCCCCAGTGCGGCTCGAGCTCGTATCGCAACTTCATCATTTCCTTCTCTTCTGGTGTCAAGAACCAAGCCTCTCGAGGCGACTCAGGGAATAACCAATAGAATAGAGGTGCAATGATAATAGTCAAGATTCCTTCAATTATAAAAAGTGCGCGCCACGACGAAAAAGAAGTTCCGGTGTGAATCTGGGTAAGGCCATATGCGAAGATGCCACCGAACGCGCTGGCGATAGCGCTGAAAGCAAAGATGATTGAGGACCTAGAATATATCATAAGAATCTTGGTGTTTGCCAAACTGAGAGCGTATTTGTTGGGTTACTCCTTACCTCTTTCCTCGCTCTGACTTCTTGTAGATAAGGCCGAGGTAGACATTGATGCATGGAATCAACCCAGCTTCGAAGAAACCAATGAGCAGACGGCAGGCGTAAAGACCTTGCCAGTTCTGAACGAAGCCAGTACCAAGACAAACGGCACCCCTAAACAGGTTGATTTAGCAAGCTGAAAAATACTCAATTGGATGGTCGTCTTACCAGGCCAAGCAGCAGAAACTCAGCAAGTGCTTGGGACCAATAATTTTGAGAAGCACAGCAACTGGTCCCTCAAAAGGAACATAAGTTGCATAAAGAAGCGTAACAGCTGTGCCATATTGATTTCCAACGAGACCGAGGTCGGCCGGAAGACCTGCAATTTGAGCGTTGCCAATGTTGCTCCTACATTGTGTCAGCAACGTAAAACGTGAAAACCCCCTCACCAAGCACTAAGGAATCAAGTCTCCTCACCTGTCAAGATTCGCCAACATATAGAGCACGCCCAATCCACCAACAGCCCATAACTGTTACCTGGTGTCAGAATTTTCACGAAAATGAAATGAGAATAAGCGCTCGTACATCGAACTTCCTCATCATCTTTGCCTCCTTAACCGGATCGATGTAAGCGACCACGGGAGTTTCGCTTGGGTCGCTCTGGGACGCTGGTTGGTTCACCATGCCCACCTCCTTTGTGTCTCTCTCCATGGCTGGGGGTTTTCGGAGGAACAGCAACTGCAAGACAGGAACTTGTTGGCTGGGATGTTTCAATTGCAACCTTGCTGATCTCTTCTCATCCTTCCTCGCTGGATGTTGTCATGATTTATCGTCGCGCGAGCCTTGGAACATCAGCAGGAGCCCCTGGCATCCAACATGATCGGTCAGTGATGCCGGTAAGGTAAATAGATCAACAACTGTGCATGACACGAGTCGCGGGCGGTACCGTAGCCCAACCAGTCGATCCACAGCAGCGCCACGAGATAAGATTGGGCCCACCGAGATATGATATTCCCCACAGGGTCCGATAGGGACCGGACCCGCTCAACGATCGGCTTCAATTGCCGGGGATACTTGGAGATTAGTCGGCCATCGCGATGCTCGGTCGGCGTGGAATATGGCCGGTTGCAATCGGGCACGCAATCGGACCCCTCTTACCGATCATCGTATGGTTTATATGACCTCGCGCAGCTTTAAAGTATGTGGTCTTAGAATGAGAGATTGCGGTGATAAGACAAGCCTTGTAATTTCGAAGTTCACCTTTGAACGAAAATGCCGTCGGTAATTGCAGAAGAGGGCATTCGCATTGCCATCGACAGGGGAGGCACATTCTGTGACTTGTAGGTATCATTCCCGTGGGAGCATGGGCCACATCTGGGCACCGCCTCTCATTCGGCCCAAGCGCATTTCTAACCAAGTTTGATAGCTGGGCGCGAATCCCTGGTCAAACCAAGGACCTTGTCTTCAAACTCTTGTCAGTATGCCCGGACGAATATGACGATGCTCCCACGGAGGGAATCCGTCGCATTCTCGAGACGGCGACTGGCTCGCCGATCCCGAGAGGCACCCCTCTAGACCTCACTCCCGTCGAGAGTATCCGCATGGGCACAACAGTGGCCACAAATGCCCTCCTGGAACGCAAAGGCGAGCGGGTAGCCTTGCTTATAACTAAGGGCTTCGGCGATCTACTCCTGATCGGAAACCAGGCACGGCCGAAGCTCTTCGATTTAGCGATTCAGAAGCTTGACAAGCTATATGAGAAAGTCGTTGAAGTAGATGAGAGAATTACCGTTGAAGGAGCTTCAGAACTACCAGAGCCATTGGCAGTCAGCGTTGATGAAGACCCGAACCTATTTTACGGAGTTAATGGGGAGGTTTTGCGATGCCTGAAGAAGCCAGACCTGGATGCAGTGGCGAAAGATCTAAAAGCTCTTTGGGAAGAGGGCTATAGGAGTGTTGCTATTGCGCTGATGCACTCATACAACTTCCCGGACCATGAGTTGTCACTGGGTGAAGTCGCACGTAAGATCGGTTTCAAAGTATCTCTTTCATCCCAGTTGCAGAGCATGATAAACATCGTGCCACGGGCGCAATCTGCCACGGCTGATGCCTATCTATCACCAATCACCGAAGCTTATCTACAAAGCTTCCGAAAAGGATTCAAAGGAGAATTGGAGGATGAGAACGGAAACAAATTACTGCTTTCACAATCTCACGGCGGTCTTGTGAAATTCAGCGAGTTCACGGGATTGAGAGCTATTCTTTCAGGCCCGGCAGGTGGTGTCATCGGTTATGCGAAAACATGCTACGATGCCACTGACGCGACTCCTGTTCTTGGCTTTGACATGGGTGGAACGAGTACAGATGTGTCCCGTTACGGGGGTACACTTGAGCACGTCTTCGAAGCTACTATTGCCGAAGTCCCAATACAATGCCCCCAGCTTGACGTAAACACTGTTGCTGCTGGCGGTGGTTCTATTTTGTTTTGGACCAACGGCCTCTTCAAGGTTGGCCCTGACTCCGCTGGCGCATATCCTGGCCCGGCTTGCTACGGTAATGGCGGCCCTCTCACCATTACGGATGCCAACTGTTTCCTGGGGCGAATCCTTCCTCAATATTTCCCACGCAAACTCGACATCGATACTGTGCAGCGCAAGTTTCTGGAGCTTACAGAGACCGTGAACAAGGAGAAACATGGCAAAGACAAATTAACTCCTGAAGAAGTTGCTATGGGCTTCATTCACGTGGCCAATGCTACTATGGCACGTCCTATCAGAAGTCTTAGCGAAGGGAGAGGCTTTGAAGCTTCTGCTCACAACCTTGCCTGCTTTGGTGGTGCTGGCGGCCAGCACGCTGTAGCCATCGCGAGAGATCTTGGTATCAGTCGAGTCTTGATCCACCGACTGTCGAGTATTCTCTCAGCATTTGGCATGGCTCTCGCTGATATCGTCATCGAGAAGCAGGAGCCGGAAGCACTCACATATGGACCCGAAGCCACTGATCGCCTTGCAAAGCGATTCGAATCACTCTCGGCTCGCGCAGTAGAGGATCTGAAAGCGCAAGGAATACCATCTCATCGAGTCGCCCATGAGAAGTTCCTTAACATGAGATACAGAGGAAGTGACACAGCTCTCATGATCATGGAGCCTGCAGGTGGCGATTATGCTGCTGCATTTGTTGAGAGGCATCAACGCGAATTTGGCTTCGTCCAGCAGAGAGATGTTCTCGTCGATGATGTGCGCGTTCGAAGCATAGGAAAAGCAATGGAGCTACCTATCTCTAATCCATTCGATCAACTTGTCAAGGCCGGCGAATACCCATATGTTGAAGCGACCAGCGCAAAGACACACAAGATTTACTTCGAGCGTGGGTGGGTGGATACACCCGTCTTCCATCTAACCAACCTTCCAAAGAGGAGCAAGGTCAAGGGACCTGCTGTAATTTTCGATGAGACACAAACCATTATACTCGATCAAGCTAGTGAAGCAATCGTTCTTGACGAGCATTTAGTTGTTGACTTGGTGTTGACAAAGGAGGATACGAAGTTTACAGGAGAGGTTGACCCCATCAAGCTTTCTGTTTTTGGTCATCGTCTCATGTCCGTTGCGGAACAGGTATGTTACACAACATGCACATATGTTCTCATCACTGACGATCTTGATAGATGGGCCGAACACTCCAAAAAACCTCAATTTCTACTAACATCAAGGAGAGACTGGACTACTCTTGTGCGGTTTTCTCCGCAGCTGGCGGACTTGTCGCTAACGCACCACATATTCCTGGTCACCTGGGCTCTATGAGCACTGGAATTAGGTATCAAGCAAAGAAGTATGGCAAAGACTTGAAACCGGGAGATGTTATTCTTTCAAACCACCCTTGTGCGGGAGGCACGCATCTGCCAGATCTTACAGTCATCACACCAGTGTTTGATAACGACGAGAACCCTACCGAGATCATGTTCTTCGTCGCCAATAGAGGTATGTATGCAATGTCACTTAAAGAAAGATCAATCACACTAACTTCTATAGGTCATCATGCGGATATTGGCGGAATTCTAGCCGGGTCCATGCCTCCTAACTCGACGGAGCTTTGGCAGGAGGGTGCGGCTATTGAATCCTTCAAACTTGTCAAGAATGGCGTATTTGACGAAGAAGGTTTGATTGAGGAGCTATACATCAAACCTGCCCAATATCCCGGCTGCAGTGGCACAAGAACTCTGCGCGACAATATCGCAGATCTCAAGGCGTCTGTCGCTGCCAATAACAGGGGCATCTATTTGATCCAGGAACTAGCCCGGCAGTATACTTGGCCGGTTGTACAATTCTATATGGAGGCTATCCAAAAGAACGCCGAGGATGCGGTGAGAGCTTTACTGAAGCAGCTCAGTGTTCGCTTCCGTGGCCATCCCTTAAAGGCCGTAGACTATATGGATGATGGGACTCCCCTGGCATTGACGGTCACTATCAACAGTGAGGATGGTTCTGCGAAGTTTGACTTCACAGGAACTGGTCCTGAAGCCCTAAACAATCTGGTATGATAACTCGCAATTACTATAAATGGCCTGACTAACACTTTATCTAGAACACACCATCTGCTGTCATGTTTTCTGGAATCATCTATTGCTTACGTTGCATGGTGTCCGCCGATATCCCTCTCAACCAGGGATGCCTGGCCCCCATCGAGGTCTACTGCCCCCCTAATACCCTTCTCTCACCTAGCCTCAAGGCTGCTACCGTGGGATCGAACGTCGAGACCTCTCAACGGATAGTAGACCTGATTCTGAAGGCATTCCGCGTCTCTGGAGCCAGCCAGGGCACGTGTAATAATCTCACATTCGGATACGGCGGCACTGACGAGAATGGTGAGATTGTCAAAGGATTTGGCTACTACGAAACCATTGCAGGCGGTTCTGGAGCAGGTCCAACCTGGGATGGGCAGTCTGGTGTTCACACAAACATCACCAATACTCGCATTACAGACCCGGAAATGTTTGAGAAACGTTACCCAGTTCTTCTCAATGAATTCTCTATTCGCAAGGGTAGTGGTGGACTTGGCCGCAGGCGTGGCGGTGACGGGTGCGTCCGTGATATAGAAATTCGACGGCCGCTGCAGGTTAGCATACTCTCGGAGCGGCGGGTGATTCCCCCGTATGGCATGGCCGGCGGTGGTGAGGGAGGACGCGGCGTCAACCTCTGGATACGAAAAGACGAATCTGATGGGACGGTTCGATCCATCAGTTTAGGAGGCAAAGCTACTGTTGCAATGAATGCCGGTGATCGGATCATCATCAAGACTCCAGGAGGCGGAGGTTATGGTTTTAGCCCGGACATGGTGGATGGCTTCATACCAGAAGATGAAGAGATTGTGCAGAATGGCCATGTTAATGGAAATGGTTTCGCCCATGTGCCTCGAGCAGGAGGAAGTGTGGCAAACAGGGAGAACATGGCTGTATCAAACTAAACAGGGGCAAAAAAGCATTGCATAGTTATTTCAAGCCCATCAAATTCTAATACCATAAGTCAAAATTATTGTTGGCTCCCTCCTGAATCACAGACGAAAAGCAACCTCTCCAGGTGCTATTTCCGTCTTGGGACATGAGCCACCTGCGCTTTGACCTGAGCCACGACTGAGCATTGCGAGATCTAACCTGAGCAACTGACCGATTTCGGAGAAGCCGGATTTGACGTCCGTCTAAAGTTGCCTTGCTCTGAACACTTCGAGTCTAGTTCTGATACGAGGTCCTACTCTGCTACAAAGACTGGGCTGTTATAAGTGGATTAACTTCGTCATAGGTGTAGATGCTCGCCTTCTGCCTGATCGATAGCGTAATAATATCAGCTTACGAGCAATTTCTGACTCACTAAAATGTTTATGACGGGGAAATAAGAGCCCACCTCAGTCCCTAATTATATGCTAAGCTTACTTTAAGCTTGTTTCACAATGTGCCTCATGATAGGTATACTTGAAGTAAGCTTTTAGTTTGTTACAGCTGGCCGGCTAATATAGTAGTAGTATCTAGAGAAAGGCGGATAAGTATATACTAGTCCTATCTGAAAACTATATTTGCATTTTATTTGATCTGACTTAGGGTATCAGAAATACTTATCAAATGAGACATACGTGTTCCGGTTCAGTCATGAGGCCTAGATACTATTAAGATAATGTCTAGAAGGGCATGATGTCGCTGAAGGCGAGCCTACGCACAGCGATGCAGTAGTAGGAAACACAATACGCATAGATGCTGCTCTAAGACATCTATCTGGAGACACTGTAGTCTACATGCCATCTGGTCACGACTTAGCCGTAGCTACGAAAGATATGTATCTCTTGTTATCTCTGCAAAATTTTATTTGACAGAGATACAATTAGCCAAAATAAGGAGGTGAAGATAGTAGTGAAATAATGTCTTTATTTACTGTCGCTAGAACGATTAAGGAGCTATACTAGAAAGTTCTTTTCTTATATCAAGATTCTATATACTGTAGAGACTGAGGAATAAGCTACTGATATATGATAGATGAAGAATTGAGTGGGCAAATAGCTGAAATTTCCCTTTTCAAGCCTTTGATACTGTAGTAGTATACTAGTAACCTCTTCCTTATAGCTTTAGATACGACTCTTTTGATAAGAAAATTTACAAAATATAATGAAGCTTAGGTTAGGCTGTAACTATACTTAGTTATTGTAACTACATTATCTATCTTAGAAACTAGCTATAATAGAAGCCAGGCTGCTTAAGCTACTATATTTAGATTGTAAAGATCGCTAATTGTGAACATCGTCACAACTTAAAACAATAAGTGGAACTTATAATGTAGGGTTGCTATGTAGGCTGCTACTGTCTTACCTAGTTTTGGATTGACTGTAATGGTGTGCTACAACCCGCCTGCAGCCTGCAGCGGCTTCCTCCGCAAGTAGGCGCTTGAACCCCGGGCGTTGCCCCTTTTACATTCAACAACCAAAGCAGTAACAGGATCTGGTCTAGACCTTGGCGTGGGTATCCTGTATTACTCCCTCCGTCTGATGGTTTTCTGTTGGATCATCTTTCTTCTCGTCTCCATTCAGGACAGTGTCAGGTACGAAATAACACCCCAAGAGACATATTGCCACTAGAGGTGCGAGCATGATGAAGACTGCGCGAATGCCGCGCATCTCGGCATCCAGGATCTCGTTCTCCCATTCCAAGTCAGCGGGGTCCCCCCGTTCCCATGTCCCACTCAAGACTTTCGATTGAACAGTCAATGGCATTCCCGCCGGAAGTGCTGCTTGGGTGACGGCGTATTTGATGGCTGTCGACGATGCCATGCCAAAGACGGATCCAAGCATGCGCATCAGGTTCCGCACGGAGGTTGCTACAGCGCGGTCTTCTTTCCTGGACAGCGCTTGCAAGGCGACGAGCGCCGGTTGTAGGACGAAGCCGATACCTATGCCTTCGATGGCGAGCACCACTGCATAAACAGCCACAGAGGTATTCAGTGAGAAAATGATCTTGAGGCCCGCGCCCAGGGTCCATAGTGCCATTCCCATGTACAAAACGGGCCCATATCTCGCCTGCTTGCGCATGATTGGACCGGAAGCTATCCCAGCAAGACTCTGGAGCAGTAGTAGAGGAAGCACGAGAGCTGCGCTCTGCAGGGCGGAATAGCCGCGGACCTGTTGAAAGTAGATAGGTAGAAAGTATATGTCGACCTGCCACACGGAGTTGTAGAGGGCACTCTGTAGCATGATTACAGCTGTGGGTGTCTGGGTAAAGAGCCGCAGCGGAACGATAGGAATCCGGGCAAATCGCTGCTCAATGACAGCTAAGACGACAAAGGCAAAGCCGCCTATTGAAAGCATCGAGATTACCAGAGCGCTGTTCCAGGGAAAGATGCTACCCCCAGAGTTGATCGGAACTAAGACAAGGACTACAGCAGTCACGGCAGCAAAAAGACCGAGCCAGTCGATCTTGGCCAGCTTTTCGCGCCAGCTGCCTGTGACTGGCTTGAGCGGGAGGGCCACTAACATGATGAAGAGGCAAGCTGCAGCGAGAATTGGCGGTACCCAGAAGATCCATCGCCAACTTTCGCCGTTGGCCTTGTCCCCGTTTATGAAGGCGGCTGCCAGGAAGGGGCCAGCGCCGGCACCAAGTCCGATTGCGCCGCTCAGCATGCCCTGGTACTTCCCGCGTTCCCTGAGGCTGACCAGATCACTGACGGTGATCTGGACAAGCGAACTGATGCCGCCGCCTCCTACACCGCTGAGCGAACGACATACGTACAACCAAGTGATGTTTTGGGCAAAGCCGCACAAGATGTCGCCTATAATCAGGCAGGCTATCGATGCTAGCAAGACTGGTTTGCGGCCAAAGATATCAGAGAGTCGGCCGTACAGAGCTTGGAAGCATGTTTGGCCCATCAAATAGGCGGTACCAGCCCAGGTGATGCTGCTTCCCGCGTTTAGTGACCGAGAGATGGCTGGTAATGCCGTAGCGACAGAGTTGATGTCGAGAGTCGAGATGAAATAAATGACTGCAAGGCAGAGGTAAGCTGTCATGAGCCGTCTGAATGGTAGGCGCGACGTTTGATCCTCAAGCAACACCTTGCTGTTCTGCTCGTCCGCGGCATCGTGGCCCGGCTCATCTGAATTTGGGACTGTGTCCAGTGCTGCACTCTTTTCAGACGAGATCGGCATCGTCGCCCGAGGTACAGGCATGGGTTCGAGTTCGTCAGATTTACGGGGAGTAGGGATTTGGGCTGACGGCGGCTCTGCTCCGACATCGTTGGGCTCCGGTCGAGCAGGTGGAATAGCCGATACCGTCATGTTCGTAAGTTCCGATTGAGCACAATGTGCGTTATTGCAGCGGGAAAATATTTGGAGAACACGATATTCCGTAGCAAGAGGAGATAGCAATCAACAACGTTGTATCTATGCAAGTATCTATGCAAGCGAGGCGGCCAATACCTTGAAATCAGAACAACGGATTCTGCGAATGTGGCCAGTCAGGATTGCACCACGCCCACCTCGAGAGATATTACTCAGCATCGACTGGCTCGGCAGACAGGGAAAGTGAGGGACGGTCTGAACCCCCGGTCATCTACACGTGTACTGTGTGCACTCTCCGTCCCGGGTCAACCCTCCCGGAGGCAAAGACGCGGGTACCACATCACAAGTTTATCGCTTGTCTATCTTGCATAGTTAGACTCCAGCGGAAATGCACGCTGCATTTCCGCGGCAGCTCCCGCTTGTTGTTTGATACTCGTCTCGGAGTATTACTGAAGAGCGTCATATGCAGACCAGATTGTGCAAGTCGAATTCATCATAAGATTCGTGCATGTGAGACACACCAAAAGATTAAAGTGGGGGTCACACGATTGTGAGTGTCGCGTGCTCAGCTGCCAAAGTTGGAGGTGATTTGCAGATCATTGGCGATATATTGATAGTCCCGTTACTATGGCTATCATTTTATCGAGTAAACGAAATACATGCCTCTTCTCGTTACTGTAATATCACTTCATCGGTTGATTCGAAATACATGTCTCTCGTCGTACTGTTGTATGGATAGGTGGCGGTATAATAGGTCTACTCTCTTTGAGCCCATGCCTTGTCGTACACATTATTCTGTGTATATATGTCTATCTACCCTCCAGGCCAGAGGCATCTTGATAGCACTAGACTTACAACATACTTTGTCATGTCAGTTTGAATATCAGAAAAGTCGAAATTGCACGCAATGTCCGCCGCAACCAAGATCCAGGCAAGTCGGACTCAAATACCAGATGGGTGGTAGGAACCTAACAGCCACATCAGGTCAAGTCACCTCTTGTCGAGATGAATGGCGACGAGATGACACGGGTCATCTGGGCTGAGATCAAGCAACGCTTCATCTATCCCTTCCTGGATATTGACCTGAAGTACTTCGATCTAGGCCTGCCAAATCGGAATGACACCGATGACCAAATCGTCTACGACGCCGCCGCGGCCATCAAGCAATACGGCGTCGGCGTCAAATGCGCCACCATCAGTCCTGATGCTGGCCGAGTCAAGGAGTTCAACCTCAAGCAACGCTGGCCGTCGGCCAACGGCATCATCCGTAATTACTTCGGTGGCACCGTGTTTCGCGAGCCCATCATCATCTCTTCGGTTAAGCCCTATGTTTCCGGGTGGACACGGCCAATCGTCGTGGGACGCCACGCGTACGGCGACCAGTACAAGGGGCAAGACTTCATAGTTCCTGGGCCAGGCACTCTGGAACTTGTCTACACGCCTACGGTGGGTGAACCTACACACATCAACGTCTTCAAGTACGAAGGCAGTGGTATCGCCCAAGCTCAGCCCAACACGGATGTCTCGATTCGTGACTTTGCCCACGTCAGCTTTAAATATGCGCTGAGCAGAGGTCTGCCGCTGTATCTAGCCACCAAGGATACAGTCATGAAGAAATACGACGGTCGTTTTCGCGACATATTCCAGGAGATCTACGAGGCCGAGTATGAGGATCAATTCAAGAAAGCCGGAATCTCCTACATTCACAGACTTATTGACGACATGGTCGCCTATATGATCAAGAGTCAAGGCGGCTTCATCATCTCGCTGAAGAGTGAGTCAATCCCCGCCCCCTGGTCTCTTTCGCATACACCGAGCTAATATGTGCCTAAATGTAGATTACGACGGCGACGTACAGTCTGACATCGTGGCCCAGGGATTCGGATCACTTGGCTTGATGACGAGCGTTTTGACAACGCCTGACGACAACGCATTCGAGGCCGAAGCGGCTCACGGCACCGTGACTAGGCATTTCCGTGAGTATCAGAAGGGCAATCCGACATCGACAAACCCAATCGCGAGCATCTTTGCTTGGACGCGTGGTCTCAAACGACGAGGGACTATTGATGTCACGCCCGAGGTTGTAGCATTTGCTGAGAGCTTGGAAAGAGCTTGTATTGAGACTGTTGAAATCGACGGTGTTTTGACTAAGGATCTCGCTGTAGTTGCGGGTAGAGGAGATGAGTTTGTCAACACTGAGGAGTTCTTGGACGCCATAGAGCGGAGACTCAAGCTCATCTTAGCCTAGTCTATGGTTTTCTTAGGCTACATTTGTATCGTATATTCTACCTTTGTGAGAGTCAGACTTCGCCCACTCATAATTACCTAGCTAAAGCAGTTTCTAAAGCCAACACAATGGCAGCACGTACTGAGGCAACCAACCATCAGAACACTCAAGATAGAGCTCAATTCAGACACCCCAAGTCCATCCTTTGCCGCAAGGAATTTTTACTGCCACGAAACTCAGTTCATCGTAGGAGTTCATTCGACATAGAAATATTCGCCATAACGGGGTTTCAGTTCAAGACAGTTCCAACATTCCTGAGAAGGATTTTTTTTGTGTAACTTCACGTCAGATAACGGCAAGCATCTATATGCACCGACGTTAACAACCTTCCGAGACGAGCCAGTGGGGCCGGTCGGTACAATGGATGCCGCGAGCAAAGTAAGCGTTGTCATGGCAAGTGTTGCCATGTATGAATCGCGTCAGATGCAGGCTGACACTGCTCATATGCAGGATCTGCAAGATTGTGACGGACTTGCGGCGACTAGAGTAGAGCTTATCGTGTAAAAGCTGTTCTTGCTCTTTTTAGGAAGTCGGTCACACGACCTCGACGGCCGCCCTCATATGATGTACCTTATCATGATGCAGTAAGAAGGGTTCGATTTACAGGAATGAAGCAACTACCGACAGGCACGGTTCGCGGGGATTTTGCCTCATTTGATAGGACTTACATGACGTGGTTTGGCACAAGTAATGTTGAGCCGAGCAAAGCGATGGATGCCTGAACCATAATGATATCAACGGTGCTCAAGATGCAAGTAGACTCATTATGGCGACAGAGCCCGAGATCGGGAGCTCGAGTACCATAGAGGTTTTCGCTGATTATGTTACACAGAGTCCACCATATGAATATCGAGAGATGTATATTAAGGGGTCTCTGAAGTCCTAGACTGTACAATAGAAAGATCCAAACTTGCTGTAGACAAGCTCCACAACATATTCGTCACGTCAACTTATCTGCTATCTTACATCTCACACCGAGAAGATGTCCATCTCCGTCAATACATCGTTGGCCAAGAACAACGGGCGCATACGCCTTTTAGAAGCCCATGATCGCGCTTCGAAAGAAGTCATCCGAAGAACAGTCAGCAAGGATGGCAAGAGCTTTCACGGCTTTTGGATCAGTGGCTTGACTCAGACCACGCACCTTGGTATTCCTGACACTGAGATCATCTCGCCTTTGAAACGAGCGTCCTTGTTCAATTTCGATGACCATTTGTACGAAAACGACAAACGTCCACTTTGCGCAGCTTTCGATGCTGACAGCGGTGGCGCTTTGACTGATATCCCGGCACTTGTTGCCATCCTTGCGATCAAGGGAGTTTCGATGATCATCATCGAAGACAAGGCCTTGACGGAGCCGGGAAAGAAGGTCAACTCGCTGAAGGAGACCTCCGGTTCTCAGTTACAGGCTGATCCTCACAAGTTTGTCAAAACGCTGAAAGCTTTCAAATTAGCTTCAGTCGGCAGGGACATGCTCGTCACAGCCAGAATTGAAAGTCTGACTACCCGCATCGCCAAGAAGGACCCAGTTGAGGAACAAGCTTCCATTCAGGCAGCGCTTCAAGATGCGCAGGAGCGTGCTGCTATCTATAAAGAAGGCGGGGCAGATGCCATCATGATCCATAGCAAAGCCAAGGAGCCCGATGAGATCCTCAGTTTTCTTCGAGCTTTCCGAGCCCACGATAACGCGACGCCGTTGGTAGTGGTGCCGACGACATACTCCAGAACAGCGCGCACCACTCTGTACGACGCAGGTGCTAACGTCATCATCTACGCGAACCATCTCATCCGTGCCAGAATCAAGGCTGTGGCTCCCGTAACAGACAAACTGCTAGATGAGAAACCCACCCTTTTCGCAAATGAGACCGAGCTGCGCGCGTGTGTGGATGCCCAAAACTACGCACACCTCCTCAATAGGTTGACGGAAAAGATTCTGGCAGGCACTGGTGACAAAAAGGCTGAGGAATATCGTGCTTTGGCTGAGCGCCATGCGATCGAGAACATGAAGACTGTTGTTCAAGACCTTGTTGATGGCGACCTAGCGGGGTGCGAAGGCGACCACCGTATCATTCCTGTGACAGAGCTGTTAAAGATCAACGCTCGTCAAGTGTCTGTGGGCTAAGAATGTTCTTATAACTACGTGGCTTTTTTTAATAGCCTTTATGTTGATGTTTCAATCGTTTGCCCTTTTCATTTGAGAGTAGACAATGCTGTAAGGAGTAAATATAGTTGGTTTCATCCTCAGAGAGGAATAACACACATCCTACATTGAAAACACAATTATTATCGTATGGTACCCTCGACATTCACTCAAAAGAGCGTCCTAGGCGACTTCCATCACAAACGAATTACTCACAGCACAAACAGAAAGATCCTCTTCCAGAAGCTACCTCAGGTTCACAGCCCAGAGTCAATTTGATTCAACACCGTTTTGCCCGTAAACGTCGCCCAATCTCTGCAAGTATAAGCCATGATACTTGGAATGTACAAATGAGCAATATCAGCAGGTCTCTCCATAATAGTGACGTAGAGACCTCCCAAGACGTGCCACGCGATATGGCAATGCAGCAGCCAGGCACCAGGATCGTCCGCCGTGATCTGCAACACAAGGAACCCTCCGGCAGAAAGGATCTGCACGTCTCTCCTCTAAGAATTCGAAGGATTGACCACAGTTCCGTCCCAGCTGCCGGTCCCGACGTTCAGAACGAACATGTTGTGGCCGTACAGGTGGATAGGATGTGAGAGAAACCCGGGGTTGGTGAGGTAGATCCGGATGCTGGAGTTGGAACCAAAGTTGTAGACGTTCCATTGAGGACTGTTAGGATACGAATTGTTGCCAATGTTCATGGTCCAAACCCAATTTCCTGATGCGTTCTGGCCGAACTCGATGTCTATGTCCTCTGTTGTAGGTGGAGCTGGATCTGGAGTAATTGGGAACCATTCTATCGGCGCTTACAGGCAATTGTGCGCCGGTGTTGGTGAAACGTTTGAGGCTGTATCAACAGCTCTTGAAAATCCCGTATTGGCGAGTCAAGTAGAACACATAGCTTTTGTAAGACTCTTACGGTTCGTTCTGCGGTCTTTCACTAACATCCGAAAAAGGGCTCAGTAGACAGTGTCAGCTTTAGTTCGCACATTGCTGAACTTACACGTGAAACAGAAAATCTCAAAAGTGAGATTAAAACTGCGCATGGAAGGCTAAAGCTGAGACGGTTTTGCGAGGCGCTCTTGAGAGCGATGTCAAAGCCATCAGCCAAAGGTGCGAATCTCTCGAAAAGCTACTAGATCAGTCTCAGAAAGAGCTGATGTCTCTGAGAAGACTGCTGCTTGCTACGCTAGGGGGATAAATAAAATGTATCTAGTACTAGAGGAGATGTGCGAAAGTGATGTCGTGCCTCCATCAAAATCGAGGGTGGAAGTTATAACGCGAAGACCAATCGATTGAACGTATCACTCAAATCTCCAAAAGCTAATCATAACACAAAGATCTATCCTGGAGCGGCCCCTCTATCCAAGGTCGATTGCATGCTAAGCACGTTTTCTTCGAGTCTTCTTTTGCCCGCTCGAAGCTTTCTTGACCTGATACTCCTTGACTTTCTTAGCGCTCACATGAGGTCTCTCCAGCCAAGTAGATTTCGTGGCAGACCGTGCACCATCCCATTGCGCTGTCCACCTGACGAGATATTCGATGGTGTGAGGTCCCTTCTTTTCTTTGAGCACTTCAACGAACTGGTTGCCTGTATAGCTCGCCTTGAATAACTGAATATCGATGTCGCTCAGGTTTTCCGGCGGCTCCCACGTATTCTTATTGTGCGGAAAGCCTTCCCACTTTACCAGGTATCGGACCGTGCCATCTTTCTTCGGCCAAACAGCAAGTATGGTCTCGACAGTCCAGATATTGTCCGCCTTGTCAATAGCGACTGGTTCTTGTGTCGTACCTTGGTCTCCGAGAAGCGCACCTGATACTGTCAAATTCTCGTGCTCCGGTCCAGCCCCTGAGTCAGCTTTGCCATCCTCGTTGCCTTGCTCACTTGCTGCCGAAGCTGTGTTGTATGTGTCTTGAAGTTGTGGGTCAATCATCTCACCCAGATGATCCAGTCGTGCCTGTGAACAGACATCGAAGTGAATCGGATTAATACCGTCGGCTGCCACCTCAGAGTATTCCAATGTTGTCTCGGCCTGGTCGACATTGTAAAACTCCTCAAGGCTTTCGAACTCATCACTGCATATGGAGGAGAGAGGTGAGTCATATTCTTGACAAGGATCGGGCAGAAACTCATCACTGAACATGGAAGACAGAGGGGAGTTATGCTTTCCGGAGTATTCAGATAATGCTGAGTTCGAGGCTTCAGTGTGGTGAAGAGGCTTCGATAATCGCCCTGAAGTCTGGCTTGAACCCCATTTATCTGTGTATTGTTTCGTAACATCAAGAAAGGTGTACTCTGGTGGTATTGGGCAGTGGTCGTAGTCAAGCTTGGTTGAAAGCTTTTGTTTCTTCCGTTTCGGTTCCGGGAGCCTTGAATTATTCTCGTATGGATGTTTCCTCTCTTGGCCCCCTTCTGCCGGTATTTCGCCCCTATGTATATCGAGGCAGTGGTATCTCAGCTTATTCATGATTTCGAACATAGGAAGATCGCGATGGCGGGGATGAGGACATTTGGATCGGTTCTCCTGGAGATATCGAGTAAAACATTCTTGTCTGTGTTTTATCCATTTAATCCGACACGGGAATTCCTGAGCTGGGCCTGAGGAAAGCAGCGGCTTTGACTAACTACGTTGGGACATCAGTGAGGTAGTGTTTCGTCTGTGACTCCTTACACATTGACGGTGGTGAATAGCTATCTAGAAAGCGACATCGTGAGCATGACCCGAGACTATCACATACTCAAGAAATTTAAATTGATACAATGTCTGTTGAGATGAGTCAAAGTAAATACACTGGACCATTAAAGAACAATGAGTTCTCATATTAGCAACAAGCTGATTAATACCTGTCAAATAACAAGTCCGGTGCGGGCCCCGATTTAATTGGTGGAGTGAGTCAACATCGCCGGTGATCGGCTTCGAGAACCGGGACAGATAAGTAGTCATATTCATAGTCGTTTTATGATCACAACAAAACTAGAGCCTCTGACCATTTCATCAAGGTTGAATGAGGCTAAAAGGCCAAAGTACACCAAGACAATGGGAGTTTCAATCTTTTCAGGTCTCAAGCAGATCCCGTACGATGAGGCATATACAGTCTTACAAGCGTTTAATCAAGATCCGTCTCCGGAGAAAATAACCCTTGGTGCAGGAGTCTATCGAGACGATAATGCGAAACCATGGACTCTGCCATCTGTGAAAATGGTAATTCATCACGAATAGAACGAGGCAAGACATATGGCGACTGATTACTACAGGCAATGTCTCGTATACCGGACAACCATGATTACCTCCCACAGAACGGCTTTCCTGAGTTTCTGACTGTTGCGCGACAACTTCTGTTTGGGCCACTGACTCAAGAACTATCCCCCCGAATTGCATCTATTCAAACAATTGCGGGGACCGGAGCTTGCCATGTCGGAACAGAACTGGTGGCCAAGAAGCTTAAGCCAAAGAACGTATGGATCGCGAACCCTACGTGGATAAACCATTCTCTCATGTGGACTGTGAACGCCCCTGAGATTGCTCAACAATTCTATCCTTACTATGACGCCGATGATATGGCATTCGACTTTAAAGGGTTTCTTGCAGCATTGAAGAACGCCGAAAGGGGGGATGTGGTAATTCTGCAGGCATGTGCACATAACCCAACGGGACTTGACCCTTCAACAGAGCAGTGGGAAGCCATTGCCGATTTGTTCGAGGAAAAGGGACTTGTACCGTTCTTTGACTGCGCATAGTGAGTTATCTGTCCGCTTTTCGACCTATTGTCTGATGATATCGCGCAAACTAACCTGCACTTTAACTAAAGCCAGGGCTTTGCATCTGGGGATCCCGATGCGGATGCTTGGGCTATTCGCCACTTTGCCGGTCGTAAGAACATGGAACTCTGTGTAGCACAGTCTTTCAGCAAGAACATTGGGCCTTTACGGTGAGCGTATCGGAGCTTTCCACCTCCTGGTCGCCGACCCATTCATCATTCCTGCTGCACAGACCCAGCTTGTCAGGATCATACGATCTGAAGTCTCCTGCAGTGTGTCATTTGCAGCACGTGTTGTAGCTGCGGTCTTGACAGAAGAAGATCTCAAGCAGCAGTGGAGAGAGGATTTGAATACAATGAGCACACGAATGAAAACAATGAGGCAGGCTCTTAAAGACGAACTCGAGAAGCTGGGAACGCCTGGAAAATGGGGACATGTCACAAGTCAGGTGAGTTGCCAATGCCGCTTTTGTTTGAATGACTGTAGAAAAGAAAAAAGAGAGGAGTGATACGCGTGCTGACGAAAGCTTGATTACAAGATTGGCATGTTTTCTTACACCGGTCTATCGGAAAAACAATCCAAAGCGATGGCAGAAAAACATCATATTTATATGCTCTCCAATGGAAGAATATCAATCCCCGGATGTATGTACATTGATAAAATATGCAAATGCATGCAAATGCATTTGACTAACAGCTATGTTACTAGTGAATCCGTCTAACGTAGCAAAAGTTGCAGCAGCAATAGACGATGTGGTCAGGTTTGTGGTTGATCAGTAGATGGATTTCTCTATATTCCAACAGATGATCAGATTATTCTTATTTGAGAGATTGCCAATTCTAGACCCTAAATATATACGTCATTATGCTTAATTCACGATTGCAATGTTCTTTGCAAATAAAGCAAGGAGAATGATTGGCTTGTCTCTCAGGCACATGAGGATGTCTCAACACCACCTTGCCTCCTGAACTACGGCGATCCCAATGCAAGGTAATCGGTGCTCGAGTTATTTTAAGTCGCACGAAGGCAGAGCCTTCATTGAAAAAATGTTCACACAATTGATAAATTTCTGTCCATTCAGCATCCTACTGCCCAGGTCGCCAAATTGTTGGGCTCAACAGTTTGGACACAATGTAAGGAGTAGATGGTGACGCATAAGACTTTGAGATTTTGTACGGGCTTTTCGGAGCCGCAAATTTGTTCCTGTACGTCATAGCTCGGATCTATGCTTCAAGTTCAAGATTATAATTAGCAGTCTACTGGGGACCTGCATAGTCGACAGAGTGGCAATCTCCATTCTTATTACTCCATAGATCCACGAGGCCTAGCCACAAATTCACGATACTCACCTGCAACTATGTCAGAAGCGCCAGGGAGTTTCCGAGGAGTATGAACAACTTCCTGGGCCGCCTGGTTCCGCTCAACGGTCCCTGTCGGCCGAGTCTGTAGCGGTTGTTGAACATGCCCAGGCTCGTATAGTTTTTTAGCGCCGGCAGATCAGCCAAGCAAGGCAGTGATCCTCGAAACAAAACATTCGCTTCACAGCCCCGACTTAAAGAGCCGCGTGAGAGATCGGAGACCCAGCCTGGAATACGAAATTTAGGTTCTCACGGCTGCCGGCAAAAGCCCAACGTGACATTGGACCCTGGTATCGCTTGACTTCTCCCCACATCGCCAATTTCCCAATGACGTGGGTTCGTCATGTGTTGCATCGCCAATGGGGTGAATTGAATCTCTATTTGCCGTCTCTAATATAAATACCAATGCACATCCGGCGAAATCTAGTTTCAGTAATTACCTTCAACAAGAATCCCGAGATCCAGTCGACACGCCCTTAAGAAAAATATCATTACCTTGTTAGCCTCGTAGTCGATCCTCAATTTGTCAAAATGCATTTCGTCAGTGTTGCAGCAACCTTCTTCGCCGGTCTTGCCGCTGCTGTTCCGGCACCGCAGAGTACTGGCGCTCCTGAGCCAGCTACGTATGAGAACATCGATATCGCCGAGTTTACGGTCCGCGAGAACGCCGACGGTTCTCTGATGGCCACGAGCTTCTTGTTAAGCGGCGAAGCTGCCGCAAACCTTACCTGCTCCGCCTCCGATCCAAGCCTTCCTTCCGAGGTATATATCTGTGGTGACAGCAAGTATCGATTCGCTCTGGTGCCAGGAAGCGAGTATAAATATGGGCTACGCATCTACCACGAGCTGGGCACTGCGTACGTTCATTTTCCTCAAAGCAAGCCGAATTTTCTGACATCCGCTAATCCTTGTTGGACAGTGTCGGGTTCTATGGCGAGGGCGATGTCTTCACCTACTGCCACGCTGGCGGTCTAGATACGATGACCTGCAACCAAATATATCCTACCACCATTGTGATCGACTCTCAATGAAATAACTCATCCTCAAGCTTGTACAAATTGTCCATTACTACACAATGTACATAAAAACATAGAATCTGCATAGGGTCCTTAGCACCGAATATCATTACTACATATTCTCTGAACAACCGCTTTACGCAGTGAACTAGCTAGGTAACATTGCCATGTGTCCAAACGGCTTGCTCCTGAAATCTGTCGTGACAGAAGTGCAAGAGACATAAATGACTGTATGTCTTGATATTTTCAAGCACGCAAATAGTAGGAGTATAAAAATAGGCATATTCATTCCATCTCTCGCTCACGATATTTACATCTCTAGATCCCTGCCCTTGACCCATGAGTCCATTCCATTGATGCAGAGCTTAACAAGAGCCCGTATATACCATCACCGCTCTTGTAATCCAAGAGCTAGCCTTAGCAGTTATGCGACTCGATTCTAAGCAAGTAACATGCTTCCAAGAACCATCAGGCCCGCGATGTATGCTCCCAAAGTCACAGATCCTGCTCCCATCGGGACTGTGGTGGTGGCTGCATTCGGCGTGGTTGATGGCGAAGAGGTCTGATCCTGGCTGGTCTGTTCACTGCTGGTTGATGATGATGTTTGTGTTGCCGTTGAACCCTGAGTAGCAGCTCCAACACCTGTCGAGATGGTGGTGGTCAGTTGACTAGCAGCGGTGGGCCTTGTGGCGACTACCGTGATGGACTGCGCCGCTGTCGATGCGGACGACGCATACGATGTGCTGGAGAAGCCACAAGTCCTCATGACCGAACGGATATCTGCAATATCCTTAGTCTCTTTCCTCACACATATTAGCTATAATACAGACCTTCGTAGCCGTCTTCCCAGTCGTCTCCAGATCTATTCTGATCCATGCAGCTGGCACAGAGCCCTGCAATACCCGCCACATCGAAGCTGTCATTAGTGCAGATGCACTGGGCTTCCAGGAGCTTTTCCGTTCGATCATCATCAACCTGTTCATCTCGCACATTGCAGGTCTGGGTAAGATCCACCAGTGGCTGACAAATGGCAGAGCAGGCAGACGAGATGTCTTCGCTATCAATGTCGAGGCCGGCGCTCACAAGAGCTGGGTTAAAGCCAGCGAGCATCAATGCAATGGAGGTGAAATACATGGTGTTTGTTGGCGAGCGTTAGGACTGTATATTGTGTTGCAGCTGTCTTCGATCGATGGTGAATGAGGTGCTCATGAAGTCCTTCAAGTGAAGCCAAAACAAACTTTTTATAGCTTTCGACCGGCAGGCGCTGCCTATCTTTAGAATTCCGATCGTACGCATCTTACCACGCTTTAGGTCAGCCAAGCTTCTGCCAATTCATCATGATCCGCACTATTCGATGCCGGGCACCGATGATCGCCATTTTAAACCCGGGCCCCTCGGCATTGGCCGTGGACATTTTTGAATGATTTCTGCCAAGAGCTAACAACAGGTAAACATGTGGATATCATATGTAGGCAGCGAGAGAAGACGCGCGGTTCACAATGTAATAAGATCCAGAGTATACGCCCGTTTTCCCAAAATAATCCGGCTGTGACCAGCCCGGCAACGGCGCGGCGTGGGTTGGCGAATACCGAAAGATGCGGGGGCATTTCACGCCAAGGCCTCGAGCCACCGGTCCTGCTTTCTTGGCGACTGCCTCCGTACAATCATGCAGCTTCCGTTCGTGGCTGAGCCTAGTTGCACACGTATACTCTTCGAAACACCTTTAGAGATGATTGGGCGGTGAGCATGATCTGCTATCAGATTTACGTGCGCTCACAGAAGTTTCAGCTGTAGATGCACCTCCTCCCTATCAACCACTCCTACGCTGGTGACAGCCCACAATTCCACTTATTCCAGAAAACTAGAAAATCTCATGACATCAAGTAGTGTAAACTCTGGGAGGGAACCCATCCCGACAAGAACACATCTACACTATTACCTCTCCGCTAGGACAACAAATGTTAGTTCCCCAAAGGGTATCATTAACCTCTTGACGAGGGGTTACTACGTTTCCAGTTGTTAATGGGGCTATGATATTCAACAAAACCCTCCAGACTCTATCGACTATCATCACTTTTATCATGTGATACTCTGTCCTTGCGGAGATACTATTTCTTTCTGTGCCCTCCAGGAGGAGTAGTATTTAGTCGTCGGAATTCATTCCCTTGGTCGGCCTAATGGCTTCACACGTGTCCTAGCTTACTTGATACGATTGTCTAGTTCGTTGACAACTGGGGATCTCTTGTGAACAGCTTGCGTATATCATTCTCAACACGTGGTATGTAAGTCATGAAGCGGTCAAAAGGGACGAGAAGAGCTATAAGCTAAGAAAATCTTATGCGTGCTGCTGGAGAAGGCTTCATGGATTGAATTATCTGAATGTAGGCCATTGTCAAGATAACTTCATTGAAATAGAGTCATCACAATATGCTGCCTTGGATGGAATCTGTGATAGAATTTAAGTATTAATTCATACTCTTCCTACGTTGGCGTTTCGATTCTAAGGTCGTACTAAAACAAGTCGCGGTGTGGCTAATCTTTGTTGATATCATGGCGGCCGAGTTTCCTTGAGTTTTCGTCGCTGTCACCAGCCATTCAGAGCCGTAAGACTGGAACAACACATCACACAATAGCAAGAATCTTGTCCATCAAACTATGTTAGATGAGAATGGTTAATCTGATGATATCTTTAAAGCAGAAAAGGCTCCCATTGATGTATATTGTCCTTGACATATCCTTAGGAGATGACTGGATCGCTTTATATTGATTCGGCTGAGTAAAGAAGTTTGCCATCAATCAAGAAGAGATGTTGCGCTAGATCTGTATGATTCGACGGCACCCAGGACCGAATCACCGGTGAAGCGGAACAGAAAAGGAGTTCTAGCAAAAAGATATCTGAGCGATCTAAAGCGCCGAAATACCCGGTTGAATGTTGGAAACTACAGGAGCCTGTCTATCCATACATGCATGCCTACTTGTAAGGCTGGCGCACAACTTTCTGTCGAAGGCAGCGTTTCGCTTTGTATCTCTTGTCAACTTGAAACTACAAGCGGATCAGCAGTTGTACGTGGCCATCTATATTAGCCGGCTCGGCGCCTAGCCATGCTGACAGGTACGCCAATTGCAAAGAAAACCAAGCGTGATCTGCGACATGTTTTGCTATAATTGTCCTCTTCAATTGCCTCCGCATTGCTCGGCGCCAAGTTGAACAAATTGACTTAAGGGTTTCCAAGACAGCATATGGTGACTAGTCAGAATGCTTCATGACGTTAGATGCTTAACCAGGTCCGCAATGAAGCGCGGATTGGGGAAAAGTTGTTGTGACCTCCGACTTGGAAATTTGTGTTCTTAAGCAATTTAACGGAATGTAAACACCTTCGTCTAGTCCGCCGAGCCCCGTACCCGGTTCTAGAAGATGAGTTCCCAAGATCTAATTCAATTGATGTGAATCAATAAGAATCCATGTCTCGGAGTATGCCGGTCCTATTAATTGTGGATACTGCGACCTTGTGAAGAGGATTTCAAGATGATGTTGGCTTCTCTGAAGTTCCTGACTTCCGCAAACAGCCAAAACCGCCAAGAAAGCTCAATATGATTGCCATTTTCCAAGACCTTGGAGATGGATTATGGAACCCGAGATTCCGCTCAGATTTTGGAATCTTCCTGAATATGTGTTGTGGAAAATGTTGATAAGAAGATCGAATCGCAATGACTCTTAGGTGTGGCATCATATCTGATTGCATAGCATTATCCTTCATTATACCTTCCAGTCCTTGTTGAAGACTATCTGCTCAATATGTATCAAAAGGTCGGGACCGTCTTGACGGCTTTGCTAACTTCGGTTGTAGCCCAACAAGTTGGCACGAACGACGCAGAGACGCATCCAAGCCTTACCTGGCAGCGTTGCACCGCGCCAGGAAGTTGCTCTAATGTGAACGGACAGATAGTCATCGATTCAAATTGGCGCTGGACTCACGTTGTAGGTGGCTACAATAATTGCTACGATGGCAACACCTGGTAGGCGACCTTTGAGGTTTCCTTGTGGTTCAACTGCCCGTTTGAAAGATGTTTCGAACGGATCCATGTTCAAAAATGATTTCTATCTTTAAAAGAGCTCCTTGAAGCATCTTACCAAGGCATAATCAACAAAGAGATCGCTGACTTTACTAGGAACACCACTGCATGCCCTGATGGCGACACATGTGCAAAGAACTGTGCTGTTGAAGGAGCCAACTATTCTGGGACTTACGGAGTTACTACATCTGGCAATGCTGTTACCATGAAGTTTCGCACCGATCATAGTTATGGAACCAATATTGGCTCGCGCCTGTACCTGCTAGCCAGCGACTCTAAATACGAAATGTTCACTATGAACGGCAACGAAATCGCATTTGATGTCGAGAACGCCCAGCTCGGCTGTGGTCTAAATGGTGCTGTGTACTTTGTATCCATGGACGAGGACGGCGGCATGGCCAAGTACTCTAACAACAAAGCTGGTGCGAAATATGGCACTGGGTACTGCGATTCACAGTGTGCTCGAGACTTGAAATGGATAGGTGGCAAGGTAAGTATAACTCCGCCCCCTTTCACTAACCCGACTCTACTCTGTGACTTGAGATTCTAATATCTGCCAATAGGGAAATGTTGAGGGCTGGTCGCCTTCGGATATGGATGAGAACACCGGAATCGGTGATATGGGTGCATGCTGCGCAGAGATGGACCTGTGGGAGGCAAACAGCATGTCTTTTGCATTGACACCTCATCCTTGCGAGACTAACGAGTATTTCATCTGCGAGACCACTAATTGCGGCGGTACATATAGCGAAGAACGTTATTCCGGATCGTGCGACCCCGATGGATGTGATCTTAATCGTTGAGTACGCCCTCATCCATCTTTTGGCCCGGCTGACCCTCTCTTTTGCAGCATATCGGCACGGTAACACGGACTTCTATGGCAAAGGGAAGACCGTTGATACTAGCCGGAAGTTCACTGTTGTCACGCAATTCCATGGTTCAGGCAGCACCCTGGAGCGTCTGAGCCAATACTTTATTCAAGACGGCAACAAAATTCCCGTTCCTGAATCCCAATATGTCAGTGGAGGAAGCGAGATTGATGCGGCGTTCTGTGATGCTGCTAAGGATGCTTTCGGTGACAGCCAGAAGTTCCAGGAGATGGGTGGTCTGCCGCAAATGGGGGACGCCACAGGCAAAGGGATGGTCCTGGTTATGAGTGTGTGGGATGATGTAAGATTCATTGTTCTACTCGGCTTGAAAGTTCTTTTACTAAACTACTATAAAGGGATATGCCAACATGTTGTGGCTTGACGGCGAGCGGTATCCTTTGGATCGTGACCCGTCCGAGCCCGGAGTAGCCCGAGGCGAATGCCCAACAGAGGGCAGCGAGCCCGCGACCGTTCGCGAGTCTCAACGAAATGCTCAGGTCACATACTCTAATTTCAAATACGGTTAGGAGACCCAGTAACGGATTCTTGTAACGTCTAGCTGATAATACTTCACAGGACCTATTGGCTCAACCTATTAAAGAGTGCGTTTGAAATATGTTTGGTGTTTAGTCAAGTTAGCTTCATCCTCAAGATGTTCGTAGACTTTATCAAAATTTGATGACTCCAATTCACACATTTGAAGAGCTTTTCAAACTGGGCTGAGCAGGTTTTGGCACGAATGCTATCTCGAACTGTTTCCAACAAACCCGCAAAAACCCGCACGTCTTTTTGCAGATTAGCTCCACGCGTTATTCACTCCGTATGACGATGATACTTTTCAACATGTTCTCTGTCATTGGCTGACGTGAATTGGTGGCTGTGTCCAGTAAGAAATCCAACGTAATTAGACCTCCGTCGTGGACGGAATTACCCAAACCGACGTGCACAGATTTAATACGGATGAAAATCACTAGGTTATGGTTAATGTATGCTATGGCTAAGATCCAGTTGCTGACAGCTATTTCCACGCAGCGTCCTCCATGTCCGCGAGTTCTCACGTCATTCTCATTGGTTACACGACCACACTAATAGTCCTACATTTATAGGATTTGTGTGATAATCACAGCCACTAAATAGGTACTTCAGTAGTCGTGGAGAGGCATGTGCCCCTCATTGCGCCGCATACATACTTCACTTGCGTGTAACGATCGCTCTACTATGAATCTGTTAAATGGTATATAAGCCCGAGAGCTTACACTCAAGACTACTTCGACCAAGAACTGCTTTATAATACCTTGACACACCATTTACCTACTAGAATTGGATTGCGTGAAGGCAAACAAAAATAATGCGAACATGGCAAGACTAGCTTCGAGTATAGCCACTAGAGCTGCGAAGAAGCGGGCAAGGCCGTCTTTATCTCACTCTAAATCGCCGTCTCCACGACACGCTGCGGTGAAACCTCTGATTTCCCTACAGGCCTTTATTTCAAATTTCTTCTATCTTGTTGTTGTACAAGATGACGACAAAATATTTGAAACGACATATGACAAGACCGAAGCTCCCAAGATCACCGAAACGTAAGCTTCGTACTTTTGGAGTTTCAATACGCAAGACATGCTCACACGATTCCAGCGGTAACGGAGAAGACTTTGACAGAGCCTCTTTCAAGGAATTCATTGCGGATTTCCGTGCAACAGTAATCGATAGACAGCTTATCAACCAATCATTTGTTGTTGTTCCAGAGGACGCAGAAGGGAAGGCTGGAAGTGTCGCACATATTTTGGAAATGTCAGGAATTCAACAGGGCAAAAACATCACGATAAAAATTGTTGCAGTACTGAATATTATATTCGACCAAAAGACTAATAGTCGATTAATCAAAATGGAGAGCTTTGTTTTAGGAATTGACGAGAATTAAATGACGTTACAGCCTTCACTTAATAGACCTTTCTAGCCAGAGAATAGAGCGCAATGCCTCAAGTATTATTAGAACTACAAGGCTTGGAGTTAACTTGTTATCAGAGGTCATGCTAAAACGCATCAAAATCTGGGCCAACTTTTGGACTGAGGAAACCTATCAGCCGAGGCATGCTCAAAAATGACTGGAATTGGCCGGTGCTCAAATGTAACCCCGTACATTTGGCGGCTTAATTCTGAAAATGCGTTTCCCATCTACTCCCCCTCATTCATCCTGCCAAACCATTCCAAAGATTCGCAGCTGAGATGTCTAGCTCAGAAGTACACAGTGATCAATGGCCGCCGCGACTGCACAACGACGTGTATCCATTTATTCACCCCTTGAAGTTCAGAGGTTCATTGCAAGGAAAGGTCACTATTATCACGGGTAATCTAATTTCGCAATCTCACTCGAAATTTAGCTGATACCAGGTTAGGTTCCGTGGGAACGATTGGACGGGCACTCGCTGAATGCTTCGCCGTTGCAGGAGCAAAGTTAGTACTCACATACAATCGTACTGAGCCGTCAGCAAACCTGAAAGACCGCTGTACAAAACTTGGCGCAAGTGCCATTAGTTTCGTGAAATGCGATGTATCGGATCTAGAGAGTTGCTCGAGTTTGGTGGATGAAGTACATACATTATTTCTGTGGCTGATGATGCCAATTGCTAATGTTATGTGTTAGACCGTGAAAACACTGGGTAGACTAGACATAGTGGTTTCCAACGCGGGAGCAAATTCATTGATACCTGTGAGTACTTGATACCACAACCCTTCGCGAACCCGTCTACAAATGCTGATGCCCAACGCAGCTCCACTCACAGGATCCTCGAGAGTTTATTCAGCAACTAGCAGTGAATCTTCATGGCCCGTATTACTTAATGAGGTTTGCAATGCCTTTTTTTCGGAAGCAAGCCAGTGGCTGCATCATCAACATAGCCTCTAGAGCCGGTACGGTCGATATCCCATTTAGTACTAGTTATTGCTCTAGTAAAGCGGCTCTGATCAATCTCACTGCATGCACTCAAAAGGAATGCGACGTTGAAGGCTACAACGACATTAATCTCTATTCACTTCACCCAGGCGGGGTCTTGTCAGAGATGACTGTTCAGAGTACTAATATTCCAATCTGAACACTTCAGCTCTTTTACTGATTCTGCGACCAGAGTATTCAGAAAAGTCACTCGAGAATCTTCCCTCTCACGCTGCACGTGGGTATTCACGCCATCTTGACATTTATACAGACTCGCCATATCTGAATGGTATGGTCTCAGTGGCATTGGCTACCGGATTGGCAAAAGATGCACTCAGAGGTAAATATTTTGATGTAGGACAGGATCTGGAAGAAGTTGTCGCTCAGACTTCCGCAATAAGGAGTAACTCGGACTTATACTCGTTGCACACTACATTTCTGGGTGGTCTTGCGAATGATGGGGGTCCACCAGATAGAGTAAGAGATGCACCCTTCAATTTCCCAGGTTTCTAGTCTATTCTAGATGGCGATCAATGATACAATTAAGTCTCAGGTTTGCTGTCAAGTCGTTTTGCGTATGGTACGTCATATTCTTCTTCCAAACGGTTGTTGAAGCAGTAAAATTTTGCAAAGACTTGATGACTGTTATTTCCGCCCCGTTGTTTCTGATAGTAACATCTTGAAGAAGCCCGGAGAATTAATGACGGCTTTTATCGTGAGGTTTTTACTTATAACCTGGGGTTCAATCGCACATTAGTCAATTGCGTATTGCAAAATAGCGACATCTCGCAGTAGCAATATCATTAAGCAGTGACCGCTTATTCAGATGTGCCCCTCATTGTCCACGTAACGATATCCTTAAGGACCAGTTGGGAAGGTGGGAGCAACCCTGTTGGGATCGGCATTGGACATATATAACCCATGATTTAAGGAACGAAGCGGCACATCTGCAGATTAGAGTTCATCAATGTAACCTACCGTACATAGACGAAGTGTGTCGATCGCGCAAGGATGGATATAAAAAGACAAGCTTCCCCACCTCCGTGAAATGATTTATTTGCAGACCTAAATCTGTCCAGCATTGTTTGGAGCAATGTTTGTCAAGCTGACATTGTGGCTAGCTGCAGCCACGCTGGCAACGAGCCAGCAAACAGGAGTGCACACAGATTGGCCGCGTTGGTGCGGCAAGGTCTATGAAGCAGGGTTTGGTATATGTCAAGTGCCGTAAAAGCGAAGAGGCTAATTTAGACTCAGCTATCCATCTTTCGATCCCACCGGTCAAACATTACCGCCGACTCCAGTTTCGGGACCGCCTCTGCTTCACGTCCAATTCAAACCTCGCTACAGTGTGTACTTAGAAAGTGATACGGTAGGGGAATTTGTTGTCAATGCGCCGTTTTCTCAATTTCACGGCGTCTCATGGCCTACCAATTCCACGACTGCGGCAAGATACATATTCAGTATCAACTTGACATACAATGACCAGCCATTAGTCGAAAGCTCTGTTGGCGTCAATACAACAAACAATGTATTTGCTTTCAATCTTTCTCAAATCATACCACGTCTGGAGCCTTACGAAGTGGTGATATATGGAGGATCGGAAGGTGGCGAGGCAACTGCCTCCTCCACAGCTGAATTATACTATCTTCCAGAGAAAACCAATGGTAGTGTAACTAAGATTGATAACATAAGTGGCGGTCTGTACTTCAGAAATCCGGCTTCTAACAATGTCTTTGAACCTCTTTTATCTTATGGTTTTTTTGCCTCGTATGACGGATTCCTCGGAGAAAATGACACGACTGTCATTCAACACTACGCAGACCTAGGGTTAAACGCGATGACGCCATTGACTCAATTCCCAGATGGCACGGCGGCTTTGAACTACATGGACCAGATCAATCTCAAGTGGATGTATGACCTGCGGGAGGGATACAAAAATCTTACTTGGGTTGAAGAGAAGGTGCTTCCCGCTAGGAACCACAACGGATTATACGCATATTGGCTTTCTGACGAGTTAGTTTTCTTCAAATTAACGCTTCACACAATGAACCCTAAGGTGAATTAGACCAGATGGTTGGCAGGATCCTTTCAACGCAACAGTCGTTGGTGCCAAACTCCTGAAACAACTTGATCCTTATCACCCGGTTGCGGTCGTTCTGAACTGTCAGAACTATTACTTCGGCGAGTACACTGTAGCTGCTGATATCATAATGGAGGTGAGTAAAGACCATGTTATAGGTTGAGCTGATTGTATTAACAATGCACAGGATGTCTACCCCATAGGGATCAACTCGACATTTTCCAAATGGGGAACAGTAGTAAGCAAGAATTATTTCCTTATTACGCAGATACATTCAAGCAAGGAGGCTGCTCGCCGATTGACAGGCTTCAGCAAGACGCCATCTCTCTTCGATTGATGGGCTAGCTGACCTAAAGATGCAGTGTAACACGACGTTAGGGGATTGTGGGTGCGATAATTGCCAAGGCATTGTTCAGGATGTTTCAAATCGCCTAGACGATCTCGCGAAATACGAAGCATACCTGGGTTTATGGCCAAAGACAAAGATGCACTGTCCTCAAAGCTTTCATGGCGAGAATTATTGGTTTCGGGACCCTACAGTAGACGAAGAATTTGTCATGAATACTCTTGCATTCAACCACGGCGCGAAGTCCATCGTTTCCTGGGTATATCCGGCAAGTGACAGCCTCTCAGAAGCGCATGGGGCTCTCTCGCGGGTTGTTACCCAATCACCGGTCGTGGAATTTCTTGTTGGAGCAAAATTTCAGAAGATTGACGTAGAACTGTCGGACTATGAGGTTGTAGATGCCTCATCTTGGGTTGTGGGGGATCAGATGTTGGTCTGCATTGTCAATGGCGGCTATGTCGATATTGAAGAACCTATCAGTGTTCCAGTCGAAAATGCCACTTTGATAGCATCAGTGCCATGGGGAAATGTTAGTTGGGAGCTCATTGATGAGGAGCTTCATGCGCCATCACTGTCTGCACTAGCCACAAGCATCCTCATACTGAACCTGTCATCAGGCTACGATCGAGTGTTCAGCGAGCATTAATTGATGTTTAAATCTGGAGGCTCTAATTCAGCTTGTTCATGCCGAATTCGTCGGCTTGCAAATTGTATGAGCACATTATAAACACCTAAATGTTGTTGTCGAGTTTACTGGTTTTGAGAGTTGGGTTCTCCATATTCGCCAGCACAACACCATATCCATCTGGGTCGAAGAACGTCTTGCCATGGTGGTCCCAGTACGGGTTGAAACTTGCGGCTGTGTGGAAGCCACAATCTTCCATGCGCTGGATGGCTGCTTTGAAATCATGATTTTCCGGCAGATAGAAGACAAGCAAGTTGTCTTGAGTTGGAGCCTTCCCAACTCTGTGCTCATGGCATCGAGTAAACTCAATATGATAGGAAGCGTCTTCGAGGCCCAGCATCACACCATCAAATCCATCGTGATTTTTGAACTCTCCCAAAATCCTAAAACCCAGACCGTCGCGATAAAACGGCAGCAATGCATCAATATCATCAGTTGGGCGAGCGACTCGTAGGTGGGCACCAGAAATTGCAGTCGAGAGAGCCATGAAAGGTTTGTAAAGGCCTATTTTGGCCTTGCTTGACACAGTGGAAAGATGAAGGCTTCTGAGGCAAAGTCGATAAGGGAAGACTGGCGGGATAACTTCCCAGGTCAACTATGCGGGGAAGCGATATCGGGCTGGAAGGCTTTGTCTTCCACACAGATTTGCATCGCTGTCGGCACGTAAGGGCCCTAGACATGTCACGTAAATTAACAGAATTCGATAGTCAAGATTCCGTTCGGAAATGGCCTAATCCATCTGTCTGTCTGATTTACAATAGTCACCACCCTGGCATCTCCTACAAGATCCGGGACAACCGCACAAAATCCTTGTAAAACAGAGCAGGCATCCAAGCTTCACGAGAACTCTTCAATCTTCCTCCTTTACATGAATCAACTTTATGCAGTCTCTTGACGACTCTCCACGAGCTCCAGGCTTGGCTTCAACTTCTCCTCAATTGCAACTTGTTCCTGGGCAAGGACGGCATCCTCGACCAGAACAACTTTGTCACCAAAAGCTGCAGCAATCTCCTCCAATGTCTTGCCCTTTGTCTCGCTGTAGATTGATTGTAAGCACTGAAACTGTCAAAATAAACCATTGCGCGTCAACATACGGAAAGTAGAAGTATGCTACGACTAGGAAGAAAGCCGTACAACCAACAAAAACATAGTAATAGTTTTCACGAATGTTAGCAAATGCGCTTGGGCCGGCCTCGGTGACTACGTGCTTCTATTAATATGAGGACTCAATATTCTCCAGCGGAAGCAAACTTACTGCCGACATTCACAATGAAGTGAGAAGCCGAGGCAATACCCATGACTTTGCTTCGAAGTGACATGGGGAGAACCTCGGCACCGTACAACCAGGTCGTGCTCCCTAGCATACCGTCTAGAGGATTGTTAGAATTGCCTGGCCAAAACAGATATTGAAAAGCAACCTACAGTAGGTGAGACAGAACAAATAGATTCCCAACACAGCAAAGCCCTTTCCAACCCTGTTATTCGAGTTCTGGAACTCTTTTTGCATAATTGCAGCATATATCTCGATGACGATTATCCCTGCCATTCCTGTCAAAAGCATCCTATTCATCTTATATTAGTCCCTGCTTTCAACTCAACAAATTCACTGGGGGAGGGGTGAAGTACTTCCGGCGACCCCATTGGTCAGTGAGATACTTGGTTGTCACAGCGTTGATCAGAAAAGAGATTGTGCCATAAACGCCGGCCAAGACGAGAATCGTCTTCGGACTCATGCCGAGAGATTTATAAAGAATGGCTAGATCAATTAAGTAGGTCGAACAAGGAATGCATAGCGGATATTGACGAACTCTGGTAGTACTGGATCACATTCACGCCCGTAAGGCTGGTAAATGTCTGGACAGCGATAGATCTATGTGACTATTAGAGGGTCCTGCGTTTCACTAGAAAGCGGGCACTTACACTAAAGCGCGATGGCGGAAGAGCTTGAATGTCTCTCGATACGTTTTGATTTCGCGCTCCAATTCGAATTCAATCTGCGAACGCATGAGAGCAAATTCCTCTTGTATCTCGTGTGACTGAAGATCGCGGCGAATCTTAATAAACTCTCGCCTCGCTTCATCCACTTTGCCCTTCCATATGAGCTGACGTGGCGAGTTTGGCATGAAGGTAGCTAGTCCGGCGAACAAAATGATGCCCCATGGAATTTGGATCCCGAGCGGAAGCCGCCATTGCAAAGCACCGTACGGAGCGTAGGAGCATGCGAAGCCGATCCAATTACTGGCCATAATACCAAAAGTGATACCGCATCCGGAGATACCGCCAATAAGGCCACGATGTTTCGGAGAGGATATTTCGCTAAGATAGACTGGAACCGTCGAGACCAATCCGCTAGCAGACATCAATTGATATTCAGTGGCGAAGTCGACATGACGGATGGACTCACCCTACAGCCATTCCAGCGAGGAACCGGCCAGCAAGGAACATGCCAATGTTGACAGAAGCAGTTTGTACCACAGCACCAACAGTGACTATAATGCATAGCAACTGCATAAAACGAATTCGTCCAAGCTGGTCACCCAATGCCGTCTGCACTAGAGCTCCAACAGCCTCTCCCGCAATATAGACAGCGACGACCTGTGTGGATTTAGAGGCAAAGCAAGCAGACGGCCCGGAAGATGACTTACAGCCCCCGTAAGCCCCGTCGATGGATGGTCCATATAGTCGATCCAACTCTCATGAGCAATGGCTACAATGTCCATTAGCAGAGCGGCTTCATACATCAATGTTGATTGGCTGACTTGTTGTGGCAATACCAGTATCGAAACCCTGATTCTATGATTTAGCATCATATTTGTTTTGACAAGTTGGTGAACTAACAAATAAGAAGGTACCGATAGCAGCAAATATGGCAATTCCAAAGGTGTAGTGGCTCCCCATCATGGCGACTTGACCTAAGAACCGGGCTCAATAGTGTTCATACAGATGAAAGTTCGAATAAGACGAGATCAGCACTTATCAGGATTGGAGAAGAAAGACAGACGCGATGCCTGGAAGCTTTGGGGGTAAGCACACAGATAAAAGATGTGCCTGGGTTCGATCTCTATTTTGCTTTACTCGGCTATGGACTCCCCACCCATCGAGACACGGATCCACGGCTCTAACTGTCACGCTTGTATCTTGTATCTTGACTAGGTGTGTAAACAGGCGCATGCTATTAGTCCACTCCTGAGACACGCACAATGTCTTGAACACACAGCCTATGGAGCGGTGGAGGTGCTCCCCGCACTGGCAATGTCGTTCTGTGGGGTTGTGAAGCCCCCGCGGGGCGCCGTTCTTCCAAGGACGGGAGGCTCTCCGGGGTGGAAGTGCCAACATCATCGGCTCGGCTACGCTAATCGCAACAGCGATCGGCTACCCTAGCATCCATGCATCCGGGGTTCACATGGCAGGCTCCGGAGCGACAAAACTTTCTCGTTTAGTACTCCTCTGCCAGGCATTAAGAAGATAAAGATATCAGTGAATAGTTTTTAAAGGTTCAATTTATTACTATAGCTTCGCCAACTTTTATAAAGGTGACAATTCCTCGTTGACGAGGGGATGATCTTCCTGCTGAACTGATATGTACTACCGTGGGGGAAGTCTAGAGTGATAGCTCTTCGTCTTCGCGAGACTATACGTTTGATAAATCAGATGGGTATTAACCAAACGATGTCGAAGGTTGATTTGTGCATCTTCTCCAGTCATATCGTGTGTTTTGCTACCATGCGGCTCTCCGACAAAATCCGGCGAAGTCGAATCAGTCCTGAGTTATGGCGCTCGGCTGGTCTTAGGATGAAGAGGATTAGCGCTACCGAGAATGCAGATCGCATCCTATATATGCCCAATCTTACTGGCCTTTCAAGCCACTGATAGCCTGTGCCAAGAATCAATGCGTCAGTAACATCGACTAGGGCATCGACATCGCTCCTCTGAACGATTCGAGTGGGTTAGAACCCCGGAGTCGCAACCAGGTTGGACAGCGATGGTACACCTAAAGCGAAGGTGTTTTCGGGCCAAGTTCGCGAGGTAACATCCAGCACTGGCACTCAGAATTTGTAGGCGCGGAAAATAGAACCGGGCTACTCAATATCAAAACAGCGCTTCATCCTGGTCTCATACTGGAAACGTACGTTGTCAAGGTTGGGCGTAAACTAAGTTGGCACGTCACAACCCCCTACGGTATATCATATCTCCACCGAGAGCACACATGCACACTTTTGCAAGTGCAGCACGTCACGTTCATTATGAAATTGCTCTATCCAACGTCGATAAAGCTTGACATCGAGAGCCTCGTAGGCTTTTCTGTATCTCTCCACCCATACGATGTTAAGGTACCCATTCCAGAGGAGCTCATTGATGCCGAGATTATCATCACCTGGATCAATAGTAAAGAAAACCTGAGAGATGCTTCAATACGTATGAAGAATCTACGATGGATACAAGCCCTTGCGGCTGGTCCGAATGATGTTTTGGAGGCTGGCTTCGACAGGTCTAGAATCATCATCACCACCGGATCTGGTTTGCATGACGATACGGTTGCCGAGCACACAATGGGTATGTTGCTCTCGGGTGTCCGACGGTTTTATGAGATGTATGAGCATCAGCTCCAGTCAAAATGGCCTGGGCACCTCGGCGGTGCCTACCCAGACCGGCCGTTCACCACACTGCGCAACTCTCGGGTGCTCATCTGGGGGTTTGGTAGCATTGCAAAGACTCTCATCCCGTACCTCACAGCATTCGGGGCCCAAGTGCGAGGCATAGCTCGAAGTCCCGGGGTGCGCAATGGCGTCGAGGTCTTCGGTGAGGATAAAGTCCCAGATCTCCTTTCGGAGACGGATGCTCTTATCATGATTTTGCCGGGTTCCGAGACGACGCGCAATGCGCTGAATGCTGAGCGCCTCAGGATGCTCCCAAGACACGCATGGGTCATCAACGTAGGGCGAGGTACCTCGGTCGATGACGACGCTTTGGTAGATGCTTTAGAAAAGGGCGAAATTGGAGGCGCCGCGCTTGATGTTTTTGTGGAGGAGCCGCTTCCTGCATCGAGTCGATTATGGAAAGCCCCGAATCTCATCATTTCACCCCACGCAGCCGGTGGAAGGCCCGAGGGATGCACTGATTTCATTGCGGAGAATTTAAGACGCTTCCTGGCATCGAGACCGCTAAAGAATGTAATATGAGGGATTATTGAGAGCACTGGGACCAGAAAGGAAGATTAGGAGTTGCGATAGATGGGAGTTTATTGCCTGATCATCTTTATCGGGAAGGTTAGACACATAGAAAGTGACAATGCGTAGTGACCATGGGCTTATCCTAATGATACCTAAGGCAGTTTGTAATCCCCATATGAGATGCTGTCTATAAACTCAGGTGACTTGAAAACGCCTGTTCCTGGAGCGCCGCAAGGTACATTAAAACGCGATACCGAAATCGTAAAGAAAGCATATCAACGTGTTCACGTGCGAATCCACTGCTTCAAATTATTCACGGCTTACAAAGACCATGGGCGTGTTGAAATATTCGCCTAAAGTTGCTTCAGATGGTCTGGTTGTTAATGTATATATATTCATCTAATGCATGGGTATCATGATGTCGACGTTGTGTCTGGAATAATGCCTGGCAGTTCCGAACCTTCAGTCTGCTCTTGCTCTTGCTCTTTCTCAGCATCCTGTTTGCGCTTGCCTTCCGACTTCTTCTTTGACTGCATTCTCTCACGCTTTTCCTGCTTGCGTGCTTCTTTCGACACGTTGCCAATGACTTTGCTCTCTTTTCCGCAGGGCCATTTGGTAAAAGCAGCGGCCTCGTCTTCTTCCGTCCACTCACGAGGGAGCACGGCAAAGACCAGATATGACGTGTGCTCCTTGATCTCCGGCTCGGTACGGGTGATAAGTTTTCCCTCCATCCATGGCTTCACCTTGCTTTCCTTTGGCGTTCCATTTTCCGGTGTAGGCGCGCTCGGGTCCGTTTTGCCGGTCTCGCCCTGTCCATCAACAGTCATGTTGACATCGGCATCCTCCTCGCCAGTCGCCCAGAGCTTCTTCTGGTGCTCCTGGAAGCGCACCTCGATATCCTTGAGTTTTGCCACTGCCTCGGCGACATCATGCGGGGATTGTTGCATTGCTCTGTCCTGCTGGAAGTTCAGTCCAATCTTCTCTCGAAACACTTGGATGCGCTTGTTATTGATCTCCACCATCTCAATGTCCACCCATCCAAGCCTTCGCAGTTCAGAGACAGTCTGTGTGACTTGTTCAATGCAGGGTGAGAATGTGCAAATGTAGACACTCTTGTGTGGATTGAGAGGGGAGACCCATTGCTCGGGCTCCTTATCACCTGCGGGTTTCGGCTCGTTTGGTTGTGCAACCTTGGGCTTCCGTCTCGATAAATGGGGCAAAGCCAGCCAGGGCGCCGGCAGGTCCAAGAAAACTGCATCCGCTTCGGGGCTCTGCCCGTCAACCGAAAAGCCATCCGCATAGACATCTCTGTGTGTGATCTTGACGACTCGGTCGAGGGCATGATCTCGAATCTCGGTCTGCATCTTCTTGAACCGTTGCTCGTGAAATTCGAAGCTAAAAACCTTGCCATTGTGTTGGTAATCGTGCCAATTGTACCCATTGTACACTGCGCGCATGGCAGCATGGGTGAAGCTTCCACTTCCTGCACCGGCCTCAATCAGAACTGAGCCCGGCCGCGCCCGTATTCTCTGAAGGATATAGCTGTAATCGGGGGTGTAGACCACTTGCGTCCGGTGCGGTAGACTGCTAGTCCAGAGCTCGGGCGTCGGGCGCAACAGGTGGATGAAGCCCGTCTTCGCCGTTGCTGCCTGCTTGGTCTTGTTCGACTTTGTCTGTGGGTCTTTGCTGCTGTCGCCAGCTTCCTCAGCTTCCATCACGGTCGCGGGCTCGTCCGGCGCGTCCTTCGCTCGCTTGTCACCTTGGTCCTCCGTGTCGCGCTTTCGTTTCCTGCCTCGCGAACCAGTGTCGACGACTGATGCGCGCACCTGAGAGCCCCACGGAATGCCGATCAATGTAGAATGAGGAAACGAGCCGAATCTTGTGTTTATGACGTGGCCCTCGGCATAGCCGTCGTGCTCGCCTTGGCTCTCCCTCAGGTAGACGGGAAGTAGGTCGTCCTTGGAGAGCTGGATGATCGCGAGCGTGTCGGCCCGGGTCACGGGGCCTGGGTCCAGGAATGGACAATTTGGTCGAAGCATCTTGTCCTCTGTGGCGACGGAGGATGGCTGCATCGGCGATGATGGGCGCAAATTCCCAAAGGAAGACGCGAAGGTTGGAGAATGCGAGCCAAAATCGAGGGTTTCGAAGAGGCTGCAGCGAGAAAGAAAAATTTTGGGGCAAGGCTGAGGTGGGGTTGGGGCACAATGCATCCAGCCACAGGCGGGGGACTGCCAAGCCAAAGCACTGTGGCGGGAGCTACCCAGGTACCACCAGGCCACAATACCAAGGCAGCAGGAGAAGTCATCTCTTATTTTGGCATCACCTGGAGTGCATGCACAATCCCCATACTCTATAAGACCAGTTGAGCGTTAAGGAGCAAATTTACATTCTTGTCACCTTAGTAACTGTTTCACAAGCCTTATAGAGGGAGATGATGACAACTTGAACGAGCTTCCTCCATAGTGATATCGTGCATGTACCGGCCCGCCTCCTTGAGTTTACATGGCCTTCTCTTTACACTTAGAATTCCTCGGAGCCTCGCTAGGAAAGTATCAGCTCAATGATGCAAAACATAGAATGAAGACAATAGATTACCTTTTATTTCATTCCGAGTTTAATCACCCCTGAACGAGTAAGCACATGCAGAAAAGCAATTTCACCAGCAGTGTATCGTCGCATATCCAACGTTTTCTCCCTCCATCAATTGTGGACTTGCTTGCCACTTGACTCTTCATTTGTGCCTGGAAAACAGAGTGATATGATGCGTGTCAATGAACAGATCTTTACAGGGAGCGCACGCACTGTCGCATCGAATGGGTTTGTTGTTTATTTCGTCTACAAGGGCAACAAATGACTTCTGAGACATGTCAATGTCAGTAAGACAGCACTTTTAATGCAGTGTACAGGCTCGTAGGGCAGCGGCACTCCAGGGATCGGCCTGCCAAGGAACCCAGGGCTGGGGTTAGAGGCCGGTTTGGCCGTCTTGGCGACGCAGAACAAGCTCTGCCAAGCTGCGGGTGAATCCTTGGCAAACCGAGATCTTGGCACCCGCATCTGTGGGCTTGAAGATTTGGGCGAGACCTCGTCCCTAAATCTCCAACGTCACCTCCCCAAGTGCTGCCCTCCACAGGCCGTCCGCCTCCTGTCTCGCCCTCATTTACAAAGGTGTCAATTGGATCTTTGCATGAGTGTCTCTGCGACTTTTCAGATACCGCCGCCTATGCTGGCAATGCTCAATGCGTTAGATGGGAGCATTACGTATTAATGATCCAGTGGGTTATGTAGAAATTTGCAGGGGTCTTTCTCTACTAGATGGCCTTGAATACGTGTAACACTTAGCTGTACCTGGGAAGAATTGCCAACTGCCGCACATCTGTCAACGCCAGCATGGCCGCTTTCGTCTTGCGCAGCCAGCTCCGGCAGTGCTCTTGAAGTAAATTAAGAAGCAACACAATCCAAGATCGAATGCTCCCCCCTTGTGGCGGAGCATAGTGGTCAATTGCATCAAGTGTGCCCCTCACTTCCAGACCCATCCAAGCTGCCCTCATTAGCCCCTCCATGATTGACATGATTAAGTCCCTCAGCCAGGATGAACCGAGGGGCCCGCCTAGCCAAAGAGAGCTCTCGTCTCCTGTGAATGGGAATGGGACGGGGAGCCACGAATCAAACACTGGCCCCTCTGTTCAGAAACCAGGCGGCCACGCAACCTGTGCTACGGCTTGTGATTTGACATCACAAACGGCGTCCACCTGCAGGCGTGCATCAGAAAGCATTCCTGCATCATGCTTGCAAGCTCATCCAGTCGCTAAGCGGCGTCGGACAACCAACCTTGTTGGCATCTATCTGACGGAGAAGACAGGTACCGGTAGATTGATCTAAGCCACGCATCACCTCAAACCCTCAATTGGCATAGGTCGAGTATCAGACGGTCCATCACAAGGTCCCCGGCTACCGAGATATGGATCGTCGAAGATCGATTGGGGCTCGAGAGGGCGGTGACAAGCTTTGCCCGCGCGTCTGATGTCAACTGGAATCTGCGACAAACAGGAATATGTACTGTATGTACATAGCCACTCCGTTTCAACGTGGCCCCTAAATGACGAAGCATCAGGGTGCACCATTGCACCACACAGTCGCAATGCGAGGAACGAGCGAGCGAGCTAGCCGAACAAGCTAGACGCATGCCGTTTGTGCCGTCATATATCCATCGAGACTAGACTAAGATGCAGCGGGCTAGCCAACAACACACCGCACGCTCCCAGCTCGACAGGGGCAGCTCCCAAGTGGGGTACGAGCTTGTTTAAGGGTTCGGCGCAGCAGAACATTGAGAATTGGCACCTCTTTGCTCTGAGCTGCTCTCAGGTGGGTCAAGCTGCCTCGAGCAGAGCCGGTCCCCCCTCCCCATCGTCCATCGTCCATCCAAGTTTCGAGAGTCTTCGTGTCTCTTCAGGTGTGAAACGAAGGCAGGCCATCTATGATGTTTAGAGACCTTCGAGCAAGCACTCAGACGGATCATCAAAGGGCCTCCTAGTGCCTGCTTGTCGATCCTATGCCATCATGGCCACAACCTTTCCAAGGCACTTGTTTGCCTCCAAGATGAAACAGAGATCCATGCCAACGTGTAACCTGTCAGCTCGGTTCCTGGCCCAGCTGATTACGTAGCAGCACACAAGCTTTTTGGGATCGTCCAGGGGTCCTAAGGGAGGGCTGAAGGGGTAAGTGGCTTGGGGGGGACCACTCCCCATGGCTACTCCGACTGGCTGCGAGCACACCGTGAATCCTGCACAACGCATGAATCTCCTGGACGGCGTGCCTCACAGCCATACCCGGCTCCACCAATGCATGCTCTCCTATAGACCAGACAGACCTAGGTAGCTTTTCGTCACCAAGTGAGATACCGGACCCCTCTTGCTGTACGGCAGTGCCCAGTGACCACAGAGGTAAGGCGTGTAAGGAGAAGCTCGAGCATATAAGCTTGCTTCCCCGCCATCTCTATCCCGAGCATTCTTCCTTCCCTCCTCCTTCTTGACACATACTCGTAACTTTTCTGTCCTGAATATCCATCAACGACACAAATTCCACCTTCACTTACTTCAGCCTTTACCAGATTACACATCCATCACAATGTTCGGCTTTGGTAAGCCCACCACACACCCTACCTCCACCAGCATTTCATAGCCACATCTCTCTGACTGACCCACCCGCTCCAGGCGAAGCAAAGGAGGCCCGTGACGAGGTCTACGACGGCCAGCCGCACGACTCCAAGCTCTCCCACGAGCTGATCGGCAGCGCCGCCGCCTTCGAGGGCATGCGCCTGTGGGAGAACGAGCAGCGCAAGGAGGGCAAGGCGGTCGACCACGGCCTCGCCAAGGAGATGCTGGCCGCCGCCGCCGGCTTCGAGGTCGACCGCCTCGCCGAGACCAAGGGGCTCGACTTTGTCGACAAGGAGCGCGCCAAGCACCACGCCAAGAAGCAGGCCGAGCAGCTCTACGACCAGCAGTACGGCGGCCAGGACCAGTATGACCCGTACGTTTTCCCTTCCCAACTTCTCTTCTCGATGCAAGAGAGATGTGCTAACGGGTGGTCACTAGGAACTCTCAGGATCTGCCCGGCCACTTCCGCGACTACTAAGTCAGCGCGCGGCTTCTACAGAGGGCCAAGTGATGCTTGCAGGATGATTATGTAGACCCATATCAGCAGCGAGCCACGTAGCAGAAATACAAGAAGAAATCTAGCAATATTCACATCTATTACTCCATGACATGTAGTGAACAGAACAAGTTGACCAGGCATGCATCCCCTATGTCGAGTTGGTTTGCAATCGAAACCTTGTGTCACGTATGGTTCACGTTTAGTTGCACGAAGCTAGGAGATAGTCATCATGCCACCACTACTCATGAACAACTCGCACATATTAAATAGTGAGTCGAAACAAAAAAAAAAAGGGGTATATTAAAACTGCAGCTCCTATACTATCCAACTCCTTAGTCTTGGTATCAGTCTTAAGAACAGTTAAGTTCGTGGTATCTAGAACAACATCAAAACGGTAAAATAGATATTCGAGACGAGATGGGCAGGCGCGATTTCGTCCATCCAAGAATTTGAACATGTAACATCCCTCGTCGACCGTTACCAGGTCCCTCCCCAGTCATTACCTTCATAGTCGACGCTAGTGGTTGTCCACGCATTTCCGTTCGTGTCAATTGACACGGTCTCGACATCCACGCTGACTGAGTCAGCTGTATCAACGACAGCATAACCAGAATCACCGCTGAGAGAGTTGTCAACTGGTGCAGGTATCGAAGCTGGCTGACCAGTGCCCGAGAACAAGGGCGCCACTACGCAGGAACTGTCAACTGTAGGCGCTCCAGCATTGGCAGCAGTCATGGTCCCAATCGCGCCAGCTACAGCCGTGACTGCAGCAGCGAAGTCTTCGGATTCTCCTTGTTGAGACTGAGATTGCTCCTGTGTTGGATTAGATTGCTGCTGAGTGAACTGGGCAGCTTGCGGTTGTGCTTGATATTGAGCCCCCTGATTTTGCTGCAATGCCGCGTTTGGAACGAATGCGACCCCAGAAGCGCCTCCCATAGCGCCCTGATTGAACGACCATCGCTGTTGCGCATGTGGCGGTTGCCCGGGATGACTTTGCACTCCCGATAGCATCTGATTTGGGGGAGCTTGTCCCGATGACGGCTGTCCTGGGTGTCCAGGAAGAGGTTGCTGTCCTGAATGACCGACCGCCGATCCTTGATGCACACCCTGGGGGTTGTTATTCTGGGGTTGATGAGGATAATAAGGCACAGGCACCCCTTGCGAGGCCTGCTGATTGTACCCAGCTGCTCCCGGCCCGGACCCAGGCGGAGGTACATTACCACGTTGTGATGGCATGGGACTTTGCATCTGATTTGAGGAGGCCTGGAAATTTGGTGGTTGACCAGGCATATGTTGCATCATATTCTGAGGCAAAGGTTGCCCGTATGGTCTTGGCTGGCCTTGCATCTGCGCTGATATCTGCGCTGGCACATTATAGGCCATAGGATAACCTTGAGGCTGCTGTTGAAAGTAGGGTCCTGGCGGTAGTTGAGACTTCTGTAACTTATTCGGCCCTGGCCGTGTTTGGTCGTAGATAGGAGGCCCCGAGGCATTGCCTGCTGCTCCATTGATTCCCATGTTTGCAGATGGAATGCTTCCACCAGATACAGACCCTTTTTTGTTGCCAGGGTTCTTCCACATTTTGGAAAACCAATTCTTCTCTTTGCCAGCTGCACTCTGGGTCGAAGATGATGGAGCCTGAGATTGAGGAAACTGGTATTGCTGAGTAATGACGGGCGACTGCGTGCCAGGCTGGATCTGGTAGCCCGACGCCCTTCTCGAGCTCGGCGATGCAGGAGGTATGCTCTGCTGAGAAGCCCTCCTTTGACTAGATGGAGATTGCGGGCCAAATTGCGTTGGAGTTCCAGACTGTCCCCAGCTGGGCTGTTGTCCATTAAACGGCTGCGTTATGAGAGGAGTAGGCATTGGAGGAAACATCCGTGGGTTATAGGGTATCTGACCAGGTGGAGCTCCCGTACCTGGATTCATCTGCATAGTCTGCATTTGAGGTGGAGGCACAGGGTTTCCTGTGTTAGTTGGCTGCATGTTTTGGCCAGGGTATTGGTCCATACTCGGTGGTCCATTAGTTTGGAGGCTAGTGGTCATTTGTAGCTGAGGTTGCTTTAAGCTACCCGCCTGCCCAGAAGCTGTTCCGGGACCAGTATGTTGAGATGGAATTTGAGGTCTTGGTGTCCCTTGCAACTGGGTTCTCTGTCCCTGTATGGCGGGTGGACCGGGATTTCCATAAAAGGGAACAGCTTGAGCCTCGATTGGGCGTGTCTGTTGAATTGGGGGGCCAGTCTGTGACTTGATCCCTGGCTGCTGAGAGATTGGTTCACTCGCAAGTTGCTGGCCTGATGGCATCCCGGATGTTTGCTGTAGTGGTTGATTCCCGAGTGAGTCTGTAGACACTTGTTTTCCAATAATAGAAGATCCTGCGGCTGGCCCCATAGTAGAAAAGCCACCACTTATCCCAGTCTGTTGTGCTGGACCAGCACGCAAGGGTAAAGATCCATTTAACGGCATTCCTGAGTTTTGCGACTGTGCATTTACCGATGAGCTTGGTAAAGAAACTCTAGGAAGATTCTCAGCCTGCTGACCAGGGACGCTTTGTTGGCGAGGTCTCATTATCATTTGTGGCTGTCCTAGTTGGCTATGTTGGGGTTGGGATTGGAATTGGGTCTGAGGTTGAGGCGTAGGAACCATCGCTTGGGGATGATTTTGAAGCGACACGGCACCTGGGCTTTGAATCCTCTGCCCCTGAGCAGACGTAGGCTGCTGTGGCGAAGGTCCTTGCTGTTGTCTCCCAACTCCTACTGACACGGGTTGCGGCGATTGTTGAGGCAATCCTGCAGGTGTGGGCGTGGATGGTGCGACTTGTCCCGAAGGTCTCTGAGGCGGAATGACTTGAGATGCTGGGGGTTGAGACTGGGCCGTCACAATTTTAGCCTGGGGTGAGAAAGATTGGTGTGTTCCTGCATTCGCATTGCTCTTCGGGCCAGAAGCATTGCTTTGCGGTGCTGTATTCCTTGCATCGTTCCTTGATGCCGTAGGTTGATCTGGCTGGTTTGTTGGCCTAGCCGGCGGGCTCTGCACATGCGGCTGTTGGACAGATGCTTGATGATAAACTGGCGCTGGAGTTGACGGTTGTTGGATAGACTGTTCAGGAGACCGCAGAGGCGGAGCATTTGGCTGTAGTACAGCCATTCCTGGGAGATTAGCAACTGACCACGGTCCAACAGGTGAATGGGCATTCCTAGGCGCCGGTGGCATTTGTGATGTCTGCACCCAAGAAACAGGTTGTGGTCCATAGCTCTGTTGTGAAACTTGCGAAGGATGCCTAATAGGTGTTTCTTGCGAGCTAGGATTTGGCTGGGTAGGCGGAGAGCTTATTCTCTGAGCATCAGACAATATTTGGTCTTGTCGGACCTGGCCTGACGATATTTGCTGAACAAGAGCAGCACCGTCATTTGGCATTTCCGGTGTCGATCGGATCTGTAATGGAGATTGGCTCGGAACTTGCGGGTGTTGATGGCCTCTGAGTTGAGCTGAAGCGTTGCTTGCGGCTTGAGCTCTTTGTTTGCGAACATCAGGGTCAAGTTCCTGAGCAGCCGGTTGCACCGAAATTTGTGACATTTGGGCCGACTTCTCTGAAAGTACTGGCATTGGGTCAAGGATTGTGTCCTTGGTAACAGCCTTGTCAGAGTGTACACTAATAGACGCCGCATTCTCTTCACCTCGAGCAGCCAAACTTTCGGCATCATTTGGGCGTTCTCCAGGACCAGATTCCCGAGACATGCCAGGATGTTCCAATTTCAGCGCCGTGCTAGATTGACCGGCTGACGGTTCAGTATCATTAAGGGGGTTCAGTGCTTGGTGTAATCGGAATTCACCTCCTTTCGTAGGTTGAGGCTCAGCAGACGCATCATCATGACCTATGGGGCCCTGAACAAAAATGCTATCGCTGATGACAAAGTTTTGAGCAGGCGAGTTGTGTGGTTGAGACTTAGCAGTATCCGAGGGAGGACTGGGAGCAGCAATATTTGAATCAGGTCTTTGGTGGTTACCAGAACTTTGACCACTTTGTGCAGGGTGAGAGTCAAGTCTGTCAGCTTTTGTCGTTGAACCAGCAAAGGCTTGATGTTGGCTCAGCGAGGGTTGACCTGTAATTAAACCATCTCTCGAGCTGGCAGCAACATCTGATACAACGAAGTCCTGTGTTCCTACGGTCGGTACAGGCCCATTGACGGGCGGTAGAGATGTTTCTGCATTTTGTATGGTAGACTGTTGAAGTTGACTTGAATGAATATTTCCAGGAGACAACCGCTGTACACCGAGGCTAGGTCCCTGCAAGGCCGCTCCCGGGTTGTATCCCTGCTGTCCGTCTGGTTCAGCTCCCGGTGGAGGCCTCAGCATTGATGGAGGAGCTTGAGAAGGAAGCTGGTTTGGCACTGTGTTGGTCCGTGGCACTCCAGGCCGTGGTTCCGAGACAAATTGCTGACCGGATCCGGGCCGCAGGGGATTAGGGTGAGAGTCACTCGGAGGCATCGCCTGATACTGGCGTGGTTGAATGAGCTGTGCATAGCTAACCGGAGGAACACCGGGAATGGGGTGCGCCGGTTGGTACGCCATGTATGGCTTCTGTTGTGGTTGGAAAGGCTGATCAGAAGGGACAACACCTCCTGTCCTATCCAACCCTTGCCTAGGACCTGGTTTGAGGACTGAGGGAAAGTGAGATAAACCTGCTGCACCAGGTACCTGGCTAAGAGGGTTTGATATGCTAGCATGTCGAGCACCTGCACCTGGCATCAAGGAATGAACTCCTCCAGTGCGCTGGGCATTGATGCTTGACGAGCCGCCAAGCTCATCTTCTTCAATGGGCTTCTTGGGCGGAACTTTTGGAGGTGCCAGAACAGCTGGGACATTCGCGGGATCAATTTTAGGGGGAGGAGTCGGTGACCCAGGCGATCGCCGGTTGGCAAGAGCACCAAGATCATTCCGTTGTGACTCAGCAATGCTCATGTTACCTAAGATGACCGATCCTCTCTTGGTAGAATCATCGCTAGTCTGTTGGTTCGGTTTCCATGGCTGATAGTTCTCGGCTTGTGGCCGACTCTCCACTGGTTTCTGTAAAACATTCTCCGCAGGAGGAGACACGCTGGCGAAGCTTGCAGATATCCCGTATGGATACTGAGTCTGTTGAGCAGATGCCTGGTGATTTGAGCCAACAGGCTTGGCAAGAGGTTCTTGAGGGCGCTTCTCCACGGGACTGTGTTGTGTCGGCAATTCAACCGGGTGCTCGTTGATGAAGCCAACTGTCTGGATGGGCTCAACCCATATGGCATTGTCCGGCAGTTCAACTGGCGGAGGATTGGATTCCTCATGACATTGAGCAGTGGACTCGCTGTACAGCTCAGGCATATAACCAACTGGAGAGAAAGCAGGCGCTGGAGGTGGAGATATCTCAGTCCCATCAAGCATCGGCACCGTTGGCGACTGACTAGACCCATGAGTCGGTCCTTGCGGTGGTATGCCTGCTGTATTGACGCCGAGAACAGGTCCACTCATGATTGGTTCCGACATAATCGGCTCCTCAGCGATAGTGTGGACGGTCGAGGACTCACCCATGACAGGTTCACCCAGAATGGGTGTTCCTGATGCAGGCTCAGTGTTTCCAACCTGTGGGGTCGTACCAGCACTTGTCATTGGGGATACACGCGGTCTCTCTCCAGGCGTGGATGTGTTCGCTGGACTATCCTTGCCTACTCCCTCTTTAAGCTTATCCGCCCTACCAGGACCTAAATCCTCCTCCTCGTCATCGTTCAATGGGCTCACATCATTATAGCTCTGCGGGCCAAGGTATCCAAAGCTCTCGAAGCTATATTCAAACCCACCCTCGTCGTCTACAACGGGTAGGGCGCTAGCCTCGCGTTGCCTGTGAGCAGCAGCCTTCGCTCGCGAGCTAGATCCCGTCGTCGACCGTCTCTTGACCTGCTGTTGACTTTCCAACTTCTCTTCCGGCAACAGCGCAGGCGCGGGCGCAAAGCTATCGATGAAGTCGGGAAACTCGTCGCCGGGCTTTGGAAAGTGGTACTGGATCTGGCCGGTGGGCCGGTAGATGAAGAACCATCGGGAGCCATCGTAATCCGAGTCCCAGCCCTGTGGAAGGGTCGACATGACGGGATGCCTGCTTCGCCAGCAGGCAACTGCGGAGGCCCGTAAATGGAATTAATCGAAGGAGCAGTCGTAGCTTTAGCTCTTGCAGAAGCTTAAGTCGCGGCGTGGTGGTCTCTTAGAGCCAACGAGCTTCAGCGGAACGGCGACGCAGTCTGCGATCTGAGTGTGCTGGGCTGCTAGCCAGGCAAGCGCATCATTGTCCGTACGCCGCGCCCACTCGTCAGACCAACAACCGTCATATACTGACACGGACACAAACCGTTGTCAATGACAATGACATCGACATGTCCTCTCAAAGCGAAGTAATGAAGCTCCTAAGTCGAGGTCTAAGAAATTAGGACTCATCGAGGGCTAAAGCGCGCGGTGGCTTTGCGACCAGTATATGCACTTGCCTCAATCCAGCAGTGCGGCTGAGAGCCCAGATTCCGCTGTCGGGTGCCCAAATGGGGCCATCAAATCCATGCCGCATGGCGTTTGCTTGATACGATTGACACTATTCCATTGAAGCTCCTGACTGTCCAATGGAGTGGTGTGGAAAACGCCATCGCTTGGGAGCTTCCCAGTGCCTAAGCCTTGACAAGATGGCGCAGCACTTGCGGCATTGGCGTGTCGCGCCTTGGCGGATGGCGGGGAGGGGTGTGCAGGATATTTAAGCAAACCCGACGACAATGGCGAGCACAAAATCGACTCGAGATTGATGGCTTGACTGGTCAATAAATCTCGTTAAGTTTTGTTGTATAGAGATCTACGTCACCAGTTCTTGTTTTCATTACGGAGTCGGTGAAGAAAGTTCTGAGTTGCATCGTTCAGATAAAAATATCCATTGGCCTGCAAGCCCCGTATCAGACATTGTCCCACGTCTCTCATACCTCGAGCTGCATCAGTATATAAGACTCAACTGTCCGTCCATGTGCAGCAGAAGAGGTTAGAAGGTATGACAGCATTCAAGTGACATTCCCGAAGGTATTAGTCATCTCAAGAAAGTATATAAAGATCTCGAACAGACCTGGAGACGGTTGCTCCCCCTAAGAGAATATGATGCAGTAACCTTGGAAGACCACAATCCCAAAAACCATATCAAGAACATTGCTTACGACAACAGTATGGTCTGGCGTTGCAAAGCCTGCACGCGCTGGTGCGCAGACTTTGAGTATTATTGCCTTTGCGGTCAGGCTAAGCCACCGAGTGTTGGCTTAAGCGGATATGACAATACCGGTAAGAGAACCCATGCGGGAAGTCATCGCTTGCCACCACGAGCAATGTCCGTCAACAAGGGCAGTACCGATACCCCCATCTCCGACACTGGTCCTGCCAAACAGTACACGGCGGCGCTGCTTGTACGTCGAGGACGAGGCGAGTGATACGCTGGGAAGTCAAGATGTTGAGCCAACTTCTGAATCCATGGATCCCATGGCAAGCATGCGTAAATGTCGAGAGAAAATGATGCCCAAGGTAATATAACCGAATCTCCTAACCAAAAGGCTAGATTTAGAAAAGAACAAACATCAAAGTAGGTAGCCTAGTGAGTTTGCAATGAAGAATGCTTCATCAATGTTATGTATAGTAGTATTGAGGTCCATTTTTTGGTCCTTACGTCAAATATGTTAGTAGTCAGCATCGTGCACACTTCACAAGAGAGAACCGTGAAAAAACTGATTGGTGGCAGACGCTTCCAAGGCGTCATGATGGTTAGACTCTATTCTCATCTATCGGGTATTCTTGGCCATTCTATGATAGTCTATAGATCACTCCCCCAAAATGCAATTCGCGTTCAATTCATGTTCGGTCGTATACTCCGAGAAAAACCAACCAATCTCTGAGCCCAGTCAAGATATGTCACAGCGCTGAGAAAATAGAATATGTGCATGGGGCGTCCAACCCTATTCTACACCATATCGCTCGGACCGCCGGGCGGAGGGGGAGGAGGAGCCGGAGGGCCTTGTGGCCGAGAGGCACTTCGAGGCCGGCCGAAGATGCCACGCCTTCGGGCCGTGTCGCTTTCACTGCTTCGCACCTTTTCCAGAGAGGTACGATCGATTCCTGTCGCACGGGGCGCGACAGGGGATGCATTGCGGATAGACTGCAGACGAGCGAGGTTCTGCGGCTCCTTCCTGGTTTCGAAGACGTCCTGGAATTCGGGGCCAGCATCGAATGCGCGTGCACTCGTCTCTGCTCGGCGGCGCTGCAGTACAGGGCTAGCAAGCTGTGGAGCAGGAGAAATATCTCGCTGGCGGTCATGACCATCTTGATACGCAGGAGGCTGAATAGAGGCCCACTATGCAGGGGTCAGCATCATGTCATCTATCAATGTCGTTCGCAGTGTACTCACGTAAAAGGGAAAGTCCTTTGTTCCACCAGGCTCCATCTTGCGCGGTCCCTCGATACCGAGCTCGGACATCTGGCGCATCAATTCGGCGGCAAACTTGTTGTGTCTCTGAAGGCGCAACAGCTCGTTTTGGAAGTTGGACTTGTGGAAGAAGATGAAGTTCATGGTCACAGACCACACCTCATCGATAGTTCGGACCTCGGTGATAATACGCGGGGCGTAGTCTCGCTTGTTCTCGGTGACGAACTCCAGCATACGGGCCTTGAGCTCGTCGATAACATCGTTGGGTGTACCAAAGCGGAGCTTGAGCTCAATTGGGTCAGCCAGGCCATTGCTTCGACGTTGGTTGAGGATAAACAGGGTGTTGAGCAACGAGTTCGGTGCCTGCACAACATGACCCTCCATCTTCTTGAACTCGGTGTACAAAAGCGAGATCTCCTGGACGTAGTAATCGTCACCTCTCATCATAGAGCCAGTGTTGCCATAAATCGTCACACGATCACCCACATCAAAGGGATGTTTGACAAAGACGAAGATAATAGACTGTAAGAATTCCTGCGCAGTGGCTTGCAAAAGCCAAGAAAGACCCAGAATAGTGGTGCCCGCTGACGCAAGAGCCGACGCAGCAGAGCCTGAGATGACGGAAATGAAGACAATAGCTGCGATGATAAAGATGATAAAAAGGAAAACTCTGTCGAGCTTGCTAATAACAGAGTCCAGATCTTTGAGAGAAGCAGCGATAGCCTTCTTCTCGAGGTGAATTTCATTGCAGACGATTTCCAGCTCTTCCATTGAGATATCTCCGTTGAGATCTTTGTCGAAAATACCAAAACAACCCTCAGCGTCTTCTGGGTTGGCAAAAGCTTCCTTCATGTCGTCCAGGGTAATGGTAGCCCGATTGTCGCGTGCAAGAGTCCGGTAGATCAACCGAGCGAGTGTATGGGCTGTCGATGTGGTCCGAAGGAGTTCGATGACGACCTTACGAGGATGATTTGCGCTCAGGAGCTTCCTACCAGTAAAGTCACCCGCCATCTTGTTAGCCACATTACCAATCTGATTCCAAGCCTGTCGAGCGTTGTTCTGGATTGCTTTCATCGGCGTGCGGGTGCCAGACGTGCCTCCCTGCGCTGTAGTAGAATCCCAGATAGGATCTTCCTGGGCAATCCTGATCTTTGAGTACTCGTACAGCTGCACAAGAAAATTGATCTATAAACATGATTAGTATGTTACCGCGTTGACTTGGAAGTTGTAATTTTGGATCTTACCTCTAGCTTGTTCTGCTCTATACGGTAGGCGTATGTCCGCAAGTGAAACGATGTTGCGATCCATTGGATGAGGATTTTCTCCACGAGATTCAACGCCGCGAGTACAAAGAGCGCAATAATGACCTTGTTAACAATATCAATCCACTTGATGTACGGCCGGCCATCAGACCAGTCGCCACTCGATGCTCGATGACTATTCATGATTGGGAGGAATGAACAGAGCACACCCAACAACCAGAGGAATAGAGCAGTGGGAAACTCCAATTGGCTACCGATGTCCTTCCATTTCTTGTGATTGCTTGATCCGACCATGTTCGCAATGGCGCCGAACAGCATGGGCAGAACCGCCGTGATTATCCTGCTGGCCCAGAGCACGCCCCAGACAATCTCGAGCCAGATACCGAACCATAGTAACAGAACGCCGCCCTTGCCTCCAACCGGAGCCGACTGAGTATCAACGGCATATACAGCGATGAGGATAGGTGTTAGTAAAACCACAGCCGCTGGCAACCAGTACAGGAGGTATCGCAGGACGCGCGGGAAATTCTTTAGTTTCTCCCAGAGCTTGTTCAGGAAGGTTGGCTTCTTCTCCTTGGTCTCCATTGTCGGGACTGCAATGCTGACAGTGTTGAAGGCATCTTCGTGTTCCGAATCGCGACGGTTCTTTGATCTAGACCGTCGTGCCTCATTCTCCTGGTTGCTAACGATGCGTTCCGCTCTTAGAAGCTCCAAGTCATCAACCAAACGGCTGGCTGCCTCTCTTGACTCTGTCGGGCTTAATGCTCCTGCTGTCTCTGGAGGAGCCAAGAAATGCTTGTTTGGCTTCTCGCTTGTATCGATGTGGACGGGAGAAGCCATATTGATATAGGTTCAGGTGGCCGTGCCACGAAGCTTCCCTATAATACCTTCGGTCGAGACGATGTAATGCGGGCGCCGAGATGCCCGCCTCGTATAATGTGATAGGGGATAAATCTACCCAGTGTTGCTGAAGAGGACGAGCAGAAGTATACCTGTCGCGAAAGGCTCGACGGCCTAGTATTCCTCGAGTGCAGGGGGAAAAAAGAGGATGTCGTGAACGAATGACGTAGGGATGAGCTGCTAAACGAGGGTTGAAGCTAGAGCTGACGGGACTATCGAGTTGCCATTACAGGCTCCACGACTGGAGAAAAAAATTGGGGACGGGGGAAGAGCAGTCGATAATGTCGACCCACGAAAAAAAGGAGGCGGCAAAGGGAAAGGAATAACAGAAAAAGTCAACAAAGAAGGCGATAAATTTTCCCTATTATACTGCGTGTATGTGTGTGTACGGAGAAGACGGATGGAATGCCGCTTTTACTGTTCTACTGTACACAGCGGGAGGAAGCCGGTTCCTAAATTAAAGACCTTCGCTTTCCTTGCCATGGTACCTGGATGCTGAATGCTCGCCCGGCCGTTTTTAACTCCCAAACCAGGATGCGCAATCAAGGGGATCGGTGATCGGACCCACACGCCCATCTCAACGGGCTCGGCGCTGTTGCTGATATCTGGTCAAGTACCGCCTAGCGCACTGCTACACACTTGACCACCACGGGGGTGTCTCTCCCTACCCTGTGGGGGTCCCTCGACTCCATCCTTCCAGACCTGACCATCAGAAGAAGTATACTCGTGGCAGTCTAGCTCTACACTACGGACGCTGGATGTTTCCGCGAGTCCGTGGATCTACATGCCATGCTTCATATTCCGGCTCGTCAGCGTGCACTCAGTGACACCAGTCGAATGCCATCATGCAGCAATAGCCCGCCGTCTCTCAGACGTGGTCGCCAGCGTTCCCACTTTTCGAGATGAGGACATCTGCAAAGGATCTTGGGGATCTATCAATTTATCAATCGTATTATGGGTCGCCGCCGCCCTGCTTTTTCCCTCTTCGCGTCTCTGGTGTCCCTGGAAGTTGGGGGTCAGCAGCGACTGAGCACAGGACACCATGCTTGAATGTCCGATATGAGGCAACGCGTCTAGGTGCGCAGCCCGGTGGAGGAGTGGGAACGGCACGCAAGGAAAAGTTTTGATTGCTATCCCTCTCGCATGTCTTGGGGCGTCACTTTCTATGGGGACCCTGAGATCCTGACTCCGACCGGGCGGCCGGCTGGCGGACGCGGCTATTATCCACTACCTATCTTCAGATTCACTTCCCAGGGGGGTCCCAAGCAGGGGCCTGTCAGGGACACGCGGACGATATGCCCATCAATTGGCAGGCAGGCTGCATCTGCAACAGTATCGGCAAGCCACCGAGAATACTTCGGCCAAACTAGGCCATGTTCGCCAACCTCAACAGTTGATTCTGGTTGCATGTGGTGTCTGGCTATGCTGAAGAGAGCAAAAGATGCCCTGTCTCGGGTTGGCGAAGTGCCCTAGAGTAGACCGCACCCTCCGTCCCAGTGCATATGCAGGAGCACGGCCAAGTGTAGAGAAATCCTGCTGTTTGGTATTGCTGCATTTCTGCGGCTGCAAATCCATTCTCCGTCTGGCAAGCCGAGCAGAGCTACTATCTCGGTAGCTTCACAACGGCGCGTCGTGTCTGGCTTAGATTTGTTTGACCCAAACGCTACGTGGGTCCGTGGCGCTCTCGTCTCATAGCGGGTGACGTCACGCCTTGACAGGGTACAGCACCCCTACTTGTGCCATGGTTCGTACTCTTGACTCTCTTCGGGAGCCGATCGCGCCTCTTTCTCCAACTAATTGGTTGCGTAGATTCTTCACATTCCGCTATTTGAGGACATCTCTAATTCCATCTAATTCCAGGCTAGGCCTCGAACATTTCCTCTGAGCCATGTCTGCATTTGTAGTTGACAGGTCACGCCAGTGCCTCCTTTGGGCTTTAGCATGTGATCGCTGTTATTATCGCCTCCTTCGAGACGCAGGTACCAATGCAACCAAGCAAGGGCGTTAAAGGGACAAGGAGCCAGCCATTCCATCGCTTGTTTTCTCGCCCCAACGCCGTGGTTATTTCTGGGTGCAAAAAGTCTGTTGCGTATGGCAAAAACAATACTGCTCTATCCCTCGCAAACTGCACTCACTATGCGTGGCTCGCTAGTATGAGAAAGAAAGAAAAACTTCACGACACTTATGCACATGGCTTTCCGAAAAGAGTGTCTCGCAGCGGTGATCTACCGAGTGGTATTGCCGAGACTACCTCCGGAACATTTACTTTCTCATAAGCCAATATTCTCTTTAGTTGTGAAGACCGAAATACCCAGTAGGTTGCGGCTCTTTCCCCAAATTTTCGTTCTCATTACTCTATTAGTGACGTAGGCATAGCCTAGAACACCACGACATGTACTCTAGAGGAATCTCATTTAGGATTCTTTAGTTTGTAAACCCTAACTCGCGAGAAGGGATCACGATGGGTTGCGCAACGTGACAGGCGTGGATCCTGAACTGTACAGAGGAGACGAAAGTATCTTCTTGTCAAAATTGCATCTATAGCGCTCATACTCGATGATCTACTCGTCTACAGAATGTACATCTTGCCAAATGCCGCCTAGACCTTGCTCAACTTCCCCAGAATGCATCTCGATCAGCGCTGACCAGAATCTGCGTAATCTTGCCCCGCAGCCCCGTCTTTTTGAGGACCCACGGTTCACCCGCCTTTGGGGTCTGACAAGTAAACTGGACTCATCGCTCTGCGTGTTCTTTTTACGCAAATGAAACAGTCCAGTCGGCGCCAATGCGAGCTCCGACCCTCCGAGCGACTGCATAGGCGGCACGGTGACCCTCCGCCGGTGTGTAGTCGATGGGAGATGTCCAGGTCTTACCCTCCGACTCGACAGTGACCTCCTTCTTGCTGGCCCACGAAGACGGGGCTCCAACAATGATGGCCTTGTCAACAAAGACCTCGCGCATGCCCTTCAGCCACGCCCCCTCCTTGATAGATTTCACATCGCGGCCCTCAGCATCACTAGAGCTGAGTGCCGAGCCGTCAAGCACGAACTTGCGGTGGATGTATTGGCCCTTCTCGTAATCGAAGCTGTCGCCATCATCGGTGTACAGCTCGCCTTCTGCGTGCTGGCCATTCTTACCAACAGTGACTACCAAAGTATAATCATCCCACTTCATGAGGGCGGTTGATCGTCTAGGACGGTCACGGCGAGGGAAGATATGTCCGCCTTGCATGAGAAGCGGGATCTTGTCAAGAGGGGCAGCTAGAGTTGTTTTCTTTCCCTTATGGGTCGGCACAATCTCATAGGTGAAATAGTCATAGTAGACCTCGTCATCGGGAATGAAGATGTCGACAGACTCTTTGCCCTGTTCCACGACAGGCTTGGCGAGGAGGCCTGTACCGCCAATAAACAGTTGATCATCGACATCGAAACCAGCCTCTTCCGAAGGGTTTGTGTAGAACATAGGGCGGACAATCGGTGTTCCGTCTTGATGCGCCTGATAGAAGGCGGTGTACCATGACGGCAACAGGCTATAACGAAGACGTAGTGCTGCGGTGATAATGGGAGTATACGGCTCGCCTAAGAGGTAAGGCTCACGACGGCGGGCGTCAATGTGAGCATGGCCACGGAAGAACGGATAGAAAGCGCCTGCCTGGTACCACCGCGTTTGCAGATCTTTGTCGGGGTTGCCAAAGAACCCACCAACATCAGCACCCGAGAATGGGAATCCAGATATGCCTTGACTGAGAATCATGGGGATAGCAGCTCCCAAATGGTCCCAAGAAGCCTGATTATCACCAGTCCACATGGCACCGACACGCTGAGACCCAGCGAAGAAGGAGCGAGTCAGGACGAAGGGGCGTCTAAGTTCGCCAGACTTACGGGTCAGGAGAGCCTCGTAAGTTGCGTTGTGGAAGGTCATTCCGTTGATGTTGTGCACATCACGATGCTCCCACCCTCCGTGATGAAGATTGTCCTTCGGCATGGTAGTCTCCGGACCATTGAAAACAGAAGGCTCATTCATATCGTTCCAAATAAAAGTATTTTCCATAGTACCCTTGAAGGCGTCATACTTGAAGAGAGTCGTCCACCATTTGATCGCGGCCGGGTTGAAAGCATCAATCCAATGCGAAGATCCGGGCCAGCACCAGCCTTCAAATATGTTACCATCTTTGTTCTTGACAGCCAAGTCTTTCGATTTGAGCTCGGACACAACGTGATAGTTGGCCTCGTTCTTGATGTGTGGGTCAATGATGGTGACCAGTTTTCGTCCATGCTGGTCAAGGTGTTTGCCCATCCCAATCGGATCCTTGAACATGTTCGGCTCCCAGGTAAAGTACTTCTTGCCGTCAGTGTACTCAATATCGAGCCAAATGACATCGTACGGAATCTTGGACTTGTCCATCTTGCGATCGACATCCATAACATCCTCGTCAGAAACATAGTTCCAGCGGCATTGGTGATAGCCAAGAGCAAATTCTTGGGGCATGGCTGTAGTGCCCGTAAGTTCACCATAATTCTTCGTAACATCCTGGGGAGTCGGTCCAAGAAATACAAACACATCTAGAAGACCGCTCTCCGATATCCAGTGGCTATGCGTGTTCGTCTTCGCATGGGTGCCAATAGCCAGAGGGTTCTTGTGTTCTTTAGCTTTGGTGATATCAATCCAAGTCTCGGCTGCGTTCAGCCAGAATACTCCAACGTGGGAGTCTTTCCGATGAGCTTGCATGAGTGGAATTGCACCATACAGTGTCATGGGGCTATCGAGAATATACTCGAACACGTCTGCGTTGTACAAACGGTAGGGTTCTTCGTAGTTCCCGTCTCCACCACGGGTCTCCTTCAGACCCAGAGGGCCTGCATGTGAGGGAATGCCGTACACATGGTCGAAGCCCATGAAAGAAATATCGAGAGCAACACTCTCAGGGCCTCGAGGCTTGGTATCGGTGTTGCCACCAAAGGTCTCTTCCCACCAGGTACTCTCATCCTCGCCTTTGGGAGTCTCCTCCTTCTTCTCCTCGTTTGTATTGTTGGCATCTTGATTCTCCTCACCTTCCTTCTTCTCAGGCTCAACCTTATCAACCTTGGGCCGCCAGTGCTCGAAATTCAACAAACCTCTGTCGTTGAACTTGATCTGTGATGTTCCGTCTCTTTTGAAATCAATTCCGAAAGGCGAGAACTTCACGACAGCCTCAAAATTGGCACTAGGTCCATATTTGATAGCGATATGTGACTTGTCTTCTTGTGCAACCTTTGCATCCTTGTCTAAGGTCAAGCCGCCAACGATGACCCAGCTCTCGGCCTCATTGTATCTCTCCTTCCGTGCGATGCTATTATGTCGCAGCTCAATATCCTTCTGTTGCCTCTTCTCCTCATCCACGGTAACTCGAGCAGTTCCAGACTGCAAAAAGGACACGGTGATAGGTAAGCGGACTGTTTCGCCTTGGTCGTTGATCGTCTTCAGGATCACAGCCTGCAATTGACCATCTTTGAAGGATGTTGACTCGGGAAGAATGTTGTACGGAGTTTGCCATGAGGAACCTGCTCCAACAGCGTGGTCTGCAAATGCTCGGTTCCTCTTACAGAAACCGGATTGATGGCATTTCTTGAAGTCGTGTTCCTTGACCATCACTGTCAAGATAAGTCAGCAAATGATTCGGCGTTCCAGGAGCCTAATAGAAAGCTTGTTGTACCTGCTGGTGTAAAGAGGGAGCTTAGAATGGACAGGAGAAAGAAGTAGGCTGTCCACTTCGAGGACAGCTGGCTTGAGAAGTGCATCGCGAGGATGCCCCTCGGGAAGGGTAATCACGGACTAGATTGGTCGGAAATCAACAATGAAATAAGCAAAACCAGTAATGAAATATATATTGCAGTCCCTCATCAACTCCTGTGATGGCTTCTTGTCCGGGACGGATACGTCTTTGTTGATAGTGTAGTTTTGTTCTCCCAAGGGAGTGAAATAGGTGTGAGGGATTCGATCAAGTCCACTCCGGAGTGTCAACTTCCAAGCTGTCCCTTTCAAGAGCTACTCGGGACAGTCTAGCGTGCCGCTACTACCAGTTGCTTGAATGAGAGCTACCTAATTGCATTTTTGTTTTAATAAATAAATGGAGTCGATATAAGCGTTGCACTAGTGCAGCCTATCCGGTCCAACCGCGCTAAATACATCATTCCCTCCCCCGTTACCATGGTTTGCAGATACCGGTAGCTCAATTACTGGTTCAGAATCCAGTGACACTTTCAGCAAGGCATTTCACCAGCGATAATTGCCTTCTCATTAACTATTGCAACTAGACCAATTGATCTGTATTGTTATTCCATTGATCTGGACTCTCTTAAAACCTTGAAGTGGCAGGGCAGATGCTCCAAAATATCAGGGTTGACAAACCTTCGTGTACCTATCTGGCTTCAATTCCTACCAGGCTCACATCTGTCCTTGCAATTGGGCAGTTTGGGCAACCCGATGGACCCTGCGGTGGTTGACCCCGCCAACGAAGCGGCCGTGCCCCAGCAAACCGTCACTGCCCGCCAGCAGAGACCTGTACAAGCCCGAAAATTGACCCCGCCAATTTTTCTCCTGCTGGCTGCCCTCACCGTCGCCTCTATTTTCCTCATTCAAAATTTCTGTACCTTCACTCTTCCCAGTACATCTTTGACCAAGGACCTTCCTGAAGTCAAAACTACCTCGTCATCTCCATCTCAGACTCCTATTCTTCAGAAAAACTCTACTCAAGACAACACCATGTCTTCCACCGAGCAGACGTAAGTTGAGCTGATTTCCTCCTCCGATTTTACCCCGCCATAGTAGGCCAGGGCCTGATGATATTCTTTTCCATTTTGTATTCTTCCATTGCAGATTGCTAACGATGTCTCAGCTTCATTGCCATCAAGCCTGATGGCGTCCAGGTATGAATATCTGTCAAAAAGCCCCAGTATGGTTCTGAACTGACGACCATGCCAGCGTGGACTCGTTGGCGCCATCATCACTCGCTTCGAGCAGCGAGGGTAAGCCCAAAATCATCAATTGCCATCAGAAAGTCGAGACATCAGCTGACACACACATTCCCAACAGATACAAGCTTGCGGCCATCAAGCTCGTCACTCCCTCCAAGGAGCATCTCGAGACCCACTGTGCGTTGTCGACCGTACTGGCCTCCGTCCGAGCTCATTGCTGACCGCCTCCTAGATGCCGACCTGAAGGAGAAGCCATTCTTCCCCGGTCTGGTCAAGTGTATGTGATCAACAGTCAAAACACAACCCGAAATGTCTAACAGAGGCTACAGACATGCTCAGCGGCCCGATCTGTGCCATGGTTTGGGAAGGCCAGGACGCCGTCAAGACTGGCCGCGTGCTCCTCGGTGCCACCAACCCCTTGGCATCCGCTCCGGGAACTATTCGAGGCGACTTCGCCATTGCAACCGGCAGGAAGTGAGTGCCTCTAATGATCCTATTAGCTTTCCTTCGACCACCACCATAGGAAATGTTCCAAGCAAAGTCTCTTTCAATGTGTACATCTTCTGCCATTTCAACTTTGCTAACTCGAAGGTTTAGTGTCTGCCACGGTTCTGACAGCGTCGAGAACGCCAAGAAGGAGATCGCTCTTTGGTTCAAAGAAGGCGAGGTGATTAACTGGAAGCTAGCTCTGCATGACTGGGTCTATGAGTAGGCTTAGCTTACAGAAAGAGCTGAGATATGGCATCTTTCTTGCCTGAAGTACATCTGATAGAGAAGGCCGCACAAAAAATAGATAATAAATACAACTGTCAAGATCTATCACGTTCTATACCGGTATATTTTTGTGCGTGACTATTTCCGTCTTGCTAGCTGCCGTGCTGTTACAAGGACGCCCGCAAACCAGGGAGTTGCCCAGAGACTACCCAGTATTCGCAAAGGCAGTAGAGCTTTTGTGATTGCATATGCCAGGGCCACCTCAACCACGACCTTATACTTGGTCTCGTCACTCCTCCACTTCTCCATGACTGCGTCTTGTGTGCCAGGTTCGGCAACTAGTCCTGTATCGCCCTCGTTCTGCTCGTCGCCAAATCCAAACCAGCCTTTCCTCCTGAAATATTTCTCAAATCGCTTGACACCGTCTTGGACATATGTGCCATAGTGCTCCATCATGTACCCCAATGGTACATAGTCCGTGTAGTGGAAGAGCCCGAAGAGGCCAAAGAGAGGGACAATTGCCGTGATTTCGTGAAGTATCAGGAAAGCCACTACATGCGAGACAGGCGCATTGCGCAGCTTGGCCGTGTACTTCTGCATAGAGGGTGGCAGTCGTGAGAGAATGCGGTCAGCTCGTGAAGCTGCGTCTGTCGGTTTACTCGAGGTGCTATATTTGAAGCGGAAGCCTTTTTGAGGTGCTCGGATCGTCAGGAAATGCCATTGCTGGGTCGATGACGGAGTCCAGAAGCGCAGTCGCGGCGCTCCGGCCGGCACTGAGAACAGTCGACGTATCATGTTGATGCTGCAAACGAAGAGACAAAGTTCAATTGGGAACGAAAGAATATTGCCCAGTGAAGCAGTACGGCGCTCATTTTAAGGACTCCTTTGTAGGCTTTGAAAGGAAGCTCTAATGTCCGCGCCGCAAGCTTGGTGGAGGCACAGGGTATGTATGGGCACTGACGATCTGAAAAGTGGTTGAACCCGTGCCGGAACTATCCAAAAATAATAAGCGCTGCGACAATCAAACCAGACCATAGCAGAATAACGGAGGCTCAGAGACCTGGAATAGCCAATTTGAAGTATGCATAGGATAGCTTCTCAACCCACTAAATCATACAAGGTGTCCGTGTTTATTACTTTATTACTCTATCTAGGCAATAAACAACTAGACAGTAATAAACAGTTTGCTTCAGGTCATAGCAAACTGTCCCAATCCCAACATCATTTCACGGATAGGCAGGCTTGGACAAGTGCCGTAGGCCACAGCAGACATTACCAGAATGGAAAATCGCTTACATGTGTGCCTTCATATAAAAGGATATGCATAGTTTATTTACCATCTTTCTCGGACACTTTCTCTCATCGTCTTCAGCACCCTCTAATCTGCTCTTCTGGCTTGCAGCATGCATCAGCTGAGAGGAGGGCCATGCACTGTGCACCCCCAGCTCTGACCTAATCGACGTCTACTAGGTTGCCAGGCAATCAACCTATATACAATTTATACTACAGAGAGACCGCACTTTGCTGCACAGGCTAGAAGGTCTTGAGTCTATAGAGAGAAAATATTTGAGAACGCTGGCATATGTATCAGCGATTTTTCGTTCTAGTAAATGTCTAGCCAGTAGGCTGCTATCATTGCCTTAGGTACCTACTTACAGTGCCCAAGGGGTAGCGAATTTTGGGTAGGAGCACCCTGATGGCATGGCCTGAGTGGACCCTTTAAGCCTAAATTTCAGCACGTGCTACCGTGACAAGGTCGTTAAGGGCTAAGAATTAGGACGCGACTTCTAACGCGAGGGATATTTCGAGCCTCAGGATTGCTGGCCTCAACTCTAGGTGTCCAATGTCTATGCCTAGAGACTTGGATATCTCAGGCATCACTTAGGCTTTTATTGATTTTCACTGAACAACAAACCTAGCTTCTTTCATCCCATCTGCCTGCTGCTTACTTATATCGCAGCTCTCCTCGCTGTTGCTTTGTTCCTCTCTTTCATGATGCCTTCATTCCGCCATTCTTCTCGGCGGCACTTGCTTCTTCGTCAATTATAACCTCAAAAGCCTCTCGTGGACAGTATGCCCTTTCCCTTTGCTTATTTGTGTGATTTGCTGGAGCAAATCGCAGACAGTCTACGAGGGGGCCCAAAGGTAAGCCAGCAGTTGATTAAAGAATGGTTTCAGCACCACCGTGCGCTTGTCACCCACGAGAACACCAACAGGTGTGCGCTGCTGTCATCTCTACTGCCAGAGTTGCGCACAGATCGAATGTATGGGATCAAAGAAGTCAAACTAGAGCAAATCATTGCTCGCGCTTGGGGTTTAGGAACTAGGAGAAGGCACCTCATACCAAGCAAGAAGAAGGATTCGCCCGAAGACTTTGCCGATGCCGTTGAAAGAACGCTCATCAAAGCGGTAAGTCCTTTTTAAGTGTCCTCCAACAGCTTCTACAAGTCCTTGTGGGGACATGAGTTCAATACTACGAGCCGACTCAAGAAACTACCTTACTAATAAGCCATCAGCCAAATGACCCTGGAAGATGCAGTCTCAGCCTCGAGACTATCGACAGAGTCCTCGAGAATGTTGCTGCCAATTGCCGTTTCAGTTCTCCCGCCGTACGATCCTTGAGTTCGAAGGCTCAAGCCGCTGAAAACGAAGAAGCTCTTCGTGAGATATACAGACAAGTGACTCCACGCGAAGCCAAATGGCTGACCCGGATGATTCTCAAAGACTATCGTCCTGTCGTTCTTGATGAACACGTCGTGTATCAGAGCTGTCATGAGTTGCTACTCTATGTCATGAAAATCCACGACAATTTTGCAGAGGCTATGGGCCTGCTGCAGAGGTACGAGCGCAACTGTGGAGTCACTCAGGAAACCTTGAGTCGAGAACTGATCACCACACAAATCAAACCCATACTTGGAGTGAAAGTTGGCCGCCAAACCTTCCTCAAAGGGCGGAGTGCCCGTGATTGTGTTGAGATGGGCTCTGGCTTGATGAGTTGCGAGAGGAAAATGGACGGAGAATACTGCCAAATTCACGTCAATGTTGAAAAAGGGATGGATCGTATCCAGATCTTCTCCAAGAGCAGGAAAGACAGCACTGCGGACCGTATTGGTGTTCATAAGTAAGTCCACATACTGTCCTCGCACGCCTCTGCCACTGACCGCCTACCAAGGGCTATTAAAGCTGCTCTGAAAATCGGGGAGCCAAGCTGCAAGTTGAAGAAAGGATGCATCTTGGAAGGCGAGCTACTGGTTTATAGCGACAAAGTGCGTGCTCCGTACATGGCATAACGCGAGTAATTACTTACTCACTCACAGGAGAAGAGGATACTTGGATTTGACGAGATTCGAAAGCATGTCAACCGTTCCGGAAGTTCTATAGGTACTGAGTATGACTGCCGGTAAGTTTTCGTAAAAGATATATTGCTACCCATCATCTAATCTTCCCAGACCGAGCGAACATGAACATCTTATGATTGTCTACTACGATGCTCTCATGATAGATGATGATTCGCTTCTAAGTGCGCGTCGATCGGAGCGCTTCCGACGGCTAGAAAACTTGATTGAGAAGATTCCCGGCCAGGCTGAGCTTGTAAAGCGACGTTTGATTGACTTCTCCTCGCCTACGGCAGTCGCCCAAGTTCAGACTGAGATCGACAAGTGTGTCGATAGGCATGAAGAAGGTTTCGTGCTAAAGGCAGACGATCCCTACTTCGACTTCAGTTCCGGACGCAGGCGCTATTCTTGTTGTCCTATCAAGTGCAAGCCGCAGTATGACCCCAAAAGAGGAGAAGTTGGTGACTTTGCTGTTGTCGGCGCCCGGCACGACCCAGCGAAAGCCAGAGAATACGAGAACAAAATCGCAGATCTGAAATGGACGCACTTTTACCTTGGGTGTCTACTCAACAAGCGGGATGTTCTTTGTAGACACGAGAAGCCCAGCTTCAAGATTGTTGCTGTTGTTACTTTGAACATAACACAGCTGCAGCATTTCGCCCGTTTCTGCTGGACTGAGTCAACATCTGTGGAAGATAATGACAAGATTACTCTCCAGCAAGAGCGTGGAGTGGACAATGGAAAGAAGCCCTCAATTATATTTGCGAATCCGGCAGTCTTCGACATATCATCATTCTCTTTCCACAGAGAAGCGGGGACTAGCTTCTGGGCTCCAAGGTTTCCGCAAGTTACAAGAATCCATTGCGACAGGACCCAGGATGATTGCCTTACTTTTTCAGAACTTCAGAAGAAAGCCGAGTCAGAGACCTCATATGTAGCATACGAGGACAGTCAGGAACTAGTACAACGCATCCTGAGATTGGGTGATGACGCTCGAGAAATGCGTGACACAGACGATGGCAATCTCGGCTCACAGGCTACGAACGAAGAAGAAACCAGAACACCCCAAGAAGCTCTTTTACAAATGAAGTCCAATTCACCACATGCTGTACGCGGCATCACCGGTCCAGAAGAGCTTCCAGCGAGAGGTCGCTCACAACAATCCTTCAATATCGCTCCCATGACTCCTCCGAGATCATCTCTTCCAGAAGGACGAGAGAATGAAAGTGACGAAATCCTAGAGATCACTGCAAAGGATTCCCAGAGCCGGAAGAGATCTCGGCCAATGAATCATGACGTCCCAACCAAGAAACAGAAACGAGTCGGCCTAGGCACTCCTGTCTCCTCAAGCCCTATCAAACCAGCATCTCAGCATAGGCAGCCCCTCGGCGACATAACCTCCTCATCACAGGGTAGCAATGTACTTCCAACGACAAGGTCGGCATCGCAAGGGATCCGAGAATCCCTCGCCTGTCCCTTAGAAGATACCGAACAGGCGCCCTTGGAGGTAGAGCAACTTCTTCCATCATTGTCAGTTGACCGTATGTTTCCATGCCACTACGCTGGAAACGTCTGTGCTTTGGCCAACTGTCTCATCTTGCTCTCTCCCTGTCTCGCTAGATTTCCGTTCGTTGCAGAGGACTTACCCAAGTCTCATGGTATCACCAGCATTTTTACAGATCTTAATTCATGGAGAGATGCACCTCTAGACCATAAGACAGGTGACGGACTCAATGTTACACCTCAAAGACGGAAATTTAAGAAAATAATCCTGGTCGAGCGTAATCGAAGGCAAGCCACAAAGCAGTTTCTGAGCAAAATTGAGGCACTCAACCTCCAGCGCCATGGCAGAAAACAATGGGTGAAGGTCTACGACTGGCGTCTCCTGGAATCCATCACTCAGGAAGAACATCGGCTGCATCGAGCTGAGATAGGAACAACTCGACAAACTCGGGCTACAGGCGCTCATAAGCATGAGGTATGGAGGACGCATCTGCTGGGTCTTATATAGTTACATATTGCATGGCTTAGGTCTCGCTGGGTGCATCACATAGGCGCTAAAGGACGCATAGGAATGGTATAGATTAGTTTTCTGCATGATAGGAGTTTATCAGAAGTATAGCATTGTTGCTAGCATAAGCTTGGCCTCTATGGAAATAGTTGAGGGTCCTTATTCTTCGTCCTTATCCGTGCACTCGTATAATTGAAGATAGGTTGAGCGTAGCCGCATCTGCAGATGCTCAGCTGCCGTTATAACTTTGCTATCAGGGGTCACATCCGAGGACTTAGCGATTTTCTTCACTCGATCGCTGGGCACCGCCGTCAAAGGCATAGTATCAACTGGGTGGCAGAAAAAAGCGATAGAATAACGATCTTCGGAGTCGGTTTCCCCTTTGACCATGTCTATTCCTGGCGCTGGGAAGACGACACGGTGTACAGTACTGCGAAGCAGACCATTGGTCCAGTAAGACAGCAGGTCACCGATATTGACCAGTATCGGGGGAGCAGGGTCATTATCTGTGCCCGGGGGAGATACAGGCACTGGCGCCCAATCACCCTGCTGAGTGTTGATCTCAAGTCCGGCTTGACCCTTCAATCTGAAGAGGAGGGTTATTGAGCCATAATCCGAATGGGCTCCCGCGCGGACATCCTCAACTCGAGCATCAGTTTTGCTTAGCGGAGGGTAATACAAGAATCGTAAGGTATTGCCCGAAGAGCCTTTCTCTCGTAGATGTGCATCTTTGAAGAAGTCATGTGGGTTGACCTTGTCAAGTTAGAGTCTTGGAGGCTTTCAGAGGCTTGACTAGGCACTGACATCTAAACCAACACCAAGAAGATAATTTATTTTCAAGCACAATTTGTAGCAAAACTCCCAGAAAGTCGCAGTCTGATCCTGAAGATGTTCGATGGTCTCTGGTATTGGCTGTTGAGCCTTCCCGTCCTTGAACTCGCCAAAGTTGAATGCTCTTGCATAAGTTAGATCCAAGATTGATACAGCCTTCAGGGGAATAAATACTCTTTGAAGTCGCCTACCTAGAGACACATTAATAATCTGCGAACCCTGCATAACTCAGCATTTACACTTACCCTCTGTGCTTTCGGATCTAATGTCTCAACTTGCATACCGGCCCAGCCTCGATTATTTTGTTGGATTTTGCATCTTGCCTTATTTTCAACTGGTGCTCCGAAGAGCTTTTTGGACTGCATGAATCAGTGTTCCTGATCTCCAGAAATCGATATCCTCAAATGTTACCATGTTGAACGCATTCTGAATGACTTCCACGGGAAAGTCTTCACCAGTGTTTTTGATGTAGATGAAACCATGCTCCACTGCGGCATCCACCAATTCTCGAGCCACCTCCAGCTGTTCGCCACCACCAGATATATCGATTATCGGGATCTTTGCGACGACACCCATGACTTTTTCGCTTACAGTATCTTAAGATAAAAGAACAAACTGAACAATTGAAGACATATGATAGAGTGCGAGGTCTGCTCGCTTTTGGACGCGGAGGTGCTCGGAAGTGTTTTGCCCAGATCATTCGACTTATATCGGTAGAAGTCAATTGGCGGGCAGCGTCACACAGGTACTTTTCAAAGTGAATGCAGTCACACACAAACCCTATGCGTTTTTCAGGATAAGACAAGAGAGTAAATTAATGTTACTTGTACATAGACACCTCCTCTAAGATAATTAATATGTTGCCCTGCCAGAGGGGGAATCTCTTCACAGTCATCTGGTCAGGCTGTCACATGACTGAGCCCGTGCTGATTGTGTCGTGGTGGATCGTTATCGTGAACTGGAAGGAGCGCCTGAGCTGTTCCAGCTGGTGGCTGAGATTTATCTCCAATAGGGCCGCCCTGGCTTTTAGGTCGAGCCACGGTTGGCGATCTCGCTTCACTGGACGCGACAGTCAACTGCACGTCCATGAGCTTATTTCGACAGCGCAAATTCTTCCGAACGTTACACATCATGCTCATCCACCACGACTAATTTCTTCGAAAAATTCCATCAGCCATTCATCCTCCATCGAACACTACATATTTTCCATCGACGGAAGCCATCAATCAGCTCATCGCCGATCGATTAACCTGCCTTGTAAAGCATGCGCCCGGCTTGAATCACGCACCCTCGCCTTGAAGCATTTCCCAGCCGTGCCCTGCTCGGCACCTTCCTCAGCGCATCATGGCATCGCCAAGCTCTCCGGCAGGGAGCGGCTTGGAGGCGCCCAGCTCCCCTGTCGGATTTGAGAAATCTTTCATGACCAATGTCACGGAAGATGAGGATACCAAGATGGGCGACGCAACTCCAGAGCCCACCGAGGGCTCCCGGCGAGGCAAGGGCGGGCGCCACTCTACAAATCAAGGCGGCGCATCAATGTATGGAAAGATTCGACATCTGAAAAAGGAGGACGGCGAGCCCCTCTGGCGCAAGGATATTCAATTTGATTTCCTCAAGGCTGTCTTCGATGACGAGAGTAAGGTCTTCACCAACAGCTATGAGCCTGACAACATCGGCAAGCAAAACTTTGCCGATCTATACATCGACACCATGTCGAGAAGCAGCAAGACCAGTAAAGTCCTCCGCGACAAACTGCTTAGTGACCGAGAAGCCGCGAAGGGTATGGCCATGGTCTGCCTTCTGGTGAACATTGGCAGAATGAATACAACGCTCAATTGTAAGTGCTCTCATCAAGAAGCCTATCTAAAAGCTGTACACTAACGCCTCGAAATAGTCTTCCCCGAAATGCGAGCGCAACTCCGGACATATCATGCAATTCCCTCACTCCAAGCGCATCAAGATCCGCATGCATACAAACAGCTACAAGATGCCCCACGTCTCAAGTCGATTTTGAAGGGAGGAGCCGAGGATCGTCCAGAGCCGAACACGCTCGACAAAATTAAGGATTCCGATATTCCTAGAACAAATCCGGTAAACCTGCTCTTTGTGATCTGCCAGTCGGCTGCAAAGATCGCCGAATTGCATTTCCCTCCTGGAAAGGAGTTCCATGATCTCGTCATGAAGACAAACTACACCAGTCAGTCTCGTGCACGCGCGTTCCTGTGGGTCATGTGGTTCTACTTGGAATCCGACTTTACGGAAGAAGGATGCATTGAGAATCCTTTTGGCGAGGGCGTAGATTATGGTGTTGACGTCGCCAACCAGGGTATCCCAAAGCTTGTGGACATGACGGAGGAGCAAGAGGCAGCAGAGAATGTTGATCCTCAAGAAGAGATCGATTTTGGCTTCGCCAAACAGAAGATGCGAGCAAAGATCATCGAGGCAGATCAGGCGTACATGGTAGACAACCAGTCGAAGCGTGGCTCTAGAGCGCGGGTTTTTGCAGCTGGCGAGGAAGGCGGTGCCACTCTGGGAATCTTGCCACGCATTAGACCTTCCAAGCATGAGTCTGATATCGACAGCAGCCGTTCAACGCCTCCACCTAGAGCTCTAGGACGGCACAGTGGGGCCTTTGGTAGCTCCAGTCGTCGGGGCGGCGCACCTCTCAAATACCAGATCTTTGAAGGGTCATCCCCTGGTGGCCCTGCTATTGAGGGTATCGTGGCCCGAAAGCCTCGTCCTCCGACCGCACACCAACTAGCAGTGGAGCGCAACCGTTCTCAGCGAGTGGAATACATCCTAGATCGGGGTATTCGAAAGCGTCATCACAAGTCACGTCGTCTACGCAAAGTGGACGGAGCCATCATTCGCGCAGTCAAGCGTCTCAAGGAGATGGCTGATCCTTTCGATGACAGCGAGAGCGAGGAGAATAGTGCTTTCAATAAGCACCAGTTGCTCCTCGGCCCTCCCAGCCAGTTCGCACAGCTCACTGATAGCAATGGCAAGCCGTTCCCCTTCCGTGAGCGAGGCTTTGGTGGCCTGGTTCAGCTAGGCACCGAAGAGGATGATTTTGGCGAGGAAGTTAGTGCATACGCTGCCGCACTGCGCCGAGCCAATCGACGACTAGACCGCTGGGAACAGGGCCCGGATCTGGGCGTCGTTGCACCTACCAAGAAGATCAAGCCGCAAAACGGCTACCTGAATGGCGAGAAGGATCCTAATGAGACCGAGGAAGAGATTGATCTTGACCAAGATGGCGATAAGGGCGATGACAGCTTGCTTATTCCGCCTCGTCCCCGTGCTTCCAAATTGAACGGAGCCACCAGCTCCAACGGTGATGTCCCCATGGAAGATGCTGACGACCTTAATGATGTCGACAAGGAGCTCCTGGGGATTGCTGACGGTGAAGATGGGGAGGACGAGGGAGACGGAGACCTTGAAAAGGATGGTGATGACGAGGATGAGGCCCTGGATGATGTTGAGAAGACTCTTCTTGGCATGGATGGCGATTCAGATACAGAGTAATTGTTCTTTGACGAGGCATCGATTGGCTCGAGAAAGCCGCCTTCTCGTCATTGTCTCTTTGGAACAAGTGTCCAGACGGGCATATCAAACTACATCGGATGCGTTATGTTGTATTATCACGGCTGTACATTTAGGGAGGTCACACGGTACGGTAGGCCAATTTTGGCTTTGCAATGTCTACAGAGACGTAGATTGCTTGAGGCCCAGACAAAATATAGAGGTAGCCAGCTATAGTAAACTGGCAAGGCAATTACTTGATAGTGTATCCATTGACTTTCCTTCTCACTGCTAGGGTCAAGGTGTCCTCTTGCCAATGCTATCGTAATTATAAAGAACGAGTCCAGTAAACCTCTGGACCGGCACCTACTTTAGTGTTATAGAGCGCCTATTCCAGATGGAGCTATTGGGAACGACAGCCGAACGGAGAGTGTCTGGCCTGCGGGGCCGCTGACTGAAGCAAGTCCGATCCCTGTCTTTCAGGGTCCAGTGGGCTCGTTTACCCTGTCCAGGGCAATTGTCCAAGGTTTTGGAGGACAAGCTTCCATTGATGGTCTTAGGATTCACATAGTAGCAGGCTTCTGCCGTCAGCAAGTACTAGTGAACCGGAGTACGTGTATTTTTTTTTTGAGCCCATGTTTGCGATCAGACTCCAATTTTCAACGAAATCCTTTCAGGCCTGCTGCACTTGAACTGTTTTCTAGCCACTCGGCTCGCGTACCGTTGTCGTCATTTGACCTTTATGCAACTCCTCCAGGAACAGCGGTGGCCCGGCGATGGCATCATATCTCAAAAGCGCATTGCGCTGTTCATGAGGCTCTAAAATAAGGAGAAAGAGCTGCTGTTGCACGCACCATCTCGGCTCAGAGGGTCGTAATTACGACCCAGACCCAACAGTAGATATGCTAAGTACAATGCAGGAGGTGCTTCTTTCACCACTGGCACCATTGGATCGTGGGTAGGTCGTGATCAATCCACTTGGCGGCCACGACACAGGCGGCGGCCTCGCTAGCAAGAAGCTTGGCCTGGAGGTGGGACCATGCCGTGTCGGGTAACCCAGACTGCGCAACATCGTCGATATGCGCTCCGGTGCCGATGGCCGAAACGGTGGTGCCAGAGGTGTGTCGTATTTTTTTTGTTGAACGCCGTGCATGAGCGCCGTGCATGTCCTATGGCCGTAGGACTTGCGTGATGCGGGGATGTGACGCTTCGCCGTGCAGGTCAATCACACACGTTATTATACATACCGGTTGCAGAGGACTCGACAGCGACTACCGGCAGGTGTTCTGGGATGGACGTCGCCCGGAGCCCCGCTGCAAGTATCCCCAGAGGACCATGCCCATGCACCGGGCGGCGCTGATCGTCCTCGCACCCTGACTTGCCTGGGTGAGCCGTGTCTGACGCATACATGTCATACATATCACACGAGAAACGAGATATGGTAGTCGGGCCCTAGAATCTGACTGCTTCGGCCGAGACCCTCTTGTTGTTTCGGAGTTCTTTCTTGGCTTTTCTCTCTTACCGCTCTTCTGCGAGCTCCGAACGCCTGCGGTAGCCCGGGTCGACTCGAATTCCGCTGCTGACACCTCTTTGATGGCGGCCGCTACATGTTAACCACGTCAATCAGTCGGCAGCCTAGTGTAGGGAACTCACAGGGTAACCTTGTGAGGTGGACGCTGGTGCCGTTGTTGCCGGTGATGTTCACCAAGATCTGAAGTTTTGAAAGATTCCAAACAGATTCCAGCTGCCTGTACCGTGAAAAGTCAATTCAAGTCGTGAAACAGTTGAGTTCTTCCTAAAACGCCCATTGTAGTAGCCCATTTGACTCCGCCTCGAATGTGAACAACTGTAGAATCGTGAATGCACAGATGTTATCCGACACCCACAGCCGATGTGATCAACGGAGCCGTGCGCAACGGCCTGTTAATCACGCGTATCAACCGCCCTTCCACAATCGTATCGTATCGCATCCTACGTCGGTGGATACAGCAAAACCTCCGCGAGTCCAGAACACTCTAATTTTTTTTCCCCCTTCGAGAATATAACCTGAAGGAGTAATGTATGAACACTCATCCACGCACCACAGGCATTTATTTAGTCTAGTAGCATTGGCAACTTTTGTAGGACCACTAAAGCCCTACGCTAAGTCGCACGCCTCTCAGACGAGAGCCGAAGCGAGGTGCATTTGTAAGAAAGGAGCTCCCATTTGCACATCAGGATGTCGGCACCGTAATCGCCGTGACCCCCGACACCGACCTTCTCTGCTTGTCATAGCCGTATCATACACCCCTAATCCCTGCCCACCATGCCCCCTTGGCTGCCGTCCTACTGTACCTTAACCCGCATTCAGAGCATCGGGTCCGGGTCGCTTTCCTGATCTGCCCACTGGCAGAGATGCGAATTGGGACCAGGGCAGAGTGATGGGCAGGCAAACGGAACCAACAGACAGAAAAAAAAAAGAAAAAAAAAAAGAGATCAAACGAGAGATAGTAGCTAGTAGCTGCGTGCAGAGGGAGGGGCGAGATAGTCCTATACCGATATTTCAGTAATAACAAAGCGCTTGCGACGGTGACTCGTGGCCTGTTTCTTCCCCTCCTCCCCGTCTTCACCTTGTTGACAATTGTTGTCGTCATCCACTTTCTCTATCTGCATTCCGCAGGCGTCTGTCCTTGCCAGTCCGCCGCTCGGGAACCCCAGATCTGTGGCGCCCCTTCGTTATCCACTCTCCAAGACAAGCTGCAACTCCGAGTGCATGGTCAGGCACAGTAGCGTAGCGTATGCTTAGGTAGCCTGCCAGCCCGCCTCCATTCGCATTCGTCCGGTGATAGTGCCAAAGGCCGGCCTACTGCTTCGGCCTCATTATTAATACCCAGGGTACCCACTCCTCCGACTTTCTCTACCGTTCCCCCGGATCCCTTCGTTCTTTGTTTCCACGTCCCATCTTTCCTTTGCGGCGCAGCCAAGACCGGGTCCTTCATTGCGTCCGGGGTAAAGACGTTGGTGTAAGTCGGCCTGGATAATGGCAGGCTCAGACTATGAGAAGGAGATAAGCCCAGGCGACCCGCTTGCGGATCCCAACCGGCCATTGGATGATGAGACTGAACCTGTCGATGAGGAGAAAGCGATAGCCTCCGAAGCTGCGGCGAAAGATGAAGAGGGCGGGTTAGAGCCCATCACGGCTGAGAGTGAAAGACGGAATAGGCCTCAGTTGGATCGCATACAGAGTGCAGCGACCGAGTCGAGTGTCGCAACTGGAGTCGCCAGCCACCATGAACCTCAAAAGAAACCATGGTATAAGAATATGAATCCTTTAAGATGGGGAAGTCTGCCACCTGTACCAGAAGAACGAGGACCGTCACCGGAATACACTGCGGGCTTCTTCAGCAAGCTGATATTTACTTGGCAGGGTCCGTTGATGAGAGTGAGTAAATGCCTTTCTTAACCCGAAAGATTTTCAATCCGGGATCGATGCTCACTAGAAGACAGGTCGGTTATAAGCGCCCACTTGAGCAGAATGATATCTGGCACGTCAACCCAGATCGAGCCGTGGAGAAGATGTCCGCTAAAGTCAAGGCTTCCTTCAAGGATCGTATTGCAAAGGGCCAGAAATACCCCCTTCTGCGGGCTCTGCATGAGACTTACTTCTTTGAGTTCTGGCTGGGCGGTCTTTGCCAGCTCATGTCTGCCATCATGCAGGTCATGTCTCCCTTCACCTTGCGATATCTTATCAAGTTCGCCACAGACGCATATATTGCTCAAACCCAACACCTGCCGCCCCCTAGCATCGGCAGAGGCATAGGTCTGGTTCTCGGTGTGACTGCGATGCAAGTATTTCAGAGTCTTGGGACCAATCAATTCATTTTTCGTGGCATGATCATCGGAGGTCAGGCTCGTGCATCTCTGATCGACTTGATCTATGAAAAGTCCATGGTTCTCTCTGGCCGGGCGAAGGCCGGTGGGAAAGCCCTGGCCGAAATACAAGAAGGTGCGGAAGATGAGAAAGCGGATAGAAAGAAGAAGAAGAAAAGAGGCAAAAAAGGTGATCTTGAGGAGCAGGACGGCATATCTGGCGATGGGGTAGGTTGGAGCAATGGAAGGGTGGTCAACTTGATGAGTGTTGACACCTACCGTATCGATCAAGCCTGTGGTTTATTCCACATCATCTGGACGGCTCCCATCTCTTGCACCATCACACTTGTGGTCCTTCTCATCAATTTGACATACAGTGCACTAGCCGGATTTGCTTTGCTGGTTATCGGCATGCCAGTCCTCACAAGGGCAATCAAGGCCCTTTTCGTCCGGCGAGCGGTCATCAACAAAGTCACGGATCAGCGTGTCAGCTTGACACAAGAAATTTTGCAATCCGTTCGATTTGTCAAGTTTTTCGGCTGGGAAAGTTCGTTCCTCAACCGTCTGGAGGATTTCCGCGCTCGTGAGATCTCCATGATTCAGGTCCTGATGGCTATTCGTAACGGCATTATGGCTATAAGCTTGTCGCTACCCATTTTTGCGTCCATGCTCTCCTTTATTACATACTCGCTGTCTCACCACGACTTGCAGCCTGCTGAGGTCTTCTCTTCACTTGCGCTGTTCAACGGGCTAAGAATGCCGCTCAACCTGTTGCCTCTTGTCATTGGTCAGGTGACGGATGCGTGGTCGTCTTTGAAGCGTATCGAAGATTACCTGCTCGCTGAAGAGCAGGAAGAGGAGGTTGTTTGGAAGTCAGATGGCCCGAACGCAATCGAGATGCACGATGCAAACTTCACCTGGGAGAGAACTACCACTCAAGCCCCTGAGGGTACTGCGACCGTGCCCACGGAGAAGAAGGGCGAGGGGAAGAAACAGAAGGGTGGTAATAAGGACGACTCCAAGGGCGTGCAGAAATCCGGCGACTACTCTGAAGACACTGGGAGTACTTTGGTTGAAGAGCGGGAGCCTTTCAAGCTCACAGATATCAACTTTGAGATCGGGCGAGACGAACTTGTCGCCGTGATCGGCACTGTTGGAAGTGGCAAGAGTTCGCTCCTCGCCGCACTTGCTGGCGACATGAGGAAAACTAGTGGTGAAGTTGTAATTGGAGCATCGAGAGCATTTTGTCCCCAGTATTCATGGATTCAGAATACCACAGTACGAGAGAATGTCCTCTTTGGTAAGGACATGGACCGCCAGTGGTATAAGGAGGTCATCAAAGCGTAAGCCACCTTTCAGCCACAATATCTGGATTGCAATGTCACTAACTAAATCTTTTGTAGTTGTGCGCTCGAGCCGGATCTCGACATGCTTCCGAACGGAGACATGACCGAGATTGGTGAGAGAGGTATCACCATTTCCGGCGGTCAGAAACAACGACTGAACATTGCCCGTGCAATTTACTTCAATGCAGACATGGTACTGATGGATGACCCTCTCAGTGCTGTTGACGCTCATGTCGGGCGTCACATCTTTGATAACGCCATCCTTGGTCTTCTCAAGGGCAAATGTCGTATCCTGGCAACTCATCAACTGTGGGTTCTGAATCGCTGTGACCGCATCATTTGGATGGATGAGGGAAAGATTCAGGCTGTTGACACGTTTGAAAACCTTATGAAGGGGCATGTCGGCTTCCAGCAGTTAATGGAATCCACCGCTCTGGAAGAGAAAAAGGAAGGCGCCTTGATCACCGATGGTGACGGAGAAGAGGCTCCGAAGAAGAAGAGAAAGAAGGGCAAAACCCTGATGCAAGTCGAAGAACGTGCTGTATCCAGCGTCCCTTGGTCTGTGTACGGCTCGTATGTTAGAGCATCGGGAAGCATTCTCAATGCTCCATTCGTGATCGGCCTGCTTCTACTTTCTCAAGGGGCCAATATTATGACCAGTCTGTGGCTGTCATACTGGACCGCGGACAAGTACGGGCTCTCGATGGGGGCATATATGGGCATCTATGCTGGCCTCGGCGCAACACAGGCTATGCTGATGTTCGCATTCATGTTCTCTCTGTCGGTCTTTGGCACCAATTCCTCGAAGACTATGCTGCGTCAAGCGATTACCAGGGTCTTGCGTGCTCCCATGTCGTTCTTTGACACCACTCCATTGGGTCGCATAACTAACCGCTTCTCGAGAGATGTCGATGTCATGGATAATAACTTGTCTGACGCTATGCGAATGTACTTCTTCAGCATTGCGTCAATTGTTGCAGTCTTTGCACTGATTATCGCCTTCTTCCATTACTTCGCTATCGCCCTCGTCCCGCTATTCTTCATGTTCATGTTTGCGACGAGTTATTATCGGGCATCTGCCCGAGAAGTCAAGCGATTCGAGTCGATTCTGCGGTCAAATGTGTTCGCAAAGTTTGGCGAGGGGCTGTCGGGTGTGGCGTCTATCAGAGCGTATGGCCTGAAAGATCGCTTTATCTCCGATTTGCGCACTGCAATCGACGACATGAACTCTGCGTATTACCTCACATTCTCCAACCAGAGATGGCTTTCTGTTCGCTTGGATATGATTGGTAATGCGCTCGTGTTCACGACTGGTATTCTCGTTGTTACGGAACGTTTCAATGTGCCCCCTTCGATTGGTGGTCTTGTGTTGAGTTACATCCTTGCGATTGTGCAGATGATCCAGTTCACAGTTAGGCAATTGGCTGAAGTTGAGAACGGCATGAACGCTGTCGAAAGGCTGCTGTACTACGGTACACAACTGGAAGAGGAAGCACCATTGCACACTATCGAGGTCCGCCCTAGCTGGCCAGAGAAGGGCGAGATCGTCTTCGACAATGTCGAAATGCGTTATCGGGCTGGCTTGCCTCTCGTACTCAGAGGGCTCAACATGCATGTCCGCGGTGGCGAGCGTATCGGTATTGTTGGCCGTACAGGAGCAGGCAAGAGTTCCATCATGTCCACGCTATTCCGCCTGGTGGAGCTCTCAGGAGGTCACATCACCATTGATGGGTTGGACATTTCCACCGTTGGCCTCAACGACCTCCGCAAACGTCTTGCGATCATTCCTCAGGATCCAACTCTGTTCCGAGGTACAGTGCGCAGCAACCTGGACCCGTTCAATGAGCACACCGACCTAGAGCTGTGGTCCGCGCTTCGGCAGGCTGATTTGGTACCACGGGACGCGCAATACAGCGAAGAGACTGGCGCTCCCAATGTTCGAGATCCATCTCGCATCCATCTAGACTCAGTGGTCGAAGAAGATGGTCTGAACTTTTCGCTCGGACAGCGACAGCTGATGGCTTTGGCACGAGCCCTTGTTCGGGGCAGCCAGATCATCGTGTGCGACGAGGCGACATCTTCAGTCGATATGGAGACGGATGACAAGATTCAAGCCACAATTGCCTCCGGATTCCGGGGCAAGACGCTCCTGTGCATCGCCCATCGTCTCCGCACCATCATTGGCTACGACCGTATCTGTGTCATGGACCAGGGCCGCATAGCCGAACTAGACGAACCGCTCGAGCTGTGGAAGAAAGAAGACGGTATCTTTAGGGGCATGTGCGACCGGTCCGGCATCCGGGTTGAAGATATCCGTGGTGCTAAGGAGAGCATGGCTGCGATTGTTGAAGCTTCGAGGACAAGAAGTGGAGAGAGCTGGGCCGAGAGCTCCAAGAATAAGGAGGAGCTTTGAGAGTCTTATGTAGGGCTGATTTGTTCAGAAAGTGCGGTAAGCTGTTAAAGTTTCTGTGGTACCATACTTTGGACAAAGTTAAGGAAAGAGCGATCGCATACAGTCCCCATCACACATGATATACATAATCAGGAGAGGGCTGTGGGCGTTTTCAGGCATCGTTTTACTTTTATAGAGACAAAGAGTCAAATCACAATGTTTTAGCATCGAAAGAAAAGCCGAGATATAAGAAGCGTGTTGAAGCACCTAGCGAGATGTTAGGAGATAGGCAAATATATAAGGCGGACTCAGTGTCCTCGATTCGACTTAACAAGTGTCTACGTTGTGATCGTCGCCATTAAGATGATAAGACACAGGGGCTAATTAACAGCATAAGAACTGCCATGTCAGCACTTAGGATCGCCGTAAGCTGTGATGTGGCACAATCCATTCGCTGGAACCGCCGCAACGGCGAGGTGGCCCGGTCTGTTGGATCCAGCGTTTGCCTGTTGTAGGTGGTAATTTACGAAGCTGCAATGCGCAAAGCTAAAATAGACAACGCATACCCATGTAGACGACTGATCACGGCTAATCATGTCATAGTCTATGCCGGTACAACTAGCATCCTTGTACAAGTACTCTAACCCGACTGCAGGTAACGGGATACAACAGCAAACCAGGGCTTGATGTCGCACAGATAGAGACTGGCGATACAATGCAGAAAGAATCCATTTCGAATACAGTCTGACAGCATTTGGATGAATGCAACTTCCCGCAGTATGTGCATGCCATGAAGGCTGACATCTGCAGTTATCCTACGTCTTAGCTCGGATGGAATGACTTAGTCTGACTTGAACATGTATTTAGGATACGAGTATCACGGATTGTCGACTATGATATCAAGATAATGTCCAGTTTATTTCGAATCGAAGCTATATACCAATGAATAAACAAGCGTAAAGCCAAACCGAGCCATGGACTCCTCTCTAATGCCGATACAAAATAGTACACCGCACGTCACTTTTCACTGTGACATATATTCTCCTTCTACCATTGGCATTCGCAACAGCCTAAAGACAGCCGGCGGAGCTGTTGTTTCCAACTACATTAATGCAAAAGTCTGATGATGATCAGGAATACCCTTCCTGTCTTTTAGTTCACCACCGAAACGCCCCAATGCCTCTGAAGTGAGAGCCTCAAACACGCCGTCCCTGTACCAGATCAAAAGAAAAGGTCCTTAGCAACAGCCTAGAATCTCCCTTGAGACTGGGTGTGCCCGTGGTGCGGATTTTGTGGAGGCATCTGACCAGCAGGTGGGAACATGCCGGGTTGGTCGTCCAACAAATCATCCAGGAAAGCACTGGGTGCGCGGCCGCTCGGTGGGCGGTAGAGGTTGAGGGAACTTGTGCTCACGTTTCTCTGCTGAGGTGTCCTTGTAGGGCCCATGGAAGGCGATTCAGGCGGACTGGGTTCATATGCACGAGCGTGCCCCCTCGAGTCTGGCCTCAGGTTCGTCAGGCTTATAGAGTGGCCATGAGCGTTAGCTGGTGAGGCGGAACCAGCAGCATAGAAGCCGGATGGCAAAAATCGAGAGTCGCGGTTCGAAGTATTCATGCCGGCACCAGCAGACGCTGTGGGGGAGAAGAACAAGTTCGTTTGAGAAGGCGTCGCCGAAGGAATAGGGCCACGAGTCGTCCTGCGTACACCTCGTCCGGCGTTTGCTGAAGCCAGCGTCGGAGATGAATCTCTGTCGCTGTATTTATAGAAAGGCGCAGGCGGAGCAGGGAAAGCTTTGTCGTTTGCAAGATGCTGGTTCAAAGCAGCACGTTCAACAGAGCGATGGAGGAGGCAGGCCACGATGGCGCGCCACAGAAGGATGGCAAGACCAAAGGCACCGAGAATGGCGCCTACGGCAATAAAGACAGTGCCATCGGGAGCAGTCGACTGATGCATGAAAGGTGCATTCGTAGTCGGTGGCACACTGGCTGCAGGATATGTTGGAATGGCTGTATCAACGGTCTTCGACAGAGTCGGAAGAGTTAGCGAGCCTGTGCTTCCAGTTGCCGAAGTCCCAGAGGTGCCTGTGATCTGAGGGAGGCTTGTCTCGCCTGTAGCAGACGTGTCGTCCGCAGTGTTCGTGTTTGTGATCTTCGGCGTGGTGTTTGCCGTTGTGGTGGCGTCATCAGTGTTATCTGCCGTGGCCGTCGTAGCGGCAGCCTTCGAAGTCTCTTCAGCTGTCGTCGCAGCCGCTGTGGCTGATGTTGAATCGTCGTCGTCATCGTTCTGTGCGAAACCCTGAGCAGAAAAGAGCGCGAGGACCAGAATCGTAGACAACAGAAGCATCCGCTTCAGGGAGAGTCGAGTGGACGCCATCTCGATGCTCTAGGCGTCACAATGATGGAGGTACCACAAATAGCGAAGGGATTGCGAGATGCTCGCGAGATTGAGTACGGTGTTGTGTATTGAGACGCAGCCAACACCTGGCGGTTGGACTGTCAACCTGCTGCAGTGCAGGCAGGGCCGGGGCAGGATGCACTCGAGACAACAGTCGCTGTTGGCTGGGTTCCTGGCTATATGCGGGCTCTGATATGCGTGCGTAGAAACGGGGAAGCGGCGGATAAAGGATGGCTTGTTATGCAGGAGACACGGGCGAATAGAAATGGAAATGCGGAAGACGGAGCACCTGCAGCTGGGACGTATACGTTGACGTAGGAAACAAAGAAACGAGAGGACGCAATGAACGGCGACGTCGGAATAGAAGTTGGCGATGGTGATGGCGGTAGTCGATGACACCTCCAGTAGAGTAGGAAGGACAGTGAGGAAGGAAATGGACGATGCCACCAGGCGGTTCACAGCAGGGAGGGTGAGAAAGAAGGAGGGATTGATGGTGTGATGAGAAGTCTCTCCCCGGGCCCTGCGTCGTGGTCGGGGCGGGCTGGGCCTGCAGGGCAGATGGCAGATGGCATTTGCGGGAAGGTGCGAACAGGACAGGACAGGACAGAAAAAAAGCTGGCAGGAAAGTGGTGGGGCCTGCCTCGTAAACTGCCACTCTTGCCCTCTCAGGAGGCATACGGTACCGGCACTGCAGTTACGGGTGCTGAGGGCTGTGTACTGTAAATATTTAGCGCCCCTCGTGTCCAGGAGTGCGCTTCGTCACCCCCTGCAAGGGACCAATGGACAGCCATCGCATTATTGGCAGCAAGGACTCACACATTCCTCCCACAGCACTCCATCGTCACCCATCCCAATTCTCTTTTACACACAATGAGCCTCGCCCTGCTCTGGAATGGTGCCAAACCGGGCAGCAAGTAGACTCTCTTACCTAGGCGAGCTAGGCTTGCTCTGGCGGAGGGACATTCAATAAGAACATACTGGGCAATGAGTAGAATCTGCTATGGTATCTAGCCTCTCATATTACATCATGTGCATGTTTGTATTCAGCACCTAGCAATGCAACAGAAAAATCATTGTCTCCTCTTGTAGTCCCGAACTTCACCAGCACGATGAATGCATGCACTGTACCTACTGTACCTACGAGCCTAGGTACCTAGGGCACTGAGGTAACTTGCAGTGCATTACGGGCTTTCTCAAAATAACTACTACTACCGTACGTCACGCGTCACTGGAAGTCCCAATTTGCACTGTCCCAACGCCCCTTCCCTTTTTAGCAATAAATGGGTCCAGCTGTGCATAGGCCATTTTTGCCCCGCCGTTCGCGTTGCCTGCCGGACTGCGACTTTATCGCATGGCTGTCTAAACTTTTTTATTTTTATGTGAAGCATCTCAGCATCACAACCGCTCAATACAAGCCAACGTGGGGCTCTCAGCAACTGCCTTAACACCTCCGACAGCGCGCCAGCAGCTTCAGCGCGACTAGAACTCTCTTCTAGTTTTCAATACCGTTGCTCAACATGGGTGTCGCAAAGAAAACTCGGAAGTTCGGAGCGGTAATTGAAGCCCATCATGTTGGAAGAGAAAGGATCACTGACCGCCTGCTGTCACCAGGTCAAACGCCTGATTAGCAAAAGGGACAACAGGCTGAAGGAGAACAAGGAAAAAGCAGATCTAGGTCAGAAAAAGAAGGCGGCCTCGGCGAACAACGAGCTCGTACGAGAAATGTATGTGTCTACACGTCCCACACTCCAGGCCACCATGCTAATCTTATTCGCTCTGCAGACCACAAGCGCCGAGCTCCATGTTCTTCCAACACAACACTGCCCTTGTGCCTCCTTACCAGGTTTTAGTCGATACCAACTTCTTATCTCATTCAGTGGCGGCGAAGCTGTGAGTGTCTCTGTGGACGTTCTTAGGAGCTTGTGTTTGACCAAATATAGTGAGCTTCTCGAGACAATGATGACTTGCCTTTACGCGAAGTGCAATGCCATCATTACCGATTGTGTCATGGCAGAGTTAGAGAAGCTGGGACCAAAATACCGGATAGCGCTTCGAATTGCGAGGGACGAGCGTTTGACAAGGCTGAAGTGCGACCACAAGGGCACATATGCAGATGACTGTATCGTCGACCGGATTCAGAAGCACAGAATTTACATTGTCGCAACCAATGACAAGGATTTGAAACGGAGGATACGGAAGGTGGGTGTTCCCCTGGACTAACTGCCATCATTTGACGACAATGTCTCCGGAGTGTTTGTGTGCTGACTGTCAAGCTTATAGGTTCCGGGTGTGCCAATCATGAGTGTTGCGAGAGGCAAGTATCTCATTGAAAGACTTCCGGGCGCTCCAGAGTGAGACATGAACACGGGGAAGCATGTCAGTCATCAACATCTATCTCGCCACGCCACATCTTAGACACGCAAACAGCGGGAGTAAGACGCCAGGAAAAAGCCATGGTGGCCATGTGCGCACATCGGTAGCAGCGCACCGTCTTGCAGAGGGTATCACAAAACCGGCTTATAAAGTCGTCGAAGCGGCCAGGGGAAAACCACCCTGTCATGACCCTAAGGCGGCGTTGGCAGGTTGAATTCTCCGTTGAAGAATCCAGGAGAGAATATCCCAGGGCTTATGTGGAATATATTCATACGCCTAAAGAAATCATTCAAGGGAGGACGGGTAGATATCCAGACCAGATACCCAGCACCATGGCGAAGAGATTTTTTTCCTCGCTCAAAATGTGCTCCTAAATAGATCTATCAATTGATGAAAACCTCAAACACCTAACTCTTCTATACAACAATCGGTAGACTGCCTGGGATGCATTGTTTCGCTAAAGAGCGAAAATGTGAACGGCTCGCGTTTGCTTATGTCCGGGGAGGGCGCATCCGTACCTAGAACTCCGTGTGGGGCCGTTTTTACCGGGCTTAGTCATTTCATAAGCCGCATAGCTTTCAACGACAGACTGTTCGGCGAGCGCCAGTTCCTTGTTGATCGACACGATCCTTCCGTATTCATAAATGACGTTACAAAGACAGGCCTAGCAAGGAGTGTCAATATTCACCTCATCTTAAGCTTCCGAGCCATTTAGACAACCATTCAAGAAAGGCTAAATCTGTCTCAGCTCTAGAGAGAATTGGAATTATAACTATAATTCACAGCCTGCTCAGAGTCTGCCATGGCCGATCCAGAAACTCAGGCAGACATCACACCTACCACGAGTGTAGACACTCCGCCTAAGCGGACTCGGGTGCTTCTCTCATGCGCGCCATGCCGGAACTCCAAACTCAAGTGTGACCGTGCAACGTGAGTAGCCATAAGTGAATAGTCTTTAAACAGTGTATTGCTAACATCATTGCGCAGACCATGTGGCCAATGTTTGAAAAAGGGGCGGACGGATCTTTGCGTTTATGCGCCGAAGCCTGTCAAGAACAAGCCGCCTCAGAGCATGGCAGCCCGTCTCAAGCGCCTTGAGGGCATGGTCAGAGGGATGATAGACCCTGAGCTCGAAGGGGTTGCAGCGCGGCCGGCAGCCACGGAAGCGGATGAGGTTCTTCGCGGTCAAGTCATTCAGGGGGAAGGCGGCCGCGGCGCCACCTATGTTGGTGCAACGCATTTCATGGCTATCCTGGATGATGTAAGGTTTCCCTTCGGCACTCACAGTCGTGGTTAGGGTGCATACGTCTGGCAGTGAGCTAACACCTTTTATAGATCGAAGATCTGAAGAGCTACTTTGACGAAACCGCCCAGCCGGAGGAAGATGAGTCACCTGAGAAAACGCCAGAGGCTGACTCTCCGGAGCTTTTCATGATGTCCCGTGCTCAACCAAGGAGTCGGCAAGACTTGATCAACCTTCTGCCCCCTAAAAATATAGCCGATCGGCTTGTTATGCGGTATTACAGTTCACACGCCCCGTCAATGCGTATGGAGATGTCCGACCCCTGAGCTGTCTTGCGCTGACAGACTATTGCAGATATCGTGCATAAAACGACATTCGTGAAAACGGCAAGTCTCCCTACAAGTTGGAGAACGATGTCACTAACGATTCTGTAGTACAACGAGTTCTGGCAGGATCCTTCAGCTGTGAGCCTCGACTGGCTTGCTCTATTTTTCATGGTCCTTGCCTTGGGAGTTTTCTTCTCCTCATACTCAGCGCCCCATGAAGTCGAAAGCGATTCCTCACTTTCCGCTATGGAGCGTTTCAAGAAATATCGTGAGGCAGCAGGGTGGGCACTAGTGTCGGGCAAGTACACTTCACCGCGGCCCACGACATGTGCACCGTTTCTTCTATACGTGGAAGCTGAATTCTTGATCAACCGAGCGTCTCAGATGAATTGCTATCTTCTGTCTTCGGTCTGCATCCGTATAATGCTCAATATGGGGCTACATCGTGACCCAAGCAAGCTCGCTAACCTAACCCCTTTTGATGGTGAGATGCGCCGTCGTGTATGGAACTTGGCTATTCAAATCGATCTCATGGTTTCTTTCCACATGGGCTTGCCTTCAAGTAAGTGATTTGTTCCGCAGCGCGATACGGATCATTTCGGGTTACGATCTCTCACTGTAGGACATAGTACTAACGTCCAACAATAAAGTGATCCACGGCATCGAATCAGATACTACTCCGCCTCGAAATCTGATTGACAGCGACTTCGATGAAAACTCTACCGAGTTACCCCCCGGACGACCTCCTACAGAATATACTGAGATGACATATCCCATATACAAGAGCGCAATTTGCCGAGTTTTCGGCCTTGTAGCTCGTCAGGCTCATTCCCTGAACACACCGATATACTCAGAGGTCATGAGGCTCGATGGCCTTCTTCAGGAGAAATGGAACAATGTACCTAGCTTTATGAAAGTGCGACCGCTCGAGCAATGCGTTACAGATCCTCCGCACCAGGTCATTCAGCGTTTCGGTATCGCGGCATTGTATCAGAAGAGTCGATGTGTTCTACACAGACGTTACCTCCTCGAGAGGTTCCCGAAGAGGGAACACGAGTATTCGAGAAAAGCATGCGTCCAAGCTGCACTGGCCTTGATGGAGTATCAAAGCGCCATTTGGCACGGCACCCAGCCGGGTGGTATTCTCAGCGCAAACGGATGGTTCATGACCAGTCTCGCGATGCACGACTTCCTCCTCGCAGCAATGATCGTTTATCTTGCAATCATGAGCGACACCTACTCGGAAGTTGGAGGCAACTACGACTGGGCTCTTCAGGATACCCCTCTGCCCAACAAGGATGAATTGACCGACCAATTGAGGCGATCTTACAGAATCTGGAGCATTGCTGCGAAAGAAACCCCGGAAGTGAAGAAGGCACCGGAGGTGTTGGAGACTATGTTGAAGAAGATCTTATTACGAAGTCAGTCTAACACGACAGAGCGCACAAGTGCAATAGGCGAGACTCCATCTCACGTCCCGTCATCAAGGACAGATGTTGCGCCAGTTGCGAACTTGCGTGTATCCGGTAGGTGTTGTAGTAGCTTTCAACCCAAGGCAAAACTAACCTTCTCCCAAGAGCCAGAAATAGCCAATCTCAGCCTCGATCCGACACCGCAGAACCCGCCAATGCCTTTCTCACGGAACGATCTTGTGCCTAACGATGTGATCATGGAAGGATTGCAGGGCTCGTGGATCCCAGGGACGAACGACAATGTCGACTGGGTAAGCTTACACATTTCCTTTCAGCACGTATACTTAGAGTATATGTCGCGATCTCTCGTCGGTTCTTATCGGCTTACGAATAGGTAACACAGGACTCATTGGATACTGCTCTCCGTACTGATGGCACCGCTGATGCCACACTCACGGATCAGTGGATGGGAGACAGCTCTTTCAACGATCTTGACCTCATGTCAAACTACTACTGGACCCAACCCCCGGAGCAGTGAGGCGAGTTGGCCCTTGTACGAAGACAGGGCAATATGGCCCTGTGATAATATTAGGTCGAGGCGGTCTTGTAGCACTATCAGGTTCAGCCCAATGGCGGAGGTAGCCGATTGCGGTCGCAATGCTCAGGATGGCTAGACGTCTCGAGTGGGCATGCGCCGAATAACAGCCCTTATGCACTCTTGCGCAGACTAAAGACGTTCTATCGTAACCGGCGCCTCCCCCGCAATTCGGAGGCCGTAGGAGCAGTGGAGAATTCCCAGCCCTCAAGCCGCTGGAGTTGAGCATCCGATCGAAAAAATCTACCGACTTCTAAAGCGGGCCCAGTGGATCGGTAGTGTCAGGCTGGACTAAAGTCCCTTGGTTGTGAAGTCGGAGTTGAGCCCGTGGAGGAGCTAGTACTGGTGACATCCCTGGAAGGCACACGAACAGCAGAGTTGTACAAAAGCATGGCATAGACAGGCAAAAATGATGCATTGTCACGAAAGACCATCCCTACGGGCTCCCGCGGAGATGTATGGATCTGAAAGAGGGGCATTTTTATAAGAGAAACTTCGTGACGGCACTGAAGCTCTTGAAATCGCCCAGAAGGGTTCTAGTGAGCCGATTTGTACGTAATTGAAAAGGCCTGGCTCGCCCGGTTGTTGCGACTTTCTCGTCAGCTCGCTGCAACCGAACGGCCTACCACCAATTCCTCATGCTCCCGCGTGATGGCAATCTTCCAATGCAGCAAAGCAAATTGCTAGACTTGAGCGTTGCGGCGAGGTAGTGACCAGCCCACGCACTTGACTCAGGCACTTGCGCGGGAGGCGTTGTCTGGTGCGCGAAACAGAACCCCGAGGAAGATTGTAACGCTTTCCACCACAGAGTTGAACCTACTGGCAGAGATATCCAATTCTCTGAATTTCGGGCAAATTGGAGGAGGTTATGCAGAGGTGCAAAAGTTGATCAAGCTGAAACATACATTGGAGTTGTCTGTATGAGCCGCCAAAATCTATGCTTAGGAACCCAGCGAATCGTCTCGAAATGCTGCTCGGCCGTCTCAATGAGATCATAGCTGCATGCAGACTGACCATTCTGCAGGTTCAGTACCAGACCATTGCCTCCTTCAACGTGGTTGTAGATGCAGCCAGAGGACCTTGACATGCAGTGTCACTTGACAACCTGACTGGTTAGCTTTTGAGACCTGGCCGGACACTGACCTCCAGCAGGCTCTCCAACTCCGCACAGCTTGCATGGTGGCTTTCATGTGCTACCACATATCCTGCTGTCACAGTGACTTGACGATGAGACCCCGAACTGAGACCAGACCCCGATAGCTCCAGGATCGCCTTGGTCCGATCGTTGGGAAAGTGAACCGTCTTTGAGGAGGGCATCCTATGCGGCATGCAAATTCGTCCCCATGATCGGCTCACAACCCAGGCAAGGCCCAATAACACCGCCCCGTGTCATTGTTGTGTCATAAAAGAGCTTCAGAACATCTGGGGAAGTCCAGGCCGAGCGGACCGCAAGTGCGGGAATCGGAATTGACATTCGCCTGACACCTCGAAAGAGCCGTCTTGAAGCATGTTTGATGGCATAGACAGGGAGGATCAGCCTAAGGGTTGGGAAGGTCTGGGCCTGCCGAGCACGCCATTGCAACTGGGGAGCTTGTGTCCGTCGTCTTTTGATCCGTCACTCCCTCACCGCAACTGGATCTATGACGGGAGTGAGAAACGTGGATCATCTTGACTCACGGAAACCACTAGAAGGGCCAACTGTACTGTACTGTAGGGGAGAGCAAGGCAAATCGGAGGGTCATGTTGCTGTGGGTATCTTCACACCTTGCTTGATGTTTTTTTGCTGTAGAGGCCGCAAATTTTCCTAGGCTGCTAGCACAGGCTCCTTCCCGGCTCCATATCTCCATATCGCAATGGAGGATGGCCTGTGCGCTAAGCAACCATACTGGGGCCTTTTACCTAATTCCAACGCCGACGTCGCCGCTCCAGGGCTTGCTGGCCCTCCTGGCCCTCCTGGCCTATTGCTGAGGACCCGTAGGCCGCGTTAGGCAGGCACCATGACTGGCACCAGCGAGCACGTTGGCTCTCCGCTGGTGTTGCATCATCGCCCATATCGCCCGCGTTGCGCGCCCATCCCGGGCATTGGGTAGAAAACATCAGGTAATATTAATAAGGGCGCCGTGGTTTTGAGCCTCTATTTGCGGCGTATCTGGCCCTATGCCAAGCTAAGGTATGTAACGATAACCTAACTGGGAGGCAAGAGCGAACGAGCGACATGGTCTATCTCTATCTAAGTAAGGTAGGTACGGTAGGTAGGTAGGTACCTAGGTAAGGTACATAGATGTGTAGGAAGGTAATTACCTGGCGAGACAAGCTCGCAATTCGCAAAGTACCTGCGGAGGAGGTAAGCATGCAGGTTTTGGACTGTAGATAGGTGCGCTCGATGCGGTAGGCACGGGTGGGATCATATCTAAGTTGTCTTCCCCGGCCGTCCCTTCCTTTTCTTCCCCTGACTCGTCCATCCCAAGGGGACAATCCGACAACCCATCCAGACCCAGACTAAAGGTCTTCTTTTCCCATCGCAGCAGAGTTTCTCGTACTTTACCTACCTGACATACACTACACTACCCTGATCCAATCTGATCTTACCTCACCTCATCTTCCCTATCTCTACGAAAAGGAAGGTTGCCTCGTCGCAAACCTTGTTCTCGTCCCTTTTCGTTAGGGACTTCTGTCAGGGCTGGTGCTATCTGGACCACCACAATTGACTCTCATTGGTCTACGCCGACCGCATATCCCTTTACACCATTCTTCCTGTCACGTTTTGACACCGATATCATATCAGATCGATCGTCGCCCTCCCGGGATACCAACCAACCTTTGAACCATAGCAGCAATCGCTATCTGGCCCGCCCGGGAAGCCAAGCACCTTCGGGCAGGACTCTTATCCAGGATTTGCATATTGATTGCGGAGGCGAATCCCGTGGAGACAAGAAAGTATCATAGCCAGTATCACGGGGCACTTGACAGAAACGCCGGATGCGGCTTGGTCGCGAATCACGATAAGACCCGGGCACAAGTCGACAACTGTCTGTCATAGTCGTGTCATTGCATAGACACTTAGACAAGACTGTGTGACGCCCATCTCCATTTCCCACCAACTCACCGCCCTGAATTCGCAAGGTTCATCCAGCCAGAGGGTCAGAGGGATAGGCACATATCAACCTCCTTTGTTCCTATCGGATGCTCCCAGCCGGTCGGCCTGCCTGCCCGGACTTCGCAACCACTCTCGCTCACCCATCGGCCGGTTTTTTTTTTAAATAAGCCTGGGTAGAGACTCCTCTGAGTGCCTCGAGCGAGCGCATACGCTAGCCCCGGCCCCAGGACCTCACCTGCTCTCACATCACCCATAAGTTCGAGCCACGACGACCACCAGATATTCCCGATTGGCCGCAGCCATCAGGGTGACCACACCGACTGCGCTGGCCAATGTCGCGAGTGGATACAGACGCCATCTCTACCCCGTAAAATTCTCACTGGCGCCACTGCTAGCCTCGTCTGCCGCATAGGACAGAGACTCTTCCTTCTACAGCAACAAAAAACCACACAGCATCACTCTCTTCAGGGTACGACAGTCTTCTTTTTCCATAATTGTCCTTGTACCTACCCGATTGCGCGCCCAGGTTACACTGCGCCCTGCCTACACCAATACTCCCCCTTCCCTATCTTGCCCAATATCAACAATCACTGCTGCCGCGCTGGAGGACGAGAGGAGGCGTCTTGTCTTACAGCATTCGTATGTCACTGATCGCATCCTCGTACCCCTCCAACTTTTTTTCTTCCTTTTCTGCCGCTATCGCGTCCCCTGTCAATCGCGCCTGCTGCCCCGCAGTCCAGCCCATCCCCACTAACAGTGAGAAAGGATCACTTGCAGCCCACTCGAGTAACCACTCCCTGGAGTGTAGAGGATCCTAAGGCCCCTTCCGGGCTCATATCGTACCTTCCATTTGCTGCACGGAAGCTGCAAGAGAAGACAAGGAAGTCGAGATTACGCCATTCGAACAGCTTATTTAGCCCACCCTGATAAACATCTTCGGCTAGCTGTTTCCTGGCCCTGCCCACCCGTCAGCATCTGACCGAGTCGTTCGAGTTATAATAACCTGACAGCACGGAAGTTGCTACTGCTGGGACCTTCACCCAGACGCTGGTCGCTATCCGTGTCTATATAAATTCACATCGCCCCTGAGGCAAGGGCTTTGTTGAATATTGTCTTTGCTGGTTTAAAGGGAACCGAGCTTGAGAGCTTGGGTACCTAAGGGGGATACGTATCAATGCCGTCCGCGATGCACGGCGACCTTGCCTATCGGCCAGCTCCGCAGAATATCAATATACCAAGCTCTCGGCAAGCCGAAGAAAGACGACACAAACATTCCCGCTCCTCGTACTCAGACGCTTCACCTCTAACTTCACGGAACAATTCTCTTACATTCCGCCCAACAAAACGCTCCATGCCGACGCCTAACAAAACAATTGCTGTTATCAATGCGAGTGGCCGGCAGGCTGCCTCATTGATCCGTGTGGCTACTGCAGTTGGCTATCATGTAAGGGCACAACTGCGGAATCTCGAGGGTGTCGTCGCAACAGAAGTCTCTACGAACCCAAACGTCACAGTTCTCCAGGGCGAACTCTATACTAGGCTTGCTGGGAGATCGGCTGAAAAGGCCGACGTGACACGCGAGGGACCTATCAGTGGCATTGGTGTGAATCACCAACTGATTTCTGAACTCTTCAGGGGGGCACAACTAGCTTTTATCAATACCACCTTCTATGGCGATGAGATCAAGATTGGCGAGGCCCTCGCTGATGCTGCGAAGAGAGCCGGTATTCAGCACTACATTTACTCCTCTATGCCTGATCATCGTGCGTACGATGCAACTTGGCCAAGTCTCCCGTTGTGGGCGTCAAAGCATAAAGTCGAGGACTATGTCAAGAGCATAGGACTGCCTGCGACGTTTGTCTACACGGGAATCTACAACAACAATTTTACTAGCCTTCCGTATCCCCTCTTCTGCATGGAACTTCAGCCTGATGGATCCTTCAGGTGGCAAGCGCCATTTCACCCGGACGCCAAACTTCCTTGGCTAGATGCTGAGCATGATGTGGGACCTGCAATCATTCAGATCTTCAAAGACGGTATTTCGAAATGGAAAGACCAAAGGATCGCCCTGGCATACGAGATGCTGAGCCCCCGGGAAGCATGCAAGTTATTTGAGACAGGAGTCGGAAGAAAAGTACGGTACGTCAGGGGTGAGATTGAACTCAAAGTCAAGATTCCCGAAGGCTATAGGATACAGCTGGAAGCACTTGAGACTCTCTTCAACCTCGGCAAGGATGATCCGACAAAGCAACCGCCTTACTTTGGAGACAAAGTACTGGAGCTTTCGTGTCCTACAGAAGCGCTAGAGCTTTGGGAGGGCCCAAGAGGCTTGGAAGAGTATGCAAGAGAAGTTTTTCCGCTGGAAGAGCAGGCAAATGGACTTACCTGGATGCTTGATGAGGAGGAGGAAGAGGCGGCCCAGACCGAGAACGACGAGCAATCGAACGGAGCAGCATCAACGATCGTTAATGGGGGACCCCAAGACGTCGAAAAGGGCGAGGAGGACGACTATGATGATGACGAAGAGGAGGATGGCCTAGTGATGAGAGGGTTGAAGCGAGACGAGGAGGAGTGGCTCGCATAATGATCTTGCGGCATCCATAACATATCAGGTCATGAACAGGTTTATTCAGACGAACGACATGATACATCAGAACGAAGTTTTGGGGCACGTCGTCCACATGCCGGGCTCATTTCTTGTTGATCTGGGTATGTTACATACATCGGTAGGAGTGCAAAAAGCCATGTCATGTTGCGCCAAGTGACCTTCCGAGGGGCGTCAAACGGTTGTCTCGTTGAGCATAAAATGGTCTGGTTTATATCACGGTTTTGGGCGGGTTGTGTCTTTTGGGCGGCAGGTTTATAAAAGTCGAAAGCGTCAAGACAATGTGAGGCGACATCAGCTACAGCGAATACCAAAATACAGAGTCCTCGCCAAGGGACGTTTAATCTTGCTTATCTCAGTCAGATTATCCATGACTCTGAGTGAAATAATCAGCGATGTGATCTCGAAAGGAATGGTAGAATACGCGAAGTCGTGATTTCCTGGTGGATAACCACCGACTCTCCACAAAAAGAGTAAAGTCTCACTGTGTATCATTCGATAAATAGAATCCAGTTCAGAACTCATATTGATAACTAATAAAACTCAAGAGGTATATAACTTCCCATAAGCATGCACGCCGCAATCACTTCGCCCAGAACCCACCGATCTCGATCCTCCTCCCTAACCGTATTTTTCACCGTATTTTATACACCTTTTTTGGTTCCCCAGACCACAATGATGATCCTCGTCCGAAGCAATCATGAAACAACAGTGTCGTGAATGTGTCACAACGCCATCAATAACGGCTGTCATGCAAACCCAACTATCTTGTGCTCTCCTCGTCATCGACATACATCTTACCCTCAGGCAACTCGTTGAGCTCGTCCTCCTCGTGGTCGAGGCTTCTGAACTGGATCCAGAAGATGCATCCAGCTATAAAAGCCAATACAGCCATGGCACCATAGTTCCAAACGAGCAACGGATCGGCGGACAAGGACACGAAAGCCTCGCCCAGTGCGGAGGAGATGGCGGTCATGAACAGCGCGATGGCCTGGACCATGGACCGCATGTTCTTCGGAGCCTTGGAGAAGGCGTATTCGAGCGAAGTGATGGACGCGAAGATCTCAGACAGCGCAATCAACACGTAGGCACCGGTCTGGGCCCAAACATTGATGCTGACGTTGGGGCAACCATCTCCAGAAGCGTTCGACCCGCACACGGAATCCTTGTAGATGTATGCCTGGATGACGGCAGCCCAAATCATCGCAGCTGCGCCGGTGAAGAATCCTGCTGTGATTTTCTTGATGGGCGTGAAGTTGATCTTGCATTTCCGCAGGAAGGGATAGATGATGAAATCGCAGATTGGGATGAAGATGATCAAGGCCAGGGGGTCCAGGTTCGTCAGAACATCGTTGGGCAGGCCGTTGAGCTTCATGATGGCAGCTTGGGAGATCAGATTGTTATTGAGCTGGTTGTACGTCAACCAGTAGATAGGATACCAGCCAAACACAGCGCAGGCGGCAAACCCACGGCGGAGCTCGTCAACCCAAGCGTCGTCGAAGGTCATCCATGTGGGTTTTGTGCCAGGCGCAAAGCGACTGGGCTTGACATTGTCCCAGAAGTCGTCTTCATGCATGCGCTTCCAGGTGACGTAGGGATTGATGTGCCAACGACCCTTCTGTGCAAGCAGCCACGTCTTCAAGGCCTTGCTAAGTACAGAGCCTCCAGGTGCGCGGCGCTCATATCGTTTCCGTCCCCACCACATGACGATGGGGCAAATACATAGCATGGATGTTGGTAGTAGGAAGCTGAGCCAGAAACCAACGTATTTCTCGGCGTAGACCATGGTTAATTGTCCGATGAGAGCACCGACATTGATGAACATATAAAACCAGTTGTAGACCCTATTTATCGTGATGGCAGGATCGACAATGACTCTTTCACCAGATTTGAGTGTCTTCACCTTCAGATGCTCGATGTGAAGCTGTTCAACAATGAGTGGCGAGATATTCGGCTTAAAACCACCGGTTCCGAATCCGATGACCAAGATACCAATGATCATGGCAGCAAGTGAATTCTCGTGCGGTCGGGTGATAACAGGAGGAATGGCGGACATGATCAGTATAAGATGACCTAGAATATCGATGGCGAGAGCGTAGGTGATGGTCTTGTACCGACCCCAATACTCATCCGCAACCCAGGCACCGAGGAGTGGCATAAAGTACTGCCAAAACTAATTCAATTGGATTAATACAGGAACAAGATCACAGACAACAGCAGAGTATACCTGATTGAAGGTAGTCAGGCCGGTAGAAGCTCGTTGGCCCATTCCAAGAGCTCCTGACTGGCCGTCGGCACCACCAGCACCGGTTCTCGAGCCATCGGGCAGTGGCCACTGGATATAATTCGTGTAGACGATGATTGTGCCATAGTATGAGAACCGTTCGCAAGCCTCAACGAAGGCAATAGTGAAAAGCTTCAGGGGAATATGGTCAGAGACACGACGAAGCGTCCGAACCTCCTCTTCTGTAGGAAAGTCTTCCAAGTCGACATTCAGGAATTTCTTCTCATCATCATGAACGGAAGGTGGAGAGACAACAGCACCAAGCTGAGCATCCTCCTTCCTTTCTTCATCAACAACTTGAGCGTGTAGCTGAGCGCCACTAATGGCGTCGTCAACGATGTCCCCAGGCATGATTGATGGTCTGGGCGGGACTAATCAGGCTCGCAATAGATTTGGGGGAGAAGCAATGGAGGAAGAGAGACCAAGAAAGAGGGGGTGTAAGTGCTTGATCGACAATGGCATATATATAGCAGACGAGCCCACGAGTAAGGTATCCTGGTCTTATCGAGACACCAGCATCGTAGTGGAGGGGGAGACTAGAATGAGCCCATAAGTTGCGAGAGCAAGGATAGGAAATCGGACTCGTGTAAGTGGGCGGTATAAGAGAAAGGACTGGAGAATGACCATGTTGGGTTTTGTAACTGTACATGATTCGGAGTGGGGGAGGTTGCGTGACAGAATACTGCCAAAACGAACGATAAGGCAATCCCGCTTGCATACCGCTCACACAACGGCAAAGACCTGACGAGGTTGGCCTGCAGCAACTTACACATTGAGTCACTCCCGTTTGCGGGATGATGACATTTTGATTGGCGGCCGCGACGAGTTTCTCGAACAATAAAGCCACCAATACGTCCTCTGTACATCTCTTGCAAAGGAAGCTGATCGCTTGGATGTGCTACAGTATGCTCTAGAGGGGCAGGAGGGGCAACCTGGTTGTTCCCAAACCATGGCTGCGCTGTGATATGTTCTTCACTGCACAGTAATCAAAAGTGTTTCAACCATGGGAATCCTGCGTTTTAGTCGATAGCCAACCGCATCCACCACAATGATAACAAGAGAAGAAGAGGACTTGGGGTGAAGAGCGAAGTAGCGGTACAGGCCAGGTTGGGAGAGGAGTGGTTGGGAGAGGAGTCTGAAACGCTGCCGCCATCACGAAAGCTGTTCTTCGCCACGGAGGCTGCCGGGCAATTAAGCCTGCGTTATGGTTCAGCTTTCGAGACAACGTTGCGGCCGACGAGATGTGGGTTAAGGAAGTCCGCCAGGGCTGGCTGGGTCGATCTTAGGGCACCCCCATTGCGGTAGGGGATGCCGGGAGGGAGGTGGGCGATAGGGTCGGCCACGATCTGAGTTGGATCCAATCGGCGGGTGCCAAGCCTGCCGGTTGATGCCAAGTTTGAAGAAGCATTTGGGGTTCCGACGCAGGTTGATGCAATGCCAAGCGTCCCAAACGCTGCAAGACATCGTGCAAAGTACCGGGGAGACCGGCAAACATGGCAATGTCTAGAGCCTCCAGCATCGGAAAGATCGCCAACATAACGACACAAGTCAGTCGAGAAGGTGAAAATTCAATCATGGGCGAATCGAGGCCGTTGACGCCATCGAGCCATCGTGCCGGGCGGTCGACTCAGGTGCGGTAGCTGGTCTCGAGGTGGTGGTGCATTGGAGGGCAGGCGGCTTTCACCGAGAACCACCCACGACATCAGTTGATTTGGATTTGCCGATCACTGTTGGACAGGATTATGGACAGGATGTCCGCCGCTAAAGAGCCGAAGAGGCGTCGACGCAATCCAGACCGGCAAATCATGCAAATAGGAGGCGCCGTCATAGACTCCCGTGCTCTTCACCTTGGTGGTCTCCCCTTCTCAGCTTCCTCATAGAACTGGTTGCGTACAGTCGCAGCTTCGTTAATGTCTGTAGAAAATGCCCGCACAGCTCGGTTTCTGAGTGGGGTACATGAAGCATCGGCAGGCCAGCGTCGGCGTAGGCAACAGAGGGCTTTGGGAAGGTGAAGGCGAAGAGGTTGATTAATTCCCTCAAACGGCAACAAGTCCTCGTCGCCCATGCGGCACGGCTGAGATCGTCGCAATTCATCAATCGCATCTTCAGACTTGAAGTTCTCGCGGGCGGCGTCTCCTGCTTTCTTCGGAAGCTCCAGTAAAAACAGCGTGACCCTCCAGAGCCCGCCCCATAGGTGACGGAAAGCCGTATTGGTGGGACCCTAGCGCACCTTCCTCCCTTAAAAGTTGGCTAGCTGACCTGCGAGACCAGGATGTTGGGCGCTAGAAGGAAGTCATGGCCTTCGAGAAGATGCAAGTGAGGTGCCACATTACACATTGCAGCCCTCCCACCGTGAGCAGTGCGTGCCATGTTACCCCAAACAGCGCATCTTCAATTCCTACTCGCTGTTGCGGATTCGGCAGGCAGCATCAGGAACAACGCGTGTTGCTCTGGCTCGTTGGTTAGCACCTGAGCGTCGATTGATGCATTTTCCCCTCTTCAGCCCGGGAATAGCTCATGATCTTTGTCCCCAGCAGGATTTGGCCGAAGTGAGACCTGAACCGCGAGACTGCCTATCGAATGATCTGTTATCTCTGCTTTGCCTCTGCGTTTTTACCTGAAGACATGACCAACATCGGCAATGGGCGAATGAGATGAAGTGTGCTCTTAGGCCTGAGAAGTCACACATGCTACGTTATGGGGATCGAATATGACACAAGTAGGCCGAGATTTGATTCGACAATTATCTTGGTGGGCTTTTGACATTGGACCTGAGACGGCGGATTTCTGACGTTTCTCAAGTAAGTCACCACGGGTCTATCTAATTGCCTAAGCAAAGACAACCACTTGAACAGGACCCCTTATTCCATACTTTCTGCTGAAGATCATCCAGGCAATTCGACCCACCCCTATCTTATCTATAGTGCTCCCTTGACGTCAGAAGCAAATGGGTTCTGGTTGCCGATCGAGGGTTCTGGCAGAAGTAGATGCACAATAGTGTTTGATGGATTCACTAGCTCGACCCAGGACGATCGTCGAAGTTGTCTCCTGATGAAAATCGAATGCGAGTCTATGGAAGTGGCAGCCCAACTTCTCAATAATGAGCTATATCGAGCCAGCAACACAACTCTTAGCTACTAATAAGGTCTCTAAATTTATTTACCACTAGGTAAAGACATGGTCTGTCAGTCTGAAGAAATATCTCAATCTCGGGACTAAAGTCGTATACCATTGGTCATGAATTATTCTTCTTGCATTGCTCTTTCAACTGTTGTACTCATAACGGTGTTAGACCTCTATAGCAAACTCGACTCTGTTCAGATGAGCCCGCTTGACCTACTTTCTTTCCACAGTAGGAACAAGGACGTGCTTTAGAATAATCGTGGTTGATGACCCTCGGTACCCACGGTTTGAATTAGGAATTTCTAGGTTTTAGACATTACAGCACAACTACACAGCCTGGAGGCATCGATCCCGAACCAACCGACCCAACACATGCCATGGCTTAAGAGTCTTCCACATCTGACTTGATGCTCTCTCTTAAGAGAATAGTTACCACTGATAGACCGCAATCGGAGAGAATCAACCACGACTATCCTCAACAATGCCCAACCCTCCTCGCATCACTGGAGACGCCACAAGTGCCCCTTGCTGATGTCATATCAGCAGTGGCCTTAGAACTTGCCCTTCAGCAGATTCGAGATCATCTCCCTGCCCGTCACAACAGTAGTGCGATAGAGCGTAGGGAAATCAAGCGTGCTGGAGAGACCGTCGGCGAAGCCAAAGAACAGCATGGGCGGGATCCAGCCACGGGCGTACTCGAGCGCGAAGCAGCCCTCGGGCATTTTGTACTGCTTGGCGGTGCCGCGTTGCAGGTGGTGCACGCTGCCCTGAGGGTAGACCTCGGGCTCGTACTCGCCCGGAGTGTAGGCCCACTGCTCGCCGGAGAGGATGTGGAAGTAGTCGTCGGCGGTGTGGCGTCCCGTGTGGCCCTCGGTGCCAATAGCTGTTCCGAAGATGATCAGGTATTCCGTGACACCTACTGGACGTTAGTTGACGATGCCCACGAGTAATGTCTCAACGATTGCTATGGAATGGTCGGATGAAATGCAACGGGGTCATGCTTCGCCATTTGGAGCAGACTTACTGGCGTGAATGATATACATAGCTCCCATTGCGCCGCCAGCATTGTTGAAGACCCATTCCTCATCGAGGTTGATGTGGCTCTTGGTGCCAACCTGAGTGTTCAACTCCTCGACAATGTACCTAACAACGCCTCGGGTGTCGTTGCCATGAGCCGCGATGCCGCGCTTGGCAAGGTCGTGAAGCTGTTCGGGCTGGAAGATGTAGAAGGACTCGAGGTTCTGCTCAAGCAGGTACACCAACGGCGTCAACACGCCGAGGACCGCCGCGATAATGGTGAGGAGGCGAGCCGAAGCCATTGCTTTGTATCGAGATTTCGAACTGAGATAAAGGAGCGACTGAGGTAGGTGTATTACAAGAATTGATATAAGAAAAAGGAGGTGGATGGAGAATTACACAAACACGTCCCCGAGTGGACAGCAGACGACGATAAGCAAGCAGAGGACTTTTTCGCGAAGGCGGTCAGAGCTTGGACCCCAAAGACCCCTAGTTTCCAGCGCTTTGAGGTGGTTCCTGACAGGGGTTTAGGGACATCCGGCAGGAGCGGCCGGCGCAGTGTCTTGCCTTGCCTGCCGATTGCGCCGCCCCGCCAAACGGTCTTTCGAAAATCTCCATTCCCGAGGCTGCGAATGCCATCACCAGCTCGACACCAACGAGATCCCAGTACCCGGCCCATGGCGTCCTCAAAGCATACGATAGCTATTCCAGGGCAGCTCCTTGGCCCGGCTGCCAAGTATCTGCCCGGCGCAGGCACGCATATCCACGAAGCGAACCTCTACGCATCGCTACTCGGCGTAGTCCACATTGCTCAACCAGCAAAGGCCCCAGGTCCCTCGAAGCGACTGACCAAGATCACCGCACCTCCCCCAGCGGAGCTCCCGACCATCTCAATATCGCGGTCCGGCATATCAGAGAAGCGGGAAGTGCTACCGGAGGTGGACAACATTGTGCTCTGCCGTGTTACGAGGATCACGCCCCGACAAGCCGTGGTCGCAATTCTTGTTTGCGGCGACACGGTTCTAGATGCCGAATGGCAAGGACTCATCCGAGTGCAGGACGTCAGGGCGACGGAGAAGGACAGAGTGAAGGTCTACGAGAGCTTCCGGCCCGGTGACATTGTGCGCGCAAAAGTGGTATGCATTTCAATATATCGAATGTTCGCTTCCCTAAATGCTTACCGTTCTGCAGATTTCACTCGGCGATCAAGCAAACTACTATCTCTCGACAGGAAGCAACGAGCTGGGTGTCATCATGGCCACCAGCGAGGCTGGAAATACCATGTATCCTGTCAGCTGGAAGGAGTACAAGGATCCGGAGACCGGGCTGAGCGAAGCCCGGAAGGTAGCGAAGCCATACTGATACTCTCCTGCAGAAATGAGAGTTGCAGTCTTCACGTCGCATACCAGGAGAGCTCCTACGCAGTTCACCCGCCAGATGGCATCTAGAACCCTTCCGGGTTTGGCCGTCCTAGATGTGCGGCTCTGAAAATGGTACGGCTATTTACTGGGTTTGGGCAGCGCCAGAGGAGGATCACCGTGACCAACGCAAGGGTGAGGATTGTGCTGTCAATGCAAGCACCCAAAAAAGGGCTGCTAGATGACGAAATGCAGCGTCCCGAAACGCCTGCGCAAGTGCCGTCCAGGAAATCGAGCATAATGATCCACATAGCAAGCACTTATGGTGCTGACGAAGGGATAAATGGATAAAGAAGATAGCAGCAGATACCACGCCGTTAGGCTTCATGCAGCAATCCAATCTAGTTCAATTGATGTCGTGGTGCGCTGCTTCCTTGATGCCGAATCGGTCCCAACGGACAGAGATCTCCAGATGGCGCCTACCATTGTGTCTCGAAGCGCCCTTTGGGGCCTGATAGTCCCTGACTGCATTATTTAGGCCGCTATAAATGTACATGTCGGCATGAAAGGGGCTGTGTGGGAAGGGCCAACCCCCCTGCTCCCTGGTCATCCAGGCTTGCCAGGGTCCGAGGACTGGAATTTTTGCGTATTTGGAGAGGCGCAGTCGAACAAATCACGACCCGCCACCGACTGACACCTCGTGCTGCTGCGGCTCGTAATGCAAGCAAAGACAAAGACCCAATAATAAAGATGCTGGGTCTCCTAGCCCTCTCATGTTTGCATCATCATTACTCCTCACCATTCCGCTAAAGACTTCTGTACCCGTAATCGAGCTACGGGATTGCAGTAAATCAATACACTGAAACGAGAACCACCACTACACACAGGACACGCGCGTGTTCCCCGCAATCGCGACCCGACCAGCCGAATTGAAGTGTAGGAAAACACCATGTCCGCCACCGTCACGATGACGATGACCCAGTCCAGTTCAATGGCGTCTCTCAGCGCGGTGCCGTGCTGCCCAAAGTGCGGCTTCGACATGGACCTGCCGCCGCTGCACGAGACACAAGGCGCGCTGCTCAGCGCGCAGAAGCAGATCGAGGACCTCCAGGCGCAGGTCCGCCTGCTTAACCAGAAGGCGACCGCCGCGGTGGACCGATGGGCCGACTACGAGGACGAGCTGGCGCGTCTGAGGTCCGCCGTGGCGGCGGCGAACAGCCGGGCCGCTGCTGCGACGGCGCCGCCTCCGCCCATCGAGCCGCAGGGCCCGCCGAGCCCGTCGCGGTCTCCCGCGTCTTCTTTCCTCCCGCAGGGAGCGGCGAACAGGATTTCTGCACTGCTGTCGCCGCGGTCGGCCAAGTCAACCCCGGATCTGAAGGCTCAGGCCCCGGCCTCTCCCTATCAAACACCCGGCGGGCCACGGTCACAGTTCTCGCCTGCTATACCCATGTCGCCGACGCCAAGCACGGACGAGCTCCTCAATGCACTGAGCCGGGAGCAGTCGCTCCGTCTGCAGGCGGAGGGCAAGCTCAACGATACCAGCCGTGAGGTGGAAGAGCTGAGCGTTCAACTGTTCGAGCAGGCTAATGAGATGGTGGCTACGGAGCGCAGGGCGCGGGCGAAATTGGAGGAACGGGTCGAGGTCCTAGAAAAACGGGACACAGAAAAGAGACGACGGCTTGATAAGATTGAACAGGCCATGGATAGGATCGACAGAGTCCGTGCTTTGATCGGTGAGACAGGACAATGAGAATGATGGAAGATGAGCTAGGCGAGATGTTTATCTTTCCCGACCTCTTACACACAAGATCAACAGCTTGATCATGCGCCTATGACGATATCATGAACCTGGGGAAGGCGATTTGGGGAATCACCTTGGAGCATAACATCATGGAAGGTTGAGCATGGAAAATATGGATCTAGGTCATAGGAGCATAGACGGCCGAATTATGGATAGGGAGTAAAGTGACAGCATTGGGCGGCATATGTACGATTAAGACACGAAGCATGACTGTATGGACCACTTCTGCATTTAGCAGTAATTTTTAATATCAAGGTCAGCTAAGAGCAAATCATATCTAGCCCTATACCTTTGTTCCCCCTTTCAAGAACGCCATTCGCTATGCTCGTATCAGTAGTATGGTGAGATACGGAGATCAGACACCTAAAGTTATAATGAAGGGGTCCTTGCAGTATAGTGACACTACTAACTGCGAAGTTCCGGCCTCCCATATGTCTTGTGGATAAGCTTTCAACGATGTAAAGCCAGCAGAGTTTGGCTAGGCCGTTGCCTCCTGAACAGGAGTGGGATCGTCAGAAAAGCCGGCCCACGACTCCTCATCCGCATTCTTGGCTGATTTGCTGTCGTCCTCCGCGGGGACTTTTAATGTGTCCTGAGATGGAGTGGCCTTTTCGACCTCGGCAGGTCGGCTGGTAACTGTTGTCTGTGACGGTAGATCAGGCTGATCGTCTTTCTTGACATTCTTTGAAGAAGCCTCCTTGGGGGCAGATTCCTCAACAGGGTCCGTTTCTACCGACTCTGGGATGTTCTCAGGCTCGTCCTTGACTCTCCCGTCGGAATGTGCAGCAGAGCTAGAGCCGACCGCATCTGTGGCAGCACTATCGACGGTTGGATTGTTATTCCAACGTGATAGCATTCCCTCGAGCATGGGGGCCCAAACCCTCTCGCCTTTGAGAAGATCGTCGTACTCCATGCAGTTCTCGCCATCGAGAGTGAATTGACCCTGCCTGGTGCGGATGAGCTCTGTCATGATGGCAGCCGAGTCGACCTTGTTGCCAAGATCATGGGCAAACGATCGAACGTAGAAGCCGGATGTCACTGTCATGCGGAACTTGGCGGCCGGCGGACCCTTGCCTTCCCAGGGAGGAGGTGTGTTGGGAATAAGGGGCGGGATAAGATCTGAGCCTTTACCCTTGGGCGGGCGGACCTCTCCCAAAGCACCAGACATCATGGGGGCCTCATGACTGTGCTTTCTCCTCTTGGACTGCTTGTCATAAACGAGATCATCTTGTCGCTCCTCGAATTTGCGCTTGGAAGATTCGTGGGCCGCGAGAGCTTGGCTCTCGGCCTCATTCTCCTCAGGGGTGAGTTTCTTGCCTTCGGTCTGCAGCTTCTCGATCCGCCAGACCTGCTCGGCATAAGTCTTCTCTGCAGCAGTGCCTTCTTCGCCCGGCCAGTGGTGGTGATGAGTTCCTGGCTCGTACCATTCAACAAGTTCCATATTGGTGCAAGTAACCTCCCGGGTAGCAATCTCTCTCGGAATGGGCTTGCCCTCCCGTGCATATTCGTACAGAGGCTTGCCCTCCATCTTCAATGCAGAATACAGCGGTGGCATTTGCTGATAGGTTCCCCTGAAGCTCTTGAGGGCTTCTTCCACCATCGGCCTTGTGATATGATCGTACTGACGCTGCTTCAACATGACGCCGCATCTGTCATAGGTATCGGTGCTCGCGCCAAAGACAACGACAGTCTCGTACGTCTTTGTGCAGTTCAGAAACTGGTTGAGGGCTTTTGTCCCCTTCCCGAGACCGAGGATCAGGACGCCGGTTGCGAGAGGGTCGAGAGTGCCACCATGGCCGAGCTTGACCTGGATTCTGCGCTTGTCCCTCTTCCGCCGGCGCTGGGCACTGTTGGACTCCTGGATTCTCTGGGCGGTCTGCTCCTCCATCATGGGGCGAAACATGTTGGAGGGGTTGAAATACGTCTGGCAATCGCGGATGACCTGGGCGGAGCTCATGCCGTAGGGCTTGTTGATGGCTGCAGCAGGAAGAAGAAGAGGGCTGTTAGCTTGGGCTCACTTAGACACTCAGACACTTAGACGAAGAGGTTCGCGATGCTGTCCATGCGGCGGACACCGTCGCCCGCCCCTCGCTGCAGGCACTCTCGCGAAGCCAATTGGGACATACCGAAAACGCCATCGAGGACGTTGCCTTTCGCCATCTTGAGCAGACTGGCGATTTTCATCCGTCTACCAGCCGCCGGTGTGATGATAGTGAGGAAAGGAAGAAAGGATGGGGGGATCTCGGGGGAAATTTTTTTGGCGGCGCGGATAAGGGCAGGCAGGTTCCAACGGTAGGTTGGTGTTGGTGTCAGTTAGTGAGTGAGTGGGTGTGTCTTGTCTGTCGCTCTGTCGCTCAGTCACTCGGTTTGCTAGAAGGCGCCCTTACTGTCTCGGATTTTTCTTGGGCGTCCTTAGGTGCTGCATGAGTGTCTGCTATTTTCAAAATTTTACACCGGTAGCGGGGGGGCTTATCGATTGAGCTATCTAGGTACTTACTGCGTACTATTCCTCTGCCAGGGTAATAAGTGTTAGTTCGACAAGGGCATCACTAACGGTACCTCTTCAACAATAGGTGACTACCATTGTAGAAGTTGATAGACCCGTAGTAATTAACAGAATATTCGAGCGCTTGATGAGAATTACGACTCTCAACTTTATATCTCCACCCTTCAAGAACTAAGTTTTGTTACCCTGGTGGAGGAGGAGTACCTTGGTAGGTAAATATCTATTTTATTGTTCCAATGTTAGCGGTTGGGCTGCACTGCACCTCAACCTTGCCTTGAACTCAGGCGGGACAATGGGCCCCTCTATCAAGTAAGAGGCAAGAACAATAAGGTAGATACCTAACACTTTATCGAACAATGCGCCTCTCCACGTTACGTTATTATTGTGCTTCACTGTGGCATCCTTTAGACTGATTGTTCAGGTCAGAAACGAAGCATCTGTAAAGCATAATTCGCTGGTTTGCCTTCAGGCAGCGACTGTGCTGGTAGGTCCAGGTTAAGGAAGGAAGGTACCCTCTACGCATGGAATGTGGGGTAGCACCTTCCCAATGGCAGTCAAACTAGGGGCCTGGCTGTAGCGTTAGCGGGTACTTGGAGTACAGGTGCTTTCCCTCCATGGATCCATCGATGGATGGGTATCGATGATCACTTTAAGTGCCATCAATCTGATTAATCGCGGGCGCGTGCCGCCTCAAAGGTCTCGCGACCGTGTGGTAAACCACCGTCTCGTCACTTCTACTGTCACGACAACCCCACTACCGCCCACGCCTCTCTGCCGTAGCATTGTACCTCAATAGCAACGACAATAACTGATCACAAGTGTCCTATCTGCCAAACCACACACACTTCACCTTATTTCACTTTACTTTCATGCTCGCCAAGTACTCACCTAGACACATGTGATATGGCAGGCCGCGGCCGAGGAGGACGAGGGAGAGGGGGCCGCCCTCCAGGACGCCCGCGACGAGCCTCCTCCAGCAGCGTCGAGTCCGTCCACGCCGCCCACGTCAAGTACGTCAAGGAGTCGAGCATCCTCAAGTCGCTATCACCGAGCTTGCACTCCGACGACTGGCCCTGCTTTGTTCTCAACGATGCCGTCGTCTACCAGAAGGACTGGCGCACCCTTGGCAACCTCCTCAAGGTCGACCAGCAGGGGCCTCTGTACGTGCGAGGACGCCTGGAGATCGACCCTGTCGACCATCGTGGATTGGGTAGGCAAGAGCACAGATCCAGATCATCCCTCCAGCAGCTTTCGATGCTGATCTTCCTTCCCCCGCAGTCCGCAATTCACATTCGAAACCTGTCCACATCGAACTTTCACCTACTCACAGTTATTCCATTGGCTACGAGCCCATCTGTATATGGGCGTCTGGTGGCGCGGGTTGGTTCGAGATCAACCCAGCCCCCGAGTATCAGGCGATGTACGACGATATGTCTGAAGCCATCACATTGTATTATGAAGTTATGAAAGGATACGAAGCCGCAAAGAAAGCCCGGCGCGGTAAAAAGAATAAGGCCGCCGGCCCTGTAACTCTTGATGAAGTGTTACTCAAGGTGTGTAGCTCGTCACATGAGCTCTATGAGACATTACTGACGGATTTCACCTTTTCAGTACGCCGTTGCCGTTGGGAATGGCGTATTTCGCAGTGAAGTTGAGGAGTTATGTGATAAACACCACCAATTCCTTCTTGCACAATTCGGCAAAGAACCGAAGTTCAACTGGGCGGCAACTAGTTTCTATCACTGGTTGAAGAAACGACACCCGGAAGCCGACGCCAAGAACCAAGCAACACCAAAGCTACCCTTACCTGTTATGCAAGCCTCACTGAGAGCTTCCATTGAATCGGCTAGGGGGACATCATCGAGCCGCGGAACCAGCGCTCAAGCTCCAAGTCGCAGTAGACGAGAGATATCACTTAAGCAAAGCGATGAAGACGATGTTGAGATGAAAGATATTTCGGAGTCAAGCGCGAGTCCTGAGCCACAACCGACACGCCAATCAGGACATTTGTTCGACAAGCCTCTGGTTCTCACACCAGCAGCCCAGGTGAAGGTCGAGGCGCAGAGTACTGCCGCACACAGGCATTCAATTCGTGATGCCTCCTCACCAGCGATACAGATAGGCTCACCCGCGCCTACTCAGTCTCCTATCGAGTTCCTGTTGGAGTTCTGTGACGAAGTCGAGAAAGACTTCGGCCACGGCATGGCCAAGATCAAACCCGCCACCATCCACTCCAAGCTGTTCTACAAGTGCAGCATCAAGGATTACAAAGCTGCTCCTGAGATCACTCGTTTTTACTCCAGGGCACTACTAAAAAGCCTACCGGATCGCTGGCATGTCTCCCCCTTCTACGCCTGGCTGCAAGAGGTAGTAGACAAACCTTTCCAGCCTCACATCCTGTCACTCGAGGAGATCCCTCTTAGATGCGTGAGACGCAACACAATGCGAAAACCATCGTCCTCGGCGCTGTTCAAACCTGGCCGGAGCAGCGATGGCCCTCACAGCGATTCCTCTTCCAAGAAGGGCGGGAAGCATCTGCAGCCGCCACTGGTCGGTCGCCGGTCAGGGAAGGCTGCTGGTCTTCGTCTCGCTGTCAAGAGGTCCCTTGACTCTGACCAAGATACAGATGATCGTGTGACCAAGGCAGCCAAGACCTCAGATTCCTCCGACTATGACGAGGATGGCTCTAGCGAGGAGAGTGACGACGAGGTGACCGTCAAGAAAGAAGGCGGATCTGGCGACGCCGAGGCTGTCCGTATCGTAGTCCGCGCAGAGAAGATTCCAAGCATGTCGCCTAGTGGGCCGAACGGGACGTGGACGTGTGAAGAGCCAGAATGCGGCTACGTCGTGCGCGCAGCGAACGAGAAGGCGGGCCAGGACCTGATCTCTGCTCATTTCAAGTATCACGAGGATCGAGTCGCGAAGATTAGTCTGGCCATGGACGAGGGCACTCGAGGGCATCTACCCATAAGGTATGATCCACTTCCACTCACGACCTAAGACGCACATGTCATAGCATCAATGGCTAATACTAACCTCCCATTTAGTAATCTCCTCGAGAAGATCCGAGCCCTTGGCGAAAAGTCCAAAAAGGACGACGAAGTCGTGCTCAACGGCACTGTTCTGCCGGACCCGATCAAGCGACGACTGCTGGTCTAACAGAGCTCTTCTTCATCTCCGCACTTTCCTCATTTTCTCTTTCCCTTTCCTCATACAAGGCTCAAGGAGATACCCCCTACAGTTCTGTATTATTATTATTATTACCGGCGTTGGTGACACTGGCGGAACCGAATTGGTAACTGGCTCGGCATGTGCTTGGGGATTATGATATGGCTATAACGAGAGGCGGGTGTGCCTCGTGGTAACAATTGGACCCCGTGGGTTGGGGATCCGGCTTTGAAGGGAAACACTTGTATTGCAGACATGATGCATAGGTCTTGTTCCAAGGCGGAGTGTAAGCGCCTAGCGTGATACTAGGTAAACGCAATGAAGGGAATCAAAAACGATGTTTCAATGTCACCGTCATCTCGAGATTGCAAGACAGTTTAATGACTTTCATCAGCCAACAGATAAGACTCTATTTTGCCTCTCCTTTTGATTCTCCAACGCCGATACGGGGGTATCCGAAGGAGGTTTGTTGAGTAAGGTACGTAGGAAAATCTTTCATTTAAGGCCTCCCTTCCAAGCTTACCTACAGCGCCTCTCGCCATACCAATACATGTAACAATGTGCCAACGGTCCCTAGTCGCCTTATCTTCTCAAAGAAAGATACTTGGCGGCTTTCTCCCAGGAGCTCTTGTCACTAGCTGTCATCTCCTTATCTAGGGACCGTACACCGACAACGAGAGCGTCGAAAAAGGCAAAGCAGATTTCGAGGTCCTCGTCGAAGTGAGTAGCATATGGCACAAACTTTCCAGGGAACTCGGTCTTCCGCTGTGTTCGCGCCTGTGCGCTCTCGTCTACAACGACATCATCCATGAGTGTCTTTACAGCAATACCCATTGCGACATCAGGATCATTAATGAAGGGCAGTCTATAGAGTGGTTAGCTGTGCCTTCGTAATCAACCAGATATAAGATGCCACCTACCCATGGCTGAGCTCCCAGCAGTCATCACGATCCCGCTTGGACTGCGCGTACATGAACATTGATGCGACAATGGCCTCAATCAGATCCCGGTTGGCCTCACGAACCGCAGATGCCAGAGAATGGAAGGCGAGAAGATTCTTACTCAGAGGCCCGGTATAGCCATTAGCTTGGTGCCTTAATTTGAGGAGAGCTGCGCAACGGCTTAACAACAGGAGGCTGTCCTTATCTTCCTCCGTTCCACTCAGGGGCAAACCGTGCAGCTCCTCGTGACGACGCTTTGCATTCAAAAGATCAAACCTGATCATCTCAAATGCGACCAAGAGGGCCTCGTTGAGTCCCGAAACTTCGGCGTTCTTTACTACTGTCGGCTCCAATGCGGAGATGGCCTTAGCTAAGGCCAAGCCCCAGCTTGTCAACTCGTGGGAGTCATTAATATATCCGCGGAGATGAAGGAATCGCCAGATCGCAACAGACGTTATCATGCTTGTAGAGTCTATGCCCTTTGGTCTCTCTTTTGTTATTGTGAGCTTCGCGAATTCTGGGTTCTGCAGGGCCTGTATCTCGAAGGCAATGGTGCCGGCTTGTGCCTTAGGGAAGAATTGTTTTACTGACGCTTCCTTGACATCCCAGCTAGCTGCTCGCTGTGATGGAGACGGATTGAGGTTCCTGTGATTAACAGTATAGCCGTACTTATCGTCATACCACACCTTCATAGTAATGTTGGCGTGCTGGATGCCACGGTGCAGGCGGGGGATGAGCAGGCCAAGTGTCATCTCCTTTACTGAGACAAGTTGGTTTGTGATGAGCCTCCTATACTCTTCTGAAGACACCCCGTCCAGTGGAGGCAGGACCACGATTTGTGTGTGTGTGATCCAGCTCAGCATCCGTGGTCCAATTAGACCATTGTTGAGGTAGTGAAACAATTCAGCGGGCAGCTGCAGGCCCAGATACTCATGGTTGTCGCCGGTGAGTTTGTCATAATCATTGACTTTGACTTCGCCATTCTCTGCGATATAGATGAAATGGGAGACGACCATCCTGGACTTGCGATATTTGTCCAGCCACTGAGGGTCTTGGGCCTGCAAAATGTCATTGAAGGAAGTACAGGTTGCAGCAACTGATTTATCAGAAGTCCTCAGCATATTGATGGCTTCGACAATCGTGAATGGCTGACGGGGACTAATGGCCGCATCTTGGAGGGGAGGAAAGGTAGGAAGGAACGAGGTTCCTGTCATCAGCAGAGCGTCGATGAACATAGGTTCATTGACATTCAGATTCTTGATAATCTGCTTCTTCGAGATCGCGGTCACTTTCCCAGTCTCCCAGTCAATGCCTTTGATCACCATGTCTCTGATGGGGTAGAGTAGAAGCTCCTGAGAACCCATGATGCCAGCACATTGGTCTGAGTCGATCATATCAAAGTACGCAATCTTCATTGAATCCAGTTAGTACACCTCTTGAGGAATGGCAACAGTGATCATTACCTGTGCAGTGGCGTTGTAAGGAGGCACCAAAAAGTGCAAATTCTTCTCTTTGAGCAGAGTCTGGAGCATAGGATACAGCTTCTGCGGGCGATAGGCACCTGTTCTCCGTCGTCAGTAAGAATAATCTCATAAAACGTGGCAGACAATATGCATACCACTGTTTGCGCCGAAGGCAGCAACAGCATTGTCAGCTTGGCCGTTGAAGTAGAGTTCCCAGGCCTCGTTTGTCTTCTTGATAGCCTCCCGTCCTCGCAAGACAGCGACCTCGTCCTGACCGGTGACAGTCTGGCCGTCGAAGATGAAGAAGGGAGTTATCTTATTAGTCTTCCAAGAGTCTAGGTCTGCTTCGATGTGCGCCTGGATACCCGTCAGGCCCCCGAGGGCCGGAAGGAGAGGCTCATGGGAAGGAGAGTTGTCGAGCAGAACTTGTAGGTAATAGGTGGCATCGACGGCAATGGCGCAGTCTTCTAACTCGGAGACATCGTGTGTACTAGAGTTGGAGGCGCATTAGCATACACATGTCTTGGCACAATCAAGTCGGTAGCGTAAACTTACACAGCAGTTCCGCTGATGTATGCATCTTCCACGAGAGCTTCAAGATTTTTAGTCAGTATGGTTGGGAGGGACATTGTCCAGCAATTTCACGGAGGGGTGACTAGAATAGCAAGCGCATGTGATCGCAGTGCCACCTTGCTAGGCTGAGCTCCTCGTAGAGTCCGCGCAAGCGCCAGGGGAACAAAGAAAGAAATGGAACAGCCAGAGCCAAGAAGAGCTATATGTAGTTCCATCAAGGAAGTAGACAGGAAGCCAGTCATCCTGGGCAGCTCCCGAAGATATAATCCCAAGAATATAATGCATTGCAGTTCAACCCTGGCGGCCCTCGGCAACACTCCAAGGCTGGAAGCAGCAAGCTCTTCACAAGGAGCGCATCTCCGGGTCGTATCTGAGAGGCCACGAAGCAGGGAAACACTTGTTTGCCAGACGGGAGCGGGTCGGGACAAGAAGCAATGGGTTAGAACACTCACACGGCATCTCGGGGACGTGCTTCGGATCTGTTGGGGCACTTGTCTCGAGCGTTGACGGCCGTCTGCTCTAGCTGGGCAGAACGAGGACCCGATAGAGTCACACGAGGATCGGATCGGGGAGGCGGCGGCGGACAGGTCGAATTAAGCGGGATCAGCTTATTCGACTGACGGCGAGCATGCGGCAAGGTGCGTTGGAAAGGAGATTGGAGTCGTCGTTGGCCGTTCGAGGGGGCCGTTGTTGGTTGGCGGGGGATATGAGAGCTCGAGGAACAGGTAAGTAAGGCGGGCCACCAGGTAGTTAGGTAGGTAAGGCAGTTACGCGCGCCGAGGAGGAGGAAAATGGACGAAAAGGAGAGGGAAGGAGTGACTCGGAGCTTGTCATCAAGAACAAAAAGAAGCTGCAAACTCCAGAATCCAGTTCGCCCAAGAAGACAAGACAACCTGGAACCTAAGCACCAAACCGGGAACCCTCTCTGGTAGGTGGGTGAGTAGAGGAGAGGTACCGCGAAGGTGGCGGAGGTAAGAGAGGTAAGGTTAGGTAAGGTGAGGAAGTAGTTGAGAGAAACGGAGCTCTAGCAGCAGAACGCGGACCTGAGTGAGGCTCACAGTCCAACAAACGTGACCCTGTCTTAGGTGAGTGACTCTAGCTAACCTTTTGCTCCTCAGCAGTGGAACAATGCCCTTTTCCTACTAAACGGCTGCCCTGATCGCTCACTCACCCAAGCAATTAATTGGAGCAAACCCCCAGGACAGAACAGGGAAGGTCCGTGCTCATGCTGGTGGCCCCAACTAGCAGGCGCGACTTGGCCTGTGCTTTCCCACTCTTGATTTTTTTTCCCTCCTGGTCTGACCTGACCCCTGGATCTGCTTCCCTCCCGTTGGTGTGGTGTGGTGCGCGTGTGCACACAGAAGCCCGGCAGGGTATATGATGTGTGCTAATATCCATTGAACCTTGCAATTTAGGGCATGGCTGGCCTGTTTTAGCTCCCGAAGCTCCCTCCAGCCTGCTGACAGAATACCAAGGGTTCCGGGGTTCCTTTGAAACCTCAAAGCAAGACACCATGTGCCGCCCTTTGTGGCTAGTAATATGTGGCTTGTCTCTGGATTTTTAAGAATACCTCCCCCGAACCTGGAATATTTGTTACATCCAGCTAACATCTCAGCATTGTGCAACTAAGCGTTCTGTCTGCGAAATTTAATTTCCTTGAAGGCTCCTTCCGAGATGCTGAGGATCCTGGACATTTTCAAGAAGCATCCACTCATATAAGGCTCTCCTTAGCAGGTACAATATAGTAGGTATATTGAAAATGGGCAAGTACTACAGTTGTTGGTCCCTTCTTTCCTTTCTACCTAGCTTCCAAGATCCGTGTTCGGAAGTAGCAACCCAGCTTCGGGATATTTGATCCTGCTGTGTCACTCGTTTTACCAGTCCTGAGCAAAGCATGATGTAAGGCCAGAACAACACATCATCACTCACGTAAAACAAGGGGTAGCGAGGTAAAAATCAAAGTAGTCTTGATAGTTGAGGTAATCTGTCTATCTATGGTCCTTGCCTTCCTCATCCGATATGTCATATGCTGTTCTAGCTACGTCTATCTGAGGGAGCTAACTTTTATTCAATGCTCGTGATTAACGGAAAGTCATTTTCATCAAGTTCTAAGGAAATGATTGTCACCATTGTTCGCTGTCTCGTAGAACATTCATCCAATTTCACTCAATCCTCCTCGATGTCTCGGGCTGACGTGTCCATGCATGCCATGGTTCCAACCGCTATATTCAGAAAAACGACGCGTGAGAGTGTAAGACGAGCTGAGCTGTCGGTTCTGGAGCTGGGCTGCCTCTGGAGAGGACGGGGCCTCAACAGTCTTTTCAACTGGTGCAGCAGGTGTTGCCTCGATGTAGTCATCCTCGATCTCCTGGGACAAAGACTGCTGTCCCTGCCATGTCCTGATGGTATGCAGCTCTGCGAAGCCCAGATGTATCATGCCGCTCACAAATACGATCCGTAAGGGGTATGTTGTGGCCCCTTTGTTTTTGGTCCTGGTAAAAGAAAATGTCAGATGTCAAGTAGGAAGAGGGAAAAGAAGGGGGGGTGTGCCGAGACTGAAGACAATACTCACAGCTGATCAGCTTGGTTCGAGACCCATCGATTCAGCACAACCAGTCCCAGGAACATCGCATTATACACATGGAGGAGAAACCAAGGGACATGCCCTTCCCACATGGCCATGACCGTTGCAAAGTACGTGCTCAGAGCATAGATATCGGCGTATGAATCGAGGGCCTTGAGATTGTATAAAAGGAAGATGCTCACGCGCGTATAGAGGAAAGAGTTGAGACACTTGACTGCTGCTCTGTGCAGGTGTATATCCTCCCAGACAACTGCGGTGATACCAATACCGACACGTAGAAACGTAAAGGCTTGGTATGCCGCTCGGGTGGGCTTGGGACGGCCTCTCATCAGCGTTTTGGCGAGTTCAAAGCTGGTAATGCTGTGAAGAAGGCAGATGAAGGCATCCAGGGCTGTCGGTGTCACTGGACCATCGAGTGCCCGGATATGGTATCGAAAGACCTCTACCAAGGCGCAGGCAGTATGAAGTGCAAGGGGTAGACTGCTCGATCTCTTAAAGTTGGAGTTATACTGAGGAACGCTCCTGCGGGTGTGATAGCTGGTGACTGAGATGTAGCAGAGGACGTGCCAAGCGAGCTCGCAATGAGCTTGATGGTCAGATATGAACCGGGATAGATTCGCCAAATGAGATCTTAGCAGTGCGTCCATGATAAAATATACCAAACAATATTAAGAATCTTGATAGATGAGATACCCGAAAACAAACAAACTCGTGGTGGTCAGGAAACATCGTCCTATATAGGTAGGTTTGGCTGTTCAACCTCAACGAGGCTCGTCCAGTGCTCAACCAGAACGACAACAAAAATAGTAGCACAAATCTACATCTTCTCTGACTCGAGGCAGAAGCAGCATACAATACGGTTTACGACTCCATACCATGCTGCATGACATCGAGAGTTCAATCCTACCAAACAGGCAGTATCTCGACCCTTCGCCTAATCAGCCCAATCAGGTAAATGCTATGATGCTACACTCAAGTTGCAAGAGAAAAGACACTTCCTGCCTTGAACCGTTAGTTACAGAGGCAGACCTTTCAGGCAATGGCATCATGGCAACATTTCATCATTTTCGGACCGTCGGGTCGAGCAAGGCTTAGGCTGAAGCTCAAGACAGTTGTACACAGAGATCGACACAGTCAGCCATGGCGTTGAGTGAAAGCGCACAGCCGCAGTGGACTAATTAACAACCATATGATCCTTTGGCTCAAGCCTCTAAGCCTTGCTATCAGGAAGTCGGCTCCATGTTATCATGTATCAGTGGGGACATCAAGGATGTAGCGACACACGAAGACCTGGCCATTTACAACTGACCTCAACAAGGCAATAGATCACAAGGATTCTGATACACAGAACGGACAACAATATAAAAGCAAGTCTAGTTTTTTTTTCTTGGATATCTCAGTCCACCAGACTATCGGTCTGCCTACCAAGGGGGAAACAGCAAATGTTTCTCTGCCTTTGTCCATATCGAATCAATCTCAATGAAGCCCCGGCCGATGATGCTTCCTAGAGCAAACTCCAAGTTTTCCATATGCCCAGAACCGAGAGCAGATAAGCTTCCGCCTTCCCCTGATGATGGAAGAAGCCTTGTGTGCGCGAAGTCCGCACTCCTTCCTGAGCCGAAAATTACCCATCTATGTCCTCTATCAATTCCCCATGCTCGTGGTAGACCATTCGAGCGTGCGTGTCGACCAGAGAACCGAGAAATCCACTTTTGTCTATGAATTATGCGTCCAAAAATAACGACAATAGGAGGTGATGCCGGTGAACCCCGCAATCTATGAAAAGCGAAAATGATACCTTTGGGAGTGAGGTATGAAGAGCGGAAAAAACATGACCGTCGTAATGCGTTGATCAGATCCAGGGCCATTTCATACTCCCTAGATCAATCACCGTTCACTGCACGCCTCAAGCGTCTCTTTGCAGTTTCTGTCCATGGTGTCTCCCCGGATTCTGTTCTTCGTCTAAAGGGTATCAAGAATTCCAGGGCCGCAGAAACAAAGAAATGCAATCTATCGTGATGCCTGAGAGTGCTCGAGAAAACCGAACCTGCCATTCCCAAGCAAGCGGCATAACACTCGGCTCTCCTCGGTCAGTTCCGCGCTTTTTTTGGTTTGTCCCGAAAAGTGATAATGACAAGACAATGCGTATGTTCGTTTGCGCGAAAGAAGAATGTCGGTGAAAGTCCAAAATCAAGAGCGCGAGAGTGGACTCGAAGCTTCACCAAATCAGCCATGGTGATGAGAAAAGATTTACCACCAAGAGCTCTGGCCACCTGGACCGCCAGGGTTGCCATATCCGCCGCCGCCATATCCACCACCGCCGCCGCCGTAGCTGGGGTTGGGTGCTCCGCCATATCCGCCGCCGAAGCCAGAGCTCGGTGGGGGGCCACCGAAGCCTCCACCACTGCCTCCACCGAAGCCGCCGCCGCCGCCGCCACCACCACCACCACCGCCAAACTTGCGGAAGTCACGGTTGGCTCCCTGGCCACGACCACGGCCGCCGCCCGGTCGACCACCTCGACCACCTCCGTAGGAAGACTCGCGGGCAATCGTCTCTAGGAATGCTGGAACCTCCTGGTTGGCCTCCTTGAGGAGGTCAATGAGCTCTCGAACCACGCCCCTATTGCCGCGGTTGAAGAAAGCAGTGGAGATACCTGTGTTACCAGCACGGCCGGTACGACCAATCCGATGGACGTAGTCGTCAATATCGGTGGGCAGGTCGTAGTTGACAACGTGAGTGACGTTGGGAATATCAAGACCACGTGCCGCGACGGCGGTGGCCACGAGGATGGGGCAACGGCCGTTACGGAACATCTCCAGGGCACGCTCACGCTCTCGCTGAGTACGATCACCATGGATGGAAGTGGCGGGGAAGTTCTGGTTGATGAGGAAGTCGGATAGAGAGTCCGCCATACGCTTGGTCTCGACAAAGATAAGTGTCAGACCAGCACCATGGGTGTGGAGGATATCCAAGAGAACAGAGCGCTTGTCAACGTCCTCGACATACTCAACCTTCTGGGTGATGTTCTCAGAGGTTGAACCGACACGACCGACGGACAAGAAGACGTAGTCCTTCAGGAAATCACGTGCCAGCATCTGAATGTCTCGGGGGAAGGTGGCTGAGAACATGAGAGTCTGGCGGTTTTGGACGCCTGGCATGTCCTCGCCCTCAACAATGCGACGGATCTGGGGCTCGAAACCCATGTCAAGCATACGATCGGCCTCATCAAGAACAAGGTACTTGATGTTCTGGAGGGAGATACGGCCTCGCTCTATGAGGTCGACCAGACGTCCAGGGGTGGCAACTAGGAGATCGCAGCCTCTCTCGATCTGGCGCAGCTGAGAGCCAATGTCGGCACCTCCGTACACAACGCACGGGCGGACCCAAGACCGGTAGGCAAACTTGCGGGCCTCGTCGTAGATCTGAGACACCAGCTCACGAGTGGGGGCCAGAATCAGCGACGTGGGGTAGGCCTTGCGTTGACGGCCATAGCCACCACCAGTGCCAGCAGGAATGGCGGACGGACCAGTCTGGAAAGCTTGGGAAAGGATAGGGAACAAGAAACCTCCAGTCTTTCCCGAACCAGTCTGGGCGCATGCCATCAGATCGCGACCGCCCATGACAATGGGGATAGAGTACTTCTGAACGGGAGTGGGGATCTTGTAGCGAGCAAGCTCGATGTTTCGGATCAGATGGTCATCCAGAGGGGGGTTGGTGAAGGTAAGTACGGGTTCCGGGACATCGTGGCCAGAAGCCTCAACGGGAATGTCGTCGTACTTCTCGAAATTGATGCCAGTGTGTTGCTTGGACGGGTCATCAGGGGTGCCAAAGAGCTCGCGCTCCGCCCGAGGATTGGCGGGGCCAGGGATGTGCTTCCCGTCCTGCCACCGACCGTCCCCGGAGCCTCTAGCATGGCCACCACCACCACCGCCGCCGCCCTGATTACCGCCTCCGGGCATGCCGCCGGGAGCACCGTAGGCATTGGCGTTGAAGGTGTTGGGACGATCCCAGTTGTTGTTCTGCTGGCGCGGCGGCGGGCCAGCCCAGTTGCCCTGCGGCGGGGGTCCACGGGCATCGTAGGCGTTGTTACTTTGCAGTGTTAGCAGACTGATATGAGATGACGACATTCCCAGACAAGCAAGGAAGGTGAAGAAGAGGGGAATGAACTTACCCAGCCCACGCGCTGTTGTTGAGGCCATTCATGGCGGCATTTGGCACACCATTCATAGGAGGCGGGCCGCCCTGGGAGACCTTGCCTCTCAGGTGAGGCGGGATGTAGGAACGAGGACCACCAGGGCCAGGAGGACCTTGCTGGTCGGGACCAAGGTTCAGGCCGCCCATGTTCAGTTGATCAGCCATGTTTGTAGGATGAGTTGTCGTTTTCGTGTTTGGGAAAGGCGACAGGGGCTTGTTCGTGATTGTTTTTGTCGTTGTCGAGTAATAGGCGACACAGTCGATGAAAAACTCTCGAAAGGAACGGCAAGTATTCGCTCAAATGAGAGTCTAGATCGTGGGGGGAAAAGTCTCAGACGAGAGACGAGAAATCTATCGATCGTTCGTGTCTGCGTAGCGTAGCGTTGCAAAAACAATGCAAAACCAAGATGATGCAGGAGAGTCGAAGGGAAGGCTGAAAAAAAAATCCTTCCTTGGGGGTTCTCCTCGCGCGTTGCCTCTATTAGGTTGTGCCTTCCGAGGGCTGCTCTAGACGTGCAGCAAACTGGAACTGGAACCAGATGGAAGACGGGAAAGAAGACGAGTCTTGCAGAATCCTCTCGAAGAAAACAGACGAATCTTCAAAAGGAAAAAGAAAGACGGGGACACTGAGATATTTTTCCTTGGGGGAAGAAAAAAGGACGATGATACGGGGGAAGGGTTTGATGGGGGGTTGAGGGAGGAAGGAGATCAAAAGATTTTGGAGAGAAGAAAAATTTAAGAGGGCCTGGGGTTTTGAGGTTTGTGTCGGCTACTGGCAAGAAACTGGAACCTGAACCTGAGGAGATCCACTGAAGCGCTCCCAACGAGCCAGAAAAAGGGAAAGCCCAGGCCACGCTAAGGTACGGGAAAGGGAACCAGCACAAACCAGGTAAGGTTTAGTGTGCCAGCTTCAGGCAGGCCCGGGCAGGCCAGGCAGGCGTGGGAGCCCAGTAGGGGCCTGCTAGGGGTCACCTCCCTGAAATCCCGGCCCTCTCAGTGGTCAGCCCTTCCACAAGGACTGGAGGACTGTCGCCACCGATGCAGGCCTTGTTAACGAGACACTTTCGTCACTGTGGCACTGCTATGACTGGCGCCTGTATTTCTCTACGTCCAAATCTCCCCCGATCATGACGGGGAACTCTCCGTAGATGAGATGACAGACCAGATTGCGCTGGAAGCCACTGGATACAGTACCGGACTTCCAAGGTACAGTACATACATCCTCAAGTACATGGAGGAGTCTGTCTAGGTGATGGGAAATACCCAGCAGCCTCGAGATAAGGTCGTGTAACAATCTACCTCCCTAGGTAACCGAATCAGAGAGATACGTAATAACACCTCTTCTCTGAGTTTCCCCTGAAGAGTTTTCCATCTTCTTCCGATACTCCAGATTATTCAACTTCTAAGTGGAATTCGCCTCTTTCAGCCTTGCCCGAATCCCAAGCTTACTCCGTAATTATCTTGTTACCGCACCCGTGCTTTATGTGTTCGTCACGTTGTCTATCCGGATGCCATGAGACTGTCCCCCAGGTGGCCCCCCCAAATGTCCCAGATATGTCATGAAGGTGGAACCCCCCCAGCCCATACATGAGACACGAGACACCTACCTAGGTTCACGGTGTGTGCCAGCTCACCGCTCAGGCGGCTTCAGATCTGCCATTGCAAGCCTTGTGAGCCACCCTCCCTCTCACCAACCGGGACTTGTGACGGCGTACTGCATCTGCAATTCAACAGCCTCTGCTTACCATACCTTAGTAGCCCACCAGCAGCAACCAGCGGATACTTGTTATGCTCACCGCCACCTGTCTTGTTACATGCCCGTTTATATCAGTACTCTATCCCTCGAGCGCCTTGTGGCTCTCTCCGCGTTTTCCTCCCCTTCCTCTAACAAGCCACAGTCTGTTCTCTTACATCCAGTGTGACGAGAAAGATAATGACACCCCCTGATTGGCCTGTTGCCGCTATTTAGACGCACGGCTGTGATTGATGTTCGCTACTGAGGCCACTGACCGTAATAGCCCCGGCTGGTGCCACTCTGGTTGCGAGTTTCCTACGCGGGAAGTGCCCCAGCTGAACGAGAGACGTTCTCCAAAATGGCGAAAGTGAAGTCTCTCCTGATTACTCAGCTTTCCCTTGTGGGAGGCAGAATAGCGGCATCACAGTAAATACCCTTCGAAATCAAGAAACCCCAGCTGTGTTGGTGATATTTAGCATCTAGCACATTGACGCCAATTCCCATTCATTGATGCCTGTCTACGTATAGTACACAGTCCTGTGCGGACTGAAAGCCTCATCGCACCACCATCACAACCTAAGCAGCCTTGACCACCTTGTCGTCGTCAAACTCAATGTCCACAATGCCATCCTTCGTCACCGCCTTGACCACCATTCCCTTGAAGTCTATCGGTAGCCGTCTCTTGAGCTCGTCCGTGCACATTGTCAGGATCTTGATGCCCTGGCCGAGGGTGATGTCCGGGTGGTGATGCTTGTCGAGGATGGAGAGGCAGTAGTATCTAGAGAGAAAGAAGAGCCGAGTCAGCACACATACCACACCTCCCACGCAGAAGACTTCATAGAACAGAATACATACTGTGCGTAGCCGTGTGCGGCATATGGGAGCGGTGCTAGCGAAGCAAGGTAGTCCAGCCAGTACAGGCTAGGCTTGTGTGTGATGGGGTCGACTCCTCCCAGGAGCAGGTTGACATTGTACGGCTTGCGCGATCTTAGGCTTGATGCGAGCTCGCCTCGAACGAAGTGCGCCAGGGCTGATGGTGAGAGGTCCGCCTCGTTCCGCATCGAGTAGAGCTGCGCGTTCGCCTGGATGTATTCTGTGAACTGGACTGCACAGCTGGTCAGCATCCGACACCAATCTGCTCCCCAAGAAAATCCGTACTTGTATCTCCAGCCTCTCCGGAGAATGCCAGCAGAGTGTGCTTGTTCAGGCTTCGGGTCTTGTCGTCGGCGGCTTTCAGAACCGTAGCTCCTCGCATCGCAGCCTTGGAGGCAGCGATCAAGGTGAAGTCCTTGCCGGTGATACCTAGTAAAACTTCCCTAGAAATATCAAGTCAATATCCCAATCGCTCCAGCTAGCTGCTTGAGAAGGTGCGCTCACATCGTGCTGTTTGGTGTTGTGGATGGCGGAAGTTGTTGTCAGGTACTGCGTTTGAAGCTTCGTTGCTGGTCTGTCCGCCTGGAGCTTCCCTTTGGCAGCAGTAGCCAGGCACTAGACGCGCATTCAGCTACAGCCTGCCGCCCAGCCAAGTAGGTAACGGTAGGGTAGGCGGGACCCGCCTGCATCACTTGTCTCGCTCCGCTGTTTTTCCGCTGAGCGAATCGGAGCCTGCCGCCAACTTTGGCCGACAACTTTTTTTTTGGTCCCTCTGGTCCCTCCATCTAAAAAATCTCTAGGCCCGACTTTTTGCTTGGTGACTTTTTGCTTGGTGAGTTGAGCACCCGTCGACAAGCTCGCCGTCGCCCGCCATGTCGTCCTTCTTCACGGCCCCAAAGGTCCAAAAGAAGCGCAAGCGGCCCGACACTGCAGAAGCTCCAAAAAAGCGAATTGCAGCCTCGAAAGACTCGGGGAAGCCCCCTACGAAAGTCAACCCCGCGGCAAAGAGGAGGGTCGAGCGTGACGAGTCTATATCAGGCAGCGAGTCGGATGACGATGTCTCAGACGACCTTCCCGGCCACGACTTGGGGGATGAGGAATCAGAAGCCTCGGAAGCTGAAGGGGAGACCGCAGCCGAGCGAAGATTAAGATTGGCAGAGAGGTACCTCGACAATGTCAGGCAAGAGGTGGATGAGTACGGGTTCGATGCAGAAGAAATTGACAGGGACCTTCTCGCCGAACGACTACAAGAGGATGTGGCCGAGGCCAAAGGCAAAGTCTACCGCAAATTGGTCTCGGAGCTCTCCTTCTCGCAAGCTTCACATACACTCTTCAGGTGGAATACCGAAAACGTTACCTCGATAGCAACCTGCGCCCCATATGCTTACACCACTTCCAAGGACATGTTCCTTGTCAAGTGGAAACTACAAGACCTCCCCGAACACCAATGGCCGCAAACAACGAAGAAGAAGCCGAAGAAGCCACCGGCTCCCCCCAAACGGAAACCGGAACGAGTCGCATCCAGTCGGGGGGATACCAGAAAATCAAGAGACAAGAATTACCAAGGGCATACCGGCGCAATTCTGAAGGTGGCAGCATCTCAGGACGGAAAATACGTTGTTACAGCCGGCGCAGATAGGAGAATCGTCGTCCATGACGCAGAAACTCTGAAGCCTCTACGCGCCTTCTCACACCACCGAGACTCGGTCACAGGATTAGCATTTCGAAGAGGAACAAATCAGATGTATTCATGTTCCAAAGATAGAACGGTCAAAGTCTGGAGCTTAGACGAGCTGGCCTATGTGGAGACCCTTTTCGGCCACCAAGACGACGTGGTGGACATAGACGCACTAGCACAGGAGAGATGCGTGAGCGTCGGCGCACGAGATCGCACAGCCCGACTCTGGAAAGTCGTTGAGGAGACACAGTTAGTCTTCCGAGGAGGTGCAGTGGACAAGAAACCCCGTCCAGGAATCGATCCAAAGTCAATGGCGAACGAAGGTAGTATGGACCGTGTAGCCATGATCGACGACGATCTTTTCGTTACAGGCAGTGACAACGGTTCAATAGCCCTATGGAGTCTTCAGAAAAAGAAGCCCCTTTTTGTTCTACCGAGAGCTCACGGCATAGAGCCAGCGCTGTCACTAGAAGAAGCCTCAGGGGAAAAGAACCCTGACCCCAAGGTGATACCACCACCTCAACCGCGGTGGATTACAGCACTACGTACAATACCCTATTCAGATGTAATACTTAGCGGCAGTTGGGATGGTCATGTCAGAGTATGGAAGCTCAGCGATGACAAACGAAAGATTGAGCCTGTTGGGGTCCTCGGCGCCTCGCTGGACCACTCAGATGAGGCCAATGGTGTCAATGGCACGAACGAGGAGAAAATAGCCGAGCCCTTTGTTAAGGGGATCGTCAACGACATATCCATGTTCGAGAGAGGTGACAGAGGCAAGGACGGACTTTGTGTAGTCATTGCGCTGGGAAAGGAGCATCGTCTCGGGCGTTGGAAAAGGATTCAAGGAGGCCGAAATGGGGCTATGGTATTTGAAGTCCCGAAAGTCATCAAATCGCTGGCGAACGGTGTGCATGCTGCTTCTGATGATGAGAGCTCATGATTATGCTCTAATCGGGATGACTAGAAGAATAGATCAAACAACCACTTACTCAATGGTGATTTCATGGCAATGGTTCAGCGTCACCTGATTGCAAATTACAACCACGTACCCGTCGTGAGGAAATTACGTACTGGCATCCATCAGGAGCTCAGAGATCACTATTGCTTATTTTCTATTAATCTACGATCACACTACTATCGCAAGGCTATGAGCCCAAACACCCCAAGCAAAGCAGATGCATCCATACATGGATAGCCGCAACGCCTAGACAATGCAACGCGCTGTAAAAGAGACATGCATGACTCGCCACAACTCCAGTCACATCCCCTTGAGAGGGACTTCACGTTGTGAGATCAATAGTCTCCTTCTTATGACCTTTATCGTCATCTGGAATGAGCCTCGATTTCGTCACCTTGCCATTGGCGCCGAATTGTGATGTTGGGAAATAGGGGCTTGAGGTACCCGTTTTGCGGTCCGTAAGAAGCCTCCTGGGAGAGAGTTGTGCCTTTGACCGAGGCTTTTTAGTAGTCGAAGGCGGAGTTGAGCTTGAAGGCAAAGGCTGAAGAAAATTATTTTCAGAAGACTCGCGAATGACGGCGAATGTGGACATTGCGTGAGGCGGCGAAGCAACCTGGCAAGGTAGTTCTTCAGGAGATTCGATGGACTCTCGAACAACATCATCAGAGTCATCTAGTACGCGGGTCGGGACATTATTTGGCAAGTGGCCCTTGTCGCCTTCACTACGAGGGCAGTCCTCAGCTGGCTTTACATGAACGTTTAGACCAGATGGCTGTTCCGCGAGCGAAGTGCTAAAGTCGTGAGTCGCCTCCTTTGATAGCCTTCCACTAGCTTCGCCAGGCTCTTCAGGAGAGTCATGACGTGAAACCGCTTTAGAGGCTGTGTTTGGTGCAGGGGTTGGAGAAGGGTTGTTTGGTGTCTGAGGTGTAGGGGTTTTCTCCTTGGGTTTCTCGGAACTTCGTGGCTCGGACTGCTCCTTAGATCGTTCCTTGGAGCGCTTCTGTTGAGCCCTTGCCCTTCGCCTTTCTTGTTCCTGAGACTGATATTCCTTCTGTAGACTCAGGATGAGCTCCCGCAAATCATTCCGCAACTCCGAAGAGTTCAACTGCCATGCTCGGTCTTCCTTTTGAAGAATGTCGCTAACAAACTTGTCCGGATCCTTCATGAATTCTCTAATATAACCCAGGAGGTAGACACCACAATCGGTGAAATTATCCTGCATAGGAATATCTTTGACGGTCGTGCCTAAAGGCCCGGGGTTCTCCATCTTCTCCCCCTTTTTCTCTTCTGCCTCAGCCACGAGGTACTCTTTCAAGCTTCTGACGACAGCCGAATGAGAACTTCCAAGCGAGTCAAGCGTAATGATCCTCGGGTCTCGAGGATTGTACTTTCTAGGCGGCGGCGGGGCGCGCTTCTTTCCACTCTTCGACGATTTGCTGCTGCTTGGGCGAGGCGTACTAGTGTCTGCCATTGGCTCACGAGGATCTGTATGTTTCTTACTCTGCTCCGTTACCATTATGTCCTCATCGTTGGTTGCATTGTCTTTGTCATCAGAACTATCAATAGTGACATGGCTGATTTCGTGAGTGAGAGGAGAAACAGATGACGGCGATTTCCTTGACACTTCAATGTTACCTGTCTCTGGATGACCCGTCTCCCTGGCGTCAAGCGCTATTAAATCCGGATCAGTCACCTTCACGGCTTGGCGCGAGGGGAGTAATTCTCCGGGGTTGCAGATGACAGTCACCCACCAATGCGAAGATTCATTGACGGGTACGATAATGTAGTCGAACGAGAACAAATCGACCTTGGCGGTCCAATTTTTCACACCATCATAGTTGATATTGCGACCTTTCGGTTTCAACTTCTCGTAGAAGAATGAGTTGAAGATATAGATCTTATCGGCGGCACGTTTGTCCTTGAGCTCCAACTGATGGTGGAGGTATTTCAGGTAGAAGGAGATCAGGCTGTCGTTCATGAATTGGCCCTCATCTAGCCTGATAATGTCCTCCCTGTCGACAGTGGTTCGTTGGTATATTAAGGGAACTTTCCACTCGGCTGCCCAGTTAGGGTGTTGCTCAGTCCAGAGTTCAGGCTTCGGCGAGGGCTCTTTGGGCAGGCGCTGTGAGGACCGTGTGCTCGGCCGCAGACGAGATGGTGTTTCATAGAACAAATCGCTAGTGACAGGCCTTAAATAGGACGCCCCTGATTCTGGCGCTTGCATCCGACTTCGAAGTGTTCTCCGCGACTCTGCTGTTGGAACCGGTTCTTGTTTCGTAATTTTCTTCCGTTCTAAAAGCTTTAAGTCATCCGCGCTCATATGGATGTCTCCGTCTGGCTGCTTGGAAATGTGGTTAGAAATTTCCATCGTTTGCTTCTCGAAAGTTGTCTGCAATTTTGAGCTATAATGATGTGAGTGATAAGATATTGCATTTCGCTGAAGTAAGAACTTACCCTTGTATCTCACTGTGATGCAGATGTTGGGGACCGTTCGCTCGACTCCATTTCACGAAGGTGGTTGCATCCTTGGCGTCGCCGAATTCGATCATCAGCAAGGCCCCAGTAGTGGCCTCTGGCCTGATAGTGGTAGCTCGTGACATCTTGATGATGGGAGATCCCGGGCTATACCAAATAGTCGTTGCTGTCTTCAAGGATAGTCTTAGCCACTCGAGTCCAGCCACATCATCGCCGCGCGGATCGATAGCTTTCAAGCTGGCCGGCGATGATTTGTCGTTATTCAACAGACAATATGTGCTATATGTAGGCTCTTTGGCACCTGCTGATGATGGGTATAAGAACTTCGGTTGACTTAGAGCCCTCTTTACGACTAAGCCATCACCAAAGCCATCTGGTGGGGCCTGCGGCGAATATTGCGTGCGGGCAATATTGCCCCGGGTAGAAAGGCTTGATGAGAAGGCGGCACCCTTGTGCCGTTTAGAGGGAGGCTGTTGGTCTACAGCTTGCAACTCGTCGTCGCTGGAATTTGCTGAATGTTTGCCCTGTGATCGCACTTGTCTCTGAGAGGTGTTCCTGTGTCCGGCAGATGACCCTGACAAACTTTTGGGGGGAGCCTCGGCTATCTCATCGTCCTCATCACTAGAGTTCAATGCAAATGTTGAGTTCGTGTACGATTGCGCCGCTTTTGGTGTTGCTTCGCGACGGGCATGTCTGGATGGTGGCTTTTGAACCAAGTCAACGGCGTCCTCGATAGGATCAGACATGATTTCGTTCTTCCTGGTCTTGAGCAAGCCAACTCTTGAAGTTCGAGATTCTGTGGGGGGTGGCTCATGCGACCCTCCCTGTGCCTTTGGCTCCCTATACCGCCGCTTACGCGGGCGGTTGAAACCAGCATGTGCTTCTGTTTGTCGATATTCCGGAATATCTCGATCATCTATCCTCTCTCCATTTGACTGAGTACTCATACTCCCTCTGAAATCTCTCGCCGGACTCGGCATATCCTTTGAAGTTACTTCAACCACATCACTATCACCACCAATCGACCGTGCCGGGGATGTATGGTGTGTAGCTTTCGCTCGCTTAGGCTGAGGCAGGCTGATTTGCGACTCTTGCGAACGCTTCGGAGTGCCGTCTTGGAGCGGCGTTGAGTCCGCGGCTTTGCTGCCATTCAACCTGTCCAGGGGAGCGAAACCGAAAGTCTTCTATCATGGCCGGTCAGCCAGTGCTTATCGATCTTCAGCAGAATACACTCACGCCCAAGTTCTTGATTCTGCCGATCATGATGCCTTCTCCCAGTTGTGGGCTCCTAAACTCTGAGCATCAGCATATGACTTTGTTTCAAAGTTGCGTGGTATAGCCATACCCATAGTCAGGAAAAGAATGTGCATCTGACCAATATCTGCGAAAAGGATCCCTAAGAAGATCAGCCCATGTACCTTACAAACGGGCGCACCATCGCGTACCATTTAGCCTTTTGATGCGTCGATTCAGGAATATTGTTGGTAGCCGTGATCGCGGGGCTGCTAGTCTTCTCGATTGATGGAGGACTCGTGTCGAAAATGCTATCCATATAGTCAGCAAAATTGTCGTCATTATCTGCATGTGGAAAAGACCTACGGCAAACTTGAGTCCTCCTCTCCCCTTGCCGCTGCACCTGACGCTGAGGATTCTAGGAGAATGATGACGTGTGGTGCAGATTTGACAGTGGCATGTGCCTTTGGAAGAGAAACTGTCAGCTGTGTGCTGCGACCATGAGAGGTGCCGAGCTCGGTGAGGCAGTGGAAAGTTGGGGATCGTGAGGATGGGGAGGTCTAGTGTAGTGACCAGAGACCCACGCGCTTTCAGCCTTGCAGTCCAGGTCCAGGCCCCACAAGCGCTGCCCCTCTAACAAACAACCCGCTGAAGACAAACACCTGCCGCCACACGGCATCGAAGCATCTCACCGCTCGGAATACAATCAGACAGGTAAAAGGGGGCTTTGATTGTGTAGAAAGTGAATTTGGAATTGAGATGAAAATGGCTTACATTGCTTTTTCCTGTTTGCGTCCGGCTGCCATCGATGGGAATGGTGACAGATGTGGTTTGGGAGTTCATCACGGCGAAGCCGCGACTGTTTGTGCTCAGTAGTCTTGTCTTGTCAAAGGTTTCGCGAGGTTGACGCGCCATGCGCCGGCATCGATTACAAACTCTGTTAGGGGGGGATTTGTCTCATCTTGCACTTGCGGACTTTGGAACAGAGAAAGGCACGGATATCTGCTGGGAAAGGTACAAAGCAGAAGATTGGTGCGTCTCACCGAAAAAGATGCAGACGTGAGTGATGTGACGGGGAGCTTGAAGTAGCTGTAAATACCTACAGTGAATCCACATACTACTACTAGGTAGGTACTACATACTTAGGTAAGGTATGGAGTATCTACCGAGGTAAGGTAGATATCTTAATGTTGTTCACGGGGCTGCTAAAGGCTGACTACCTGCCTATGCAAATGCTGAGCTACAGGTGCATGTGGTGGGGGTCCGGGCACCTGAGGTACTATGTAGTAGGTATCAACAATGTTGGAAGGAAGCCGCAACGGAAGCTGGCTGATAATGACACAATAGAGACTCGGTCCACCGTGCCTTCCTACCGTAACTACCTAGGTACTGGTAGGTAGGGACAATAAGGTATCGCGGAAACTATAATAACCCTACTACCGGTACCTTATTCTTCTTTCCTGCTCAACACTCCATGGCTCCAAAATGAGTCGCTGACGGTTGTGGGCGGCTCCTGCCATTTAAACCATGATTGATGGATTAAGTATACCTGCTTACCAAAAAGTGCTTCCAAAGTGAACAACTACAGATTTATATGTAATGATGAAACACCAACAGTGAGGAGGACGACCAATTATTTGACAAGGTTTCGTTAACAGGTTGCGGATTTGTTTGACACAAGTCTAGCGTTGAGAAACGATCAAGTCATTTCCATACTGAAGACTACCGGTAGATGAGCCAGGATCACGAGAAGACCACGAGATCCTTATAAAGGGGCACCTCTCTATCTCTCTGGAGCGGTGTCCGATATTCCCTGCCTGATAGAGGCAATCGAAGCTACGCTCATTCATTCTCTCTCTTGGCCAACTTGTGTATATTGTAGGTATGTTGCTGACAATAGCAGATACCAAAGTCTGAGATTAGAAGAGAAAATATCCGGTTTTGGCTAGGAAGCAAAAAGTAGTCTTTGTTCTCTTAAATCGGCCATGTAAGTTGGCGGGCTGTAGCCTGTAGCTAAGCTATAAGTTAGCGGTAGGTAGCCGTGGTAGCCTGCCATGCCGGACTAGTGGCGGCGGCTCTTAAAGGTCCCTTAAATACAGTGGAGTTCCCACGCACACGTGAGGGCCAACTTGCCTGAACGATAAGCGAGATAGTGAAGCCTTGCCTTCCGTTTCGCAAGGCGGCGAGCCACTAGCCATTATTTATTGCCTGTGCAATCCAGCCTCTCGGCCCGCAACACACCTACACCAATACCACCAATCGCCAGAGGCAGGTCACAGCTCGACTGGTGACAAACCCCCAAATTCTTCGCCGCGGGGGGTAAATTGCTTCTCGCGCAAAGTTGTTTTGCTGCTTGCGACACCTAGGGAATGGGTGTCGGTGGCATCGTAACCCGTCGCAGTACCTCCCCGTCATAAGGTGGTGTCAATGAACAAAGCAACCCGTAGTTCCTCCGTTCCACGAAGAAGGCAGCGCAAGTCGACTCCGCTCTCGAGAAAGAAGCCCGGCCGCGCCGAGGATCCCGACGACGTCTGGTATCAGATCAAGGACATCGTCGACGAGAAATACGACAAGGGAAAGCTCTTATATAAAATCGATTGGGCCGACAATCCCACCACCGGAGAACCGTACGAGCAAAGCTGGGTCAGTCTCGATCAGATCTAAACCCTCCCCTGCCTGCTTGTAGCCCTTGGCTAACTTCTTTAAAGATTCCCGCAGAAGACGCGAACGAGGACGCCGTAGAGGACTGGCACAGGGAGAAGCACCGGCGAGCTCAAACTGAACCACCCTCTCAGGGGTCCAGCTTCGATACCCATTCTAGCAAGGGCGAACAGGCTCCCAGCACAAATCATAAGAGGAGGCTCTCTATTTCATCAGATAGCAAGGCTAGGAGAAAGAAGAAGCGGCTCCGAACCGTGGTAGAGTCAGACAGGAGCTCGTCTCCGTACGAGTCAGAAGATCCACATCCGTGGGATCTTGCCCAAAACAGATCTCGTGAACCGGGCGAGAGCAACAGGTTGATAGTAGAGCTCAAGTCAAAGCCAGACTTTGATCCTGCAGAGTACACTGCGATTTCATCCTCGCAACTCTCCCACGAACCATCCTCGCAAGGTCTCAACAGCCTTGAAATCGCCTCGAGGGATAGGCCGCGCGCCAATACTAGTCAACGGACCATTGCAGATTCTCAAGGGTTTTCAGCTTCACTGTTTTCCTGCGATTCCGCTACTCAGCAACCCTTGAGAGGCTCAAACTCGCCAACCAAGTATTCCAGCACGGGGCATCATTTAACAAACGCGGCACAACTGCCAGACCTCAACCCTGAGAACCTAGGTGGATCTACATCAACTGATATCCCTTCACGACAGCCAGATAGCTTTGTGGCATCCATTACTAGTCAACCAAAATCTCACGGCACCAACGAACCGACGCGGTTCGCAGAGCAATATTCGTCGCAAGCTCTCCGCGAAGGGTTACCAAGATTTCCATCTACCACCTCACAACAGAAGCGATCAGATCAAACAAGTGAAAGTTTCCCCAGGTTTCTGACCCAACCTGATTTCGTCCTCAATTATCCGCCAGTCGAAAGCTCACTTCCAAGTGGTATTGCTGTCTCGGCTGTGAAGTCTGGAAGTCAACTGAGTGCTCAGTCCGTTCAGGACCCGACGGGGACCGTCCGTGGCACGACATCAGATAATTCCCAACAGTTTGCTCAGATCATCCCCGATAGTAGGTCTGTCGTCGAGGCGCAAACTCAGGATCATTGGATTCCGGAGGGAAATAGTGAGCATACTCAGATTGTCCCTGAGACAACACGAAAACGAGCGCATAAATCTTGGTCGCCACAACGTCGCCCTAGTCCAGGTTACTACGGGTCCGAGCATATCTTCCAGAGCATCGAGCAAGGCGATATTGACAACGAGGGCCGTTCGTTTCCTGCGAGCCCGCGGTCAGTCATCAACAACACGAGCTTACGTGCTCGTCCAGAGGAAATCCAGCGGCCGTCAAGGCATGAGTCTACCGACATGGAAAGCTCAAACACCATAGGGACACCCACGTCCATAGTAGAGAGACTACGACAGATACAAGCAGAGGCTCTTAGCCGGGGAGGCTCAGAAGAGAATGACCAAAGCAACCCGGGCAATGCGCAAGCAGAAGCCAGTGCGGTAGATCAACCAATGACTTCACCTTCCGCCATTTTACCTAGTGTTGAGCCCGAACACACGTCTAGCAATCCTCAACAGGAACTCCGTGAAACTGAAGCTGAGGGATGGCATACCGCAGATGCCTTACCAGTCGCTGGGCTCGTTGATTCGTCGGCACAAATTGATCCTTCTGTTTCTGGCAACACAGACTTGCCCCCGCTACCAGCAAATGACTTCCAAACAGGTCTGGGTCTCAATTTGGACTTCCATGGTCCTGATCTAGGTCTTGTGGAGCAACCGATTGACCAAGATGCAATCCCAGCAACGATAGCCCCGTCCGTACTCAATACAAACGCTGAAGCAGAGTTGTTCCCAACCAGTTCGCTTCCGATCGTCGGTAACTCGGTTATCCCCACAGACACAGTAGAAGGTGCTGTGGCTGCCATCTTACCGCTCATTGATTCACCGGATTCATCTCCTGATAGCGAAGAGATTCCTGCATTCTCGGAGCAGATCCTTCGAGAAACAGACATACCTGGACGGAACGAGCAGATTGTTACGCTGCCGCTCCCAGCAAACTTGCGTCATGTCTATCTGTCAATACTTGCTCAGAACGAGCCAGTCATGGAAGAGTTCACACAAATTTTCTCCGAGGACGTCTATAGAGTTCCAGACGAATCTCTGGTTCTGAAGGTAGACGACATGCTTCGGCGACTGTACGATCTTTGCGACCTTCCCGCTTCCCAAGAGGACATACCCCTATCGACTGCAGAAGACATGATGAAGTACGCGCGTGACACGAACAGTAAATTCTTGTTCGTATATGAGCTTCTTGATGGGCTACGGGATGTGGGTCACCAGGTCCTTATTCTTGCAAGGCCTGGTCGTGTTACGGAATTTCTCGAGGCACTTCTCTCGGCAAGACACTTCAATTATCGCCGCCTAGATAAGCTGGAAACTCATGCAGCCAATCCGGACGAGTCGTTGAGCATTATTCTTGCACCCACAAATACATCTCCCACAGACCTTCCAGCAGGTGTTGGACTTGTGCTTGCGTTTGACCAGACAGCACGCTCATCCGGTCTCCTGGCGGCATATCAGACTAACAGCGATTCCGATGAGCTGGGCCCAATGGTCTTGTCTCTTGTGGTAACACACTCTGTTGAGCACATTGACCTGCGCATCTCCTCGTCGATGGATCCATTAGAGAGGAAGAATGCGTTGGTTGTATCTGTGGTTCAAGCCCGAGATCTCATTGCTGAGCCTGAACGTGGCTATCCAGAGCCACACGCCGTGGCTGACATATTTATTAGTATGATCAAGGATCCCACCGCAGATGTCTTCTATGAACAGCAAACAATCCCTGATGAGGTGTTTGAAGTGTATATGAGCTCGCAAGCTCAGGCTCGAGCAACACAAAGATCCCCCGTCCCCCCTGATGTCGACTCGGACCGGTCCACGAGCCGAAAGCGACAATTGGTGAGCGCTATTCAGCTTACATCACCGACTAATGCTAATCAAGTTTCAGGACGATGTTGGCAGCGGCACAGGTACCCCGAAACGTGTGAGGGTGGCAGATAGCCTTCGACAGAGTATCGAGCCAAAGTCCCAAATAAGTGATGTATTGAGAGAACTTCTGGGCAACCATGTCACCTTGAATGGAGGCACCGCCGAGGTACCTATCGAGCGCCTCGAGTTTCTCGCTGCAAAGGTTTGCTCCTCCAGATACAGTTTGAAACTTTCCGCTGCGATTATACTAACCTTACTTCAGATTACGGACCTCGAGTACAGATTGAAGCAGAAGATAAGCGTTGAAGAGGCGATTCGTGAAGAACTTAAGAGCCTTTCAACTCAGCTCCATGGCTATCAACGGACAATCAAGAAGGTGCAGCCCAAATACATGGAAGCTCTTCGTGATCGCGGCATCTTCGAGGTTCAGCGTGACACCGCCGTAGCAGACGCAAATCACATGAAGACGCAGGTGGAGAACAGCAAGGCGACTGTTGCGAAACTCAAAGAGGAGAAGAAGGAACTGGAGACAAAGTTGGCCGAGGCTACAGCGGCACTCGCGAATTCAAGCGTGCCTGAAATCGCCAGACTCGCACGAGCTGAAGACGAGTTGAAAGCAGAGCAGAAGAAAGTCCAGTCTCTAGAAAAGAAACTGGCAAGCCTACAGAGAGACACGGATTATGTGCGCGAAGCATATCAAGAGGCTTCGAATAAAGGGGCAGACCTGGGTAATGAAAACTCGCAGTTATCTTCTAGGGTCAAAGAGCTTGAGCAACAGGCGTCTGAGAACCTGATCAAGATCCATCAAATTAATGCCCAGGTGGAGAGCTCAGGCTTCCGCCAGTTGTGGGAGGATGAGCAGGCGATCCGCCGTCACAGGGAGGCAGAACTCGAGCGCATACGGGAAGAGCTGCGAGTATTGAGGAACGGCCGCCGGGAGACTCGCCAGGCTAGCGTCCCCAGAAGCCCTCGGCTGGGTATGATGAGCCCGAGGAACGGTCGTGGCGCCGGACCTGGAAGCCGGGGCACGAGCCCGGCGCCGGCGGGCAATTTTGATCCTGTCGGCCCGATGCCAGGCATGACCTACTTCAACCAACCAGCTGGTAACGGTCGATTTAGTCATCTGAGAGAGTGATTCTGTGACGCATGCTACTGAGCTGTTTGTCATGCTTAGACAAGGTGTCTGTCATATCGCCTGATTTTATAGGCGTCAGGAACCGGTATACTTTTTGATGGACCAGCATAGGAGCCGAGGACTTGTGTTTGTTCGTGTATAATGTTGTCTAGATACCGATAGACTGAAAATACTGTTCATTTTACGATTACAGTCAAGTGTTTCTACACCACTCTAATGTTCAAAGCCTTCGTATGCAGCCAGCCGGGGGCCTGAGCGAACTGCCGGGAGATATGATGCGACAATCGTGAGCACATAGTGGTCATACCGTCTCGGCTATATTTATGACACCAGAAATCATATCATGTGCCACTGCGACAGAGTCTCGGTCAAGTTGAACACGGATTGAATTATGCTCTCACACCTCGTACATTCACAACACACACTATCCACTTCCCGAGATCCTCCCGTGATATCTACCTCCTTGGGCCAAGGCTCGGCTGCTTTTTAAAAGTCTAGATAACGCGTACAGAGTGCCCGCCCACAGCTTGGACCGCAGCGCCGTCCTTACAAGGACACTGGCGTGCATGGCATTTAAGACGACGCCTCCTCCGGGTAGAGATCCTCCTTCAGCAGGACGCCGAGCTCCTCCCGCAGAGGCTTTAGTTCATCGAGATATTGCTGGTACTGGCCCTTGTTCTCGACCTTGGCCTTGATGCCTATATCCAGCAACACTGATCAGCTCCCTATTCTTATTGATGCATTTTCCCGGCAGCTAGTCAGCCTCATGGTGGCTCCTTACCTTCGAAGATCCGCACAGCAGTAGGGTAGTCGTTGACCCTCCGGGCAGCTTTTAGCGCAGCAGTGAGGACGGAGGGAGATGGGACGAGATCGTAGGCAAAGGCGTTGTTGAGGTTGCGCTGTTTGAGGACCACCTGGGTCAGCCGATGGTCTGGTGGTTTGAGTGCGCGTTTAAGTGGGACTCACCTGAAGCTCGAAAACATCCTGAACACCATCGAACTCCTTCTCGTACCTGTATGGCAATTGATATTAGCAATTGAGTTCTTGAGTTGTCGCGAGCGGTGGCGCCGGCGTAGGAGAAGAAGGGCAATGGCCTGATGCCGAAGCTTTCAATCTCCCCCAAAACCCTCACGCCATGCTCACGATTGGCCAGCTCCGGGAGCTCCAAAAGGCCACAGGGTATCCTCACCTAGCACTGAACTCCTCGAAGGTCTCCTCGCCGTGCTCGGAGCGAGCGCGGGCGGTGCTGCTGAAGCTGTTCTTGGCCGAAGGGACGCCAGCCAGAAGACCAGGCACGAAAACGGCTGCGCGGGCAGTCAGCGGCTGGGTGGCAGAGCGGAGGGTGTTGGCGCGGAAGAAGGTGGTGGCGGGGCCGCGGGCGGCGACGCGGAGGATTGAGGCCGACATTGGGGATCGATCGAGGCTCAATTGATGTGTCGTGAGTCGAGGAAGAGAGCAAGTGAGCGTGGATCGAGGTCGTGAAAGCTGGGAAATTCGGGTGGAGGAGGAACGCTGAAGGTCATCGCATGATTTTTGACTACCTTGGTCCTTTGGGAGCTCCACTGGGCCGGGTGCACCAATTGGAGCGAGGTATTTTCAAGCACAGTTCAGCACAGTCTGGGCACTGTCCCAGTCGCCTGCTTCCACCGTGCGATTAACCTCATCCCTTGTTAGAGGGATAGTCTGTATCTTACAAAATCTACAACAAACTGCTGCTTCTATTGCCATATGCATCATGTTCATAATATTATCTGACTTACGGCCTGTCTCTGAGCCGATACGATTGGCTTTGAGTAATGGGTTTAGGCTTGCGTGCTCGCTGAAAGCGTACACTTACCTGTTCCCGCGCAGGGGCATTGACGGTTGGATTTGAGTCTCCAGTGTGACAGTCTCAACTCTGGAGTCTTTTTAGACTTTAACAACAGTCGACTCAACTTATAGAACCTTCTTAATGTGTTTGATTTGTTCTAGAAAGTAGCTTAAATATCGCTGGTTGAAGCATGCACGTTCAGTCCCTTTTGCTGGTATGCTATGCTACTGGTCCAATAATTTTACCTCTTTAGTGCTCGTGAACCACCTTATATGTCCACAAGGTCATGAAAACTCACAAGCTGTACCAGCCAACAGCCCGTGCGAGATGAACACGGGATCTGGATGATATAAGCCTCCACGTCGAAGAAGGATCAACTCGGCTTACTGGGAAAGAGCGTCCATGCCAACCTCATCCGCATTCTCCTCGCAACAAAACAGGCCGGCTACTCTATCGTTGGGAAATTCTCCGAGGTCAACAGCTCATCTCGTATGTTTGATTCTTACACTACTCTTCGCATTTTACGTTTTGAGATCGAAGCTTGGTCTCTAGAACTGCAGTCACTGTCCACATTAAATGGCGTGCGCTCTGTGATGCAGCAAATCCCAGGTCGAGCTGATTGCTATCTCGCACCATCCCCAGATGGTACAAAAACAATATGAGCGACAACGAGGGTTCTTGAACGACCGAAACCACCTTCCGGCATCCCCGATGACACGGCCTGTACGATGTTGGTCAAGGTCCGAGGCAGCCGGCATCGTGAGCACCCGATTCCAGGGGTGTGCCTCGGTCCATCAGTAGGGATCCATCAGTGAGGGATATCAATGTTTGAATGATCGCTATGGATGCTCTACAGAGTACGACCTCTGTACGAAGCGATCGCTGCACCCTATCTCGTCAGAATGGAGATCTGATTACGACGATACTACATCACTGTTTCCACGGCTTCTACTTGCTGGATTTCCAAGGTTGCGGTGCTAACGATGCGCCTCATGAGCTTATCCAGATGTGGCTTCCTGCAACTTCTCAGGCCCCTGGTACCCCAACGCTCAGGGGCCCAATTACAGCACCGGCAATCTAACACGGTTCGGCCGCGGGCAGCCGGGTCACGTGCATCACATGCTGGATTTGAAATTGGCTGTAAAAAGTCTTGGGACAACAATCCCTGTCCTGGTCCAAATTTCCCCTTTTGACGGAAGGCTTTCGGCTCCTCTGGCTTCTTAACCTTCGTGTCCGCATCCCCAAACTTCCTTCGTCCTCTTCTTCACCTCCTCCCTGTTCTCGTCTACTGCATCCTAATTGCTGCTCTTCAGATCGTCGCATCTGTTGAGTCTTTTCTCTTTTCTTGTCACTCCTTCATCCCTCGTTTCCTTGCCTTCTCGGCTATTTTATCTTTCGCCTAATCACCCGCGCGAGCTTCCCGCCAAGTCCGCGTTCCTTGACGCGACTTTTCGATATAAAGTTGAGGTACCACAACTGTACGTGCCAATCTGCACTTCCATCTTTCCAATCGTAAGATTGAGATTCGTGCTAACTTTGCGCATCAGGGCGATATATCAGTCATGGCGACGTTCTACGAGAAACTCCCGCTCCCCACCCTGGATCGGCCCTTCGGCATCCACCTATGGCCCATCTTCGACAAGGCTTGGACTGCTACCGTTGGCTACCCAGCCTCCGACTTCAGATTCAAGCCTGGTGAGACACCTATGTCTACACTGAAGGAGACGGGAATCTTCATTGTTTGCTACTACACGATCATCTTCGGCGGTCGAGAGTGGATGCGCAACCGAGAGCCATTCAAGCTTAAGGCACTCTTCCTGATCCACAACTTCCTCCTCACCGCAGTCAGCGCCATCCTGCTAGCCCTCTACATCGAGGAGCTGCTACCCACTGTCGTTCGCCACGGTATCTTCCATGCCATTTGTCATGCCGAGGGCGGCTGGACGCAACCCCTTGTCGTTCTCTACTACGTACGTCACCGGATTCAACACGTTATAAGACATCAAGCTAACGTTATCTATAGCTTACCTATCTGACCAAGTATCTGGAGCTTCTGGACACTGTCTTCCTCTTCCTGAAGAAGAAGCCCCTGAGTAGGTGTTCTCAATTCCGGTGCTTGAAGCTAATTGGCTAATATGCGCCGCAGCCTTCCTTCACTGCTATCACCACGGTGCCACTGCTCTTCTTTGCTACACTCAGCTCATTGGATCAACCGCTGTCTCTTGGGTCCCGATTACGCTCAACCTGGGTGTTCACGTCGTGATGTACTGGTACTACTTCCAGAGCGCTCGTGGTGTTCGTATCTGGTGGAAAGAGTGGGTCACTCGATTCCAGATCATTCAATTCGTCATTGATCTTGGTATGTATTCTATCTTTCGGCTTCCCTTAATCTCTCACTCAGGATAGCTAACATATCCAGGCTTCGTCTACTTCGCCTCATGGACATACTTCACTTCCACCTACTGGCCCTGGATCCCCAATGCCGGCAAGTGCGCCGGAGAGGAGTTCGCTGCTTTTGCCGGCATCATCATTCTCAGCTCTTACTTGGTGCTGTTCATTGCCTTCTACTTCGCGACCTACAAGAAGGATGGCAAGGCCCCCAGCGGACGCAAGAGTCTGCGACGAATGAGCCAGGCTCCGCTTCCGGATCCTCACAACCTCATCCACGAGCACGAGAAGGCCACCAATGGTACTGCAAAGTCCACCGGTGTTAAGACCAATGGCGTCACCACCCGATCTCGCAAGGCATAAGCAGCCCAATGTCAGGTTGGGCGTAGCAGAGTGGAATAATGCCACCGCTGTCTATGATGAGTCCGCGAAAGGAGAGGAAACATGTCCACACCGATTGCAGACGTCTGTCTCAATATTTTGTACAAAACTGAGGGGCGTGGCATGGAGGAAATTCTGCATCTTGCGATTCAGAAGCCTACAGCCGGCTTTTGTACTACTGGCATCTTGGAATTGACATTTGGGAGGAGTTCTACACAAGAAAATCGATTATCGGGGTCTAACATGACGGATGTAGGCCAAACATGCACTGGAAAGGTCAATTAGACCATAGAAGGTGGTAGATGTATGTACGAAGGGGGTCGATGGAGCACACGGCTTTGGTTTGGATGGATGGTATTGAACGGGGCACCTGTGCACGACCACGAAATTCCGTGAGCTCGATTTACTCTGCGAGACACTGCGGATAATCGGCTCAGCCGACTTTTCCTTTTCGCTGTTTGATAATTGCAGGTTTAGTCGGCCATTCCCCCCAGCAATTGGGCGGCGCGGGATAGCTCATAGACAATACAAATAATGTTAATCCATCCACCAGGTTACCGTCCGATTTTGATATAACATCCGCCTGGCTGGAAAGAGAGCATTCGGACGACACTCCCCAGTTTATCCCAAGCTAGCAACTCGGTCTGGCAATAGTCCGTGGTCACGACTGCTGCTCGAAGCGATCCAGTGCCACGGATCGGGCACATCGCCATCACCAGCAAGAACTACCGTAAGCGACCACTTATCGACTGAATCGATACTATGGATTCGTACTATCGTTCTTAAGTTAATAAGATCAGCTGTCTTATCATCGTATGTGTCCTCCGGCGGTGGGTTTCTCCGGCCGCGCAGTGTTGCAATTGCGGGATGTGACGGTCCGGAGCTTCTGATTTTGACAGGTGAATCGCCTCAACCCCGCGAACTACACTCCACGATCGACGCCGAGGTCTGCAGACACACGGACTTGTTACTATTTGTGGCCGACGTTTGGGAAACTGTGAGAATTGAACCAGCAAAATCACAGTTTGGAGCATGGCATCGTACAGAAGCAGCTTCCTCAGAACACCCAGAACAGGCCGAGATGGGGAAATTCGCCCGAACCGGATCCGGAGCAGGTTTGGGTCGGCCACGCGCTGATAGGCTGCCCGCCCCGAGCCGCTGTGCTGGGACTGGCTGTAGGCTGGACGGAGCTACTGCACGCAATCGTTGGAAGCACACGATGGCTAGTCGCACGACTTCTCAGTGGTTCATGAGGACAGCTAGGACCTCATACTGGCGGTAAGGGCACGCTTTGTATTTTGCACCAGATAAAAAGATGGTGTGCTCGATCTCGTGAGCTCCAGACAGCTCCTTCGCTTCAGACTTGTAACCGAGGGAGGCTGTTCTTCTAATCACTGCAGCTTCAACCTTCGTGATGATGCCGACTAGTAGAGCTTTGCATGTGCACTAGAGAGAAAAAAGCAATGAATAGACGCAATTTCCATGTGGCAATACGAACAGCTTCACAGCCGGTTTAGCTGTGCTTCTTGGCGACTCAGATGATCTCTTCCAGGCGTAAACCTGCCGTGCGAGAGCCTCTTCACATGAGCCAATGCTATCTGAAGTGTTGTTACCTTGAGGGTCGTATGGATGCATACAATCAAAGAAAGCATATCATGATTATGCAGACATCGACCATCGAAGAGGTTAGTTTTCATGTCGCCTCACGGTATACCTCAAGGCCGTAGTGACTTAGACACTTCATGCACCATCAGAGGGTTTTGTTATGGACCCATAGAGCTACAATATCTGACCGTCTAAGTGGCAAAGTCACTGTCTCCACGAACCGCATGCTAGAGTACAGCTCTTAGCGAGCTCTAAGTTGATGGCTGCTATGCGAGACAACAATTCGGCATCGTCTCCAGAGACCCGAAAGGAAGCTTTACGTTACTCATAGCATGACATTCCATAGTCCTTGCTGCTCGATTAGGAGATAGGCTGATGCTGTATCTGGCAACTTAGCGAAGGCACGTATTTTGCCTATATTCAGCCCCTTTCCGACCGTTCGGGCCATCCCGCCGTTTTGTAATTTCCAAAAATTGTCATGACCTCCGTAGTGCAAGTACGACGGATGCAAGTCATTGTCTCCCATGGCACACAGTACGCAAAGAACATGCATGGCACAAAAGACATCGCCGGCGAGCTTTGACATGACCGGCCAGCCTAGAGGCCGCTCTCCCTCACACCAAGTCTGAGACCTTGACTGACACATGTGGTCGTCTGAGCAGGCGCTCGCTCTGGTCCAAAAGGGAGCTCTACAAATCTGCAAGGCATCTAGATATATCACAAGAAGAGGGGTTCCAGTAAGCCCCTCCTTTGCTGGTGTTTCTGATGACGCTGGTATTTGTATGGTTCGCTATGTTTCGAATACAAATAGTAGCTACAATATACCGTGTTAGTACCACCTTGACGAGATGCTCTGTGATCCCTGTTGGTCACTCTAAGGGGCCAATGTGCTTAGCTGGTGCGGGCTAATGTTTGAAGGAACCTGTCGAATCAATGACCAGCGACTGATCTGTTCAGATAATGGTGCCAAAGTGTCTGAATTCAAGGCAGAGCGCCGTTTACACGCTGCCAAAACGGGTCATACTGTGGGAGCTTCCCTCCGTCTGGGCATCGCTATAGAGCTTCTCGCATCGAAAGCGTCGACGCCAGCAGATTGGTGGGAATAGCATCAGAAGAGCCTTCGCATCTTGGCCGGCCTCCTAGTCTCAATACGTGATGATTTAATGTAAAGAATAGGGAGAGAGTTAGACGAAAGGGATTCGCCTGCGCAAGGGGCGCTCTGTGTAAGTGGACTCGGCCGGGCCGCACCATCTGCACCAGCAATATATTCGCAAAAAGAAGGGCCACATTAGCCTAGTCTTGAACGCCCTGGGGTTCTACCTGCTTGCGGGGTCTGCCTTGTTCGTTGGCGGCCGGCCGGCTGGGAGGAAGGACGCCGATGCACTTTCGGCGGTCCTTTACTGTACTAACATACCGTTTTTTGTGGACAAATGCAAATGAATGACCTGTTCCTGCATCTGCCCGCTCCTATGACTTACTGTCTGTCGTGTGAGTCGTGCCTTAGCGCTGCTGAGGTGGGTGTTTGGACTGAAGTAACTGTGCCTTAGGCCACTGTAAGGCCAGGCTCTCCCGGCTGGCATATCGCACAAATTGGACATGATATACTGCAAACTTGACGAAGGCGCACGGAAAGCGGCTGGAGGGTGATGCAAGTAGAAGGAGAAAATGTGTTCGCCGTTATGTCTTAGACCTTTTCTTCTTTTTGGTGGCGTTTTCTCTTGCCATTTCGTTGTGATACGTGACAAAACATGACCTACACTTTAACGGCCCGGCCGAGTGTATCCGTAACCTGACGTTTTTGCTTAATTGCGTGCAGTTGTCCAGGATGCCAGCGTTAACGTGCGTTTGCTGGGACAGGCCTCTGTAACAGGATCCTGGTAAGCACCGTGGGAGGCAGACCAGGGCTATAGCTGGCGCACAGATGCTGAGATCGATGCGGAAAGGCAGTCTCGAAACATCTTGTCAAACGGATCTGTAAGTCTGTAACAACGAGCTTATCAGTTGAAAAGGCCCCGAGGGCGTGGCTGAGATCCCAGAAACATCGAAACAATGCAGGGGACAGAGGAGTAAAGCCCAGAAAGCACACAAGACGAAAGACATGGGTGGCGGCACGAGCTTCCCTACTGATTAGTAGCTTGAGTGGAGGAGTCTTGGTGATCACCAGGGTAGCACGGATGGTGATGGCACGGCAGCTCTCAACTGCGTATTGATCATGATGATGAAATGTTTAGATTGAAATTGAAGCAGTTTGGTATCATATCTTCGTAAGGTACTGCTGACGACCTTGCCCATCCCGTAATTCTCATTCCTCCATAGCGGCCCAAGCCCGCAGGAGCCGTCATTCGTAGTTGACATATTCCCATCTGCAGCTTCGTCTCTTCCAAAATTGCCACCGTGCGCCTCATGATGACTGGAAAAAGAGTGAATATCCAGCGCCGTTCCCCCATTCCGGTATGCCATTGCCGGATACGCCGATCATGTCCCAGCCTTGTGAAACGCCAAAATAAAAGTTGCCCAACTCTAATGATATTTGCAAGGCAAAGTGTAGTGCACAGCTGTCTGTGCCTATAGCAGTTTACTGTTGAGTTTGATACTCTTTCTCCTCGCTGTGAAGCCGTTCAAGATACCTCGCTTGATCGAGGCAGGCGATTCGGGAGATTGTGGCTGCGTAGTCGGCGTCTGCGGTGCTGCATGCGCATTCTTCTTGGCAGCCCGCATGATGTCGTTGTAAGTGACTGGTGGCTGAGGTATCTGTATCGAGGCGCGCTTCTCGGTCTCCTCGAGTTCGGCCTCTTGTGTAGGTTCCGCAAGGTCAAGCTTAGAGGGTGAGATCGGCGTCGCCATGTCGTCCTTCGATGCGGTGGCATGGAAGCTGTTGTTCAACATTGGCCTACTGCGCTTTTTCGCGAGCGTGAAGGTCCTTTGCATGCTCTTGAACATCGCTGTGGGCGTCTTCGGCGTCTTAGGTCGGTCGTGCTCCTCCTGCTCCTCCTTGTGAACATCGAGGGAGTATGTGCTTCCGTTTGCGTACGGGTCAATTTGGAGGAAGAGAGGCTTCTGCTTCGTTATGAAGCTGGAGAGCATGCTACTGGTCCTTGTAGTCTGTTGCTTCGTTGGCGAGTCGGTAAAAGTTGACGACGTTGAAGTCCTCCGTATCATTGTAGGGGCGCTCTGAGATGTACCAATGATGCTCTGTCTCCTCGCCTCAATCGAATTGGGAGAAGTTGACCGTCGAATGGTGGAGAGGTCGATGATGGACGGCTTGCCAGAGAACACCACAGAAACCACTCGAGCTGTGTCTTCGTGGCTCCGCCTGCTTGAAACCGGTGATCTACAGTCTTCGCTGCTCGAGTCATAGTCGAAGTCTGAAAAGTCGTCTGCCGATGAGGAGGCATCCTCTTCGGAGGACAGATATGCATCATGAGGGGTCGTCTGTGTCAGGCTCGTAGTCTCAATGGACCCGCCGAACTTGAGACCAACCAGGTTATCCAGCAGTCGAGATGCCCTGAGAGCACTCTTCTCTGGTAGAGCTGGCACCTCAGGTACAGGCTGGACCTGCTTTGGGTTCTGTGTAAGAGCGTCTTGGTCCATATCTAAGAAGTCGTCGAAAATAGCGTCGTCGTAAGTTTCGTGGTGAGTGAGGGCCGACTCTGATGTCTCCGGAGAAGCGTTTCTATAAGTCTGTTCGACCTTGTGGTTGTGGCTGGAACGGCCCACCTCCCTTCTTTCAGGAGACTGGTCTACCAGAGACATGGCCGATCAATAGAGGGGTGGTGGTGTCCTATGCCCTCGCTAGGGAGGATATAAGAGACAATGTCTACCCCTCGTTGATGCAGATCACACAAAGTGAATCTACTAGTTGCCTGTTGGAATATGTGAGCTTTCTTGTTCACACACGATCTGTAGTGGGGTTATGGCGTTTGGAATGGAAGCAAAGGCCAGAAACAACGGCGAGGTGGGAGGCAAGGTATTTTAATGAGTTGGCTGGTGTTGAGGGAAAGAAAGGTTGTGTCCAGAGGGCCTGCATAACCCAGCCAGGTCCTGGCCCCTGGTACACGAGATGCACATGCCTGCCACGCACGGCGTTGCCCTTAATTGGGGTTGTATTGGAGAAGAAGAAGGGGTTGCGACTTGCAAGGGGATTGATCACTCTGTCCTGGACTTCACGTACCTCCGTACTCCGTGCCGTTAGTTGCGCACTATGGATAACGCTGGGGTATTGTGTTCGAGAGATCTCCCTAGGGATTGGCGTAACGGAGGAGGGATAGGAACAGCTGCTCCTTTTGAGAGCACTGAACAAAACGAGAGGCTTGTCTGGGCGGATTGAGTGAACAGCGATTGTTGGCCCAAACGGTGTTTCAGCTTAACCATGCAGCCCCCGGCCTTCTTTGACGTGGTTGTGGTGTTAGTGAGTTGTGACCCTGTACGCAGCTTGAACTAGTTAGGGAGCTGGCAATGCGTGGAAATTGACTGGCACCGAGGGCAGAGAAAATGAATGAGATGTGGAAGTTACTGAAGAAGAAAAAGGATGTTTCTTCAGAAAGACTGTGAATACATACAGAGGTAGCGGTCAAGTCTATCACGAAGGGGTGTGCCTATTCCTGTAATCTACCATAGCCACCACCTTTTATTCCTCGACCTCTCAAGTTGACCTGACTCGTTTCGTCATACCATACCAACCTGCCAGACGATACAGGCTGCAGCGTTTCCTGCTTTTCCAGCAAACCCAGACCCCATACCTGCCCACCGTTTTCGCAGACCAGGGGGGGCTGGTTAGCGACAAGGGAGCAGGGGCGAGACTAGCATAGCGAGCATAGGTGCTGTCATGGGGGTGGTGCTGTGCTGGTTGCAGGGTCCATCGAGGGGTCGTCTGGATGCTCATTGGCTAGGGCGCAGTTGGAGCAAGTCGAGTCGAAGGCGTCGCCCGCGTTGGCGTCGATGCCGTAGTTTGCTTGATTGGCCTGGCTGAGCATCTGGATGCAGGACAGGGCGGCAAAAAGAGAGCATCTTGAGGCTTCACCAATCATTTGCGCCCAAACCTGAACTCTTGGAGGGCCAGCCGGTGCAAGCGTGCCGATTTAACTTTTTATCACCATGACTCGGCTGCGATCGTGAAGAAGTCGAGCACTTGGGATGGGAGACAGTCAGGAACTCGAGTAAGGCACGGAGCGGATCGCAGAATCTAGACGGGCCTGACAGGATTAGGTTTGACGGTGGGAAAAGCGACACGGACAGACTAATAGCTAGCCAGGTGCTGGTGCACTTTCGATGGCTTGTCCCTGTCGCATTGCCCAAGCATGCGTGTCGGACCACCACATTTGGAGTCTCGGAGCCTGACGCCGTAGTGGGCATCCGGCCGGAATCGTCACTGTTCAGCATGAATTCCACCATTTGCAGCCTCATGCGGCAAGAAAAGGCACAACGGATTCTGTCCCTCCTACGGCTTGCATTCAACACCAGAAGCTTTCGTTGTTGGCGGCGGATATTTCCTTCAATGAGCTTCACGGGCAAAGGGAGGCCACCTGTGCTGCCTCCTGCGAGACTCTGGAGGTGAGTACAGCCACTGGTCAGACATCCGTCCGTACTTGGCTTCGGCCGCTGTTTCCCTCAACCGTGTAATTTATCCTCACTTGCTTAATTGCTTCTGTGAGTCGCTCAACGCACCGAGTGCCGCTGGTGCCGCCGTTTTCCTTGGAGATCAACGTTTTCTGTGTGGCAACATTACTGTGCATTGATTGCATGCCCACCAGGTGTTGCTCTGTTCCTGCTGCTGATGCAACGCAGTCCCGGGTTGGGTTGCTTCCTCCCCTTTGACTTACTTACCCTAAGCCTCCTGGTCAGCAAGTAAGATAGCCGGACGCACATCATCGCGAGAAAAGGCGCATCAGGAGGCCTAAAGTGGTTGCAGATGAGTTGGTCGGGTTCCGGCCACTCAGAGCGGCCAACATACATTGTAGGAGCTGGGACACTGCCACCTATTGTGAGCGGTGTGTAGGCTGTCATTTTTTCTTCCTTCGGATAACTGTCGAAGACTAATCTGTGAGTTCGTCTGCGTCAAGTACAGCACACCACCTTCCAGCCGGTAGGGTGCTCTGGCTGTTCTGCAACCGCAAATCATCGTTTGAAGCAGCCCTCACCATCCCTATCAGTCTAACAGCCTACCTAGTACATGCGGTATTGTCGAGATGTGATCAGACCGACTTTCCTGAATGCATTAACATCTCCTGTCTATCATCATCAACATTCAGCTTCCCGTGATGCCTCAATGGCACGGGATGACAGAGCATCTCGCAGTAGTTCCCCTTATTTTTCGCTTGGTGTCGAAGCACGAAGCCGATGCTGGCACTTGCCAACCCTGGAGCAGTGTCTGGTGTGAGTGGACTGTGCTTGGCAGAGCCCCCTCTTGGAATGTGTTTCGTCAACTATGTTGCCGAAGGGCCTGGGTCAAGGGGGCACGACCCCACCGCTTTCAGCCAGTGAGATGTATGAAACATCAAAGTCGGCGATTTTTGTGTTGCGTTCATCCCAACTCTGTGACAGACCCGTGTCAGCTACTCGCTGCTCAAGCCGACCGCTGCACCGTAGGCACGGGCCCGTACACACCGGGCGCTATCGATATCCGTGGTTCTTAAAACCCAACCTGAAGCATTCTAGATGTGTCAGAACAACCTTAAGTCACATATCAGCGATAGTGATAAGCCGGTGAGAACAGACTTATGTATCCACTGCGATGTAACATGGTCAAGATCCTTGATTGAGCATCCTGAATAGTGGGTGTGACAAGGCAAGCTTTCTTGTGCACTTGCTCGATGGCGAGAAATGATGCAAAAGTGCAACTGTACAAGCCGTCATCGTGCAGCCGTTTGCGGATTTCAGGATCCAAGATAACGGTGCCCACTGGTGGCCCAGGTGGGATACCGGTTTGTAGCAGCCAAAACTGGGAGAAGAACTATTCTGTTTTCCAAGACGATCAGAACGGCACAGTTTCCCCCCATAACGTCATCGGCCGACGAGCGAGAGGAAAGTGCAAGCCACGCATTCTTGCCAATGGCAAAAGGTTCGGCCCCAGTAAATCTGCAGCGCTACGCCCCGATGCGGCATGGTGTATGGCTAAAAATGGCCACTCCACGTTTTCAGCCGTCGCTCAGCTCCATCAACCTACATCAGCCTCCCGCCAACTTGCCTTACTTGGGCTTTTCGACCTCGCCTTAATCCGTGTAAGAATCCATCGTCAGCGGGTCTCGCCGGCTTACAATACCCGTATCTCACCGACATAGTGAAGAGCGCTAGAAAGGATTTTCGAATTCATCACACAGCCTCCGCCTAAAGAGAATGACCAACCTCATTGGGCAAATATGGTTCGTGTGAGGACAGAATGACTGTATATGAGAGTGGTAGATCTCCAGAATTGGGGCTTTGGACCCTGAAATAAGGATCCGGACTTGTATGGCGAGCTGTCGCACACCGTCCCTAATTATCGGACCTGTCATTGATGTCCGAAATCACGGCAAGCACAGTGTCAAAAGAAAACGGTCACCCATTACATTATCCCCTCACGTTCCAGGTATAGCATCATCTGATGTGTCTAGCTACCTAGGTAGTCCACAACGATGTGCTCCCCTTGTCGAAGCGGCCCCTTGCTCCCCACTCCACATTAACATCGTCAGTTCCGACACGCTAGCATCTACCCGAAAGCCTTCCGGTGTATGTCTGTTTCAATAGAGCTTGAGACGAACTTAGCTTGTCATATCAAATGCCTCGGTCTTTCTTCACTTGTGACCTCAGATCAAGTCCCGGCAGCAAAAGAGACCAGTCTCTCTGCAAATATGTTATGTAGAATTTGCAAACTACCAATTGTCTAGAGCTAGCCACGGTCCAAACTCGATAGATCCTGTCTGAGAATACTTCAGGACGGGGGTTTCGTAAGCTCGTGGTTATTTACAATAACAGGTCAGCCCTCGCCTCGTCCGATGCCCAGGCGAATCAGCCGCGCAAATGGCTCCAATGACCTCCGCAGCGCATCGACTGGTGGCGCGGCAGGAATACCCGCTGCCGTCAGCCGCGCAAGTGCACAAATTCTGGCAATCTGATGCTACGATGCCGCAGGTTGTATGGCTAGCAAGGCAGGCACCAATCCTGGAGATACAGCTGCACTGTAGTTCATAGCCTCGCTTGGCAACCAGTTCTATAGCGCTGGTTGGTGATTCATTCCCTCTGGCAGTATCTGGGTGGACAGTAGTTGCTGTACTGGTCACGGCACAAAAGTAGCATGCCGAGATAGACAGCAGATATGGAAATGTCTGACTCCACATGATGGTGGTTGTAGAGAGCTATCAAATGCTGACCCTAGAGTTGTACGTCCCCCACGACGTCCTCAGAGACGAATCGTGGCCTAGAAGTTATGGAAAACCACCAGTTTTATCAGTCTGGATAGAATTGAACAGTAAAGGAGAGCCTAGTGTGACCTTTGTAAGTTCTACTTGAGAAGTTTCGTTGTGGTCTGGCAAGATAGTTTCTCTAAATGTGATGCCAAGCTGGTCTATTTATATGCCCTCAATATCGGTACAGATAGGGAGTAGCAACGATGAGTTGTCATTCAAAGAGCTGTGATGCAATGAGCTGTCCTTCCATCCTTTGCGCAGTAATGACTCGTGAGCTTCTCCGCCGTTACCCCAATCGGAGGCTACTACGAGAATCGTGCTTTCCAACATGTTTAGACCAAAAAAACTCTGCACTAAATGCCTGTCCGTGCCTGTCCATTCAACAGACTCTGATTGAAATTCACCCAAAAAGGGCTATCCAGTAACTAAGCTACTGGCCTGCCTTTGATAGGTACTACAATAGCGCATAATAAATCATGAAGTAGCTTCAGATTGCCTTAGTTGATCAATCTGCAGTGAGGTACAGGATAGCCTTGACTCCGGAAGGCGATCAAGATGGCAGGTTTTCACTGATTGTTGGATCAGCTAATATGATAGTCGGCCATATCTGAAATTCATTTCAGGGCTGTTATGAATAATATTCAATCAGGTAAGTTAACCTTATGGCAGACACAGTATAAATAAACAGCATCGTCTAGTCCAGCACCCTAAAATACACAAGACTCGTTTCCTGACATGGATTATCAATATCAAACACAATCCATTATCTTCACGGTCGGCTGATGGACCGAAGGATATCCGGTGCTCCAGCGAATTCGAGCTCCTTCATAGTCTCGTCCCAGAGTCTATCTGAGGTTTGCTTCCCTTCAGGAGTATACATCGCAGGATGGAGTCTGAAGCACCGAATTAGTACCGATTGCAAGGGCTAACACATCATCAAGTATAGATGCCATCAGGAAGCGAACAAACTCACGGATATATGTCCCAGTTTACTATGAACCCACCATGGCTCTCTTTGCCTCTCACAGCAGCGGCATCCAGATATATCCAAGCGGCCTCCTTTGGTGACCGGGCTGTAAAGATCTTGATTAAGCCAAAGATAGCTCGAGCAGGTGCTGCGAGGTTGCGGTGCAATCCCGAACCCCCAGTGAACCCAGGATCTACAGCGGTGATGATGACGTCGTCGGGTGACACGATCTCGCTGAGCTTCTGCAGGATAACCAGCTCAAGAAGTTTGGTTGTCGAGTAGCGGACAGTGGCAGCTGCGACATTCCAGTTCTTCGAAACGTCAAATGAAGGGATAATGGGAATAGTCTTGTTGTCTGGAAATTGTGCAGTGAGTGCTACCCCTGATGACACCATGGTGAGGCGGCCGGGGGTACCAGGTGGGCTCTTTGCCTTCAGTATCGGGAGAAGCAAAATCGATAGCAAGGCTGTGGAAAGATAGTTCACTTGGAAGGATTCCTCGTGGCCCGCTGGACTGAGGACAAAGTCGCCCTGAAACACCGCTGCGTTGAGTATGACTGTGTCGAGTCGGGTGAGTGCATCGCAACGCTTGGCGAAAGCTTGCACTGAATCGTAGGATGCCATGTCTAATGCCCAGACCTCAATTCTTGCCTTGGGATACGCTTGTCGTAATGATCCTGAAGCCTTCTCGCCTTTGGCTACCGTTCGGACGCCCATGATAAGATGCGAGAGACCATACCCCAGCATCACTCTACATGTCTCTAAGCCAATGCCGACATTGCTTCCTGTGATTATCGCCGTATGATTCGCGAAAGAAGTAGATTCTGGAGGAGCTTTTGACTTCGTTTTTATCTGTGTCTGCACGAAAACTCCAGAGTTTGTGAATCTGGCTGGAGGGAGGGCAAAGGAGGCCATGGCTGTTTGGCGGAGGTATAAAGCTGTTCTTGCATCTTGGAATCTAGGAAAGCCGGAGAGAAGGCCTACTTATAAGAATAACACAACTAGGGGAGAAGATCTCCCTTCTTTTTAAGACCAGATGGTATTCTGAATCTAGCAGCACAGCTGCTCCCGGTATTGGCTTGCCTGATGCTCTAACTGCCATTTTGGGATGATGCTGTGGCCTTGACTTACACAAACACCTCCCCTGCTTTCCAAATGCGTTCTCCAAGTCCCAAGGATTCTGTATCCCTCTGATTGGACAGTGGTGAATTAGAGTATCGCACTACTGCAGTACCCGCATTCTGGAGGAGAGGTGCACAATGATTGGCTTCAATATCAGGCATATCCATGACCGTTCGGGTTCGGCGGAGACGATCCACGCGGTGGGGTGTCTAATTGGCCCGCCTAAAGAGTGGAGTTGACCAAAATGTATTCCCTTCTGGGGTTAGCGTATGGAGGAGGCAACCTGGTGCTTAAAGATCGTACACTTAGACCATGGCAATGACTTCGGTGCTCGGTCTTTCAATTTACTACATATTCTTTACATAGAATGCAGGAGTCCTCGGGCCAGATTGCTGATCAATTTAGGAAAGGTACAAACAAACCTGCTAATGGTCCGCCACTGAAATACGACGATGTCTGAGTCAACGGAGGCCAAGTTCGTCTTCGTGCAGGCAGATGACTTGGGCAAGCCCAAGGCAACGGACAGAAGTGTCATCCGCAGCCACTGCATGAGAGGGAGAAACAAGAGGGCAGACTCGCGCCGCTCTCTCCGGGAAGCCCGCCAGCGACAAACGGCTCAGGCCTCGTCGGGCGCATCAGAGCTCATCCACGCGAAAAGTAGGTGGTGGTCCGATGACCTGGAAAAGCCTTCTCTTGATGACGTTGAAGCCCTGACAGCAATTGCATGGCTGCCGTCACTACATGCTCCCGTTTCTGACATAGGTCTAATCAAATTCGTGGAGGCTCCCAATGGGTATACCCGGGAATTGCTCCACAAGTGTAAGTCACCCCTGTGTCCTATGACCATAGTCAACTCTTTGGCTCTAACAGATACTACCGTCAGTCTTCACATACGACAATATAAAGGACACGATGTATCCTGTAGATCAGTGCATAGAGTTCGAGAAGGTCGAAAAGAGAGAGTATCTCCAGTGGCTTTGCTGCGATGATGCCTTCTTTCATTCTGTCCTCCTGACCATCTCAGCCGTTGACGATTATGTTTTACAACGACCGCCAACTGATATTACACATCATCATCTTCGTCGCACTCTGTCCCTTCTCAACCAAAGACTATCGGAGAAGGATGCACATCTCGTGGACTCGACAGTGTACATCATTCTAACACTGGCCCTGATGGCTGGAGTGTTCGGAGACTACGCTGCTGCGAGCACCCACATCGCTGGTCTACAACAGATAGTTAGGCTTCGAGGGGGTGTCAAGCACCTTCGCCTCAACTCCAAACTTCATTTCAAGCTCGACCGGCTCGATCTGTCCTGGGCTCTCAGCACAGGGCAACGGCCACGTTTCTACACCGGCCCCATATCATGGGATGCTTTCTACAGAAACCCGCCCGTTATCATCCACTCAGACCCACCTCCAACCAACAAGTTCACACATTGCTTTCGAGACCGGAGGCTAGCCATTGTCTTCCAAGATCTTCGACATCTAGCCAACCTGATCAACCATCATTCGAGAAACAACACACGTCTTAGCGGAGACACGTTTCAAGATGCGATCAGCTCCATACAATTCCGCCTGCTGCGCATCAAGCCCAATCTCAATAACGAGACAGACGAAACCCTTCGCTTGGGAATGCTAGCTTTCCTGTCAACGACCTTCCGCGTACCGGGGCGCCGAGTGCCTTATGCCTACCTGACCAAGCAGATGCAGGCCTCGTGCAAAACGTTGGAGCCAAATACCCGCGAGCTGAAAGAGCTTCTTACGTGGCTCATTATTGTGGGTGCTATTTCGGTGCTTGAGCCTGATGAGCCGTGGCTACGTGCCAAGTGGAAGCTTGCTGTAGATCCCGAGGCGTCATGGGACGATATCTCCCAGGCGTTACAGGATGTCATGTGGATCAGCTGTATCCATGACGAGTCTGGGATCCACGCATTCCAAAAACTGCAAAGCTGAAAGTGAGAACGAAATTGCAAGACTTATCGCCGAGTCATCGTCGTGGATGAAAATTACTTCCCGATTATCACTAAAGGATTCCCACTAAGCGGAGAAGCAGAGGGTTTTAATTTTGCCGAGGCTTGACCCCCAACCCCCTGATGGGAGATGCGGCCCAGCTCAAGGTAGCGGGGAAGGGCCGTGAAGTAGAGACATAACTTCTACCGAAAGTCAGCGCCACTCACAGAGTGTTCAGCGACCAGACCTTCCATGTGAATTCCATGAGCACTTAAGTGAAGGAGATGGTGAAAGCATGGCCGGAGCTGAATGTTGAATACCTGCCATATAAGCTAGCTAGTATGTCAGGGCTAGAGTATTAGTAATTGCCTATCGCCACTATCACACGAGTAGAAGACTTTTGGCCTTGATCATTCAATTCATCCCCGAAAATCAGATATGTACGCCCTAGACCGAGCAATTTTGGGTATAATACATGCCATAGAGAAACGTATATGCCAGCCATGAACCTCAGCATTGGTTGGCCCCGAGTCAGAACATCATCCCTTCAATCCATCGTGAACCCCTCTCGTAGAAAGATTTTTTTCCCCTAGCCGTTACATCCCGTGAACATCGTAACTTGATGTCGGCGGCCTCTGTCTGCTCCCTTGTCAAACGCTCAAGGGTCTGCCGAGAGCATCCTGTCTGAGGAGCGACACCCTACCGCCATAGATCCAGCTTGTCGCGCTTCTTCTCCCCAGCACTGCTCTTCGGGCGCGGCCATTCATCCTGGGCATCACTTCTCCTCCAGGCCGCTCCGCCTGGCGACGGGTCCGGCACTGCGAGAAAGCCCCCGGCCCCGTTGCCCATGAAGACGCTCTTGCGGGCCCCCGCGCCAGAATTCCAGCCCAAGGTCGTATTGTCAAGGCCGTAGCTGCTGACGGGTCTCGCGGCATTGGTCCTGCGGCTCGTCGACGCGTGGCCAGGCTCAACTTTGACGAAGCTCCAGTCCAGCTCATCGTCGCCCTTTGTGAAGACTTCGAGCGTCTGGGGCAGGCCGGAGGGACCACCGGGGCCGGCGAATGCCGCAAAGGGATTATTGGAGCTGAACCGTGGGTTGTGGCCCTGTGTCCAGGGTTTTGTCGAAGGTGGCGACTGCGGTGGGCTCTGGAACGGGTTGATGTTCTGGTTCTGCGCTTGAGGCAAGGGGCGCGCGAACCCCGGAGAGTTATTTGGTGAGAGAAAGCCTACGGGTGACAGAGCTGGGCCAAGGCTGTTATACGACATCTGAGATGAGAACGCTGAGGATGAGCCGCTTGACGCGGGCCGCGCGTAGCCACCGTCAGCAAAAGCTGGAGCTGGCGGTGGTAGACCGAGGAGTGTGTCTGGGAAGTTTGCATCTCGAACATATAAAGCGCGGAGATTTGGTAGACCTCCCATCAAAAGGGATCCGGAGAGGTAGTTGTAGTATGATGTGACTACGCCTTTGTACGGGCTTGAAGAAGGCTTGGGCACAATTTCGTAGTGGAACGTTTGTAAAGACGAAGAATTGAGCGGTGGGATCTGGCTTGTACCAGCTGCTGTTGGAAGGGCGGCCGATACAGTCTCGTTGATGGAGAGACTCTTCAATGAGGTCGCCTGTGCCAAGACCTCCTGAAGTGTCCACGGCTTGACGCCAGTTGCCGTCAAAGTCAGGACCTTCAGCGCTTTTTGCGTATCCGGTCGACTGAGATAGACCTTGAGACCCATTGCTGTGATACCAGCCACTTGGTTCAAGATAAGTTCCTCCAAAGGCGGAAATGGGGGCAACATCTCATTGCCATGTCCCAGAATTTCGTCCGTGAACACCGAAGACTCGGTAATCTTTAGGGCTCTGAGGTTCCCTAACACGGATAGGCCGTGTAGTATAATTGTAGGATCCATACTGATCCTGACGAGATCAAGGACCTCGAGGTTTCTCCATATACGTCCGCTCGCCAAGGCTTCAAGGCTCTTTTCGGAGCCTGCCATATAGGTCATCTTCCGCAGATTATGACATCTCGCCTGTATCTCTAGCCTGAGCGTGATGTACGGAGCCTCGTCCGTATAGAGGCCCTCGGGGAGATCGACATATCGTAGGTTTGGTAGGACAGCAATAGTTCGGGCCAAATCCGCCTGTGATGCCTCACGTAGCATATAGGGTGTCTTGAAGTACTCGACTATAGGTCCTAGACGAGCAGGGTCTTCGCGGAGGGTTCGACATAGTAGCTTGAGCCGTGCCTGCGCTGTGTCTTCTGGCTCGCCATTGCGGTCAAAGAAGGTTCGCCGCTTGCGCTTGTCGGAGAGGACAGCCTCGCGTTCGCAATAATGTACCGAGTCGATACGTATACTATGATATCTGAGTATTTCGCGTGTTAGCAGTCTCGCACGAAAAGAATCGACACGTCAAGGTCTCGTGGCCGTAGTCGAGCTGGCGGTGTCAGAGAAAGCTTACAGGACTCTCACAGCAGCCTTCCGCCACCTCCTGCACACCTGCACGCAGTGCGCCAGGTCGCGCAAGTCGCAGAGCATGCAGGCATCCTCCACCGACGACTGCTCCTGCGTCTCGTATGTCTCATCCTGGGTATGCGGGCAGACGAAGGCGAATATGCGCTCGAGGACGGGGCCGGGGAGCTGTTCAAGGAGCCATGCTGAGGCCCTAGACGGTGCCCGGCTGTAGCCGCCGTGCCCGAGGCCCGGGCCGCTATACTGTACTTGATATTGCGGGGAGCCTCCGAATTGACGGTGCTGGCTGCTGAGGTCTCCCTTCTCGAAGGCGGCCTGGGCGTCCTTTCGCTTGTCCTTTCGCCGGAGGAACTTCATTCTGCGAAAGGGGAGCAGCTTCATTGCACCGTGGCGCAGATGAATATCAAGGGAAAAAGGGGGGTAGGTGAGATGTTAAAGTAAGTAGCCTTCACTACTGTACCTAACAGATTGAGGCACAGGTACAGGTACAGACGGGTGTGAGTGGCCACCCGTCACGGCCAGGGGCACGCCGCTTCTGTCCTGCCTGACCTCCTACTGCACACACAAGAGGTAAGCCAGATCGGCTGGCTGCTCCTGTGCCCGTGCCTTTGCTGGTGCTCTGCTAAAGGGATGCAGCACCAACAGGACAAGTCAGCACAGGTATGTAGGTGTGTAGGTATGTATGCAGCTTGCTGCCGTGCTCTGCAGAGGGATGATTGATAGGGCAGCCGGCAGCGAATCTGTCCTCCAGCTTCCAGGGCAGACCCACGTTGGGGGAGCTCTCTGTGGACTTGGTGGGGTGGGGTCGCTTGCTCAGAAGCAAGGTAAAAGGCAGGGATCGTCTAGGCCATTGGAGGTGAGAGCTTGCGGAGGCAAGTCACAGAGGGGCTTTCTTCCTCCCTCCCCAATGGTGACTGGTCGAAGGAATGGCCCGAAGGAATGAGTTCGAGACGACTGAAGAGCTTTAGCGATATCAGCATCAGCGGCGGCACCTTGGGGTGACGACGGATTTACAGTAGTGAGATATGTGAAAGATTACCGTGAGGTGAGTAGGTGAGTGCGGGAGAGGAGGAGACGAGGGAAGCTCTCCCTCAGTGAACGATAAGTTTTTGACTAGACTGGTTCATAGAAAATTGGATAGCATTACGCCTTTCAAAGCATTGCTGATTCGACTCAGCTGCAGGGGCCTTCTTTGACACTGCCTCTGGTGAGGCTGTACCGTGTACTGCATATATTACCTAGCAGATGCTTTACCTTAGGCTATGCAGGTCCTCTCCCGCTGAGCATGCCCCAAGACGTTGACAAAGGGATGGCCCGCCAATCTACCTAGGTACCTACCTAGGTAGCTAGCTATTCAGGCTGCCTTGTTCTGGATGCTGTCTCACACACCTTTGTTGCAAGTCCAGGGAGCACGCAGCTCTCAAACTCCTCCTCAAAAGGGTCGTGTCTTTCTGTAAAGCTGTTTATTGCATGTCATACACATGCCTAGACGCAAATGCTTATGGAGTCCGGTCATATGTCATGGTGAGTATTACTCGGAAACATTCCCTGGCAGCTGAGTCTCTTATGTTACTTGTATCGCCATCAAGACGTATTATAGTAGTGTCAAGGAAAGAACAACCTAAGTATTAACAAAGAACAACTCAACAAGCCAAAACGATAATGCTTTCTGGTTCCTTATGCAAGTATTCGACGACACCATACATCATACATACAACCCATCCTCCGTTACAAACTGCCGATTCTTGCGCCATGCCCGTCACCATCCTAGCTATCTTCCAGCTCTTCCTTATTGCCATGCCTGAACCCTGTCGTGGTCATTCTTAAGAAGGTTGTTTCATGTGATTACTTGTCGTAGGAGTATGGAGGCTTGAGTTCAAGCTGAACAGTGCGACTAGTTGCCGTTGAGTTGGACACCGTCAAGCGGACTAGCCGGTCCCGAGCGCTTCGTCCTCAGGGTGAGAGGGAACGGGTACTCATCGGGATCCTCTTCCTCTCTGTTATGTAGTTAATAACGATGTAGTCACGGAGCCCAGAACAAAGCGACTTACGGGAGCTTCCAGGCGACATAATCCTCCGTGCCTAGTCCTTCTCGGCCTTCCTGCAAACTTGCAAAGTCTCCCGGGGTCATCATTCCAGTCCGATCACGAGGAGATCCTGGGACAGAGAAGGGCCGCGAGATCTTCTGCTCGACACCGGGAATGAAGTCCTCATCCTCGTCGCCGTCAAATGACTCGGGGTAAGCCCGCCTCAAAGCTAGCTGGCGAGCCTTGACGTACTCCATACCCATTCGCTTCCAGTCCAAGAGGTCGCTGAGGCGCTCTGTTCGGTTTCGCTGATTGATACGCTGACGGCGGCTCTTCTGGGCAAAATCAAACATACACGACGTCAATTGGTTCACCGAATCATCCACGCCCTTAGTACGACGATCTACAATGTAGATACCGTAATCACTAGAGTTCTCAATGAGCTCCTCCATGTAGCAGCCAAAGCCCGACAGGTTGGTGGTGATGCTAGGCACGCCCATGACCGTGCATTCAGCTGGCGTGTAGCCCCACGGCTCGTAGTAAGAGGAGAAGATGCCCAAATGCGTTCCTCGCACGAAGTCGTCGTAGTCCATTGGGAGCACTGGATTGGCAGAGTTCAAGAACTCGGGGTGAAACACAATCTTGACACGGTCCGAGGGGTGGTTAAAGAGCTGTACGCGACGGATTTGGTTCAAGATTGGATCCTCATGGTCGTTCAGCATGTTATGTGTCACGATTGGGGGGAGGCCGTGACGCTTCATGGCAAAGAGTCGCCGACGAAGGAGGACCCGATCCTGAGTAGTGATTAGCTCCTTCTCATCCGGCAGCGGATCTCCGTCGTGCCACTTCAGGGAGCGCTCGAAAATGCGCCTGCCAATGCCTCGCTCAATCACATCGACCGTATCTCTCAGCGATTTTATCACTGCCTGGCCCTTCAGCGCCTCCACGGTCAGGGAAGTTGTCTGCGCCGGCATGATGATGAAAGCGACAACAGTTGTCTTGCTCCCGACAGCCTTAAGGCGGTGGTTGAGACGGGCGAGTGATTCAATAAACATATCGACACCCTTATTCCTGAACTCGTACCGACCCGCCGTGAAGAAGTATAAGGTGTTCTCCGGATCAAAATCATAATGACCGTAGAAGTGTCCTCGGACGAAGTCATGGATCTTCTCCTTGGACTGCTGGTGGAGATTCTGGAACTCGTGCATAGCCGAGAACTTGGTAACGTTAAGCCCGTTAGGCAAGACTCCATCAGGTTTACGCTTCAGCAAGTGCTCGCTCTCATAAGCCGTAATGTGGGAGACAGTTGTGAAGACGTCGCACGAGTGGGCGGCGGCTCGCTCGATGCAGTATCTGTGGTATATGCCACGCTTTCCGGCTTCAGAGTCGACATCGAAATATTGGAGGTTGTTGTAAAAGTCAACAGAACCAGCGCACAAATATCTACCAAGGAGCGTTGCGTGGGTTGTAAAGATAGTTGTCACATCAATGCGCCGTTTCTTGGTAAGAGGTAGTGCAACGCCTGCTAGCCATTCATGGAAGTGGGCTATTACGGCCTTCTTCTTCTCATGACAGACAAACTATAGAAATCGTGAGCATGTGAAAAGTAGCGAGTAGCAGGAGCAGTAGCAGTCCTCACCTCACCAAGGAACCAAGCGACAAGATATCCAAATACAATGGCCTCGTTGGTTTCGTCATCGCCCGGTGGCGAGGGAATAGAGGCAACGTTCCACAAGTCCGTCTTCCACTCATTCAAATATTGGTAGGCAGTCTTTGTGTCCATGAGGAGAACCCTTGGGGCTCCTTCAATCAACCACCGACCATAGAGCATACCGATGCCACGATCCCTCATGGACTGAATGGTCGCAGCCAGCTCGGGGTTGGTAGGTTCTAGCTCCTCGACTTCCACGGCAGCCTATGATTCTGGTCAGTTGATTGCACGGATGAACAGAGCTTCTGTGATATGGCGTGAGACTCACAGATTGGTGGTTGAGAGGACCGATCAGCGTATAGCGGTCGCCATATTCGGCAGTCGTCACTGGGGCCTTGGACTTGATGACGGAGTAAATACCGCCGACTGTAGAAGTGTCAGAAGTCGGCCAAAGTCAATTGGGAGCCATTGCGAAGCCCAAACTCACCTCGATGGGCAACCTCAGTGGCGATCTCGAAGAGAAGGTGGTTCTTCACCTCTCGAGGTGCGCGATCTCCGTCGTCGGTGGACATTTTGCAAAGTGGGGAGATGTTCCTGTTGAGGGAGCTATCGTCAGTCTCGCACCGTAGCTAAACCGACAATGTAGAGCGTTAAATTGACGCAATATGAGCAGGATGAAGCTCTGGAAGGGAAAGAAGCTGCGAATTGGCGGATGACAGGTAGAGCAGGTGCTGTGGCGAGGAAAGAGAAGCTGCAGAGCTTGATGCGCCCAGTCACAACATCGGCAGTCCAAGCAAGCTTCTGTGCTGGGGGCCGTATCCAAACAAAGTAAAAGCTACTGACTTACCCAAGCTTGCACCAGCAAAATTAAAGCTCCAAAAGTCTGCTCAGAGGTCTTGTGAAGCTTGGAATATGTTTTATCGTGAGAGGACAAATGAGAAATTGGCGAGTAACAACGGCAAAAGTCGGGAGAGAACTGCGCATGAGCAGTCGCAGCAGCAGGAGGAGGGTGAGGATGATGGTGAGGAGGCGGCGGCGGCGGAAAGGCAGGCGAGATTTCTGCTGGCGATCATGGGAATGGGGCAGGGTCACGGTGGAAACGAGGAGCTTTAGCGATAGCTGCAGCGGGCGGTTGGGTAATTTGGCTCCCAGTGACGTATGGCCCACGCTAGGCGCACCTGCAAGCCTGCGACGTTTACAAGGGTTCTAGCAATTCTGCACAAGCGGTGCAGGCTTGCCAGCAGCTAGAGCTGCCTCGACCCTGCGCTCCAGGCGGTAGCCAGGCCCACCCTGCGCACTAAGACCGCCTAGGTGTCCCTAATAAGCACGCTGCCGGGCACCATGACCTCGAGGTGCTTTTTTCGTGACCCTCGGCGCACGAGATTTGTAACCTGACGCTCGGCGGGATGATCTGATCTCACAGCGTAAATGACCTTCACTCTCTAGGGTAACCCCGTCTGAAGATCTGTGAGACGATCTGGCGGTATGCTTCTCGAGTCTCATGCCGGCCGACTTGTGTGGTGTATTCCAATCAATTGCATGCTCCTCCAGCGCTGACCAACACGTGAAATGAAGCAACGCATGAGTATTTTTGGCTGCAATGTGCGGTAGCAATCATGCAATCAGGCAATTTGAGGACTGATACTACGGAAGAATACAGAGGCCTGCCGTTTGTTGAGCCCCATCCCGACCGCCGTTGAGATTCTTGACATGCATCCATCGGGCAGGCCGGTTGGTGCGAATTCGGAGCAAGCTCTGTCGGGGCGGAAGAGGCGAGCAGGTGTGGTTATTGTTCTTGTGTCATCAAGATCGCATTCAGGGCGATCTACTTCGACCGTAATCCGCTTTTCCCACGTTAAATGTATCTCGGGCGTACCCTAAATGCGATCTCTCCACCACCACTCCAGGAATGGCATCTTTGCGGGGTCTGGAGGGCTCCAGATTTCCAATTGCGCGACACGACATGAGAGCCACTTACCTAAGGTACGGTCGGTGGGCCAGTGAGAAGCCAATGGTTTGGAGTCGCTCGTGATAATGCGCTTGTAACGTTTTGTAACTCTCCCTCGTCCCCGATCGATAACTCGTTTTACGTCACACACTTCAGGACATGCACCCGCCCAACAACACCAAGTCTGTTGGCTCCCAGCAACAGACTACGCCAAATCCTTTCATTCTCGATCTTCTCATCAAAGGATCATAGACTGCTCAAGTAAGCACGCTCGGCACAATACAAATCCTCCGCGTTACTATGGTATTGAGCCAGAACTGTCAAGTCACATTCCATCAGATAGCTTGTCGCAGCTCCTCATTCGCTGGCACCGTTTCAACCCCAGAACTTAAAGGTCCGTCTTGCTTTTTTAAGCCTCCAAAAACCAGCGGCTCGGTCGAGGACGCTCGGCATGGGCCGACAATGAGATTAAACTAAGACACCAAACCTCAACTGACGGAGCAAGGCTCCTGCCGTCGTCAAATCAATGCCCTCGAACAGAAACGTGTGCAGGTGATCATGGTTCCCACGCTGTCGCTACATCCACAAGTCCAGCTGCCATGCATTCTGTCAAGTGAGATGGCTGAAGTAGCCAGGATTGCTGAGACGTGGGGGTCAACAGAGAACAGGGTAGCTTTGTCCACTTGGGAGTTGCTCGATATTTGGCTCAACAAAGCAAGGCTCTCGTTGAAAGAAACCCAGTTCTATATTAAAATGCTGTAACGATAGGCACAAAGACTCGCACAAGGCATTGTAACCATTGAGCAAAATATCTTGAACAAAGGGAGATCTCGACTGAGGGCCTCCCTGTATCAATACACATGATGGGCTTCCTCTAACACTGTCTGAGTTCACTTCGAACTTACATCCACTCAGACACTCGCCACTTACTGCTCCGTTTCCAAGCATTCGAATAAGACAGACTTCTGCCTCAAGCTGGCCCGTGGAAATAGAGGCCGATCTAATCATAGAGGCGGCTCGCACCATTCTTCTGAAGGGGTCGCGCTATCGTCCATATTCTACTCAGCCGAGCGGCCATTTCAATCCGTCGCTCTCTAACCAAAGCCCCGTGGGGGCTTCGCAAGCACAACAACCACAAGCACAACTACAGCAAGCAGGCGGACTTTGCCACAGAACTGTCGCATCTGACGCAGTTTCCACACACACTCGAGAAACTGGCTGCTAGAAGCAGAAGTACCTTACCTGAGACTCTCTCCAGACCTGTTACCAGACGTTACGCCCAGAATCACAAGCCGAGCTACCAACGGTAGGATGAATACCACTCCAAAGGAAAGGGACGAAGTCCCCATCGGCGAGCAGAACTCCTCGATCTCATCAGGGACAATCAGTCTCAAGAACTCTCGCAAGCAACTCCACAAGAGTTAATCCAGCTGCCTCAACATGGCGTTTCAGGACTCTTACACCATGTGCCAGAGAGCCTGATCACGGTTGGATGTCCATGGCACCGAATCTGTAACCAAGACCTTGACGATAATATTATTATGTGTACTTGCGATGGTCGGATCCCTCGCTGCTTTTGGGCAGCATTCGAGACTCTTTATTATGAAAACCAGAGTCTAAAGAAGAACTTCAGAACAAGAGTAAGTTAGCACGTATGCAAGATCGCAGTAGAACTACCCTCGACCACCAAGGATGTTGATACGCCCGCAAAAATCTACATGGTAAAGTCGCTGGAACGACTTCACCAACAATAAATCCCAATTCACCTAATATTCACAGCTACTACGTGAAATGTATGTAATTTTGTAGTTCTCACAATAAGTGACGACGAAAGTTCCTGCCAGTACCTAAGTAATGGTATGTGTGAGGTGAAAGTACCTACCTACCTAAAGCAGTGAGGGAAGTCCTAGCTAGGTGCTAATAATGCCTGAGGCTGCCACCGAAACTCTTAAGATTTTAGCCTTTTCTGCGCACACTCCAAGTTCTCCAACTTCATCTCTACCCCAAACACCAAACATTACGCGAGCTGGTATCGCCATCCCCAAAGCAAGGAGCCTCGAGACTGGAAGCATGGCGTCGTAGTCTCGGTTCTGTACAGGCTTGCCCAAGTGTATCGCGTAACCTCGCGATAACAGCCAGTGCAATGGACTTGCCTCCTCACCGCCGCTAACATGCAGCTCCAAGAATTACGTTAAGGCGTATGTCTCTGCGAACGTATCCATCTCGATCTCGACCCGCAAAGATATATACTAGAATATATTCTTGGACTGGTGATGGATTCAAAGGGAAGTCGCTCACTCATCTGCGGGTGGTCTCTGGCGGAGCCTGCTATACGAAATACATGTTGGGAGCGCCTGATAGTCGACGAGTGATACGCCGTCAGCGCAACATCCATCTTGCTGGGACGTCATGCCGCAAACTCTCCCTTAGGATCTCTTGTGCAAATCGTTCCATGGCAGCTGGTCTTGCTGCTCCCCATGACGCGAGCTTACCCCGTCGATAAAGTGCTCCGATTTCCGTGATAAGGATTGTCTCGTCCACAGAAAGACATCATCTCCATTCAAGGCGATTCTGGCGACTCGTTTCGAACAAGACTGACAGCAGTTCTCAACATCTTGCGGCGATGGTACAGCTATTGACGAACGCCGCCACCGGCGACGCCGGGCGAACGTGCTTTTTGGGCATGCAGCTGCGGACCGAGAGGCCGCGAACATCCGCAACTCTGCAGCTGGATGATTATGGACAATATGGAGGTTGGAAATGGCTGCACTAGCCCAAAAGCCACGCAGACAGGACGCTTATTTTCTGCTTACGGGACATTGCAGCCGTGGTGATGGTTTGAATGGTGGTTGGGCGTGGAGGAGCCCTTGCATGACGGACTCTGAGCAAGAAGCTGCGACTAACTGCTACTTCTGAAACTCTCCGTTCGATCATGAGCATTGGATTGCTCTCGTAAAACCGTATCTCGTCGTATATAGCTGCCGTGCTTGATCTGCTGAAATCCCGGAGCCTTAGCCTGGACTCCGTTGATGGTGGGGAAGGGACGTCGCTCAACTACAGGCGGCTGTCTGCCGCTTTTGAATACCTTTTTAGGTTCAGGCACAAGGAGGTATTATCTTACTTCGCAAACACAACACGACACGACACACCTGCGGATTGCAAGGAGGCAAGTGCTCCAAATACCGTTATGGGCCTAGCAGAGGAGGACACGCCAAGGACAAACGCTTTTTCGGTCGGCTTGACCTCGTTCGCGGACGAAGCTCGAAGTCGTCGCTTCAGCGCATTCTCGGCCCCATCGCTCTCGGGGAAACCCCGCCAGTGTCCTTTGCGACAGTGTTAAGAGCATCAGCCTACTTACATGCTCTACGCAATCAGCAGTGGACGGAGCATTGCAACAGACATCGAGGCTGATCTTTCTCGCGCCTCCGTTCTGGCGGCTTGAAGTCGGCCACTTGAGTCATTTATACTTGACTTGCTGCTTGATCAATTTTCCTATTGTCGCAAATTGTCCACTTCGCTGCTGCTGCATCGCGTTATCTGCCTCTGGCCACTGCTATTGGCGTGCCGCTTCAGCGCGTTTGGCGGTTGGACCCCCTGCTCTCTCGGCTAACCAGATATCGCCTTAACTGGCACTAAAACTCAAAATGAATCTCGTGCCCGCAGTACAGCACACTTCAACACATACTCGTCCTCGAGATGTTGCAATGCCAGACGATAGCCGCAACCCCGGCGACGAGCGCAGAGTGAGAGGCAGAGATGACCGAGGCATGACTGGCCCTGAAAGACTGTTATCGCCTGTTCCTGCTGCCGCTGCTGCTGCCCATCGGACCGGAGACGGCGAGCGAGATCGCCCTCGGGGCAGACCTCGACGACACTCAATCGATCAATCCCAACCTGACCCGCGGTCGCGCCGTAGACCTGAAGACCGTAGCAGAGATCACAACGAACACTCATTCGAGCCATCATCACGAAATCCGCATCCGGGGCCCCGAAGCAGGCATCACGGCCGCGAGGCTGCCCGACCAGCTGACGCCAGGCGCGGACGTCCAGAGCGAGAGCGAGGCCACGCCACTGAAAGACCCTATCGACCGCGTAACCCATCGCCCTCCCCCTCGTCTAATAAGAGAGCAAGGAGCCCGAGTCAATCTGTAAGTGGCTCCCAGCATAAGAAGTCTCGACGGGATCGAAGCCCTCTTCAGCGTGCAAGAGACTTGAGCCCTCCGCATCCAGGTGCAGACGATCATCCTCCGTTCGATTCGCGGCCACTCCGATCTCCAGGGCGTCGCGAAAGGGCTCCTAAACCGAAGAAAAAGCCTGGTAAATCAAGGCCCGGTGGTCCGCCTCCTCGTCGCGGTCGATCGAGATCTCTAAGTCGTGACGCAGAGTTCTCGCGGGACTCGAAGCCTTACCACCCCCCTAGTAAGGACTCAGCAAGACGAGATCACAGCAGGTCATCGTTCTCTAGCTATCGCCGTCGGTCTATATCCCGAAACCGAAGTCCTCCTTCGCGGAGTGCACGTCCGCCCGCATCACCCGATACAGGCTCTAGGGAACGCCGTACCCCGGACTTTGATCAGTTTGATTACCCCCATCCATCTCGGTCTCCCAGAGGTCCGCGAGGGTCGGGACCTGGTCGACGGGGAAGAGGCCGTGACGATCCACGCCAAGCGCGGAGGCCAAAACCCACTTCTGGAGCGAATAGTGTCGAAGTGAACATGTCAGCTCGTGGCAATTTCCGTGGGGGATACAATGCCCATGTACAATCTGGATATCCCATGAGAGGCCAGTATAGTCAGGGTCCACACTCCAACGACCCAAGGACATACTCGCAGTCATCCGGGCACGGAACGCCAAACTCATCCTTCCATGGATCGCCACCTCCTCAGTCCCCTTTCGGTGGCAGTAGAGGCAGCTGGGGTGGACAGCAACAGTACTCGCCACAGGGGTCAGTATCTCATTGTCTCCTCTTAGAAGTAGTCGCTAATATTTTTGTAGTCAGTACCCCCCGCAGTACCAGCAAGGTGGTTATCCACCTCCCAGTGGCCCTCAAGGTCATTATCAAAGTAATCCTGCAAATTCGCCGCCGCCACATGGCACTCCCACTGGGCCTAGTCAGCCTTATAATCCAGGGCCTTATCGCGGCGGCTATAGGAACTCTTCAGGAAATTATCGAGGCAATGGCTTTGGGTCAGGGCGTGGGGGATATAGGGGCGGATTCAAAAGCGGGCAATGGGGATCTGGCGGCCAAGGCGGAAATGGCCGTGGCTCGTACAGCCAGCCTGATGAGATCGAGCAAGACCACTCCAGCCCCGAACCAACACCGGTGGAATCTGACCAAGCTCCTATAAATGAAGATGTGGAGACAGAAGAGGCAGAGAATCCGTTCCGACCATCGAAGGATCTCCAGGTCGAAGACACTAGCAAGGCAGAGGGGGACGGGGAGGATAAGATGCCTCCGCCTAGCCGGCCAGCTCCAACAGGTCCTCAGGGGTCAAAATTTAGCTTTGCCTTCAAAGCAACATCGAAATCAGCTGTAACTGCGCCTAAGCCAGAGATTTCACAGAAATTCAACGCGCAGCCCCCACGACCCAGTGTCTTCCAGAATGAGGAACGACCTCGGGACGATCGAGAGGGCAGAGACACCAGAGATACCAGAGATACCAGAGATATCAGAGAAACTAAGGAGACTAAGGACCCCCGAGATGCTCTACCACGGGATGTCCCAACTGGGCCAGCCTCCTCTCGTGTTCAGCGAAACGATCAGAGACAACGTCAAGAACCACGTCAGCGCCCAGAACCGGTACCTAGAGTTCGAAAGGTCAAGAAGACCCTGAAGCGTCTGAAGCCCAGACTACTCCTCCCAGAGGACCTCGCAAGCTCAGATTCTGTTTTCTTCCGGAAGCCAGGAAACGAATCTGTGATCGGATCCGGTACCTACGGCAAGGTGTTCAAAGCCGTTCACGTCTACACCAAGAACTTGGTTGCTCTGAAGCGGATACGTATGGAGGGCGAGCGCGATGGTTTTCCTGTCACAGCGGTCCGGGAAATCAAGCTTCTCCAGTCTCTGCGGCATATCAACATCGTCAACCTACAAGAGGTCATGGTAGAGAAAAACGACTGCTTTATGGTTTTCGAGTATATGTCACACGATCTGACCGGTATTCTTAACCATCCGACTTTCAAACTGGATGCAGCTCAAAGGAAGCACCTTGCGATGCAACTTTTCGAGGGACTGGACTATCTTCACAAAAGAGGAGTCCTACATCGAGATATTAAAGCTGCCAACATACTTGTCAGCAGTGACGGTATCTTGAAATTGGCAGACTTTGGTCTTGCTCGCTTCTATGCCAAACGCCATCAACTTGATTATACAAATCGAGTGATTACTATCTGGTATCGATCACCGGAACTACTACTCGGCGAAACACAGTATGGTCCTGGTGTGGACATTTGGAGTGCAGCTTGTGTCATGGTTGAAATCTTTACACGGCATGCCATATTTCCCGGCGACGGGGGTGAGATCAGCCAATTAGACAAGATCTACGCAGTCCTCGGCACCCCGAACAAGGCAGAATGGCCGGGCCTGGTCGATATGCCGTGGTTCGAACTCTTGAGACCTGGATACAGAAAATCGAATGTATTCGCAGAAAAGTATAAGGAGAAACTGCCTGCAGCTGCCTTTGAGCTACTAGCTGCCATGTTCCAGTATGACCCTGCGAAGCGACCCTCGGCCACAGAGGTTTTGGAGCATCCCTACTTCACTACGGAGGGACCCTCTCCGCGACAAGCAGTAGAGTAAGTCGAATCTTTCATTACGACTTTCCACTACGGAGTGATTCTGACTAACATGTTCTCTTTTAGGCTTCAAAGTCTTGATGGTGACTGGCACGAGTTTGAGTCCAAGGCTCTTCGCCGTGAAAACGAAAAGAAGGAGAGGGAGGCCAGGAGAGCGGCCAAGGAAGGCCCCTCTCGCGACAAAGAAAAGAAGCGTCCGAACGACGCGAATGACTCTCATCGAGAGCATAAACGGCCCCATGTGGACAAAACTTCACAGGCTGATCGAACGTCGGGTACAACTACAGGACCCCCTCCGACATCTGGATCACAAGCAAGCAAGGCTTAGATGGCCAAGGCTAGTTGCAAAGTCCTCATGGCTGGCGCTGCTAGTGCGGACCGTGACATATTATGTGATGCTGTCAAACGCAGCAGCAGCAGTTCTCGTCACTCTGTATGAGTCGGTATTCACAACATGCAGATGGTGGGATATAGAAAGCATTGGGGGCGTTGACCGATGATTTTGGGCCAAAATACCGTGGCTATACGGGCGCACGGTGATGGACGGCACGGTAATAGTAATGTCTTGCTTCGGGATGCGGCAGGTCAAGTCGAGAAACGCTCGACTCAAATATCTCCAAGGATCCGTATAGCATCAGGAAGCCGGGACAGGCTCGGTCTTGTCTGCTGGCATGCTGTCATATATTACCTGTATATTCTACCTGACAGAATAAATGCCTTTCTGAGCTCAAAGAAAGTACTGTATCATCCATGTGGATAATGAGACCTCTCGAGTCCTGACCAGGGTTATCATATCATTTGTGTGGGAGACTTGCCGATTCCCGAAGTAGGGGAGTGGTGAGTTACGCAGCCAGGGACCAGACCGCGCAATCTCGAAGATCCTGTGTTTGGCATTGACTAGGGGTCCAGCTCTGAAACGGATTTGCACAATCCACATCTTTCAGTCCTTGGCACGACAAAGTTACTGCCGTAAAACATGAGCATATTCTCCGACAGTTGCGGGTCCTTGGGACCCTGAACTGCCGCGTGCCATGCGCCGATCGGCGAACGAAGCAGAAACTCGCCAAGCGTCGTCCGAAACGAAACCGTGAGGTCTAAACCGGCGAGAAGCAAAACATGGCGCAGCAAACTTGCAGCATCTTCTGACTGTTGTACACGTATCTAGTGAATCCCATTGGAATCTTAGTTGGGTATTCACGAAACGCCTGCTTGCTGGAGAAAAACGGGCCAAGAGTTAGGAGTCGATAGCTGCGCCAATTCGAGAGAGGCGTGTCTACGTATCAGGGAAGGATTGATACTTACAGGCCGTCTTTCTGACCACCGAGTGGAAATAGTAGCAACCTAGAAGTATTGTTTTCCCGATACATCCTGATTATATATATGTATATATTCATACCGTCTCGCTTTCCTCAGTCGTTCTGCCTTAGGTGCACTGAGACAATGTGAGTGCCGTCCTCCACCTAGGTGAAGTGTTTCATTCCGCCAAAGCCTTTCTCCTCTGTCGTGCATTCCCGACAACGAAAAGATGCGTATCACGCTTTACAGTGTAAGTCACTGCAACTGGACGATCTGATTGTCCTCGTCATCTACCTGTGCTGACCTGGCCTCACCACCTATCCAGGGCGCTGCTCTCCTTGCTCTCGCCCTCCCTGCCGCCTCGTTGCCTATCGACGCCGTTGCCCGACGAGGCGAGGCGAGGCTGGTATCCATTTCGATTGGACCACCTGGCCTTGCGTCTCTTGCCCGTCGACGATTCGCCATTGACCCTGCCCAATTGGCGAGCCAGCTGCAAGGCTCGAATGTTGAGGAGGCTGGTACCGAGAAATAAGGCCGGAAGGCTGGGATGAAGGGCTCTTCCATCTGCATGCCAATGTTGGCGAAGCAGAGTCACAGAATCTCATAGGATGAGGAACAGAATGCTTTGCCATCATCTTCGCACAGTTCTATTAGCAACAGGCTGTACCTAGCAGTACCTAGAGTCTCCCAATAGCAACAACCGATAGATCTTCAATGCCTGTTCTGATCTCCTGTCCCGCTATACGGCTCCCCCTTCTCTCCCACCAAGTAGTAGTAGTAAACTTGCTTTTTTCCTCACACAAATTGCCACAACCACCGTGCTTTATATATGCCATCCCGGACCAAACTTTTGGTTGTCCGTCATGAAGAAGAATAGTAGGAATGTCTCATTTCTCTCATAACTGTAATCGTGAATCATAAGTGTCATCAATGGTATTTGTACATCGAGGCGCACCAGAACGGGTTCCTTGCATCTCAAAGGGACCAAAGTATGGCTCTTTCCGGGGGTATAGAGAACCAACGCGGCCGGAAATACCCCTTCTCTCCGCTTTCCCTTGGACAATCCGGTGTCTGGCCAATATTCCGTTCCATGTCCTGAATCCTAGGGCACCTTGTGTTTTCCTGTAGTTTCCTGGAATCTGTTGCTTATAATGTAGTTCTCATGCTAGCGATGGTGGAGTGGTTTTCCGTAATCCATGAATGTCAGCCATAGTAAAATAGAATTTCAGGTATAGCCAGGTATAGCCAGGTAACAGAGCAACTTTATGACTTCTTCACGATGCACGTTCGACAGATTTTCCCTTGTCCTGCTTGCCATTCACGGTTTTGAGCAAATCACGTAAGCTTCCCTCCGCATGGCTGGGCTTTGTGGACTGGCCATGGGTTGCTGATCCACCAGGGCCTGAGGTTGCGGTTCTCCAAGGTATGAGATTACTGAGCCCGGATAGTAAATTACTGCTGGTAGTTTTTGGTTCGTTCACAGGAGGCATTGGTGGAGAAAACAGTGTGTCCGACCCGGCACTGCTGTGCGGAGACTGTGGCTGGCTGTCATGTACATCGTCATCATATAGTTGTTCATCAGGGGCCGTCCGAATCTCCAGATGACTACTTGAAGTCTGGGGTAGAGCCGGCTGGCTGACAAGAGCAGAAGCCGAGTTTCGTGGAGATGTGGCATCGCCAGCAGGGTGGAGTCGGGTATTCTCCGCATGGATAATGGCATTAGCGAAAGCGGTGGACTTCTTTCTGGCAGGCGTTTTCGGCTCTGCTTGAGACGTTGTTCCGGACGTCGACTTATCTGCAGCAGCTCCTGTCGAAGGCGACCCCGAGGCACTGCCACCGGATTTCGAGTCTGAACTCTTTCGGGCTGCCCGACCACGTACCTCCTCAGCAATCTCTGCTGCCGATTTCTTCTTTGTCTTGTCCTCCTCAGACGACCGGCTTGATGACATGATTGTCTCAAGCGTCCCGTATGCGACGCTGCGCCGACGTCCGCCACTTCTTCGTTTTCGGTGGGATCGCGCATTGCTCTCATCATCATCCGATTGAATGGCTTGCAATGTCGGACCGGGTTCTCTCTGATTATTCCTCCCGTTGCCTCTCCTTCGACTCGACGACGGCACACTGCTAGCTATGAAGCTTGTGCCAGAGCCATGGGGCTTGACATGGACCTCGTACTGATTGCTGAGACTGTATCGCGATCGAGCACATATTTCTGCAATTCGATCAAGATCAGCGCCGACACCACTATGCTGCTCGTCAAAGGTGGCCATGAAACTCTTGAACGAGTACGCTTCCAGTGGTGGTAGCTTGGCCGGGTCCGACTGGGGGTCCGATTCCTGGCGCCATGACCAGGGCGCCTTCTTCTTGGCGTTGCCGCGCGCCATGCTTAGTATGCTTCCATTTTGAGGTGCCTTGATGGGCGGCTTGGTGTGGGCGCTGGGCGAGAAGTAGGATGTGGATGTGGACGAGACCGAGTAGGGCACCCTGCGGGAGCCAGCACGGCTGGCGCTCGGAGGCCGGTAGCTACCCGCGTGTGAGTTGGAGCGGGAGTGACCTTGCAGAGGGGAGGGACCACTGTAAGTTCGGACAATGACCGGCTGGGAGTAGGTGCTGTTCTGAGCACCGGTGGACTTGGCGTAACGATGGCGGGAGACAGACGACGGGTAATTGCTGTTCAGCTCGCGGAGGGCTGATGTCCGGTGCGCAGTGGTGTCGTTGTCGAGAGGTATAGGCTTCCCCTCTGCAGTGGATGGCACAAGCGACGTGGAGGATTTGTTGTTGCTTGGTTTGAAGAAGAGCGGAGGAAAAGAGAAGGGAAGAGAGTGCCGTCTTGAGTCGACAGAGGAGTGCTTGATAGAGACGACTGGAGGTTCGGGCGGAGGCGAAGTTACGGACGAGATGGCAGGCGGAAGTGAAGGCCCCGGTAGGGAAGAACCAGAAGCAGAGATGGAGGAAGTGGGAGCGTGGTGATGAATATGAGAAGGGGATTGAGAGGATGGATCCGTATTCATAGCTCCACTTGCTGGTGCGTGTTCTCCTTCCAGAGGTTGATGGGCATGTGGCTGCTGCTTATATATGTACATGGCATCGAGATGCGGGATGAGGTAGATTGCGGTAGCACGTATGCAGGCAGCTGGTGGTTGTGGTGGCAGTCGGGCGGCGGACACGGGCACCTCTCAGCGGTACAGCGACATGATTTTCGCTGCGTGTCTCAGCGGCGAGCAGGATTGACGGGCACGGACTGATTGATCAATTGCGACGATGGTGCAGCCGCCGCTCCCTCGTCTCTTTGTGGGCGCTCCCCTGAACCGTGAGTCGGGAGGCGGTGACAGGAGGAGGGGAGATAGCGAGATGAACCGTTGTCGTTGTCGTCTTGGTCGGTTGTAGATGCCGTGGAAAGGGAAAAGGGGAATCGAGCTTCTCCTCTCTTATTTTTCTTCCTTTTTTTTTCGTTTCTTTTTACTCGTCGGATCTCTCGAGAGGAGATGTGTTTGGGATAGGGCGATGTTCTGGCAACGGCCATTGGACGAGCAAATGCTTTCTGCAAGCTGTCGTGGCTGCCGTTCGGTGGTGGTCTGCCATCTTGACAGGGGTGTCACGGGCGGGGCAAGTTCTCGGCTCTGGCTGCACTGGACTGGACTCGCCTGGATACGCTTCTTCCACTCAATTCGTGCCCTCACTCACCATGGCCCTGCCTGCCTATAGGGAGAGCTATGTAGATATGCTACGCTGCTTTACTCTGCCGGGCTGGCTGTCCAGATTTCGCTGGCTCCAATTGAACGGCAGCCAGAGACCCCACGTTGGTCCGTCTGCTTTACCATCGCCTTGCCGGCCACTGCACCGATCAAGACTCACGGGTCGCGGACGGTAGAGTCCAGGTGCGTCCTCCATGTTATGTTAGGTAACGCCGTACGTAGAGGCCCTGTCCGTCCGGCAGTCTTGACGACCACCTACCTAATCTTGTCCTCGTCCTCGTCCTCGTCCTCGTCCGCCAATTCGCCATTCGCCGTCAGATCTGTTCTGTCGCTCGGCCTCGACTCCGCATCGCTTCGAGGCCGTTCGTCCCGTCTCCTGCGGTGCCTATCGCCGCCTCTTAGCTGCGGTAGTCTAGCTCCTGGTTGCATGTCGACGTGTACACACATGCACATGCACATGGACATGAACACACATATACTTAAACCATTTACATATAGCCATACCCACCGTTTCATCTTAGAGACGGAGCTGCAAAATAAATGTTGTTGTTGACTCTTGAATGGACGATTCCGTGCCGTGGCCACGTCTTCTGGACCCCTTACTCCTGTCTCTTCCCGCCTGTCAGCAGGCGAGACCTGCATCCCGCTTCCAATAGGTGGAAATAGGCCAAGTAGGAAGCTCTCGCACATAGAAAACATGGCATGCCAGATTGGGCCTGTCAGAGTCTCGCGATCGCTTGCTGTGGCCTCATTTGGCTGTCTGGGGAGATGAAAGGAGGGTATTATTCGTCTAGGTAACCGTCATATCAAACATATCAAACAGAAACAGTCCGTCACTTGCTACCACCTGGGATCCGCACCCCTTCCTAACGCCAATCTCGACAAACCAATACAGTCAACGCGTATTCAGAGTGCCTGGGCAACAAAGCAGCGATACTCCTAAAGAAATCTCTTCTTGCAGCTCTCAGCCCCAGAACCACTTGACAATACCCCATCGCTCAGCCCACAGCTTGTATCGCGTACGATGGCCCTCTTACTGGACGGGCTGGGCAATCGTGCCGTAGCCACCTCCGCCGGTCTGCACGCGCTCGCTGTAGATGCCAGGGGCATGCGACGCCGTGAAGCGGCCCTCTCTGGCCTGCTCTCGGCGATCGTAGTATACGTATTCGATGTAGAAGGCATGCAAGTGGCCGGGAAGGTATCTGCGATTGCGAGTGTCAGCACTGAAGCCCTTTTGCTGCAAGCTTGCGGGGAGATGCGTACCCGAGAATCGTGAAGCAGATGTTGATGAAGAGGTCAGCCCCGCAACCTGCGACGGCGTAGACACCGAGGGGAGGCACTGGAGATGGAGTGTCAACTCGGGATTCCAATGGGTAGAGTTATGGCTGGTACATACGGAGGATGGTGATGAGCACCAAGAGAACGGCTGAGGCGATTCCCATATTTGCTGTGTGGTACTCGATGCTGAACCGTCAAGATTTTGAGAGGGCTGTCGCAGGTGAGGAGGTATTGGTGCACTCGAAAAGAGAAAGATCGCAGTGGTGGGGTGATTGTGAAGCGACGACTGGTAATCCAGGTGGACAATTCAAAAGTTTGAATGGATGCAGAGTTGTGAAGGAGACAAAGGTGCAAAGAGGGTGGTGGCTCGAGATTGGTGCCTGTTTATCAGCAAATCCAATGGGTTTCACCTCAGGTCAAATAATCAGGCAATTGGCTGTGATTTGCCAATAAGAAGGAGGACGACACAGAACAGAACAGGAGACCAGGCGCCATCGTGATAGCCTGCCACTCTACCACAGTGACGTAGTCTATCATCCTACCCATTACGCGCCCTAGGTGCACGTGCCTCAGTGCCACACTCAGCCTGCTAGAAGCTAGGACAGTGCCAGGGCGTGGCTTGCTCCTGCCAAGTTTTACCCACTATTTACCTAAGCTCCCTGGAATAAGTGCCATCCAGACGGCACCACACTGCCGAATCGCCCTGGCAGTTGCTTGTGATTGTCTCAGATCAGTACAGATTGCGTCCTGGAATATTCTGGGGCAAGACAGGCAAGGCCATGTGGTGGCGCTGTGTGGCGCATGCCTGTTTCGTTCTCCACTGGTCACAGTTTCGCTGATCTGCTCTGCTCCAAAGGGTTTTGCCATGATATGGGATGCATATCGGTGAGATACTGTGTTGACAGGCTCGACAGGTTGGTGCTGGGATACACTCTTGGGATGTGCTCCATGAGGCGCCATTGTAGACTGCCATTGTAGACTTGCGAGTAATCAGCGCCGCTGCTAGCATTGATGTAATTCTGTTCCGTATCTAAGCCTAACAAAAATCACTGAATATGGCGTTTGTATAGAGCTATCCCGTTCTCGTTCTCAGCCATGGTCCATGAGAGCATGAGAGCATGAGAACACCTACGAGCCTCAATGCAAGCTGCGTTGTTAGCCTGCCTCGCCTACGTGGCCATCAGAGCACATTCCAGGTACATAGCTGGCGTTGTGTGGCGTGTCTATGCATACGCCACACATTAAAGCAGCTGTCAAATACCTGCCCAGGTAGTTACTTCCAAAGGATCGAAGGTGAGCATGATTGGAACTTCGTTTGTACGTGCTCGAAATGAGATCTGGCATGCCTTATATTTCCCGACTATAAGCAGCATTGGTGCGAGAAAGCAGGCCATGGCCCCGCAGAGAAACACCAATAACGATTAGCAGTCACTGCGATGAGCATATCAGCCACTTCACTCAAAGTTATCTCCGAGGTAAAACATTGGTGAGAATGAATACCTTATCAGCCGTTACTTGATCTGACAGGTATTCGGAGGTTTGTGCATCGGAGTGCAGGAAGCAAAGCAGTGTGGCCTCCCGAGAGAGAGTCTTAGAGCGGGATGCGGGTCTCGGACCCGGAAGTTGTCTTAAGATTGCCGCCCCGCCCTCGAAACGGAGTTTGACGAGGCGAGCCGTGGTTACGAATCCATACAAGATCAGCCCTTAAGGACGAAATCCTGGCCGAGCGCCATTTTGCTTGTAGAGTATGCTTCCCCTGAGGCCCCCCCCCCCCAAGCGAAGCGACCGTCTAGATAGGTTTACGGTGATGCGAACGGGGATTTAAGTACTCATGACTGTCAGCTCGTGTGTTTGAACAGAAGCCCGACAACTGTTCCATAATCTCGAACGACTCAGAATGGTGTTCAGCCCGCGGAGCACATCGTGCCATGTGCGCGGCTGTTACAGGGCATCTTGGTAACAGTGAAAGAAACCCCAGGGGCTTCTCTGACCTTGGGAAAGGCTCGACAATCAATCTCCTAAAGGTCCCAGCACTGCAGTGTCAGGGATATATTGGCATAGATTTCTGTTAGTGTCTGGTTCACCAGTTTCCAGGTGAATGGGAGCACCGCAGAGGGGCACGCTGGGCGTATGCCCCCGATAACAGCGACCAGAAAACTGCCGGCCGGATTGATTTTCGAATCATTTTGATGAAAACCGATATGGAAATAACGGGAGAGGCAATAGGATGCGACGAACTGGTGGCTCAGAGCGACCATCGAAAGGCTCGCCTAATACCAAGCCGGTAAGTTAAACCCGCGTGGGTGGGAACTCTGGCCGGATGGGGCCCCCTTGGGTTCCTTGGGGGGAGAATAGGATAGGCTCGACTCCCAACCCAGGAAAAGGCTGTGCAAGCCTGCAAGGAGGCCGCGGATAGAGCAGAAGACATGAGGTGAAAAGGGTAAGGAGAAGCTTTCTCTGCATGATGCGATGGACGTCTCTGGCCAGTCACCATTCACAGCAGACAGGCCTACGTATAAGCGGCGACTCTATCGAGGGGGGTGCGTGGGGTTTTGAAAGCTGAGGCAACCCCCAACATGCAGCGCTTCTCTCGCTGCTCTTGCTGCACAGAGGGAGGTGCTGTAGCCATGGGCCCCCCGGTCTTCTCCGCAGAGAGGCGTTCAGGAGGGCGTGACCGTGGGCGGAGGGAGGGCGTATCATTACTGTAGTATTAGGTTCGCACCCTCTCCTCCGGAAGCTTGGAGGCTACCAGGTTTGGCTCTACTGTTTTTGATGCGTCGTAGATGTCCGTCAATGGGCCGATAAGCTGATTGACGGATGGATGGATGGATGGATGGGTGCTTCACTGATAGGATAGGCAAAAGGGGTTGATCCAAGGTAATGGAGGTGGGTGAGCGGCCTGCCGTATTTGCACTGATTTATTCGCGCGCGTAGCGGCTGCTGCTTAACGGCTCTCATAACTTCATAAGAGAGAGAGAGAGGGAGACACGATTACCAACCTCGGAGCAAAGCAATATCAAATAGGCAGCGCTCAATGGAAGCAATAATAGAAACCAACATAGCTAGCTATAGTTATGCCTATACCTATACCTATACAGTGACGTCCATTGAGCAGATTCACTCATGTTGAAATGAGGAGTACCTACCTACTGTAGATTGAGGAGTTATCAGAGCGGCTGGATGAACTGACTCTGACGTCGTCCATCGCCGACATGGCTCTCAGACCCCCCCAATTGAAGCTCGATATTATTTATGGAACACCCGGGGCTAAGATACCGTACCCAAAGCGTGAGTTGGTTTGTCAGATCGATTTATTAGAGAAGAAAGAATAAACGCAACGCCCAGGGAGGTGCGTAGCTCCACCGATGGCAAAGGATACCTACTGCGTCCAACCTCTAGCTTCCATCAGATAGACGCATGGATAGATAGATAGATAGAAAGAAAGGAAGACGTGACATGCGACCGATGTGCTCTGATGACAACGGAGCTGTAGGTACACACACATATAATGCGTAGCTGCAGTAAGGACGCAGTAAGCTACTATACCTTGGGATATACTGCATAGTGTGTATGGCGGGCAAGGGAGTTATGCGACAGAAACGGGCTAGAAAGATTCAGAAGCTGGGAGGGAAGCCTGTCGGGTGGTGGTGGTAGTGGTGGTGGCGGCCCATCCCCCCCTTCCCATTCTGTGTGCTGCTAATTAGCATATTTAGCACTAAACAGACGGGAAATTTCGTCACTTTACCTAGCCCGCCGTTATTTTTCAAAGAGCCGCTAAGGGGAGCTCCCAAGCACCCCGGTGGCACCCTTAACTGTTACAGCGCATGGGGGGCTTGCTGGCCATGTCCAGGTACAGGTACATGCTTGACCTGCTTCTTTTGTGTGGGAGAGGTGTGCTTCCCAGCATTAGACTAGGTAGATACATTATTATGCTGTTCCTGCTGGTGCTGCCGCCCCTGGCACTGCATCTCTGCAGCTTTTGTTGCAATCCTTCCCAGCTGCAGCCTCCGGCACACCAGCCAGACAGACCAGTGGCATTTCTATCACTTTTCTATTATTGAACATGATTTCTGGAAACCGTTACTCTCTGTAAATCACTTCCTTCTCTCTTCGCCTTCCCCGAGCTTGCGGCAGATGTAGGTGAGCTCCAGCTGTGAGGCGGTCAAAGCCACCAAATCCCAGCCTGCCTATGTACTGTGTTAGGGCACTTGCAAATGAGGTACATGTATCTGTACCAGCACCAGCACCAGCACCAGCGCCAGTAGCATTACCGGTACTAGCACGGGCCAGCAAAGAGCAGGGAGGTTCCAGGTCCTTAGTCCTTCCCAGAGCACCTCCAATTTGGGCAACCTCCGCCCCGAAGACACGACCACAGCAACCCACACGCACGCGCACACCACACACCACGCACCACGCACCTCACACCTCACACGAATGTGCGTGCATGCACTCCCGCTCGCTCATTGAGAATCAAGACGAGACAAGTCAAGACAAGACAAGACAAGACAGTCTTTGAGAGCATGCTTCACACGCTACACCACACCAACTGCACTGTATTGTATTGTATTGTATTGTATTGCACTACTCTAATTAAGGTACCTAGCCTCTAACAATCTATGCCAAGGTATCTGGAAAGCTGAGGCTTGCCCACCAAAAACCAAGTCACTTTAACGTTATTTCCTAGTGCTGCTCCTTGGGTAAAAGTGAGTTCCATTTTCCCATTTATTCATCATCTCCCCAGTTCGGGCAGACTGACACCAGACAGAGAGCCATAGAGGCTTTAACCTCTGATTATCAGCACATTAGTGTAGTGTTGTCTGCTAATTAGGTAGGTACCTTGCCTTCCTGGGTACCTAGCACGCCTAGGTAGGGACCAGACAGGACCACTCCCAAAGACCGGGGCCGTCAAACACCACTATCATTTTTTCGTCGTCGGGTCTGCTACCTACCTCTGACCCTCTGACTGCTGCTTCGTCGACTCCTTTCCCCTTCTCTCTCACTCTCGCTACCTCTCCCATCTTCATCCTCCCCCCATCCACCCTTCACCAAGGATTGCGAGGGTGTGCAGCACACTTTCTTCGGTTCGGTCGACTGTCACCGAGTCTCCCATCTTGTGCTCACCTTTCTGTGCCCTCTGCACTCTGCCTTTTCTTGGTTTGCGCTCCGGCTTGCCGCGAACCTTGAAATCGCCCCCCCTCCCCTCGAAGACACCTCACCTTGTTTCCGGGCTCCCGCCGTTTGTTGCCTCGACCAGGAAAAAAATAAAGGTTACAAATCCCCGGTCTCCGCTACCACAGTCGGGCATTTTTCCATGTGTACAGCTCGTCTGATTGATCTGGGCAGGTCCCCTCCTCTCCATACCCGATATTCTGTATAGCTTCCTCTCCTGCCGTCGAACCGATTGAATTCCCCCTTCACCATGGCAGCCCAACCGACTCTCCCCTTCAATTTCGACCGCTTCGTGGTGATCCACGTAGCTACCACCTGCGACGAGCATGGCGTCTACGTCACAAAGGACTCGGCTGAGGTTATCGAACTGGGCTGGATTTTGCTTGACGCAAAGAGTCTCGAGGAGGTGAGCATATGTCGTCCCAGATCTGGCCTTGCCAGATGGACCCCTTTTTTTGGCTTCTCGGAATGCTGGATAGCTAACAGTCAGCAGATTCATCGCGAAAGTGTCCTTGTCAAGCCCATCAATACTCCCATCACTCCTCTCTGCAGTAAGTTGCTCGATATTTTTTTTTTTTATGTCAATCGGCCGTTTTTTTCTCGGGCCGCTTCCGAAGGCACCTCGACTGATCGTATCGACTACAGCTAGCTTGACTACTCTCACTTGGGAGCACGTACGAAACGCCGGTACCTTCCGTGATGCCATCAATCGATTCGATGCCTTTGCTTCTGAGCACCTGACTTCCCAAAACCTGGACTTTGTCTTCGTGACCCTGGAGGCCTGGGACTTGCGAGTTCAGCTACCCCGTGAAGCTCGAGACAAGGCCGTTGTGCTGCCCCCCTACCTGCAGCACTCACGCACCTTCGACCTCCGCACCGAGTATCAGAGATGGCAGCAACACCACCCCGAGTCGCTGCCTTTCGGCCCTTCCTCACTGGCAAACATTTGCGCGGCTCTAGAGGTCGAGGCGGTCCAGTCAAGTGCTCCTATCAAGCACAACCTACCTTTCCATCTGCAAGCACTGGCTCCGGCTTCACCACGCCGTGCCATGGAGGAAGCAGTCACGCTGGCTAGAGTCCTGCGTGGTCTCGTTCGCAAGTCGCAGCCGCCGCATGAGCACCCCGATGTTCTCTCTCGACCGATGGATGCTCGTGCCGATGTCCGAGCTTTTCTGTCTGAGCGATCCAAGGTTCTCCACATGTCCGGTCTGCCTCATGATACTACTCAATCTGAGCTTGAGAGCTGGTTCACTCAATTCGGTGGACGCCCTATCGCATTCTGGACGCTACGCACTCCCGAGCAACACAAACCTACCGGCACTGGCTTTGCCGTCTTCTCCTCTCATGAGGAGGTAAGTAATGCAGCTTCCCCTCCCTCTTTGATCCCATCTTTGATCCCAGAAGCCTATTGAACTTCGTGTTTATTCATGGCTACCGGGTCTTCTTGATCCTCGGCAGTCTTGCGACGGGAGCATGCACAGTCGCTTTACGGCGGGTCGGCATCGTGCATGAGATGAATGCTAATCTGTTCTAGGCTGCCGAGAGTTTGTGCATGAACGGGCGGGCCCTCAACGAGAAAGCCATTGAGGTCTCTCCATCATCAAGCCGTGTGCTGGACCGGGCCGCGGAAATCTTGACACCATTCCCTCCCAGCAAGAACCGACCTCGTCCTGGTGACTGGACGTGCCCTTCTTGTGGCTTCTCGAATTTCCAGCGCCGAACAGCTTGTTTCCGTTGCTCCTTCCCTGCCGTGAGCGCCGGTCCCACTGGCGATATGGGCTACGGAGGATATGGCGGCGGCGGAGGTGGTTATGGCCCACCGCAGATGATGCCACCACCTCAACACGGACACCACGGCCACATGGGTCATGGCGGCGGTGGACGTATGGGAGGCAGTGGTGTTGTGCCCTTCCGTGCAGGAGATTGGAAGTGTGGCAATGAGGTCTGCGGCTACCACAACTTTGCAAAGAACGTATGCTGCCTTCGTTGCGGCGCCAGCCGTGCCGGAGCTGCCGTCGTTGCCGACTCGGGATACCCATCTCCCATGGAACCACCTTCCAACTACAGCATGAGCCAGGGCTCAATGGGCGGTACCCCTGGACCCGGACCATTCGCTGCTGCGGCTGGTGCCTTCAATGCTGGTGGGGGCTACGGACAACAATTCGGTGGTCCACCAAGCACGTACGCACTTCCCTCAGGCTTGGGAGGAGGTGCGGCACCTTATCCCTCCCTCAACACGCACTTCGGACCTGCTCCTGGCTCCCACTCTGCTGGACCGTTTGACAGTCGAGCCGCTGAAGCTGCCTTCCAGTCCGCCACCAACGGTCCTGCGTCAGCCGGACCATCCAACAACTTCTATTCGAACAACGAGAATGATCCGTTCGCGTTTCTTTCATCCGGTATAAGCAGTCTGTCCGTTGGCAGTGGCGACGCTCGACAGAACGGAGGTGGCGCTCCTCCGAGCAAGTCGCCTGCGTAAATGTCGGACCTATTATGTTCATATACCAGCAACACCCACACTCCTTTACATCGTATACAACAACAACTGTCTGCTTTGGCGTGTGACAACTTTATCCGACGACCTTGGAATGAGAACATAGAGCATTGAGCCTTTGGCAATATCTTCTGGACTTATACTTACCGCGAGGGTGGTTGGTTATTGGAAGATAGGGCACTGGTCTGGTGGTTGTAAGGAAAGGGGTGGAAAAATTGCACGGCTGGAAAGACAAAAGAGTTTACTTCTTAAAGGGCCTTCAGGGCGGTTGTGTTTCTACCGCAAATGTTATACTGGCAACGGATTTGGCAAGGACTGGATGTCATACCCGCACGAGGAACTCGATTGTTCCATCTTACATGGGCCATTTGTTTATCACGGTATGACCATGATGGATGGTACGAGGCGTGCATAGCGAAGGGAGTGTACAGGGTATATTGAGGGCCTAGTTGGTCAGAATTTCTTCTCAAATTCCGTGTGCGCCTTGTTTTCTTTATTCTTTGATTGTTCTTAAGATCTGTTCACATTTCTCAATTTGCAAAAACACCCAACACCCTTTTTTTGTTTCGATTCTTGTGTGTTTTGAGTTTGGAATGCTGGCAGGGCAAGATGGGCGGAGGAGTCCGGATGCTGGAAAGGGGGTGTTGTCGGCTGGGAGGTTGCTTTGGTTTCTTTACATCATCATCATCTTGTCTTTCCCGTCTTTTCATTTCTGCTGCTCATATCTGCCTTCTGGATAGCGGACAGGTGCGGCGTGGACAATATGCCATTGCTTCTCCCCCACCAGTCTGGGCCACACTTGACCGTCATCGACCGTCAAGTACGAGGTTGTTAATTAACAAGATGCATCATATGCATGTCATGTTTTTTTTTGCTTGCATATTTGCTGTGGATTCAAAACAAAAGTACCCCCTTCCCCTTTCAAGACTGGCATGGAGATGTGCATCTCGAGAAACCAAAAAGAATGGCATTGTTACACGGGTGGGCAACCCCAGAAAGTGCCATAATCTAACATTGTGGACATTTTCACCACTTGCTCGCTTGTCTGCTTCCTCCACAAAACTTGTTTGGGGTTTCGGGGGCTGTGAGAGGGGAAGAGGCGGCATATAGTAGTAGTAGTTGGTAGCGTGTGGTGCGGATGAGGTTGGTGGCCAGCAAGAGAATTAGATATTTCTTCCTGCCCAGTGCACATTTACCCCTAAAAGATAGTTTCTGATGTCTCAATCCTGAAGCTCATTCCATCTATACAATAGTAAAGCTACCTTTAGCTACAAGAACGTGGAAGTGTTATCCTGACAAGAGGTCTCCAAGTTTATGATCTCCGTGCGGCTTCCGCCCCAAAGGAGAACTGAACTGAATATCCTTGCTAGTGTTCCATGCCATGGTGTCCAGTGAAGACGACGTCCAATGAAGGCTATGCAAATGCATCGTACCAAAAGTGTACCGAGACTTCAATCCACCCAGTCTGATCCTTCAAAACTTTCTGAAGTCGTAGTCCGGTGGCTCGATGTCCTCCTCGTCATCCTCCGGAGTTCCTCGTAGGAATTGACGCTGTTTCTCCTTGTGCCGGGCCGCATCGATCTCATCGTTGCCCTCGTCAATATCCATCGGGTCTTCGGTGTGAAAGGAGGGCACGTCGCTGACATAGTCGTCAAACCCCATCTCCATCTTCGACTGCTTGACAGCAACGCTAGCGAGCGCCGACAACTCCGCGTCCTGCTGGGCCTGGTTGTAGTTGGAGTTCTTCAGGGCCTCTTTGAAGCACCCCTCCATGGCTGAAGAGCCGGATGCAGAAGCAGGCGCAGCTTCCCATGTTGTGCTGCGCACGGTGTTCTCCGGGACCATGTCGAAGTCGCCGCCAAAGGGGTCGGAATCATACTCCTCGTCAGACGGAAGTTCCTCGTAGATCAGATCGCGCAGCTGCTCGTCGATATCATCCGCCCGAACATACAACTTCTCCTCCCTAGTCAGGGTATGCCAGCGCGCCTTCTTTGCGTGCTTCGGCTGCCACTCGTCGGGATGAAAGGGCACGTTGCCGCAGGTGGCTTCCGGGTGCTTGGGGTGCATAGGGGGTAGCTCATCGTCGCTCATGTACAACTCCTCTTCGGTGGGAACCAGGTTCTGCTTCTTCTTGATGTCGATATGGCCCCAGACTGCCATGTGTAGATAGTGAGTGCTCAGACGGAGGTGGCGGCGCGCTGCCTCCCGGATCACCAGCTCGTCAGGTCGTTTCAGATGTCTCATACCCGTGCCCCAGCCCTCTAGATTCATGAGACCGACGTCAAGGAGACAGACATTGTGAATGGGCTGGGTAGACATGAACTGCGCCATGCTCATCTCATAGTTGTAGCGGATCTTGAGCTGTATGCACGCCTCAAGGTCATCGGTATATTTGGTTCGTCGCAGCAGCCCCCACATGACATCAAGACCCTCCTTCTGACCGAGCAGGACCTGCATCAGCTCAGAAGACTCGGGACCGAAGATGGGCTCGTTGAAGCGCATCTGCAGCTTGATGAAGAACATCTGAAGGTTGTAGAGATCAAAGTCGCTGAAGAGAGTCCGCGAGCGCATGAGCGCCTCCCGGACCTCATTGCGCGCGCAGTCCATGACGAGCCACATCTTCTTGAGGGAGATGTGCGCGTGGCGCGGGAGCCGGTGGCCGCTGCGCGCCAGGCAGGCGATGATGTCGCGGACCTTGCGCTCGCGCTCGACGACCATGTTCAGCCAGGCCAGGCCCGGCACCAGGCGCGGCTTTGGTTCAAGCAGGCCAAGCTCCTCGAGCACCCTGCGCTCTATAGGGTCATCGGGGAGAGGGTCCGGCTCGAGCTTGAGTTGGTGTTTGCTCCACGGGTATACGTATCTCTGATGCAAGTGCTGAGGGAGATATCCCGTAGGGTCCGGGACGAGGAACTGCGAGTAGAATTTCCAGTAGAATGTGCGGGCGGCGCCCGGGGCCATGCCGTTGGCGAGCTGCCAAACATTGGCCCTGAGACTCCCCATGAAGAGTTCATAGAACATTTTGCTAGCCTTCATTAAGGAAAGGACATCCCTAGGCTTGACGTGCTGACAGACGGTGATGATGAGCTCCCTAGAAGTGCAAAGCGATGAGATGAAGTCGAAGTTCGGGCTACATGGTAGGATCTTGTCCTTGATCGTGAAGGGGCCACCGCTGATAGTATGAGGCAGCTTCGAGTACTTCCCAATGAAGTCATTGGGGAAAGTCCCAACACTCATCTCTCTGTGTTCGACAAATCGGGATGGTCCGCGGAGGTATCTCTTGTAGGCGCGGCCCATATCGCAGTCTTCGTCTGCGAGTCGCTTTGGAGCTCTAGAAGCCTCCGCAAGATCCGCCAAAGTAGGGTTGATGCCTGTGTCCACAATTTGAGATGGAGTGACATGCTGGCGCAAGGCCTCAGCTGCAGAAACGTCCTGGCGGATAGTATCAGCGTAGCCAGGCGCGAATATGACATCGGGCTGCTCTCCTTGCATCGCCGCTAGGTCATGTCTGGCCACACCAGGCAAAACACCCGGTGACTGCCCGGCGGAAGAGGCTTGAGCTCTCTCTTGTGATCCCAAAATCGATGCCATGATCACGATCTGATAGGTGTCCAACACGATCGAGATGGGGGATTAGTGAACCGGAAGAAGAGGTCAGTTGGCGAGTATTGGGGATGATGATGATGTATTCCACGTGGATGAGATCTGGTCGGTTTGTGCTAGAAACGGTATAAACAGCTTGAGTTTTTTGGTGTCGGGAAGAAAAAGGGACCAGATAGGTCGGTACTCATTTCCGAGGGTGGAGAGACGAAGAGAAGCGTGTGTTGACGGTGATGGTGATTGCTGGGAAGGAGCAGTAGCGCGTCTTATTCAGGAGAACAATAGGAAAGGGGCGACAATAGAACAATAGGAGATGGAGAGCTGCCAGGCAACAGCACACCACAACCCGAAAAGAAGAATCCAGTTTCACAATACGCCCTGATTTGACGATTCATTTCCCCATCATATTAAAAACAGCTATCTGTAACATAGGGAGGCAATGTGATGTATTCACACAACTCCTCACCAAAGCTTCCCACCAGGACCTTTCATGCCAAAGAGAGCTAATCCACGACAGAGCAGAAGGCTCACCTGTGACCCCGATACACCGAGGGCTGGTTTCATCATGCGAGGTCCCATTTAGCAATTGCACGATTCCGGAGCTGGAACCGAGGCTAGCGCTCCAACTCGTCCAGGGGCATATCCACATCGTCACGGCCGACGATAGAGTCGGCGACCTTCCAGATCTGAAGTAGGTTGTCTTCGGCAGCACTGCATACCAGCCAAGGGTCGTTCTGGTTCCAGCTAAAGTCTGCGAGATGGTTGGTGTGACCACCATGCATGAATAGCCTAGACAGTCATTAGTAATTGACGATAACTCGAGTTCAGAAATCACTTACAGCTCCGGCGGCCCATCCTCCTGGTCATCTGGGAGTTGCTCTTCTCCAACCCGGCTCAGGTCCCAGAAGATTATTCTTCTGTCATAGCTTCCACTGCCTAGAACACCTGCCTCATGAGGGTGCCATGAAAGAGAAGTGACGGCATCATTGTGGCCTTCGAGGGTGTGGACCTTCTCCTTGACATTTCTGATATCCCAGATACCAATTGTCTTGTCTGCAGAAGCAGTTGCGATCAGATACTCAGAGCCAGGATTGAAAGCAAGGGCATTGATGGCATCGCTGTGGCCATTGCGGGCGATTAGAGCTGCCCTATCTGTGGCTTCTTGCCGGATATCAACTATTTGTAGGGTCAGATCATCAGAAACACTTCCAACGAAGTGCTTCGCAATTGGATGGAACTGAACATCGTTGACCACCTGGCTGTGGTGTGTGTACTTGTGCGAGTATTTGAGGGTCTTGGTATTGCCGGACAGTGACTTCAAATCCCTAGAAACAGATATTAGCCGTAATTCGTCAAACAACTCATCTCCATAGCAATCTCACCAGAGACAGACAGTAGTGTCCTCACTGCCAGAAGCAAGGCGGCCCTCCTCATGTGGACTCCAATTCAAGCCGAAGCCCTCTTGCTTGTGACCGATGAGCTCCAGTTCTGGGCTCACAACACCTGATGGTGCGCTGCTGTGCCGGCTTCTATCAAAGATCAAGATCTTGCCATCGACACATAAAGTAGCGATGAGATCTGGGTTCTGGGGCTGATAACGGGCCTTGTTCACCTCGCCTGGATGATCAATTTTCTGGACGATGTTGAAGCGGATCGCAGCGACTTCTCCCGACGAGGCCTTGCTGCCGTAGCCACCAATCTCGCCACGCTCCTCGTCATAATCATGGGGATTCGGCTCCACTGCCTTTGGAATCTCAACCTCGGCGATTTGTACGTAGTTGGGGACGTTTGGGGCTGTGTGGGTGCCCAAAAGCAAACGGTGAATTCGGTAGTTCTTATCCTTAGGCTCCTTGACATCGGGAAACCACTGAGTAGTCAGGGTCGGCCACTCCAGTGCAGTGCTAATTAATTCAGTGGAGCTCTTTTACATCGATTCGAATTGGAACTGACCTCAGGATCATGTCATAGAGGAAGGGGCTGTTCTTCTTCCAGGTCTTGTACTCTGTAACCTCAATGTCAGTTTTGTTTGGGTGACAAGTAAAAACAAAGGTCTAACCCTCATTGATCAACTTCTCTTCCTGATCATTGGTCTCATCCTGGTCCATGTCGACTATGAGGGCAATTAGTATTGGCCAAATCTGTCATTGGCAGCTTTGAACTGCTCATATATCTTACCATCGACATCGTCGACGACCTGTGCGGGGGCCATCTTGACGAGGTGATTCCGAGGACAACAGCTTTCAGAGCAGATGGAGGCCCAGATTACAGCCAACTAGAGGTGATAGAAGTCAGGGGAGAAACAAGGCGGTTGTTGATGTCTCGAGGTGACTGGCGCAAGTGAGCTTGCCTTCAATTTGGTGCCTTTGCGACTTAGGTACCTCTCCACGTAAACGCGACTTCCAGAGCGCGTTTGGTTAAAGTGGTCGCTGGCGGTGAAGGGCGGCAGGAATAGCTAAAGCTCCGGGAGGAGGCTAGCGCCCTCGCCATCCAAGTGTGGGGTCGGTCACAGTGGGCAATAGTGGCGGGCCTCTGACTGGTAGGCAGCATTTTACAAAGGAGCCGCCGCATTTGGTGGGCGCTCGCCGACTGACTGATGCCGTCCCTCCCCCACCGATCCTCTCCACCGCCCACGGCCAGTTCGCAGCATCACCTGCATCCTTCCATCACGAGCTCAAACAAGACGCTCTGACAGCGCAACACCTTGTACCGTGCGCAACACACCAGTCTTCGCGGCAAGGCATCTCTTCCCATCCCCGGCTTTCTTTATATTTCGGCGTTTCGCAGACCTTCTTTGCTGCTGTTGTTCATTACGAACCTCATCAAAAGCACAGTTTGCGCTTCTCCCTAGTTTTCTCCCAGCTTGTCGAGTCTTCTTCCTCTCTGTAAAAAACCGGCCTTATTTGATCGCGCCGTACCAAAGCACTCGAGTTACACCTCCAGTGCCATATACCGATATCTCAACGCACATAACCACGCCATTGCCATGAGCGAGGAATAGAGGCTTCAATTTTGAGCTTTCTATTACAATCCTACCAAAGAAAAGCACCACGACAGTCATTTAACACCTTTCACGAAGCCAGTCTATCGCAATGGGTGTTCCCAAGTTCTTCAGATGGCTCTCCGAGCGCTATCCGGCCATCTCGCAGCTGATCGCCGAGAACCGCATACCCGAGTTCGATGCCCTCTACCTTGATATGAACGGTATCATCCACAATTGTACTCACAAGGATTCTGGAGACACCCAGTTCCGCCTGAGCGAGGATGAGATGTTCATTCGCATCTTCAACTATATTGAGCATTTGTTTGGCAAGATCAAGCCCAAGGGCCTGTTCTTTATGGCAATCGATGGTGTGGCCCCACGAGCCAAGATGAATCAGCAACGTGCTCGTCGTTTCCGGACAGCTCTAGATGCTGAACTGGCAAGAGATAAGGCATTGCGGGAAGGCAAGGAGCTCCCCAAGGAAGAGCCGTTCGACAGCAACTGCATCACCCCCGGCACCGACTTCATGGCCAAGCTGTCGAAACAGCTGAGATACTTCATCAACAAGAAAGTATCTGAGGACAAGGACTGGCAGCAATGCGAGATTGTTCTTTCTGGCCATGAGGTTCCTGGAGAAGGTGAGCATAAGATCATGGAGTACATTCGCAACGCTAGAGCACAGCCAAACTACAACCCTAATGTAAGGCACTGCCTGTACGGCCTGGATGCCGATCTCATCATGCTCGGCCTTTTGAGTCATGATCCACACTTCTGCCTTCTCCGTGAGGAGGTCACCTTTGGTCGTCAGTCCAAGACGAAGTCGAAGGAGCTGGAGCACCAGAATTTCTATCTCATGCATCTCTGCATTGTTCGGGAGTACTTGGAGCTGGAGTTTCAGGATTTGGAAAAGGAAGGCGCCTTGTCATTCCCTTTCGACATGGAGAAGGTTATTGATGATTTCATTCTCATGGCGTTTTTCGTTGGCAACGATTTCCTACCTAATCTTCCATCACTTCACATCAACGAGGGAGCTTTGGCTACCATGTTCGACATTTATAAACGCGTTCTTCCAAAAGGTACAGGATATATCAATGAGGGAGGCGTTGTCAATTTAGAGAGATTGGGTTTGCTCTTGGAGGAGCTCAGCAAGGAAGAGTATCGTTTCTTTGAGCATGAAAATGAAGGCTCGAAATGGTTAAAGTCAAAGAAGAGTCAGAATGGTGGACAAGAACCTCCAAAGCCAAAAGGCAAACTCGTCATCACGTCATCACAGAAAGCTCTGTGGAAATCGAAGATTCGCAAGTTCATCAATACACGATCCCCTCAGACGCTCGATCTTGGCCATGATTTGAAGGCGGCAGACAGGAAATTTGTCCAGGATCTAGCCGACAGCGTCAATATCAAATGGAGCACGAATGAAGATGATGACGGCCATCGTCATCTGATTTTATCGTTCCCTCCCCGGCCAGAAGTTGAGGATGACAGCGAGGAGGAAGATGACGAATCTCAGCTAGCGATTTCTCGCGTTGTCAAGAAATACGACAATGCTGAAGTTGTTGATCTCACAGCAGATGATGCGCAGGCTGCCATGGAGACCCTCTACAAGCAGAAATTCCAGGAATGGAAAGACAAGTACTACGCGGAGAAGTTTCCGGAATGGTCTCCGGAGAACAAAGATGAAGAACTCAAAAATCTTTGTGAAAACTACGTCCAAGGACTACAATGGGTTCTATACTATTACTATCGCGGTATCGCATCATGGCCCTGGTTCTACAGGTATCATTATTCGCCTTTGATATCTGATGTTATAAAAGGCCTGAAGGCCGATCTCAACTTCAAGCTCGGACAACCCTTTAGGCCATTTGAACAGCTGATGGGTGTTCTGCCGGATCGCAGCAAGAAAATTGTCCCCACCGTGTACTGGGATCTGATGACCAGCCCAGATTCCCCCATCATCGATTTCTATCCTCGAGACTTCGAGCTCGATATGAACGGGAAGAAGATGGAATGGGAAGCTGTAGTCAAAATCCCCTTCATTGATGAGAAAAGACTCTTGGATGCCATGGCTACCAAGAACAATCTTCTCTCAGATGAAGAGAAGGCAAGAAACGATTTCAGCGTCCCTTTGAAATTCACTTTCTCGCCGGACCTTGACTTCATATACCCATCATCTCTGGTCGGAGTTTTCCCGGACATTCCCCATTGCCGCTGCGTGGAGAACATTTTCGACCTTCCAGCGACCGAAGGTCTTGACTATCGTGTTGGCTTGATGGATGGAGCGCTGCTGAACGTATCAGCTTTGGCTGGTTTCCCAAGTCTTGCCACACTACCATACACTGCAACTTTGGGCTTCCATGGAGTCAATGTCTTCCAACAAGAAAGTCGCAATGCCAGCATGGTTGTTACTCTGACGGATTCTGAGTTACGTACCAAGGTCGAATCGGCCAAGGCGAAACTTGGTCAGCGCTGTTTTGTTGGCTATCCGTTCCTGTCTGAGGCGAAAATCGTACGAGTTTCTGATGAACTCTTTGACTTCACGCTGGCCGAGAATGGATCTGGACAAGTGGTAGTCAGAGACCACCAGAACAAAGAGATCGATGACTGGCAGAAGATGTCTAAACGAGCCGAAGAGTTTTACAGCAAACGCTTGGGTATACTGATCGGCGAAGTTGAGTCCATGGTTCATGTCCACATGCTCAAGGGCCTCGTTAAAACAGACGAGGGTGCTACGATCAAAGAATATGGACTGATCACCGGCATGCTAGAGGATTATCCAGCACAAATCATCGTAGATGAGGTTGTCAACGAGGATGAGCGGTTCATAGAGAGAGCCGCTCTCCCCATTGAGGAGGAGTTTCCCATCAACTCCCACGCTTTCTTCTTAGGCGACTTTAATTATGGTCGACCATTGGGAGTCATTGGGCATGCAAACAACAAGCTGGATATTATTCTTGCCACTATCAAGGGGAAAGAGCCCGACTTCGCAAAGGCCATTATCCACAGGCATGAGCGACAGAACCACTATACAGCCTCCTATCAGGTGTCCAAAGACCTCGCTCTCCACCCCCTTGTTTTGAGCAAGATTACGTCCTCCTTCCAAGTCTTGACCCTCGGCGGCCTGAAGGTCAACCTTGGCCTAAATTTGAAGTTTGAGGCCAGGAAGCTCAAGGTCTTGGGATACACGCAAAAGTCCGAATCCGGATGGTCATTTAGCAACAAAGCAATCCAGCTTCTTGTAGAGTACATGACGACCTTCCCTGATTTCTTTGCTGCTCTCCAGAGGAATGCAACGGCTAGGGATCCGAGCGCGACAGATCTCTGGAAAGATGAAGCTACTGCAACTGCCAGAGTGAAGGAGATCGGCCAGTGGCTAAAGCAAACCGGTGTCGCCAATCTTGACAGGGTTCCTTTGGACGCCGAGCAACTTGACTCTGATGTTGTAATGGATCTCGCTGCTGCGGCTGATCATGCGGTTCAGACCGTCACTCAACAAGGGAAAGAGGAGAAGAAACTCAAGGGAGTGCCTCGAAGCGCATTATTGAAGCCATCCGACGCAGAACACAGACTAGGCAACCAGCGATTCCACCTTGGTGACCGCGTGGTCTATGCCCAAGACTCCGGCAAGGTCCCAATTGCTCTCCGTGGCACCGTGGTGGGGATTAGCCGTGCAGGTACCAATAAGATCCTGGATGTTGTCTTTGATATCACCTTCATGAGTGGCAACACTCTTGATGGGCGTTGTCCCCCATTCCGTGGCCAGACTGTTCCTGCTAATTCAGTCCTGAATGTCACAGACAAGCAAGTCGTGGTGGGATCCAAGGCGGCAGTCGAGCGTCGTCCTGTCCCTGCTGTGACGACTCTTGCTGCAAGTGGTGGATATGGGGCGCCAGGAGGTCCACAGTATCGTGATGCTCCAGCCCCAGCCCCTCTTCATGGTTCATGGCGCGGGGCCTTGAATGGAAATGCCTCCCGAGGACGCGGTGGTCAGGGGCAGCAGGTCCAGAGGGGCAATTTAAATCTTCAGCATAGCAGCATGGTTTATCGCCCTTCTCCAAACCAGGTACCTCAACAAGGTCAGGGTCAGCAGCACCAAGGAGTGAATGGCCATGCCTCCAGAGGACGCGGGGGTCAGCAGCAGGCGAACGGGAGAGGCGGCCGGGGTGGCCAGACTCAGAATGGGTATACCGCAAACGGTACCCCGCAGGGCGTGCCATCACAGTCCTTCAATAATGTTCCTCCTCCTGCCGCTCTGGACAACCGTGGTAGAGGTCGGGGACGCGGCCGCGGGGCTGGACGTGGCCGAGGAGGCGCTCAGCGAGGTGGCCGTGGTGGTGCCGCCCCTCAACAGCAGCCGGCTGCTTCAACTTAGCCAGTTGAGTAAAAGGTGTAATGAATGAGGACATGACGGGATAAAAATGCTGCAAGTCAGCTTCATCTTTGGGTTAACGAATCTTTTGGCACGTCTGTATAGAAATGCTGTATTCTAGAGCTTCTGATGACCTGATGTTGTAGTATAGATATGAGACACGGGTGCAGAGTAGATCATAGGAGTTGTGAATGGAGGCAGATATAATTTTGAAAACCAATCGCATGCAATGTCACTTTCCATGTATTCACTGACAGCTTCCGAGCTGAGTGAAATCGAATCCATCCATTGTATTTGATGCAGTGCTGTTTTTCAATATTACAAATCCCAACTCCGGCAAGATTATCATGATCTGTCCCAGTTGGCACCTCTTTACGGTTTCTTCGATTCCTCCTTCTTCTTTATCGCTGGGAGGCTGAACACCTTGCTTATGCCGCCACTCATCTTCTTCCACACACCGATGTCGACGTCTTGATTCCACGTCAGGGGGCCCACCCACGGCTGGACGTTGTAGTGCAGCTTGAGCGTGACGTTGTCCGTCTCGGCGATCTTGCCCGAGGGGTGCGTGATCTGGTACTTGGGCTTCTGGTTCTTGAGCGACAGCTTGCCGCGGCTAGGGTCTATGCTCTTGCCCGCGGCGCTCTTGCGCAGCTTCTTGAGAGTGGCGGGGCCGATGTTGGCCAGGTGGTCGGAGCTCGGGCTCGTGATGATGCTGTCCCAGATGACGGCGCTGTTGGTCGCGTTGTTGTTGGCGCCGCCGCTCGTCCACTCGGCCGTCACGTAGACGAAGAGCTGCTTTGTGTTCCAGGTGAAGAGGGAGGACAGGTCTGCGTCCAGCGAGAACTTGATGATGGCGTATTCCTCCTTCTTCGTGGAGTAGTAGTGCGGTCGCCCTCGTACTCTGCAGCCAGGTGGAGCAACGTTAGCAAATGGTCTCCTATAGTCGTTAACCGGCAAGTATGCTTGCTTACACCTGGACATTGGTCGTCTTGATGAACCCGCTGGGTTCTCTAGGGGCAATGAGGTCTGTGAAAGCGATGAGGGCGGCTACGACAAATGCGACGGTGGTGAAGAATCCAAAGGTGTTCTGCACCCTTACCAGCGAGCTATGCATGGTGGGCAACTGGAGAGCTTTGCCTGGCAGAAGTGCTCGGGCGTTGCGAAGGAATGATGAATATTGACTATGCCGCGATGATCAATTCATACGCGTTTCGCGGCCTTCATATAGATCTCTCAGAGATGATTGTGCCTTGAAGTCGTATCCAAGAGTGATGTCTGTTCGGTTGCCATGTCCCGTAGCTTTAGTGAGGCCACGTTAGCGTCACCACCCTGTCTTATCGGTCTTATCAATTACTGGCCTCCCGCACTGCAGGTACCTAAAGCGACGATCTCACCTCCGGCACTTCAACCACTCCTCGCTAAGGTAATAAATGCTAGTTCACTCAAGGTATCATGATGTCCTCAACAAGAGAGGCACCAAGTTGACTCAAGTCGGTAGAGGCATGGTGGTAAACGGAACCAAGCATCATAAATCTCATCACTCAGCAATCCTTCGCCTCGAGGACCTACCGTTTATTACCCTGGCGGGGGAGACCAGTATGCTAACATTTTGACAGATGTCGTTGTTTACGGCATTATCATTGATTTGATCTATAGAATAGCTCTATGCAGGAATGGCGCCGTGTATATGCCAGTCCAGCCCACCTCGGGCGGTGTACCTTGGTTCATCCTCTCATATATCTCTCCGTCCGTTGCATATGACGGCAAGGTGCTGTCGAAGGTATGACTAACAATACATCCAAACCATATACACTTACAAAAGCAGTCCAACAGCTTTGTGTGTTTATCCTCGAATTCCTGGTATCATCAGCAGAAGAATATGCAAAGAATTTGACTGTCAGGCGTGTTTGTTTTCGGTCGTTATCCTCGTCTCTTCCCAACTCAGTCTTTGACTGAATCCAATGGGGGAGTAACCACAATCGTGCCTGGACTTCCTCCATCTGAAAAAGCCTCACGGCTCTCTGATTTCTTCTCCAAAGGTGGAGGAGAAGTCTCCAGTTCTTTTCCCTTTGGCTCCGGATTTGGAGAGGTCTCTATCTCTTTGCCTTTGCTTCCTGTTGTATCATCAACTTGAGCAACTTGTGTTGACGAAGAATCGCCTCGGGCATTGTCGGGTGCTACTGCGAGCAGTCCCGGGCGTCCGGGTGTGGGTTTAGGTGTGGGATCATCGTCGACAACCACCCTCTCCAAGGGAGTTGTCGGTGGCTCAATGACTGGCTCAAGCCGCTTGTCCACTGCCAGTATCTGTTTGGCTAAGCCCCTGACACCTTCAGCAATTACCTCCGGTCGTTCCCATGCCAGGAGTCCTGGCTTTCCCGGAGTCCGTTGCGAGTAGACGACTTCGTAGTGTGCGTTACCCCAAGCTGGACACACGTACTTCTCTCCTCCTTCACGTGGCAGCGAGATGACATCTTTTCCAGCCGCAGCCGAGCTTTCCCCAACAACTCCATCAGACTCTTCGTCCTTGCCACCAAGGAACACCGTGATCGCGACTTTCGGTTTGACAACGGCGGACTTTTTCTCTTGCTCCTTGTCCTTTGCGTCTTTCTTCTCGGCTTCTTCGTCATGAGCGGCGCAGTGCGCCCAGAACCTCATCGCGTACTCTGGACCTGGCAACCACGACAGCTGCGTCAAGGTGATGATCTGTTCGGGGCTGAACTGAGCGCGTGGCCCAAGCAAGCGAAGTCCCTTGAGCACGACCACTAACAAGCCTGTTGGTGAGTCGCACATTGCATAGGCAAGAGTGTTTGGCTCGCGCAAGCCGAATCGATTCAATCCTATCTGCGCTGGAGTTGGCGTCTTCTTACGCCTGAGGTGAACATGTGAGGTGCTGACAGCAGTGCCCGTGCCCTGCCTCGTCTGCCGCAGCGCTGAAAAGTCATCATCACTATAGCCGAGGATTCCTGCATGGAAAAAGCTCGCAATTGACCACTTTGCCCATTCGAGCGGCGCCTCATGAAGCTTTGGCGACGCCAGAGGCGGCGAGATGAAGTGCGCACCAAGGCACGAGCCGGTATGGTGCGTTGCCAGATAGTTGACGAGCTTCCAGTCGATCTCTGCAGGGGAACCCTGAGCGGCCCCGGCATTTGAGACGAGGTAGTAGGGGTAGTCTAATCGGTTCATCAAGGTGTTGAGCATCTCACCCGCCGAACCAATAGGGAAACTATTGTTTGGGAGGGGGTCACTGAACCCAATTCCTGGCAGTGACGGGATAACAAGATGGAAAGGCTGATTATTGACGACATCTTCGGGGTCTGTAAATGACTTCACAAGATGTGCCAGTGACAAGTTGGAGAAAGGGAACGGTGGTATTAAGAGAAGAGGTAATGCATTAGTATGTGATGAGCGAATGTGGAGGAAGTGAATCCTAAGAGGAGCCTCTGAAGCAGTAATTGAGATGGCAGTTCGAAACTGGGGAGTCCCATTTAACCTCGACTCCTCATCGCGCCATCTATACTTCTCAAGCCTTCCGTTGCGCTGTTAGTCTAACGAGGATGCGATGTCATGTCCGGGGCTAACAAACCAGTAGTCTATGAGCGGTTCCACCTGGCTCTTTGGCTCCCACCAGTCCTCGGATTTCGGCTCAGAGCCTTCATGAGGCAGGCGAGTGAGCTCAAGTTTCTGCTTGGTGAGATCGAGATATTTCGTTGATACCTGCAAATGCGATTGTTCGCGTCAGCCACATGTATGGCCGCAAAAGGTCATGATCGGCATTGCGCTCACATGTATGCGATAAGGCTTAATTTCTTCGTTTAGTGAAGCAGCCGCTGCTGGGCCAGCATCCTCAGCTACATCAGCCATGGCGAGACGATGTTACATGGCCTTCTCCCGCCTCGAGGGAGCAAAAACAAAACCAAGCGCGTTCAAAACAAGAAAAGAGAATAGAAAAGAGGAGGTTTCCACCGGCAGAATCTATGCGGGTACAAATTCATAATAACATTAACACGTCAGATACTGGCTATAACGAACAGAGAGCAGTAATGTATTAAGGGTCTTCGACCGAAGGACTGGCGTGGCTTGAAAAGCACCAGCGCCGAGCTACAACAGACGAGCCGCCCCTCCAACCCGGCCCAGACCCCGGACGGTGTGGCTAGTGCTCCCCTTGGAAGCTGAATGAGAGCCTGTGACTGGCTGCGTGGCTGATTCTGGACGCTGGATCGACTCTGAAACAGTGGCGGTGCGTACGAGGCCATTGGCAAGATTCGGAAATGATCGCCCATTTGGTCCGGGGCAGGCCTTCTCTTACTGGACATCTGCCCTTACCGTTGCCAACTTTGGAGTCGCAATCCGGGTTGGCCTGAGGGAGAAATCAGGGCACGGAAACGGGGTTTAGGTCGATCAGGGACTCTGTTCCGTACAGGGCGAAGGTCTGGTTGGTGCTATTGACAGCTGCTCGCTCGCCACAGTGGTCGAGTTCTAAGATGTCACAAGCCTCTTGCTCACCATCTGCGGCTCTTCAGATTGCTTTCTCTTGTATTTCTCGCGTCTATCTTGCCACAAAGATGACATGCAATGCCTTAATTAGGACGAAGCTCCTGTCAATCCTCCCGTCACCTGACAGAAGTACGACAATGTAATAGAGCCTTTGGCTCATATCGAATAGATAGCTTTGGGTGTGGTTTTACGCGTCGCCTGCGAGTTGTGTCTGCGAGTTGTCTGCAGGCTGCCTCAGAGGCTTTTGCCACGAGCGCCAGCCAGCACTGCAGGGTTGGCCATCAGACCTCCCACGATCTGTTCGCTTTGGTGCGACAGTACGGATGATTCCTAACCTTGCCTTACCGTAATCACAAGGAGGGTAAGAACGTCAGGACTGCCAATATACATAGGACTGATAATAGGACGTTAAGTCCCGGCATATAAGCGCGAATCCTTACATGGATAGCCAGTCGGGCTTTCGTTGGCTAAGCTATCCTTCCTGGTTGGCCACCTCCCTGGTTTGTAGGCGCTCCACGGAGATTGATAGCACCAATGCGCGAGACAATGTTGCTGCCAACTGCGTCAACAGCGCCTCGCGGTGATGTCAAGCTCGGGCCTTGAGCCGCTGTCTCCTGTACTCGAAATAGCTTGATGGCAGTGCCGTTCCAAATCCCAACAGTCCCCTTGGAAACCTGCATTTCACTGCTGAAAATGAAGCTCCAAATGAGTGACTCGTACCATCCCAGAGCTAGCGGCGACCACTCAAACGAATGGACCCGGACAGGAGAAGGCTCTACGCCGACAAGCCGAACTTCTTGAATCTTACGCAATGTTTCCGGAGAGGCGTGGTCGGAGACAAGAGCTTGCCGAGTGATAAGCGCTGTGAGTTGTTGTATCACTGTGAGGATGGTATGTAGCGGTAACTCTGGCAGCCAGCTATCGATCCATTGAGGTGTCGGTTCGAAAATGCCACTCTGGGATTGAGAAGCAGAGTGCCCGCCTAAGCTGGTTGTGCTGTTCTGTCTCGAGAAGTTGTGCATCCCAGCCGGCATCTTACCCCTAGCTTTCTCGGACATGCCTCGGAGCTGTGTAGGTACAGCATCCTCGACAACCGACGATGCACGAGAGGGGTTCTCACTTGGGCTAGACTGTGATGGAGTTGGACGCTGCTCGTCGTCGCTGTCATCATCATCATCGCCAATTGCGAAGGTACTGTCTTCCTCAGGAACATCACTGAGTGAAGGAGCCCGAGGATGTGCCGAAGTCGGACTCCTCAGACTATCCACTGAGCTCCGGGTTGACCCAGTGTCCAGTCCATCGGATGATGTTCGAGACTCCTTCCTCCTTCGATTGCGCCTCTCAATTTCTTCTTGTCCGCTCTCCAAGGTGAAGCTACGTAGCGCTTCGAAACGCTTTCGGTTTCTGAGTATAGCAGCTATGAACTCCGGATTTTCTGTAATTTTGTTAATTCGGCGGACAGACGCGGTGCTTATTCTCTATAAAGAGCTCCTACAGAAAACGACAGGGATATACGTAGGTGAGAGCTATAACTTACTCTTGTATTGGTGCTCAGGGATGGCGTTCAGTGATTCGAGTAAAGACCTGAGAAGGTCGTGGTTCGTCTCATTAGCTAGAAGAAATGACGGTGAAGACATCGAATTGAACAGCTGCATCAATTTCGAACTTGTTGTACTACTCAATCCTTCAAGATAGGCGGAGATGTTGTTGATCACCGCAAGCAATGCTGGGTAAATTGCTGTAAGCTTCCCTTGGCTCGTTGTTATCAGATTGTAGATTGACTGCCTTCTTGTCAGCTCAGTGTTACATGACTTCCAAAGGCGACCTACCTGTATCAAAAAGTCGGCATACGTGCCTCTGAAGCCTTGGACTCGAATAGCTGCAGGCAAAGTGTCTTGAGCCTCGAAAATCTTGTTCAAGTTCACGCCGAAATTGCGCTCTACACTAAGTGTTTGAAGCAGGAATGCGCACATCCGTACGACGCCTTGCTTCGAAGCATCGTTTTTATACTCCAGCGCGTAAAATAGTATGAGAATAATGAAGTCATGTGCGCGCTCTGTATCGATGATGAAGGACCGGAAACGCTTGTTGCACTGCGTGATCTCCCAAAACAACATTATCATTTCTGGAGCAAACCTCACAGACGACTGTGTTCCAGGGATATATGAGGTGTTAGCCTGTAAAGGCTGGTTTAGAATTCTTGTCATGCCGTCGACAATGAACTGGAAATCCTGCGGTCGATGTATTCGACCCAGAAAATGCCGATACCAGTTCTTCTGGATTTCGCCGTTCTGTTCCGGTATCGGGTATAGAAGTATGACCAGGAGAAGCTGCAGGGAATACGTGACCAAGATATCCTTGGGGTCCTTGAAAACCAGAGTATTATAAGGTACCCTCCAACTTGCCGGGTTATACTTCATTGTCTGCAGAACGTTAGCCTCGAGTGTGTAGATGAGAGTGTGTGCGGGTGGCATACGGTGTTCAGGAGAGAGCAGAGGACTGAAAGCACGACTTGCTTGTCTGAACAGGAGCAGATATGACTTAGGGCTCTTACGCCTCTTTGAGGCAGAATCCCGGCGGACATGTACATGCTCTGGCCAGTTAGGGTGAGGAGAAGCCGCAGAATCTCCACACGATTGCTCTCAAATTCCTTCGTAGTGGCTACAGTCTGGTTGCAGCCAACACCGCTCTGCCAGATAGCGTAGCTGACCTTGGGCTTCCCATGCAGCTGCTTTGAGACCGTCAAGTCGGAAAAGAAGAGGAGATCAATCAGGGTGTCTATGAGTTCCTCTGCCAATGGTTTGGCATCTTCGAAGTCTTCTGTGTCCAGCCGTACTTGGGGTTCATCTTCCTGTTCCTCGTCGAAAAGCACCTCGGTGGCTATCGAGGCTTTCCTTGTTCGCTTCCTTCTCGCTCCCCAAAAGAAGCGCTGCTCCCACTCATCTAGTGACTCCTTCTCATATATGTACGGTAATACCCGAGTGAGAACTCGAACACAGTTGAGAGCATCCCGCTCTGGTGCAAACTCCAGGTCCGGAAACGAGGGATGGTGTCGGAGGATGAATAGCCGCGATGTCACTGCAAGTATCAAGGTTTCAAGATTCTCGATAGCATGATCGCGAGTTCGGCGAATGTCTGCTGCGGAGAAGAGGCTGAAGACATCCTCAGATGACTCAGGAAGCTCCCAGAACTGCAAGTATAGTCAGCGGTCTTGCGCTCATTCCAGATACTCTCGGATGGGGCGTCGTGCTGGGGCGGGAAACGTACTGAGGTCCAATACGGATCATCGGCAGGAATGTGCCTTTCTTCTGAAAGTCTGAAAATGCCTTTCTTGAACACAAGCTTCGAGTCGCTCGCACCCATTTTGGCGGCTCGATGGCATGTCTCGGGGCACTGGCGTTGGTGCGTGAAGAGTGCTGTCGTTACAATATGGCAGGACGGGAGTAGCGAACCCCAGGTATACGTACTGACCATTCCGGGGCTGGATTCACGCCGTTACATCACTGGGGCGGCGCACGGACCAACCAGCCGAGGCTTCTAGGCCTTTGGCTCGCAACACCAGCACCACGACTCCTCCCTATGGGTAGTAAACATCAAGTTGAAGCGTAAAGGTACTGAAAGATGAGAGTTACGATGTTCGTTCGGGCTTCGAGGTTCTGTTTATTATCGAGTAGTGCAAAGGTAGTAAGACTTGTTGAGGTGGTCATGATGCACTTACCGACCTAACATCGAATGCCCCGTGCGAAGAGGAGGATTTGAACTATTGTCTCCTGTACCGCGTACTTATTGGATGCTCAAAGAAGCTCATAGTGGTTCACGCTCGTTTCAAAATGTGCTATTTCACCTGCGCTTGACCATCAAGTCCTCTGGAATTTTATTCTATTAAAGGTCATGCTTCATAATATCATCGTACAACAAGAGCTAATCGGATAGCTCTATCTATGACCAAGCGCTGCCTGAAGATCTCCTTCCCTTCCCGTACAACCACTTATTGTTCAGGCTCACGCTTGTTCGCTTTCCTGTACTTGGAGTTGGTGTTCCCGGAGCATCAGGAAATAATGACGAGGCGGTGCTTGCTCCAAGCGGACTCGCTGACCCAAAAGAAGTCCTCCTTCCACCACCAAGACCTCCGGCAACGGCTTTCTGTAGCAGCGGGCTCGCGGCTGGCGAATATGGCGATCCACTGATGTGGCCCCCTGATGCTGGGCTGCCCTTAGCAGAAGCCGGGGAGCCTGAGTAGCTAAGCTTGCTGGCCACGGATCCACTAATAGAGGGCGTCCTCGAGTATCGCGGTGGTGTGCTATATACCGAGTTCGGTGTTGCTGTAGCGGCAGCGGGTGGCAAGCCAAGGAGTTTGCGTTGGGATGGTGTGAGCGGAATGTCTGACAGATCGTCCTTCCGTCGGACCAGCGGCAAGAGAGCGAGCCCTATGTTGAGCAAAGGTATCAACTGCAGACCCAAATAGCCCCAGTTGACATACGTCTTCGTCGAGCCGGTGAATCTGGATGCACACAATTAGCATCTGGATGTACATAGATTATATTCTGCAACTCACAATCGCATCAGACCCAGCCGTGTGGAGAACAGATGCAATACCCACAGAGCCGCAAGCGCACCGACATTGTAGACAATCGTTCTGATGTTTCGCTCGTTGAACACGGTGGCATTCTGTCGTCTTGTGATCTCTTCAAGGCGCGGGTGTCTCCAGTTGCCGGGGCTGTCCACGACCTGAGCAGACTTCTTCAATGGGGTGGAGAAGCTCGGTGACTTGCTCGTGGAGCGAGTGGCGATGGCTGTTGATGACATGATGGATGACTTGAGCGGTAGGTCTGATATGTCCAAATGAGAACTCGTCTTGCTTCAAACGGGGCTTCCTCTTCCTCCGCAATGTGAAAGTTCCGGTCGGGGCGGTCGGGGCTGGGTCCCGCGCAAACCCAGTGTCTGTCTTGAAGTGTAAAGAAAATTGCTGCTGTGGTTAGTAAATTCCGGAGATGGGCGCTGCCGAAGCAAGCGTGTCCGTGTATGTCGTCGCTCTGGTGGATCGAAGTGTCGGTGGTTGAACTGAATGTGAGAAGTTCCCAGCGCGATCTCAAAATCAACAGCCTTTGTCCAGGCGACGAGCTGCACTAGGCTAGTGGAGCTAGCCCCTACAGTTCCTGGCAGTTCACATTACAACGGCGGCCAGGGAGGGGTCCGGTCTGTGCGGCACGGAATACATATAATTCCGCTGTACAGCACATACTTGCCGTGTGGTGGGAGCTCAACTAGTGGAAATAACGGCGCAGCCATAGGTCCTGGCAGGCTCACACCCCCCTCCACCACCACCACCACCGGCATAAGGTACAAGCGCCAGCCCCGCCACCTTGTAAGACCGGAGCTGTCGACAGCTACACTACACTTCATCCACAGGCCTCCAGCTCCTACTTATTGAGGTTCTTCGCACAGCCGTCTCCGCGAACATTGCACATCGCGCCTATCTCTAGTGATGCTGTTTCCTGTCTAACGTAAGCGTCTGAAGTAGCACTCCTATCGCAATACCAGCAATCGCGCAGCTCTATTCGCAATAGGCTTAAGTCGTCGGGAAGCTGAGCTGACCGAGCCAAGATGGGCGCCTTCGACAGGCTGATGTGGCATTTTGACCAGGGCGTCACTGGGCTCTTTGGTCAATGGAATGGCTACACGACTGCCATCACCACCTTGCTGGTGGTGCTTGTCTCGTACCAGATCTTCACGCGCAAAGACCCAGACACCCACCCGATGCTCCTGGCCCGTCAAGCACAGGCGTCCCCGGTTCGACAGGAGGGCGAATCTCCCGTCTACCGATCTCACAACTCCCCGCATGGCATGCCACTCAACTCCGGCTTGAATGTGAAAGATCCTGGCGCCTCCAAGTGGTCGAGGGGCCGTGATGGCGACCTCAGAGATATTTGGAGACAGGCTGTCAATGGCACATCGGTGGACGGAGGTCCGGTTGGGAGGGGCAAGATCTTGACTGTCCTGGGGAGCGAGAATGTCGTGGAGCACAGCCTAGGTATGGAGCGCTCTTGTGTAGGAGGCACAGAGTACTAGCTAACATACCACAGACGACATCACTCGTCAAATCAACCTCATCGGACAGCACATACTCGACCAAGGTGGTAATCGCGTCGCCATCTACCTGCCCAACTCAGTCGAGCTTATCGCAACTCTCTTTGCATGTGCCTTTTATAACCTAACAGCTATTGTGATACCTTTTGATCAGCCCGAGGAGTCTATCATCTCTATGCTGCGCCGGTCAGCTGCAGATACAGTCGTTACCGCACCCGGCTCGTTCCCCTTCGATAGTGTTGTGAAGAGCTATCCGGCACTTCGACAGCTGGTCTGGGTCGTTGACGAAGGTAGCAGCCACCTAGACTGGAACGAGGTGCCCAAGGGCATGGGTGGAAGTGTTAACGTCTCAACCTGGCAGGAGATCATACAAGATTATCCTGTGGATGCTGGAAAAGAGCTTCCTCCTCTGGAGGGCCAGAAGGAGGCCCGAGATATCACGATTTTCTGGGATTCAAAGCCAGACGTTATGGAGGAAATGGTTCGTTTCACCAGTGCAAACCTCGTCTCAGCCGTCGCCGCTCAACTTTTCGCTGTCCCTACATCTCAGAGGCTAGGACCTTCGGACCTGTTTCTTCCAGCAGACTCACTCGCTAATACTCATACGCTGGTCCTTACTCTCGCGGCGCTGTTTTCCAACTCATCGGTTGCGTTCAACTCTGTTGCTGGCAAGTCTAGTGATCTGGCTGTGGCCACCCGTGGCATTGCTCCCACTGTCATTGTTACCACCCCAGCTGCACTGCTGCAGACTCACGAGGAGACAAGTCGTGGTCTGACGGGCTTCCTGGCCAGCAAGGTACACTGGCTTCAAACACAAAGCCTAACCCAGAGCGGCGTTATGCCCACCGCTTCGCTGCTCACGAGTCTGAACGACAGCGCACGCCCAGCACTTGGTAGAACACCCGGCAAGCTCCGCCTCATTTATGCCGCTGAGCGAGTCGGGGCCGACACTCCTCACCTCTCCTCGGCTGTCTTGTCTGACTTGCGAGTCTACACGGGGGCAAGAGTTATTTATGCTCTCGCCGCACCCAAGGTTGCTGGTGCCGTTGCGCAAACTGGCTTCTACGACTACCGTGTCGAGAACGATGAGTGCTCTCATTTCGGACCGCCTGTGACAAGTACAGAGATTCTCCTTAGGGACTCTGGTGACCATAAGACCACTGACACCGATATACGCGGGGAGGTATGTAAAAACAGTGACCAGTTCAGAACACCTAAGCCCATTGCTAATGTTGAATATAGATTATTGTTAGGGGTCCTTGTGTCGCTGGGCAGGAATCTGCATTGGGCGTAATGGGAAAGATCCGTGATGACAACACGCTTGCTTATGCCTAGAACCTCTCTGGTAGTCAATGGCTCCGTAACGACTCGATGACGACTTATAAATCACCTTAAAAGGGGGAACATGTACATCTCAGGAGGCATGTAAGAATTACAATTCTTTGCGGTAGCTAGCTTTCGACGGCATTTTGCTTCACGGTGAGACGAGAAAGTTTAGATCTAATGATCCTTTGAATGAATTCTACGCCTTGAGACTGAAATACCCCTTAGCTATACAGGTGACTTCATTACGTGACCGACCATCAATGCATTTGCTGTAACAGCTCGCGTACCAAAAAGCATATCGCCATACCCAGACATACAAATTCGTGAATCAGCCCTCTTCATTCCATTAAGCCCCGTTCCTGTATACCTGGGCACCCTGGTTCCTGAACATAATTGTGTCTCTCCTCTGCAAGATCATCAGTGCTCTGTTGAGGGCCTGTTCGCTGAAGCCCTTGCCCTCGACCATCTCCCTGCGTAGGGTGGCCAGGCTGGTACTCCAGCCAATGGGTAGTCGTCGCTTCAGGTCTGCCTCGATTCTGTTGACTTCCTCGTTGAGCTCCCTGCTGCCCTGGTTGCTGCCCTGGTTGACGGCATCCATGGTCGAGCACAGGAACAGGCGAATGGCCTCGTCAACGTGCTGCTCCGTCGCAATCGGAGACAGCGTCAGCTTGGCTAGCGACTCTGTGATACGTACGATAGCCTCTAGCTGACGGACAGTAATGGGAATAGATGACCGAGCATTTGCCTCTATCTCGGATGCGTGCACTTGCTTTCGGATGGATACGAAATGCGAGGACAGCTTCTCTGCAGCCTCAGGGCTGAGACGAGGCGCACATCGTCTGTAAAATGGGTCAGAAGATGAGTTCAAGAGAAATATTAGGGAGGAGGCACTTACGATTTGCAATAACTGAAATATCGCTTCATCTTCTCGACAGGAACCTCAGACTCGATTTGTTCCTCCACACCTCGGCCACCCATGTGGATGCCCATGACGTGCTTGGCAATACGCTCATCTCGGCCACGCTCATGCTCGTCCTTGACAATGAAGATCATGTCGAAACGAGACAAGATTGTGGTCTGGAAATCGATGTTCTCCCCGGGTGTCTTCATGTCGTCGTAGCGGCCAAAGATGGGATTGGCAGCAGCAAGCACAGACGTTCGCGCGTTCAGGATGGTAGTGATACCTGCCTTAGCAATGGAAATAGTCTGCTGCTCCATAGCTTCGTGGATGGCCACTCTGTCCTCGTCACGCATCTTGTCGAACTCATCGATGCACACAACACCGCCATCAGCCAACACCATCGCTCCACCTTCCAGGTAGAATTCGCGTGTTGACTGATCTCTCTGAACAGACGCCGTCAAACCAGCAGCAGACGACCCCTTTCCTGAAGTGTAAATGGCAATAGGCGCGACTTTCTCAACAAATTTCAGGAGCTGTGACTTGGCGGTACCCGGATCACCAAGTAACAGGACGTTGATATCTCCTCTGAGCTTCATACCATCTGGGAGGATCTTCTTTGAGCCACCAAGCAGCAGGCAGAGAATTGCCTTCTTGATATCTCTGTTGCCGTAAATCGAAGGGGCGATGCAGTCCGTCATTATCTGATATAGGTCTGGTCTCCTGCTGAGCTCGAGGAACTCTTGTTCCTCCTCCTCCGAGAAGATGGCGTGGCCTTTGGCCGTTGAGTCAATGTCAGTCTGAATACCAACCGCTCGTAGATATGGCGTCCTGATCGCTACCGCACCACCTGTCGACGAGTTCTTGGATCCCTTATTCTGGTAGATCGAGAAGATACCCATGACTGTGCATCGCGATCCAGGAACAACGCGGTTCGTCAGATATCTATCTGCAGAAATGAGGACGTGTCGCGGCAACTCTCCGACTGGTACCTGATCCGGCGCCTCTTGCAGCTTGATCACCTGTTGGTCCACAAACTGAGACTTCTCGTGTATGACGAAGTAGGGGTCCAGTGGGCAGGCTGGCGTCGGGTCGTTACGTTGCCGTTCTCTTCCACACTGTCTGGGGAGTTGGACGCTTGTAAAGCCGCCAGTGACGAATATGTCTCGGGAATGTGCACAGTTTCTGCATTGGATATGGAGAGCCGTAGCCTTGGACGACATGACGGAGGCGCCGATGACAATACCGGGGACACGGACTAGCCGTGAGATTGTGAGAGAGTCTAGATTTCTGATTGAGACATCTTCGGCATTCGAGTGAAGAAGGAGCTGGTGCTCTGGGAGATCGACTTTCTGCTCATGAGGGAAGACGATACGGTGTGTGCATTTCTTGAGCGCATTCTCGAACTAGATCGTACGTCAGCCAGATCTAAGGATGATTGGGAAAAAGAGGCCAAGTACTCACCAAGGGGATGATCTCGGAGGGCTCGGTCACCAGACGATGCGCAAGCTCTTCATTGAACTTGATCAGGTCGCCAATGTTGACGTCGCAGTAGAACTTCTTGAGCAGGGCATTTTCGCGCAGTTGATCTCTATATCCCATACATCAGCTGTGCCCAGTCGGTATGACTGCCAGCGTCTTACCTGTAGATGAAGCTGTTGTCGAGTCTGAAGTCGAGAATGAACGTCTCTAGCTGGGTCTGGATCTGGATATTGGTGTCTTCGCCCTGGTCATTGTTAGAACCAAAGACGCTCAATGCGTACACTGATCCGCGATCCATCGTGCCGAATTGTCCAAACAGGAGATTACTGTGAGTGCTTGGTTCGGTCAACTGAGAGGCGTTGTTGATTGTGACAAACTTGAGATTTAATCGCAATGGAGGGGATCTCTGAAAGTAGGGCGGGCCACTTGACGAGGGTAGCGAAAAGGAGGACGCGACTTGACGCGTCGAACCTCTCGGGGACGCGATTAATTGAATTTAGGCAGTTACTTTCATATCTAGGCTTGTGGCTGGCATCTCAAAGGTCCTCTACTAACGCGCTTGCTCCAGAGTTTAAGTGGTTGCATCGGTAGGGAGCTGCTAGCGCCTCCTGGTCACTTTTAGGGAGGTGTTCCTTATCGCAGTCTTATCAGCAAGTCATGTGCAGTCGACCCCCAGGCTAATCTCCGGCTTAGCCAACTGAAGCTACGTTGACCGGACCGAGAGGTCGTGAATTGCGTGGAGGCTCCGTTCGAGGGTGCTGTAAGCGCAACAAACAAAGCATCTAAGTCTCTAACTTGCCGCCTGTCGCAACCACCAAACCCATTGAGACTCATCACCTCATAATTCGGACCTTTGACATCACATCTCGGCGGCCTTATAAGCGCTTCCATCGGTGCCGTTCGTTATTATGCTTCCTCGGTAGCTTTCCTATACACTGGTCAACAGCCGCACTGGCTTCCGTCATCCTACCCATCTTGCGGCGGCTCGATTGAGAAGGGGGTTGAGGTGGCTCAGTAGTCTGCATCATCCAAGATGTATTCCAATTCGAGCGCACGCAAGTCTGTCGATAGTCTATCGCCAGTTCTATCGCCTAATTCGCACCGAACAGACTTCCCGTTTCACAGGTATTGCGACTACAGTCCTATGGGAATGAGACGGAAGCTGACTGCTTTTCAAGGCAAGGTTCTACAGGCGCATACCCGCATCAAAGACGAGGCTCGACTGCAAGTTCCATTCATTCGATCGGTGGATCACTCGATACAACCTCGGGCAGCTGGGCGAGTGCTGTGTTAGAGTCTGGGCAGAATGGCAAGTCCAGTCTTCTCTTCGCGTGATATGCAATTGGCATCAGCTAATGCTTCAAAAGCAATATCAACCCTACTACAACCACCGATAGTACGGACCGGGCTCCTACCGCATACCTCTGCTCCAACATCAAGTGCTCACAAGCCTCCGACCGCACGCGATATCCCACCAGTCACGCTGACAAACATTCCACATGTCGATGCAGCCGAGTTCAAGCCTTACCTGACTCAAGTTGGCGCTCTATATGAACAATTACGCCGGGTGAAGGAGAGCGAGGATGAAGCCGCGGATATTCTCCATCGAAGGAGCAGTAAGACAGACGACTTTGCCGCAGTACTCGATGAGGGCCACCTTCGACCCGGTGGTAAGCGTCCATCAGCATCAAGAAAAAGCTCTATCTCGTCCATATCTTCGTTTTCACCTATAGAAGCACCCAGTCCGGTCCGAAGGTCAAGTTCAGGGTTCTCAAGGAGAGCTGCGCAAGGGCCGCCCCCATTATCAACAATCCCTACGGTTTATTTCGATGAAGACTTCCACTTGGAGAACCCACGCACATTCGATATTGTCAGCGAACGATCAGAGGTCGTTCGACCTCCACCGGGAACGCTGGGTGAGAAAAGTTCTACAAATGGAAATGCGGCGGCTCCACGCAAAGCACTTGCAACCAATGCAATATTACAGGAAAAGCTTTCGTGGTACATGGACACTATTGAGATGCATCTAATATCGTCGATTTCGACAGCATCGACGACCTTTTTCACCGCGCTAGGCTCGCTACGGGAACTTCACTCAGAAGCTGCCGACTCCGTCGAGAGGATAAAAGCTCTTCGGAAAGAGCTCGAGGCTTTAGACGAGGAGATCGCAACTCGCGGCCTTAATATCGTTCAGAAGCGACGGCGGCGGGAGAATCTTCAACAACTGCATGATGCAGTATTGCAGCTCAAACATATTGTCGACGGTGTTGCCACCTGTGAATCTTTTGTTGACAGCGGCGAGGTAGAGAAGGCATTAGACAACATTGACTCTCTTGAGAAGCTCATCGCGGGTGAGCCAGATCTTTCAAAGAAGCCTTTGCGGGTAGAGGGCCGAGATCTCCAACTGAGAGATATGAGAGGCGCAACAGCGTTACAAGGCGTCAACGACGATCTAAGTGTCTTGCGGTTTCGGATCGGCAAAGCTTATGAAACAAGATTTCTCGCTCTCCTCACGGGAGACATTCAGCGCCACTCTGAAGCGGTGTCTTCACAAGAAGTACTAATGCGCTGGACCAGTGCTTCAGCGCGGTCTCGAGGAGGACATGCGCGGGAGCCTAGTGTGTTCCCGTCATATATGGGCTCAACCGACGGTCTGCGATCAGAACTACTAGAGATTTTAACTGGCCTGCACCGAGCAAAGCATCTTGCTGCTGCTGCCACCGCCTTCCGAGAAGCTGCCTTGAAAGAGATTCGAAATCTTGTCCGGCGGCCTCTGCCAAGCTCCAATGATGACGACAATGAGTCTATGATGTCTTCGTCAACCATGACAGGAGGCAGACAATTGTCTCAGCAACAGAAATCGTCTATTCTAGCTCGCAATCTAAGGGCTCTAGAACCTGAAGATGCTGAAGAGCTTTTGATTAAAATCTATATTAGCGTCACCGAGACATTGAGAAGGTTAACAACACAAGTCAGGTTGCTACTAGACGTTGCCAGCTCACTAGGGGATTATTTTGAGCCTTCTGGGCTGAGATCGCCTCAGATGAAGTCACCACTGACTAGTCCCACAGCGAGGCGCGCTTCTGCCGCCGCCCTTGAGGCCCAAGAAGAGATACATAAGGCGATGGACGTGTCAAATCTACTAGGCCAGGCTGTGGACGTTGCGCAGGACAAAATCGTCAAGCTTCTCCGCGTCCGTTCCGAGCAGAGCACTCATCTATCACTGGTCTGGTTCCTCCGATACTTCACCCTTAACCTCTACTTTGCCAATGAGTGCGAGTCGATATCTGGGAGAAGCGGCACAACGCTCAAGACAGTCGTCAACGGGCAAATCAAAGATTTCGTGCAGCAGCATGGCGATGCGGAAAAGCAGAAGCTTGCTCAGGGCATGGAGTCAGACCAATGGAATGCGAAGGATTTTTCCGAAAAAGACACGGCTGCGCTCGATAGGATCCTCTCCTGTAGCACAAAGGATCCAGCTGAGTGGTCGGACGGTCTCAAGATTTGGATTCCGTACTCGGATCACGATTCTGAGTCCAATGGTGTGGATGATCCTCAGCCAAACGGTAGCAGCAAGGCTAAGACCCGGAGCGCAACTATCGATGAAGAGGTCTTCGTCCTTCCCAACTCCGCAGTTCTTTGCATGGAAGGCTTGTCCCACTTTTTACAGCTGGTAGTTGGTATCCCGTCCATGACCTCCGACATTGGTGCTTCGCTGGTCTCCTACTTGCAGCTGTTCAATTCGCGTTGCACGCAGCTCATCCTAGGCGCGGGGGCCACTCGCTCTGCTGGATTGAAGAATATCACTACGAAGCATCTGGCTCTTGCATCTCAGGCACTTGCCTTCATTGCGACTCTGATTACCTATGTCCGCGAGTTCATCAGGCGGCATGCTGGATCTGGAGCCGCCACGTCAGGTCTCATGGGCGAGTTTGATAAGGTCAAGCGTCTGTACCAAGAGCACCAGAACAGCATCTATGATAAGCTAGTCGAGATCATGAGTGGCCGCGCAGCATCACACGTGAAGGCCATGAAGAACATCGACTGGACCAACGGCCAGAGCGGCGTCCACTCGTACATGGAGACGCTGGCGAAGGAGACAACCACGTTGCATCGCAACCTGACCAAGAATCTGCCAGAGGGCACCGTCCGCCTGATCATGACGCCGGTGTTCATCAGCTACAAAGATCAGTTCGGCAGGGTGTTCCAAGGGGCAGATCCAAGGACCGAAACAGGTCGGGATAGGTAAGCTGATATTGTCCATTTGCAAACTAGGACACAAATACTGACGATCATACAGCATGCTACGTGACGTGGACTTCTTCCAGGCTAAGCTCGGCAAGATTGACGGGTTTGGTGATGCTGGGGAATATTTGACTACAATTATCAAATCCAAGAAGATCGCCGCGCCAGCCGCCGCTCCCCCTGCCGAAGCGCCCGCCGAAGCGGAAGAGGAGCAGACCGAGGAGAGGACGGATTCAGCCGAGACAAAAGATGACTCCGAAGACAAAGAGCCGAAGGGGGAGGCAGACAAGACAGAGGACAAGGATGCCGCCAAGGAGGAGCCAGACCCGGAAGCAAAGTAAATGTCCATGTTGAGTAAGAGCAGGGTGCGTTTTGTGCCATGGCGAAGCAACCCCAGTGTGACGAACGAGCCATGCAAATCGTGTCATATGCTTTCTTGTTCGGCGATATAGATCGATATTGTACCTTTGTATAATCTTGTAGCCAAGCATTCCACAGATTCTCCCACGTGGCAATTAATCCCTTGGTTACTGCAACCCCCAAGGCGTGTATTGCAGCTGCGGTCTATCGGGTAAGCGGGTAACACATTGGAGTTTGTGAGACGTCCGGCATGAACTAGAAAATGATGTCACGATAACAATCTCATCAAGGCTGACAGGCCGCCCAGTCCTTCCAGAACACGGCATTGCTTTCTCAGAAGTAGCAGCACGGCGTCGAAGGCACCAGTGTTTCGAAACAAGTCTCACAAGCAGGTGCGTGCAGGTTGCGCTGTCCGCTGGCCCAGTAGATCGTCACGTCCACGGCGTCGGGTCACGCCTCGACTGCAAGCGCCCGCCGGCGGAACGGCGGGGCGCATGCATCTTGCATCTTGCACACCTGCAACTCTTATTTGGACATCGGCATAAGCAACCTCGCGGAATCCTTCTCTTGCCCTTTGGTTCCATTCGAGATCATCTGTTGGACGATCGCAGCTCGGAATCCCACCGCTGATCCATTCCGATCGACCCGTGGGAACAAGGGTCTTATTTTCGCTTGTGTACCCGTCCATGCATGAGTCCATGTGTGCGCGCCAGATCGCCGCCTTTAACCGGTTGCCAAGAAACACACTTATTTAGGGTTCTTCTAGAAATCCGGAAGATTGTGCTTGGCTCAGAAGCTGCTGCCTCCATGGACGATCATAACACATATAAGATATCGCAAATATGATCGTGGTCGGCCCGGATGTAGAGTAAACATTTTGACAACGTTGCATAGACCCGGGTCGGTGCCAGTTCAAAGGCCGCTGGTAATGATTTAGCTGCGATCAGTATAGGTTTTCCGTGGGGGTTTTGTTAATTAGTTGGCTCGACTTAACTCCAGGTGGCCAACCACATGGGACCCACCATTGAATGAATAACAAAGGACTCGGCGAATTTCAAAGGCCACAACACAATAATAGATATGGAAGAAGTGAAATTGATTTGATCATAACTTTCTTTCATTGAAGTTCTTTTTCATATGCCGTCTACCAAAAATAGCAAATGACAGGCATGCCCTAAAGATATATACAAGAAGGTCTAAAATGTAAATGGTTGATGAATGAGAGTATGAATGGTGAAAAGTATGTTCAAGTGAAGGAGCGAATGCCAGCCGACGTCCACTTGGTGGATTGCCGGAGTCTGTTGTGTCTTGAAAGGTACCATTTTCCCCCAGAATGATATAAGTCTATACCGAAGTGCTCCAGTGTCTATACCCCTCCTGTGTGAAGTAGCTTGCCCAGCGCAGTGGTCTGGGAAGGGGTTTGATGGGGGTATCTCTCTTGTTGTTTTCCTTGTTCCTCACAACTCGTGTGACGCGAGATGGGAAGACGATAAATGTCATGAGTCGTGACCGCGCTCAGCGCGCGTCTTGCTGTAGGGCGGGAACAAGAATTTACTTGCGCTGTCTCCACATGGGAGTGGTGACGGCCTCGCGGGGGAAGTTCTCCCACTCCTCGTGGTGGACATAGTCGCGAGCGGCAATGCCATTGGTGCCCAGAGTGCAGACGAGATCGGTATCAGTGGTGCTCTTGGTCTGGACATCATCCCACACGTAGTAGGCGTTGGGGCAAGGCCAGGTGGTGCAGCCAGAGACGGGAGTCCAGGGGTCGTTGGCAGGGTACATCTCCTGAACACCGTTGACGTCCTCAGAGTTGACAATGGCAGAGACGTCAAAGTAGGTCAGGTCGTTCCAGCCGTTGAAAGCGACCTCGCCGAGCATACCGGGCTTGTTGGTCTCGCCGTCAGAGACAGAGTAGAAGTTACCGATCCAACCGGTGGGCACCTCGACAGTGGTGTTCTCGCCGGCCTTGACAACAGTCTCCTCAATGGTGGCCATGCCAGAGTTTCCGGTCCAGTAGATGGTGCGGTCAACGTCGTCGAGGGAGACGAACTTGACAGTGTTGGTGGCGCTCACCAGGGCAGCCGTGGCAAGAGAAGCAAGAGTGATGAACTGCATGTTGATTGTTGTTTGTTGATGTCGTTATTGTTGTGTCTGTTTCAGGAAGGATTGTCTGTGGCTCGTTGCTGAAGCGGCTCTTAAGTATGCAAGGAAGGACAGGCACGAGAATCTAGCCTCAGTGTCTTGGAAGTTGGTAAGAATTGCTTGATGACTTCAAGCTTGTAAAGGACTGGCCTTTGGAAGGAATGTGTTTGTGTAAGGAATGGAGGTTGTCCGAAAGGAAGGATAGACTGAAACTAGCACGCGAGGTTGGATAACACGATCAGAGGAAATGGGGACCACTGGGTTGCCCAAAGGCTTTATAGAAGGGGGAGAATATGGAGGAGGCCCAGGGCCAGTCAGTCGAGCCAGTCGAGCCTGTGTGCCCTGGTCCATGAAGGGGGTGTGGGGTGCCGGGCGGGTTGAGTAAAAGAAACCGCTCTTGGGATGATACGGTGGGTCTCACCACGTCCGCCCTCCGGGTGTAGGCTGGGGAGTCATGGACTACCGTTGGTGGGCCGCCGGCTGTATCGTGCAGTAGACGGAAACTTGGACGCCACGCGCTGGCATCGGGCGTGAATCAAGTAGTGAATCCTGGACCCCTACATGACGGTTGTGGCACTACGCCCAGGTACCCGAGACGGTCCCTTTACCCTGTACGTAGAAGGCTTGAACTGGTGGCCCAAGGGACCGGAAATGGGATCTGGAGTATGTCCAGATCAGTGTGAAGGCTTTGTCCTTTGGCTTGTTCGGACCTCACTCAGACCCAAAGAGCAGCGACAAAGGCCGAAGGCCTCCCTTTTCTGTAGGTTGCGACTTTCCATTGTGGATGGTTGCCAGAGGATAAAGGCGAGTCCAGAAGAGCTGTTCGGTCGCGCGCTAGAGGTGGACGACCCATTGAGGACGCATCTGACAATTGTCTGGACGTCTCCAAGTCCACATGCGCCAAGGGATACGTAGACCCCTGCGAGTCCAGTTGTCCAGGATCAGGGAGATGGAGGCAGGCGGGCGGGCGAGCTGAGGGAGGGTGGGAGAGGGAAACAAAGAGACCCACGGAGCCCAAAGAACCAAGTACTCTAGGGAAACAAAGCAAGCTAACCCTGCTAGCTTTTTTAGAGGCTCCGAAGTTCAGGCACAGGAATGTTACTGGCTGGGTGTTTAGTTCCGGACCCGGTACCTTACAGGCCCCATGTGGCGTGCCCTGACAGGTTCGTGCCGCCTCGGCGCTCAATCGTTGGGAGCCGGCCGCTGGGCCGACAGGCAAAAACAACCCAGCGCCTCTCGTTGGCTTGCACGACCCTGCCAGCCCCTGCCGGCCCCTGCCAGCCCATGCCAGCCAGTGGCCACCCCATACACTGAACTCTGGACACAGCCCACCGAAAAAAGCATTCTTCGAACCACACCCCCTCCACCAGACCACTCCGGCGTACTACTACGGTATGTATGTAGTGCTCGACTCGAACGGCGGTCCAGGAACCACCACGCTGGTGGTCGTCATTCAACTGACTAAAACACAAGACAGAATGAAACAGAGGCGGGTGGTGTTCGTGTGAGGCTGCCCTGGCAGCTCGCCAACCAGCAGCCACTGCCGGCATGGCGCTGTCGTATTTGATGAGCACGGCCGCGCAATGACCAAGTACTGCACTGCACTGCACTGCGATTACCAGAGCACGGGAGCAGTCACCATTGCCGAAAAAGTAAAGCAGAAGAGAAAAAAAAAAAAGGAACCATGTCTTTTTTTTTCGGCTGCACTGAGGCAGCTGACAGGTACCAACCCTTTCGCCGATATCACCATCTGCAGGTACAAAGTGGTAGTTCATGCGAGTCATCAACAGATAATGTGCGATGGATTTAACCGAACAGCCATGCGAGTATGACCACCAAAGGAGCAAGTTGCCTGAGTCTTTGAGCAAGGACTTCAGAAGGGAAAGATAGGGAATGAACGGGAAGATAGGAACTCTTGAGCTGGCCTGACTGGTGAGCGAGCACGGAATGGGTGGTAGCAGAGTCAAACAAGCTAGTCTAGCTGACTTGGTTGACTCGGTGGACTAGCAACTCTCTTACCACCTGACCACGACACTCGGAAGACTCAAGTCAAGGAGGAAAGAGCACTGGCCAGCCACTTAGAAGCCCTCCAGGCTCTGCCTCTGTTTTGGCTCCAGTGACGCGTCCGGGATGGCCTGCGTTTCGATTTGTGGGTGCCGGTGGAGAGTTCTGAGATCGAGATCCATCGGCTGCCCACCAGCTGACAAGCAATGGTCGAGTACCATCCAATCGAGCAACCTTAGCCTAAGGCACGTCTGTCGCTGGAGTCCGTCGCTGATGGTGGGCAACGATAGAACAGATAGTGTTTCTCTATCTGTAGCCTAACGTTCACTGGCCCTTAAATTTGCGTTAAGCTCCGCAGCGCAGTGCAGTAGTGCAGGCGGAATTGAGTGCATGAAGAAGCGATGGCTTGCGATGCGATGGAAGGGTGTGAGGCAATCCTTCGCGCAATCGATCAAAGAAAAAAGAAGCTGGTGGGGGAGGGGTGGACAGCCAGACAGTCCAGCGAGGCACTCTTCCAAGACACGACTGCCGGCGCGCGACATGCAAGCCACGGGTTGCCGTACCATACCTAACTTGCCTCACTTGCCTATCTAACCCATGAGGTGAGATGGTGCTTGGGCGATTGGGATCAGTGGAAGAAAGTATCGAGAGATGCTCGAGCTCTCGCGCGGCGCATCTAGAACATGTTCATTTTGGTGCCGTTCGCGCGGATCATCTCCCTCTCGCGCGCATTCATGCGGCGCAAAGATACCAGAAGAATCCAAGTCGAAGATCCCAACAACAAGAACCTTGTCCAGTGGCCAAAAGTCATGCCTGGATTCAGTCAGAGGTGCTGGCGACTGGCTCTGGCTTGCCAACTTTGCAGGAGGTGTGGGTGACGGATTTGGCCTGGCAGCCTGGCGAGCCTTGCTCGACAGCAGGATGAATGTAAGTAAAATCCCGCAAAGCGGGAAGCGAGCGGTAAACCCTTGCTCGCCATGCGAAGCCGCTTCTGTCCGCGCCTTGGCGGCCGTTACTGTAGGCACAGTAGTGCGGCAATCTGGAAGTCTAGGCTTGCTGGGATAAGATACCACAGGCCTGCATCCGGCTTATCGATACGTGCAGGACGGTAGCCACTGGTCAGGTAGGTCGCGAGTGGTAGCGTACCTTACAGCAGGCTGTAGCGTGAAAACTCTTGCCGGTCCGATAGCGGTTGGCGAGATCGTCAGGTACCCGGCGCACTCTGAATGAGCTACAGTGGGCAACTCCTCTGCAAGAGAGTCAATCTGAACCAACCGGACCGAGTCCCCGACCATCCACCCTCCCAGGAGCACGAAGGTACACCTGCACGAGCAGGTACATCGAGGTTGATGGCTGCAAACCACCAACCGCCATTCGCTGGCGTGAAAAGGCCGGAGTTCTGTTAGCAGCTGTTTGCGAGGTAACTTGGTTCCACATAGTAGGTCAGAATTTTTCACCGCCCTGCCTTACCGCATCTGGGCAATTGAGCCGTTCCACTTCGAGTCAACGCCGTCTCAATCGTGGTTTTCGCTCTCTGGCCAGTGCCATGTGCAGATGGACGGGTTTAAGAAAACCTCTCAAGGATATTTCTGGTAGGCGCTGCCTCGTGGCAAGCTGGTGATCCGACTCAGTGAAGGAAGACGCCACCTTCTCCCGAACATCTCACTGAATCAGTAAGACCGTTCGGAACCTAGCTGCTCCTTTGGGAAGGAAAGAACGAGGTTTCCAATGGTTCTCTGGCGTGAAAACAGACTAGAAGTGCAGCAGACAACCTGCAAGTCGGAGTAGCAAAGAGGTGCAGGCAGCAGTCTCGTTGCCTTACTGCTTCTGGCCCCTTCGCAAGAACTTGACTGGCTCGTCTTACGGCGTCGAAGATACTCCGGATCAGAGGCAGTGACTTCGTCCAAGCCTGGTGTTGGAGCACGCTGGCTTCCAAGCATGTCTAGACCACCTATTCCATAGAAACCCGTAGGAAGGCAATCCGCCATATTCCTTGCTTGAGCGGCTGAATGGAATCTGCGGCTCGCGAGTTCCATTCCGTTTTGACATCGCCAGCTGGTTCCACAATCGAGCGTCGTGTAGTGGTGGTACCTCTTCTATATCTCATCAAGTCGCTCGGGAAACCACAGTCGCAGTACTCCCAGAAGTGTCAAGTTTGTATCGCTGTCTGCACGACATATATCTATCGATACCAGTATTGTAAAGGCAGTACTAGGGCGTCTTCGGGACAAGATCCAGGAAGCAAGGTGCTTTATTAATATTATCGCATGGGTGACGAGCGTTCGACTTTATAATGGGTCCAAAACGAGCTGTGAACTTCGTCAACTCGTGCCGCCGTATATGTCAAGAGTCGTCCACTGTCAGGTTTGTCAATGTGTCTTCTAAGTACTTGTACCAATAACAAAGAAGGTGCGCAACCTTGGTATTGTGTGAAAATGAAAGACCTAAATATCACGGCCTTGCCCACAAGGTCGTTTGGCTCTTGTTATTCCATATTCTAGAGTTCCAGAATATTACGATCAACTCTTTGATCAGATAGCCCCAGAAGACATAATTCTTGCCAAAAGATTCCAACGGAACGATGAAATAATAACATCGCATGATGCCGTATCCCAAAGATAATAGCGAAAATCCATCTTCTATTGGCAGAATTGGACTCGGAGAATGCCAGACGTTGTACTCCGCTGCTAAGAGTCAATGCCTCTGAGGTGGTCAACGTCATTTCAATTACCGAGGGTAATGTCAGGAACCCAAGATAGGCTTCTGCTCTCCACCTTTCAGATCAGAGATCTTGATTGCATCACTTTCTCATGGGGACAGCCTTCAACCGTGCAATTTGCGGTACTAGCTGTCTCGCTTTCCAGATTTGCTGATAAGAGCGCACTGAGAGACTTTGGCGCGGAAACCCCGTCGCGAAGGCATTTGCCAGACTGATGCCGGAGCTCTTCTGTTGATCCATATCTTTATCCAGTCTGATTGGTTTTTCCAGATGACAAGACTTCTGATCGTTGTAGACCACGTATGACCCCATCCTTAGAGACCTGTCAAGATAGACAGGTCGACGAGAGAATCAAGGGGTGAGATGTGCCTGCTCATGAGACGGCTGCTCTTCGGGTCAGACCAAGGGCTATGCCTCAAATGACAAGACCATTCATATGCGATGAAGGCCAATTTGCAACGCATCCTTGAATTCCAATAAGCAGGCAAAAGCCGGTCGTGGATAACTATTATTGTGAGTAGCCATGTGGTAAACACCCACACATAGACAACTCTTCGAGTTTGTTTCTCTTGATATCGCACGATTGAGCGTAGAACCGATCCAAAGCAGACAAGGTGCGACGCAGAGTTATGCAAGAGTTCTCCCTTGGGATTGCATACAGCCATTGATCGTGAATCAGTTCCCGCGATAACGACTAGAGATGTCGTTAGGCATCTCGATCGCGACTTGACTTAGATGAAGCTTAGAACATTCCGAAATTGGCCCAGAAGCACTATTCGCTACACCATTTGCGTCGCGGTTTCCATCAAATTTACACACTTCACTCGCAATGCCGAAAATGACACGTAAGTCATCATTTCAAGTAAGGTCGCGGCTTTCGAAATCATCTCAAATATCCAAAATCCGACAGGAATTCTGAGGCTATAACTCGGCTGATACAGGATCGAGGGTCAGGAATTCTCTCAAGTGGCTATGCGATTGTATTGGAAGGTCTCTCATATGGGTTGCGTCAGAGCATGAGATTTGAAGCGAGTATCCGGGATTCTTTTCTCGGCTTTGTAGAGTAGACTGGCTAATGAAATTGTGCTTTTAGACGTGGTGACATGAGTCCTGGCTGGATACAAAAGTCCAGCCGGCAGCCTTATCACCTATGAGAGTAGAATTACTGTGAAGCTTTCACATCTTGGGCCACCTCCCCTCTTTGAAATTGCTGTGGAGTCGTGGCAGGCAATAGAGTGATCGACAGAATGTCGCTGACTCGTTGAGCTGGTGGAAAGTCAGAAATCGAGCCTTGATAATGGCTTTTGGCTTTGTGCGCAAGTTCGTGTTGAGAGAGAGAGAATTATCTGAAAATCTCGGTTTCAGTTATGAGAAGAGTTCTGGAGAGGGTAACAGGAATGTAGTCGAAAGTTGAAATCAGAAAACCGAGGACGCTCAGAGACACAGCATTGATAGGAGTGACATCTCTCGCATTATCATACTCTTGGACAGAGCCAAAAGTCCGAGGGTGTCGTTGCATATCTTGCGTGTTTCCGCTCTTATTGTTATCATCTGCAGGATGCACACAAAATTCGTAGGATTCGAGAACATTTCGCCTACACCGTTGCCCGATCGACTGTCGTTTCCAATGATGCCAGCGCAACTGGCAGTTGCTGGCCTGTGCTCAACTGTCACTCAGCTGAGCTGGCTGTCATCCAGCTCTGCACTGACAATCTTGCCTATTTTTGGATGCTCTCACCTGCTTTAAACTTTGGCTACCGTTAAGCGATTTTTAAGATCCCGTTTTCGTAGTCATTCCAGGGTCCATCGTCCTCTCAGACTGCAAACTCTTCAGCGGCCGTCAATGACCTCGACTGACCCTGATGAAATTTTTTTCCTTCTCATGGAGCTCAACACTTGCTCGTTGGCCAAAGCTGGCCGAAAAGATTCTGAGCTGCGACGTCATCGCCAAGGACATGCTGATCGAGCCAGAGACGGCACAGGACAGCGGGGCCTGGCGGGGCAGAGATAAGGAAATGTCACCATTGAGTGCCTATCTTCAGCACTGTGGCACCTAGTCCACTGTTTAATGCAAGTGCTTGTACTGGTAATGGGCAGGCAATATATCGGGCGTCCGAGCGGCCTTATCATTCTTGCTGAGAACGAGTCCACGTGCAGCATAATATGTGCCTGTCCAGTGATGTTCGGCAGTCGTTCAGATATTGGCTCTCGGTGCTGATGTCGACAGTTGAAATCCTTCCACCACAAAGTACCCCCCAAAGCAGCTCTCGAGTCATTTTCCTCAGCTTCTTCTTCCCAAGAGTACTCTCGGCGAGATGTTGAATTACTTAAGGTGAGACATGAAGCAAAAATCCGCTGAGCCAGCCGCCACCTAGACGGATGGCGCAGTGCTAGTGGTCGGTGATGGAAGGCCGTAGACATCTCGGCTGAAGGCCAGCTGCCAGTACAGAGGCTCGCAAAGGTAAGCTGGCGGGGTTCACCGACCCATACGAGGACCACTCCGACCTTTGTCGACGAGTGTTGACGAGAGTCGAGGAGATGGATGCTTGGCAGGAAGCGCTTGTTCCGTAGTACGATGATGGACTGACTCGAAAGTCCTGTGACCGCCAAGGGTCTCTTTCCCAAAGTCGAAATCGATACATGGCTGTAGCCAATGACAAATGTCGAAATCTGCAGCCCACCCTCGCAACCCGCACGAGCTATCGCGCTACCAGACTGTTTAGGCAAGAATGCACGTTGATGTTGGCTGGGCTCTTGCTCCGACCTCGTATTGAGGCGACAGAAAGCGGCCGAGAGCCTATTTGCACCGACTGTACAGTATCTGCGTGTAATCAAGATCCGGTACTTTACTCTCTCAGTCTTTGTGAGAGGAGGTGCTTATGGTCCTGCAGTGGAGGTGGTGGGTCATGGCCATCCTGGTCGGTCGTGGAACCTGTCAAACGTGGGTCGCAGCTTCCCAAAGTGCAAAGCTGTCTATCGAAGCTTCCATGTTCATCAGAAGCCATGCTCGAAGCACCACTGTAGACCGCAACCGAGCAGGAGGGCAAGTACCCACCTTGCTTCTCGTCCTGCTCCTGCCATTGCTACCTGAAGCATGATGGGAAGGCGCGAAGCGCTCTTTCTGACAGAGATCATGTTTAGACCTTACTCCAGGCTGTGATCGCTACCGGGCTTGCCGGTGGTGAGAATACCTAACTGGAGATGCACCGATGAGATGAGAAATACTTGGGTAGTGGTGAGGCATGGTAGGTAGAGTTAGGTAGGTGCTTGTCTCTGCGATGAGGTAATGTGTAGGAAGAAGGTTGTTTGTTTGTCTGTCTGTCTGTCATGACAAAGGCACGGAACATAGGGAAAGTGTGACCGGGGGCGCCTTCCAAAGAGACTGCACCCCGGTCTCCATCCCCATCGCCCATCGCGCACGCCTTGCCGTCCATTTCTCTCCTCGAGCGGAGCCCATCATGACTTGATGGTCCCACGAACCCGCTTTTCCGACCTCAGCACTCGCCTTCCGCGGTGAGAGCGACTACCTACCTGCTTGCCCGCGCTCCCGCCTTACCCAGGCTTACACCTGATAAAAGGCTGCCTTGGTCCACCTGCAGTTCCTGCATGAGTCCTTCTCACACACACATCATCTCAAGGAACTACGATCATCTCGACGTATCTCGCACTTACCGAAGTTCACTCTCGCTCGCCGCGTCCAACTTCACCCACTCTCGCTTACTTACATCGACCAACGTTGATCATCTATCAAAATGAGATTCACTCAGTTCATCCCCCTCGCCGGCCTGATGGCCTTCGCCCAGGCTCAGGAGACCGTCTGGACCACCGTCGTTGTCTCTGAGTACACCACCTACTGCCCGGTATGTTGACAGCCTCAACTATCCTGATAAGTCATATAGCTTCTAACAAGACATGCCTTAGTCTCCCACCACCTGGGCCTACAAGAACGTCACTTACACCGTCACTGAGCCTTCCACCATCACCATCACCAACTGCCCGTGCACGGTCATTCACTCTCAGCCTCCCCCAGTGACCACCACTTCTTACTGCCCTCCTGGCAACGCCACGGTGCCTTTCCCTACCTACGCCAACAGCACCACCGTGATTGTCACCACTCCTCCCCCTACCACCATCCTGCCCGGAACCACTGAGATCACCTCTGCTCCCACCAAGACCCCGGTTGGCCCTACCACCACCGCCACCCTGGTCACCGTCAACGCTGCAGACAAGGTCACCAACGGTGCCGGTGCTCTCGGCCTCTTCGCCGGTCTTGCTGCTCTTCTCCTGTAAAAGTGGAGGCAGCTAGGCGTAACTTTCTCTTTAGACGGCATGTCATGATCGAGGTAATCTGAGTGGCATAATCGCCCGGACGACCTAAGAGGAGGAGATTAATCACGGTCATTTCTGAGTGGAACACAGATCACGGAACTTTATATACCCTTCTAGACCCTCATTCACTAATCCAGGCATTTCGCTTGCCGATCTTGCGGGAAAAGGCATTTCGTGGGCATAATTGACTGGCGTAACTGTTTTACGCCGGTAATTATTGGCAGATTGGAGCATATCATCAACTAGTAATCTACAACCTAGCTGGAGGCATCAGTCGAACGCTGGGCAATGGCTTACGTCGAAGCATTCGGAGTTGTGAGAGTGGCTGAGGATAGCAACATATTCCTCTAATAGAGTCTATAATTTTTAATCATTTTGTCATTTTACCCCTGGTGACTTGAGCTTGACTGTCTCTCGCAGCGAATCATTATGCATGTGAATGAGCATTCGAACTGGCTATAAACTGGAAGTTCGCACCACCTTGACTATGGAAGGTTGATGCACATCGCAAGGATGCGCTGGTAACTCTAACGGGGCAATGGGTTAGGTATGCCCACGGGTGTTACATCCATGAAAACGGCAATCCTCTCTGAACAATCAGGTTATCACAGGGTCGCATCTTATGTAGCATACGGAGCCTTCGCCGGTAGCGGGCAGCGGCACAAAGGTCGCATCTCGTATTATCACACTCTATTGCTAGCATCATCGTCACATACCATCCGTCGCGAGGTCGCAGACCGGACAGACGCACAGTGGACGAGGTTGCTTCTTAGGTACTCGTGCATTCGATAGCACAGAAGCACGAACCTACTGCGAAGGTGTAATACTAGATTGGACGCCCCACGATGCAGTGTGACAGCTCTTACTGTGGTGGTGGATGGAGGACCCTACATAGGACTGTACATGCCCACAGATCCAAGCTCCACTCCCCTGCTCCGCGAGCTGCTTGCGTGCTTGTCCAGAGGTGCCAAGGACAGGAGCGCCAAGGATGGGCGAGCTTTTTTGCCTGGGTCCTTGCAGCGATCGTTAGAGCCGGACTAGGGTAAGGCGCAGAAAATCTCGTATCGTAGCGGCGCCCCGGGCAGCGTTCGCTGGGTGGGTTGTATTGGGAAAAGCTATCACGTCATTCGCCAGACCGCTGGGATCCGGCTAAGGTGGACCCTTCCTGACACTAACTGTGGACCGTTGGGCTTACACAGAACAGAACAGAGCCGAACACTACGCCGTGACTGCGATGCCGATGGGTACGCGGTCACTTGCGGCATTACCGTTTGCAGGAAAGGTACCTTGGTGGCTGGCTACCTATCGTGCCAATCGAAAAAGAGCTCCCGAGGAGAAAGCAGAGGGTGAGGTGCGGAAAACGGCCGTTGGCTGGAGAGGCTGCACGAAATATATTTCACTCACATTTTGCTTACTACTTTCAAAGTGGATGACGAACCTGCTGTTATCACATATTGTCCTGCAGCACCTGTGTAAGTCGAAGTGGTCTGAGGATCATATTCAAACGCTCGGACTGGGCGGGACACAACCTGTCAGTGCCGTTATCATGAGGCGGGGGCGGGAATGCAGCGAGATAAGGACACAATATTGAAGATCACAACATGGTTCATGGTTGAATACACACCGGGCTTTAGCCCATGCATGCACAAAGCAAGACCAGGTACCAGGCTGCACACCTCAGTTCAACCGCTCACTCCCCAGCCGCTAAATCCTGCAGACATTGAACCTGCATAGAGTGAAATGCTTCATAACTCGTGTATTCATCTATTGCAGCTTGGTAAACTGTGAGATCAGCTCTCAATGATCCTAATGATACATCAGACTGTTACCATGATTGATGGTGACCGGCATTTGCTAGTATGGGTGATATAGTTACTATGCCTGCTGCACAGTCTCTCACACGAAGCTGGGCTAGAATGGTCGCCGCTCGCTTCGTATTAATCGTAGTCCTCGCTTGAGTTTCCCCGACCTGCCCCAAGCCGTATGATGTATTCGCCGAGGCCCGGTACTCTTGCCTCTATTGCGCCAATAAACGAGCACCTTCTCATGGGTTTAAGTTACATGCTCGTGACGCCCTCGTTTACTGCACGTCTCGTAGTAGTCGCATTATATAGAGTCGTTCGGTCATAAACTGTCGTTTTGATTAGCCGGCTGTTGCGCAGTCTCACACTCATCGCAAGGGAGTGCTCTGATCTGACAATTCGCCGAGTAGGTTTCGTGCGCTTCCAAGAACAAGCGATTGCGCCTAATCACCCGCCTGGTCTGGATCCAACCTCGCCCGAGCCTCTCTTATGAGAGCCTTGGCTTCCTCCACATCCTGGCCATCCTGACATAGCTCAGTCGCAAGGCGGTTGGCTGTTGTGTAATCACCAGAGCGCATGGCAAATCTGGCAAGCCACATGCGAGCCTTACTGGTCGCTGCTGTAACTCCCGTACCATCACCTCCGCCATTCCTTTCACCTCCATCCTCGTCATCTGATGCACCTCCGGGAGAGTCATTATGGATTGCCACAGAGTCGCCCAGATTATCCCCCAAGCTCCCGTCCTCTTGTGCAACACAAAGTTCCATATATGCCTTCGCCTCGTCTACTTCATCGAGGTTGTCATACATGGAAGCGATCTGGAGAAGGATCTCGGGATCCATATGGCCCGGGGCGGCGCGATCAATACCCGCACTGCCGAAGCTGCTGCTGGTCGAGTCATAGTACGTATCAGCAAGGAGGGCGCGTTTGAGCGCTTTGATGCCGTCTCGTTCTCGGCCCATCTTCTGTAAGCACGACCCTATAGCCATCCACATCTTGCCATCCCAAGGTCGCAAGCCAGCCGCCTTCTTGTAGTACCATAGAGCGTAGGTGTGCATCTCAAGCACCTCGTATGTCTGACCAAGGCCGTACCAAGCTCGGTAATCCCGCCGATTTACATCCACGGCTCGGCGGTAGGATTCAATAGCCGCATGCGTATTCTTGAGCTCCACGTATTCGTGTCCCATTAATGTCCAAGCAGAAAGACAGTTCCTGTCAAGAGTAAGTGCTCGCCGGAAGTATTGGACCGCTTTTTCATGCATTGAGAGCAAAGAATAGTAGTTTCCAATCACCACACAGGATTCGGGCCTAAACTTGTCGATGCTGGAGCAAAGATGAGCCAAGAACGCTAATTTCGGTCGATGATTGAGGATGTACAGGATATTAGAATAGTGGTCGAGTGAGTCAAGTCGATGAGGGTGTAAGGAAAGCAACTGGCTGAATCGCTGTTCTGCCGCCATTAGATCCTTCGTGTGGTAAGAAAGGAGAGCATTGCAGGTAAGCAGGAATGATGAAGTGGGAAAGATAGCAAGCATCTGGTCTAGGGCGTTGGCTAAATCGGGAGTCTGTTGGTAGAGCTCGAGTGAAGTATTGAGATGGAACATGTAGGCAACGATGTTGGGAGGCAGATGAGGCATGATTTTGTTGAGCTGAAAACATTAGTTTAAGCCGAAGCAGTATAGGCGAAGAACATACGCTCTCGACACGAGTGATCAGGGATGTCATTTCTTGCCAGCAACCCCAGTTCATTGGGAAAAGGTGAACGCTCCTGACAAGAAAATGCATGGCCTCGTCAATGTTCTTCTCCTTCGCCAAGACCATACCGTACCTTTGTTTCAGGTTAGCAATAAAAGGCGTTGACCAAACCTGAATACGTACAGATACTCTAGCCAACCTTGGCTTCCTTCGGCAAGATGATCATCTGGAGTGCTTCGATCGTCAAACCATAATTTGAGATACCGACTGACTACTGGTAGCTGTTTATTCACTGCTGTTCCAAGGTCCTGCGGGCCCATAACCATCTCAGAATCCTCGTCTTTTCTCTTCTCTCCGGACATGAGTTTCGCGTACAAGGCCAAGAACAAGCTTTTCTGGCTGAGTTCGGGTAGAATACTCTGCTTCGAGGATCTGTATGAACCCGATAATGCACTGTCCTTGCCCTTGCCTCGGGGAGAGATCACGGACCCTTCCCCGCTTGGTGATAAGACACTAGACAGCAGTGAATCTGGTAGGAAGACGGCGGCGCATCGGTCGTATTCTCGACAGTCGAAAAGAGATTTGGCAAGGAGATATTTGTTAAGCTCCAGAGCCTCCAGTTGCGCTTCTTCTTCATCAACATTCGGTGTTAATACCGCAGGAATAAATCCGCGCTGTGTTCGGGTCATCTTGGGCTCATCGTCTTCGGCCGAGTTCTCGGGAATCGCATCCAGCAGCTCTGCTGCCCTAGACATGGTGTCAACAACGAGTTGCATCAAGTAGACCAAACAACGATATACCATTTAGCAGACTGGTACAAACAGCGCTCGGAGCACTTGACCACGGCATCCTGAAGAGCTGCGCGGAGCTGAGCGGTGCCCTGTTCGTTGAGCGGCATGGCGGCCAACTAGGACTTGTGTAGTGGTTGATGCCTTCTTGTGTGTTGATCGTCGAAGGCATGATCGCGTAGCGCGTCACAGCTCACTACCTAGGTACCTAGGTAAGTGCCCTAGCTAAGAAGATCCCGTAGTCGGTACCGATCTGCTCACCGCCTGGCCCTTGCTCTAGCGCGGGGTAGCCCATCACCCAGTAGACTATACCTACCTTCCTAGGTAGCAACCCCGCTGTCGGCCGCCCGCCTTCTAATTTTGTTTGAACCTTCCCACTTTCCAACGAAGATACCAAGCACACTAACAAGATTAGTGATTGAATTGTAATGAACCAGGATAAATTGCTAGTAATATGTACTCTGCCTAGTGGACGGGCGTACAATCGCCCACTACTTGTTTGCTATGGAGACCCCTATCTCCATCTTGACAGCTTTTCTACTCAACACACCCCGCAACCTTCTCCCTGAACGGCGATTTTCCTCAATTGAATCTTCTTCCAAGAAGTTGAACTAATCATGGCGCAAAAAACCACACTGAAGGAGTTCGAGTCCATCTTCCCAAAGCTGGAGGAGGTCCTCCTGGCACATGCCCAGCACTACAACCTCCCGAAAGGGGAGCTTGCTTGGTACAAGGCGGTAAGTCCTGAGAATCACCATCAGCTACAACAGGCACAAGTTTGGCCATAGTCTGACCATTCGCGCATCGCGCGGCCTTCATAGAGCTTGGAGACAAACACACTCGGCGGAAAATGCAACCGCGGCATGTCCGTTCCCGACTCGGTGTCCCTGCTGCTCGGCAAGGCACTTTCGGAGGAGGAATACTTCCACGCCGCGACTCTAGGCTGGATGACGGAGCTGCTGCAGGCCTTCTTCTTGGTCTCTGACGATATCATGGACAGCAGCATCACCAGGAGAGGCAAGCCATGCTGGTATCGCCAGGAGGGCGTGGGTATGGTCGCCATTAACGACGCCTTCATGCTCGAGTCCGCCATCTACACCCTGCTGAAGAAGTATTTCCGCTCGCACCCCGCCTACGTTGACTTGCTCGAGCTCTTCCACGAAGTCACCTACCAGACCGAGATCGGCCAGCTGACAGACCTCCTCACCGCCCCCGAGGACAAGGTCAACCTGGACAACTTCTCCATGGACAAATACCGCTTCATCGTCATCTACAAGACCGCATACTACTCCTTCTACCTCCCTGTCGCACTCGCTCTTCACCAACTCAACATTGGCACCCCGAAGAACCTGAAGCAGGCCGAGGATATCCTCATTCCTATGGGCGAATACTTCCAGATTCAGGACGATTATCTTGATAACTTCGGCCTGCCGGAGCATATTGGCAAGATTGGAACTGATATCATGGACAACAAGTGCTCATGGCTCGTCAACCAAGCTTTGGAGATTGCGACTCCTGAGCAGAGAAAGATCCTCGAGGAGAACTACGGTCACAAGGACAAGGCCAAGGAGGCTGTCATCAAGAAGCTGTACGATGACATGAAATTGGAGAAGCGCTACCAGGACTACGAGGAGAAAGTGGTAGGCGAGCTACGGGAGAAGATCTCCAAGATTGACGAGAGCGAAGGCTTGAAGAAGGAGGTTTTTGAGGCTTTCCTGGCCAAGATCTACAAGCGCAGCAAATAAAGCGCTATGGCATGCCTACTAACATCAAATTCGCTAGAAAGTGAATTGCTCAAAAGTTTTGACGAGAATAGGTAATGGGGGTTATGCTCAATAATGTATAGAATGAGGGCATATTAGGAAGCCGAGCCAGTACAATAGAAGTACATAATATTACGCAATCAAACGAGATTTGCTCAATGCCATGTTTCAATGTTGGCATTAATTGTCTCCTCTGCTATTGATGATACATTATCTCCAAACCCATTGTAACGCCCTAACAGATGTTGCCAAGCTTCTGCTTCAATTTCCATTTTATATCTACAGATTGAAAGTATAAGATTCATTATTAGTCATCGTCATCGTCAGAGAAATCACGACTCGATAACACAATAGCAGGGATTTGAGCCGGCATCGTGACGCTCCTGCTGGGCGGGAGTATCAATTCTCTTGGTGCCGTATCCCGTCCCCTCTCTGACGGCTGTCCTCGAGCTTTCGGCATCGTTAGAAACGCATGATCTCTAGCTCCACCACGACCTGCGGCTTTCGATGGCAGTGGAGGCACCGGGGGCACCAGTGGCTTGAAATCGCTCCCTCTGAACGGAAGGGCATTCGTGCTGATCGATCTACTTCGCTGTCTTTCGCCATGAGAAGTCTGTGGGCGTGCGCCCAGCGTCGGGCCGGACGCATCCCTTCTCAGGGGCATATTTCGCGAAGGCACCGCAAGGAATCTCGAGCTCGGTGACTGTGGCACGGAGATCAGATCTATAAGGTATTGCCCTGGTACAGCTTGAACACCTCGGCCAAGCCCGTCCCGGGACCATTGAGGCGGGTCTTTGAATGTCGTTGAGAAGTCGAGCAGTGGTTGCGGCTTGCCACGCCGTCGCTTCTCATCGTGTGACGACACACCAGATGAAGTGCTAGGTCGAGATGGCGGCTTTTCTTGGATAGGCCTGGTGCGAGCTGTATGCTCAATTGCGGATGGAAACCAGCTCCGTGATTCGCTCTGTTCTTGTGAGCCATCTCCCCCTTGACTACTGCTTGGGGAGCTGGTTAATGGCGGTGACCCGGCTCCAGAGAATGTCTCCTTTCTCGCGAGTTCTTTCTTCCTCTGATCATAGGAATCGCCTAACAAACCCGTGGAAGCGAAAGGCTGTTCAGTCCTGGTATCTATAAGTGGCCGTCTCACGCTGTTTGAGTCGGAATCAGAAGGCGAGGTGAAGATCGGTTGTTCGGGTTTAGTCGTAGCATCTAGGAACCAATCCTTGCCAAAATCATCAAGAGGCTTGTCGAATCGAGTGAGATCTACCAAGGGTTGAAACTCCCCAATCGAATAAGGACTCTCGTCGACAGAGACTTTGAGGCGGTGTCCATTAAGGTTGATGTGACTAACCGATTTCTTGACTTGATGTTTGGTCGAAGCAATCTGTGGTGGTTTCTCCTCGATTACCTGCGCCTTTTTGTTGACTAAGTACCAACTCCGCCAGCCTTGAACAAGCGAATGAAACTTCTGTGCTGCTCTTAGATCATCGGTACAGAAGTAGTGAGCGAATCCTTCAGTGGTAGCAAAATTGGCCATCTTGTACTGGCTTTTGATGGCGTAGCAGTACTTCTTTGGCGACTTCAAGTGCTTCTTCATATGCGCCTCATTTGGCGTGTAGATGTCGAAGTCTGATAGATGGCATAGGGTAACAACATCTTTGTCAGTGGGATTCGGATCAGCCTTCTTCGAGCTGAATATTTGTCCGCCTTCCAGAAGAGTGATGAATCGCTTGTTCCACTTTCCAGCCTTCTTCGCGTGGTGCATCTGTAGGATAAAACCTCGTGGAGGCTGTTCCGTTCGAGGCACCGAGGAGATATCCAACTCCTTGATGCTGTCCAGCGTGTCGGGCGGAAGAATGAGTAGTGTGTTCTGTGCGTCCCGGTCCCACGAGTTCAGCACTTCTTGGACTCGCTCGTAACGCCGAAGACGACGTTCGAGACCTAAATGAACATAATGCTCAACAATAGTGCTGGTAGCGGTACTTATAGGATTATTGGTCGACTGAGAGAACCCCATTGACTGTGAACATTCGAGAAGAATGTCTACCGTGGTCGTGTCGGAAGCGACAGGTATAGACATAGAAGACTCTTTGTACCGAACTGTGACACGCTTCTTGTAACTTAGCCATGGCTCGTAACATAGATGTGAATTCACTTACTCTCTCGCCACCATTGTCCATTGGCGGCGGACTGTCCCTTTGCGGCGTGCTTCGTTTACTACGAGATTCAAAAAACGACCTGGGAGACGATGTCGGCTCCAAGCTTCCAGCACGACTGAAGTCTCTGGAAGTGATTGACGATGCCGGCGACATTGTCGTCGGAGACGATTTATAGCCTCTTATCAAGAATGGGAATCTGTCGAACACAGGACTTCTAGTCTTGGCTTGCGGGGTCCTAGATGCCTGAGCTGCTGCTAGTTGTGACTGAAGGCGCTCAAGATCCTTCTTCTTTTGCTCAGCAATGATTCGGTCGGTTTCTGCTTCAAGTCGCGCGACCTCCTCGGCCCATCGGGCAGCCTCCTCTCTCTCCCTTCGCTGCCTTTCCTGCTGTTCCCTCCTAATCTCGTCTTGCCGACCGCGCCGCTCACGCTCAGAGTCGTAGCCGTCGTCAATGTGCATATCGTCTACATCGCCAGCCGCAAAAGGCGAAGGAAACTCGTGAACATGTATTGTGTTCTCAGAGTCATACGGCATAACATTCTCGTCGTAGAATTGTGTTTTGTTAGGAGTTCTTGGCTGAGATATGATGTTCTGTTCCTTCCGACCCAATGACCTCAAGGACCTTAAAGATACCCGGCGTTTGGATGGTGTATGCTCATACCCGGACTCGCCAAAGTTTCGAGTTCTACTAGGTGTCGTAGGTCGTGAAGAGAAGCTTTGCTTCCGCCTCAGGGACTTAATTGATAATCGACGTACCAAGGGCACCGAAGGAGTTGTTGGCACGTCCCTATGGATATTCGCATGGCCGCCATCAATCGTTTTGGCCCGCTTCCTGTAAAGGGAGCCAAACGTTGATTTTATGCCATGACCTTCCTCTAGCCCGCTGTCCTCGGCCAGGCCTCGTCCCACCGACTTTCTGACTTCTGAGACGCTGTTACGTCGCACACTGCGATAACGGGAGATTTGTGGTGCAGGCGCAAAGTCATCATCGTCGGCTGACATGGCGAAAGCTCCTGGGCTCGTCTCAGGAGGCTCTCAGTCGATATTGGACAGCGTTGCTCAGTCTAAGTCGGTCACGCCCGAAACAATCTTCAGCGCTAGGACGCTGTGATGCCTAGAGGATCCTACACTGGCAGGTCGACCCAGAGGCTGTTTGGGATGTCCTTTTCACTATTCACGATATCCAGATTCGAAGTCATCCAACGAAGCTCGAACTCATGGCAAACGGCACGAGTGTAAGAACGGAAAACTTGGGTGTGTAGCAGCGAAGAGAGAAAACGCGGGAGATCGGGCGAAAGAAAATCATGGTAAACTTTGGGTTCCGCGAAAATGCATGCCATATTCTTGACGTGTAACGAACATTCGTCACGTAGACGGTACACTTGTACCTTGGAGAGACGCGATCCACCCCCAAGGCGATTGGCATGTGCCGACCAATTTACAGCACCTGGGCTCTTAGGATAGCGTTGGGAGGCGTTCACGCCAGCCCTTATTGCGGACTCCCCATTCCTCGCATATAGGCCATAGCTGCACTCGCAGTCGCTATTGGGATATGATGCACGTCTTGTGGAGTTTGCGCCACGCCGCGTGGGATATTAAGGTAGCATTCGCAATCACTTCCGTGCTGTCTTTCTCTTTCTGTCGATAACCGCTCCGATTGGGAAGCACTAGCATGCACTGGAGCCAGACAACGCGTCGGGACGACCCAAGCAGTACCTGCAGATATCATCCGGGATTACCTCTTCAAGTTAATGAAAGAAGGCAATACCGGTTGGTGAGACACGTAAGATTGACAGCAAAAACAAGAATCGTGCTGGTTCCTCGAGTCTGGGTAGCGCAGTTTTGTCTCTGTTAGTGGATCACCAACTCATCCCTCGATAGAGATTGTGGGAAATATCTAAACACGTATCTGTATTACAATCTCTCATATGAGCATGTTAACTCTACTTCCTTCGGATTTTCTTTGGCCTCATGGCAAGCCCTTTGACAAGACCGTCTATTTTCTGTACGCTTTGGCTTGCCATCGCCACCAACCCTTGAAGTCTTGGGTTGAAACATTGATGTCCAGATCCTTCAGAGCCTTTGTGCTCAGATGACAGTCATACGGGCGCTGAACACTCGCGTTGGGATCATTTCCCTCTGTGTTTGCCTCGATTCCATCGATTGGAAGGCCCATGATCTCACCAAAGAGCTGGCAGATCTCATACTTGGTGTACTTATCCTCACTTGAGAATTGTAATACACTGGGCAACCCGCGGCGATCGGTCGTTCCTAGATACTTCACAGCGATGTCTATTGCCGGTGTCAGGTGTGGAATCCCCAAAGTGTTCGCGTTGAAATCGACAGAAAAGTACATACCGTGACATACGCGACCAATATCCTCAGTGTTCGTGGGATAGCGCAACGCCCAGTGATCCATCTTAACCTTTTCCCCCGGATTCTGTACTTTCCAGACAGAATCCATCAAGACGTTGACTGCACTCTCGGATGGAGTCTCCGCAGGTCCGTAGAGAACAGGCACCCTGAGCACTACCCCGAGACCCTGTTTGCCGGCATCTTTGTATGCATCTAGGACAGCATGCTCCCCGTCGAGCTTCGTCTGGCCGTACAGGTTGGTCGGCCCAGTAGGAGCATCCGCCTCATACGGAGCTTCACCTTCCCTGCCCGAGAAGACATAATCTGTGGAGATGTAAACGAGCAAGATCGATCGCTCCGCACATAGTTTGGCAAGATCTCTTGAAGCCTCAATGTTTAGCTTTCGGGTGCCTTCCGGGTCCTTGTCCACCTTGTCAGGGAATCTGTTTGCCGCGCCTATAGAGGTCAGACTGGCGGCTCAGCGTCCCCAAGGAGTAAATTGTAGTGCTACTCACAGTGTATCACGACTTGCGGTCTGCTCATTGGTAAGCGCCTGCAAGCATTTCGATAGAGGGAGGCTTACTTCGTCGTGTCAAGAGCCGCTCTGACTTCGTCCACGTTGCTCAGGTCAACTTTGAGTATGGAAGAGCCATCAGCTCTTGAAAGGCCTGTGCCTTTGGCGGACCATTCACTGCGCTCAAAGGCCTTCACGACCTCACGGCCGAGGAGGCCCGTAGCGCCAGTCACTAGAACAGTCTTCCCGCTCATTTCAACCTCAATCCGCAGTATTGGTGAGAGTAGAAACGGCTGCTTAGTCTCTAGGTTGATGAGGCAAGATGGGGTTGCGCGAGGTGGGGCATTATTACCTGTAGCTTATTTACGTTACTGTAGTGAGTAACTATAACTCAAACGTCATTTTCATTTGTATTACGGTCTTCGCAGAAATCATAGCCATTCTGAACATTTTGGTTGGAAAATCTACTGGACAGAAATCATCATTGCTGTATGCCCTTTTATCCTGGCATGAAAACCTCTAAACTGCTACCCGCACCAGCGCGAAGGATACGCCTGCATCAGCCCGTATGGCTTATGAATCCTCGACTTCGTCGACCTGATAGTCAGTCTACCTCGACATGGATCGTGATCTGCTATTCCTTTTGTTTTGCCTTTCCGAACGCCTTCATGTCCACTTTTGCGGACCTTATTCAGTAGAGACAGTCAACCAACAAGAGGCTTATGCGGCACCGCCGTCCTGAGCGCCGAAGCGAGGTCGGTTCCACACGCTCTGGTGATCTCTCGGCTTCCTCTCGCTCTTAGCCGGTCCGATTCTCAAGGCCCCGTCAGCATACGGCTGGCCATTGAACGCAACCTCAGCCCTGCTGGCCTCTTCTGTGGCGGTAAAGTCCACGAAGCAGTAGTAATGATTGCCGGGCTTGTCCTGCGATGCAGCAGGCGGCGCAATGGGCTTGCTGACAGACTCACTAACATCGTTATTAGCACCACGCCTGAATGATTGTGAGCAAGGACAACGAGGCTCACATGTCGAAACCAGCAAACAGCTCGCGCATGTTCTGCTCGCATTCCTCCTGGGTCTCCATCCTCGGCAGGCCGCCCACATACAGCCGGCGCTTCTCCTCGGTGGCCGGGTCCGGGGTGCCGCCGTAGCTTCTCTCACGCGGCGCCCAGTCGCTCGAGCGCTGGCCACCAAAGGGGCTGCCCGAGGACCGGTCCTGGCGGTCCCCGCGCCGGTCACCGGTGGACTGGTACTCTGACTGCGGCTTCTTCTGCTGGCAGGGGCCGACTCTGAGCTGTCGGTCCCGGAGCGTGATCCCGCCCAGGTTCTCCAGAGCAATGTCGGCAGTCTGCTTGTCCGCGAAGTCCGCAAAGCAATAGCCCGGGTTGCGGCGCGTCTCATGGTTCAGGCTCATCTTCACCTTGGCTCCCGGGAAGCCGCTGTCGCTGAGCAGCGCCTCCACCTCGGCGGCCTCGACGTCGTACGGCACGTTACCGACGTAGATGCGACGGCCCTCCGCAGCAGCCGGGTCCTGCTGCTGATCACCGCTGCCACCGGCGCGGCCGGCGTTGAAGCCGCCGCGGCCATAGCCAGAACGGCCACCGGGTGTGCGCCAGGCAGACTGTGAGCCCGCGCCGGGTGAGTTCTGACCAGCATTTGGGGACTGTACCCGCCAATTGCCCGACGAGCGCCAAACTTGAGATTCGGGAACTGACATGTTGAGCTTGTGGTTGAGCTGGTAGATGTCAAGTCTGAGGTGAAAGTCGGGCTGTGATTTTGTGCCACAAGCTAGACTTTTGCGCAAAGTATTAGCTTCGGAAGAAAAGACGCGAATTTCTACCGCGTCCAGGTAGAGAAGTTTCTCTCTGCTGACGCTAGTGGCCGATTGGACAATTATATTTGTTTGCAAAAAATAAAAGTCTCGGCCGCAACTTCAGATGAAAAGGGGACTTTCCAAAGACGGGGGTCGCAGTTTTTATCTGAATGCAGGTCGAAAATTCTGTGGGCAGAAACGGCTGGCGAGAGGCTGGGCAGGGGTCTGAGTGGTGACAGGTAGGAGGAGCTAAAAGCTCAGATCGACCTGGTCCCGTCTGTAGGGTGATGGCAATCTGACGCTGTAACCAAAGAGGACACAAGACGTGAATCAAAGGAGTAATAATTTTGGGGTATCTTTCATTCCTATGTTTGCTGGATCTTGGTAATGCTACATCAAATGCAAACAGGTTCAGGTCAGCCTCCAGCATGTATGTGCGCTAGTACCTGCGTGAACGAGTCGCTCGACTTGTACAGCCCAGAATGCCCGACTGATAATACAGTACTCCGTAAGTATGTCATATTGCCTGGTTCAGTGATGCCTCAGACTCCCATATCTATGATCGTTATGCAACGCGAAACACACAAGTCCCGTACCTTTGAGACCATCTGCACAACAACAGGGCAATTGAATGCGACTAGCCAAATAATAAGCTCGCCTCCCTGAATTCTTTCATACAAGTCAAGGGCGGCTCGAGATACTAAGGCTTTCCTTCGGTGCGGTGATGCTCAAATTCGGATGGAATCTCCATGTCCATATCCATGATCGACGCTCGGTTATCGACCGATCTCTTATCAGATCGAGCAAGGAAATTAGACGTATTGCGTTCCTGCATCTCAGGTTCTCTGGCTTGCGATTCGGTACCGGTAATTGTGCTTTGCTCATCCAAGCTCACATTCGCAAGCCTTAGTGACTGGCGACTAAGCGTTGGAGAGTCTACTTCGGAATCGAAAGTAGTGTATGGAGGAGTTGGAAGCCTTGCGTGGCCATAGACCTCTGACTTGGGCGGTTCTGATGACTCTACAGGCGCCGACTGCGCTGACAGGTCAGTCATGTCAATGAGTGGCTGCATCTCTGTCCCTAGAGACCCGTCGCCTTCCTGAAACGGGTCTTGGTCGAACACCACGTTCCGGTCTTCATCGCTGAGATCTCCGACAGACGCCCGATTCGATGCCATGGAGTCCACACTATTTGCTCGGTCTCGATGTTGTCTCTTAAAAGGCGACTGTGGTGACGCATTTGCACCACGCTTGCGCTCCAGCGGGCTCTCCTCAATGACCTCCTGCTTGAAGAGGCGATTATCGAATCTGACAAAGAGCTAGATGCGGTTGTTAGCGATGATCCTGCATAATAATATGGCCGAAATATTTACCTGTAGTGGTTGTGATATTCGACTGGGCTCCTCTGCCAAAGCTTTCTTGGAGGCATAGACAAGAATAGGCTTCTTGTCCTCGCTCTCTGTCAACGCAACACGTAAGACCGTCTCGATCTGGGTTTTCTTAATTGAAAACGTTAGTGTGATAATTCAGAGCTTTGGGTTGCATAATCTCACCTCTACTTTGATCGGGTCGGCATCGTCTGCTACGTAGGCTAGCTTCCACCATTGGTCAATGGGAGCAGCGTTGCCGCCTTCCATGTCAATGAGGTCTGGCTCAGCTCGCCTGCAGATATACACAACATCAGGTGACGCCGCGACACCGCGGAGGGAGTAGTCGTGAACAGGATTCCAGTGAACATCCCCGGTGGGGACAGTCAACTTTTCGTTGAGTCGTTGTAATAGTTCAAGACAGGCCGTCTTCTCTGCTTTTAAACCTGACACGGGATCAGCAATTAAGCCAGTAATGTACGGTAAGTGGATACTCACGATTCAATTTACGTTCAATATCGGCAAGCTTCTGCTTGTGAATATCAATGTGAGCCTCGTAGTGCTTGAGAACGGTTTCTTCTTGCTCGTTGAGCTCAACTAAATCGTCAAGCTGTGCAGGTAGGTGAGGCAGATAAGGAAATGGGTCATCCGAGGCATTACACTCCTCGTGTTTTCTCCAGAGTGCTAGAGCTTTGACTCGCCGGATCTCCTTCTCATCACGCTCGATCACTTTGTTGATCAGCATGGTCCGGTCCCATTCCTTCCCATCCTGTGGACTGATCCACTTCGTTATGCGATTTTCGACCTCTTTGGCTTTGGCTAACGCTCTATGCACCCGGCAGATCTTTGTTTGGATCGTCGCGGCTTTCCACTTGTTGCTTTCCATATACCTGTCGAGGTAGAAGGTCTCTGGTATATCAATAGATGAAACGGCACCATTAATCCGCATCGTCAACACCTCTGGCGCCTCGGTGACGTATGCCATCTTTGCGGGCTCTTCGTCCTCTGCGTCCGACGTGCCCGGGTCTATCCAGTAGAGGAGGTCCCACAGGTTGTAGAGGCTGGTAACGCTTTCAGTTTGGTCGTCTGGCACCTTAAGTTCCAGCATGCCATATTCATCCAGCGATTCGGTCTCAGGATCAGGCGCATCCTGCAATGACACCACCTTGAGATAGGTCCAAAGCGGCCGCGTCTTGTCATCCCCATTCGTCTCTTTCAGCACGCGAAGAAAAGTGGGCTCATAGTCGCCGCCACCCCATCCACCACTGACAATCTTAAGGTCAGCCAGAACGTCGGCCGTACCGTAGCTGCGATCTGTGAAATCCAGGAAAGCCATCAGACGATGTAGCTCTTCCGAGAAGTCAGGATCGGCATCATCAACCCAAGAGAGCTCGCCCCTATCCCTAGCTGCCTGAATGTGTGGTGGGACAATGGGCTGCCCTTTCCACCAAGCAGGGTTATGACCATATGTCGCAGCAGGAACTCCAGAGCTGAGAAGAGCATTCCGCGCTGCTGGTATCTCATGGAAAACAGTCAACAGAGTTCCGAGGCGATGCCTATCGTACCCAGTCTTCCGGCACCTAAGAAAGGCTGGGACTCCAGGTTCTCGTTTGCGCGATGAAGGTGGTGGTTCGGCAGCTTCTTTTTGGATTGGGACCATGGCCCATTGATTCTGGTCGTAGTCATCACGATTCGCTGGTCCGAATGCGGGCAGACTCGTATCTGCATGAACGATGCCAGTCTCCTGAGGCGAAGCAACCCCGGATTCCGCTCTTGACGCAGCAAGAGCTTTCTGAAGGTCTTCATCCTCTTGGGTTCTACTCATCGGCGCGCCTGTGACGGTATTAGCCATAGGTCCTTTATATGTTGCGCATCAGTACCAGCTGCTCCGTCTGCAGTCCAGTCTATCATCCTACCAAGTGGTGATCTATTGTTCGCTCTCGAGGGCGGTCGTGACGGCGCGGTAAAAGAGGCACTGGGTTCCACGCCATGAATCACTGGGTTCTCGTCGGGCGAGTGGATATTGAAAGCTGCCCGGTCCCGATTGTCAGTACGGGAATATAGCGCCTGGTATACAGGGTGGAACTAACATATGCCTGCAGCATTTGCATCTCCATCTCTACCGGTTGAGAATGCGCTCTCGTCCCAGGTGTACTGTTGTCGAAACTTCGTCGCGCAGACACTTAGCTTGGTTCCTGTGAGGGGTTACAGCGGGAGAGGCTCACTTTGTCTGCATCGTCAAAGAACTCGCCAATGACAGCTTCGAGGTTGTTGTTCTTGGCCTAGAAGGCAGTCAGTGTATCTGCCCTCCCGTTTGCTTCAACCGACAGGCCGTCTCTGCCCACCTTCAAAGCGCCAATGACTAGAGCCCGATCGCGGATAGAGTCAAGACCACAGATTCCGCAGACACCAACAATATCATCCTCGGTCGGTTCCGCCATCTTTGATAGAGCCGTCGGTTCCGAACTCTGCAACGGAGGAGTCGAGTCGTGAGGTGAAGGAATCTAGACGGCCATGAGGGAGAGCAGATGCTTTTGGGTTCGCCCAAAGCTAGGATCGGGGTCGGAAATCGAAGATCGCAGATGTCGCTGGACGCCAAGAGCTTCCAGATGATTTGAAGAAAGAAAAGAAAGAAAGGAACCAGGTGATGGCCTCCCTAGCAAACGAAAAACACACCAGGGAGCTTCTCACAGAGTCTGGAATTGGATGGTGAGAAGCTCTGCAATGGTCTCTCTCTCACGCAGGTATTTGCATTTGATTGTGGCTGCTGATGGCAAGCGGCTACGTAAGGTAAGTGAAAGTAAGGCTTGTCCCGGGGGCAGTGCCACAGCTGCTAAGATACGCGGGCAGGCGGGGGAGCCTACGCTGCTCTAGCGCGCGGCAAGTGCTAGTACTTGGAAGGCCCTTGTTAGTACTAATTATCCTGCAGTGGGACTTGTACCAGTACTGCCAGTGCTTCTATCTCTCTTCACTTCTGTAAGTGTGCTGCTTGATGATCTGTAAGCCAACATCCGGGTCTCCCCTGATTACCTATCCTTAAACCGAATGCCCCTGCAAGCTGCAAGTATCCGAGTTGATTGTTCGAGAACTCAGACAAGAAGGGAAAAGATAGGCGCTCGACAGTCAGAAGAGTCACATTTTTCAAGGAATTAACCCGCTCGTCGTGGAGATAAGTCTGAGTTGACCTGCTAGAAGTTGCTTCTTGCTCGTTCTAAAGCTAACTAGCAAATAGTGATATCTATAAGCGGAAAATCATCGAAATATCAAGCCCCAGGCAATGCAGGCACCCATGGGTGCCACTGCCGTTATGTACTCAGAAGACAACCGTCTGTTCGTAAATACTCAGTCAGGGGGATTCCGTCCAACGCCTTCCGATAAGCCAGCCAAGACCATAACGCTATGCATAAGAGTAAGTGAGCCTAAGAACACCGAGGAACGAGACCACCATGTCTCAATCAGTTCCTCTTGTGCCCATATTCGTAATTCTTTGTATGCCCGGCCGGCAATTTTGTGAGTAAGATGCTGGTACTCGAGAGCCCATACATCTCCTCAGTCATCATCACTGTTGTCATTGTCTCCGCCATCCTCCTCGAAGTCTTGCATCTCGTCGTCGTCGTCACCGGTATCGCTCCCTCCAAAATCGAACTCCTCGTCACTCTCGGCCCAGAACGCATCGTCGTCCTCGGCCTTCTGTGGAGGAGCCTGCTCGACGGTCTTGGGCATCTCCAGGCCGTCGGGGATGTCCTTCTTGGACCGCTCGACCGTCTCACGGGCCTTCTTGTTGTATTGGTCCCGCTTGTCTCGGTACATGACACTAGCATCCACGTTGGCGGGGGAGTTGATCTCAGGATCATCAAGCAAGAGGAGGACCGATCGAAGGACTGACTCGACGCCCTGCAATGGGGACCAGCGCTCACTGGCCTCTTCGCCGGACATGAGATCCTCGCCTGGCTTGTGGAGAATGGAGATGCACAGCTGTCCATCGGGGTAGATGTTCGGATGGTAGATCGGGATGAGAAAGCGGAACTTGGGCGGCTGGAAGGGGTACTCTTCGGTGAAGGCCATCTCAGCCTAAAGGTACGAAATCATGAGTTTATTGAGCCAACTAGACGTGTGGTGAGGTTCCTTACCCGGAAGTAGCCGCCATAGAAGGCGCTGTCGGGGTTGACAACCCAGAGGGCCATGCGCCATCGGAAGAGATTGCCTGACTCGGTCTGTGGTCATGGTCAGTCAATCTCGTTTCGAGGGCACACGAGGCAGGGTTAGACAAGAACATACGTCGATGTTTACCCATTTCTCTTTCTGAAGAGCCTGCATCTCAGACATGAGACGCTGCTTCGCGCCTCCGCCATTTGTGCGTGACATTTTGGAGGGTTGTCAGAGGGCAAGGTGACGGTGACGCCAGAGGCAGATAGAGCAGCAGACAGACAGGTAGGTTGAGGTCACTGCCTGGCAGATGTGACGATGCGTGAAGGGACGAAATGAGAAAAGATCGATGTCGACACAGAAGTCCCGCAGTTCCCGGGGATCCTCTGGTGGTGTTGAAAGTGAGAGAGGGAAGACGAATCGTCGTGGTTGTCGTGGGTTGTGGTTTGGTTAGAATGCCGAAATCCCCCGCAACGCCACACGCAGACTGGAGGAGGCAGAAGTGACTAACACCCGGGACAGAAGGAAATGGAAGGACCGGGTGATCGTGTAGAAAGTAAAAGTCGGACGTAAAGAGAGCGAGGGTGAAGGTGGTGTTTTAGGGAAAGGAAGAAGGGAAGGATCTAGGTAAGTACCGGTACGTGGTGATTCCCAAGAAGAAAGTCGTCGGTCAGTTCATTGAGTCTGTCAGCCCGTGAGCGGTAAGGACAAGGACGGGGAAACAGGAACGGGAACCACCAGGCCAGGAGTGAGTGAGGCGATGACGGCCCAACTCCAAGGCAAGGCCGACGACGACGACGTCGGAGGACAGGGGCCACAGGGGCCGCAGGTGCCACAGCTGCACCAGGGACATCACTCAGTCAGGGTAGGCTCCACCGGACTGGACTGGCCCACCGCCATCAGCCTACTACCGGTTACCGGTACTGCATAGTAGGTACCTACAGGCTACACCTGCTACCTAGGCTAGCCTGAGGGAAAGCCGTCACTGACAACAGCATCTGCAATGAATGACTTGGTGCAGCGTATGCCATGGCGTGCTTCCCGGGAGGCTAATTGCAGGCCTGTGCTTGGGCCAGCCCTTTGTATTGTCTCAGACTCTCAGGCTCCTTTTCCAGCGTATCCCCCAGGCTGCCAGGTTTGATGTTTGATGTTTGATGTGCACCTCAATGGGCGTCTCCTGTAATAAAATTCGGCCAGCATCCTGGTGCCACGCAGAGAGTCAGTAGAATACTCAGACTGGCTTTGTCTTCAGTGTTTCGGTTCATGAGGCGCAATGTCTCACTCACAATAGCGTTAGTGCTGCCTGTGGCGAAACTAAAACCCTATCCGGCTTGTCGCATGGCTGTCTGTAATCATGAAATCCTCTGCTGACTGGAGCTGAAAATTGCTCACCACAACAAAAGACCATACACATACATACAGGTGTATCGTCTACAGAATTTGCAGGCTGACATGATCTACCATGACTACCTACCTGGTGTGGCCATTGCCAGCCAAGTACAAACTCTTCAAAAAGGACATTGGTTTGGAACTACCTAAGGTCCCCAAGTAGGCAAGTACTGTACCTAGTTCATTCGAGCCAAAATAGGTTGTTGTTTATCGGCACATTGTACGAGGCGCATTATTAGGTCGTCACGTTTGGAGTTGGGTATCTACGTATTGGCCAAACTACTACTAATAAAGCATCTAAATAAAAGGAAAACATGCGTATCCCTTGGCACGTGGCCCCTTCTTGATCAGGCTCTTAAGAGCAAGCCCACCAACACAGCACAACCTCAGCCATCTAATAGCCATCTGTGGGTTAAGCCCCTAGATCGTAGTATATACAGTTCGCCGTACGGAAGTTGTAGACAAATGCATGTCTCGTGCCGCTGCCGCTCTCAAATTCGGTCCTCCAGGACTCGAGCATGTCGTGCACCTCCCTCACGTAGTTCCTCTCTGCCGTCGTCACGCTCTGCTCGACCTTGCGCCAGCTTTCTGGCTTGGACAGACATGTTTTTCTGATCTCGTCCATCACCTGGTCCGTCGTCTCGATGGCAGCGACCGGTCCGCTTAGGAAGGACTGTACAAGCTTCGAGGCGCTGGCCTGGGCCTGCTCCACCACCATCTGGCGGTTGAACTTCTTACTCTTTGTCTGGGCAACAAGTACCCTGACCTCCTGTTCGTGGCTCTTGTCGGTTGAAGCACTCTGCTCTGAAAGCTGGTTAGTCCCCCTGGTCCTGACCATGGTACGAGATTCCCGGTCTCGCATCTCTCCTTTGAGCCAAGGCACAAGCTCTCTGGCAGGAATGTCGACGTCCGAGGCATCCTTCCGTCCCATGGTCTTGATCTTCAAGATGTCACTCTTCACAATAACAATCCAGGAATGGTTCTCGTCCCGATGCTTCGAGATGAGTTCTTCAGGTGATCTGGCATCCCTGGCGAGTTCCGCGCTGATGTCGTTTCCCCAGAGAGTTTGCAATAGCTCAACTCCAGTAGTACGCAAAATAGTCGGATCGAAGCTGCCCACGAGAACATCACACTTGGGATATACATCAGTAATGTCTTCATTGAATCAGAACAGATTCACCGCTTACTCGTTTGCTGCTGAACATGCCTTGACCCTCTTCCTCAACCGCCTTCTTCAAGAAGGCCTTCCCACCGGATTTAGGGGCTTGAGCCAGTCTCTCCCATGCAAGCGTGATACCAACAGCACGGCGCTCCTCAAATTGGCCCCCTACCTTGGGGCGATGCTCCTTGATGAGGCTGTCATATCTGCCGCCTGCTGCGAAGACATCCTTGACCTTCTTGTCGTAAATGCAGGAGAACATGATCCCACCTGAGAAGAATGCCGCGTTGATGCTGTTGAGGGGGTTCACGTAGATTTTGCTACTGACACCTAGGCGTTTACAGAACTCATAGACTTCCTTGAGATGCGCAAGGGTAGATGAAGCTTTCTGGTAATTGTCGGTGCCCTCAAAGAGGGTTTTCAACTTCGAAAATGCTTTACTTGGGGTGTCTAATTTGATCAGTATAATTATGTTGAGCGCCTGTTGAAACCCACTTACCTCTGAAATCAAACCTCTGCAGTTCATCTACGCTCGTTGCCGATACACCCACAAGAGGTGAGCGGAGCTCGCCACGAAGTTTCTGCCATGTCAACCCTCGTATATTGAGTTTGCTCAAGGCTTCTGCGGCAGGCCTTCTAGCCACATGCTCCACTCCACAATAGTCGAAAATCAGTTGAAGCAGGTCAGAATGTCCTAACTGGAAGACCATCTGGTTTGAAGATAGATGTGGGAAGGTCGTGATGATTTCATCCACCACTTTGATCACCTCCGCTTCTTTCAACGCAAGGTCCAGTGTATCAGTACTTACGATGTCGAAATCGACTTCTCCAAACATGTTTGGTTGTCCTCCACCATGCCGGTCACGGAAAACGCTGCCAAATGCATACGATTTTGGGGCAACGGGCATGTTCGACGTCTTCGCAAGCATCCTGGCATTGCCCATCATGAGATCAAAAGGAAGCTGAACCAGGGTGCCGTTCTGGTCAAGAAGCTGCACTACACTGGGCCCATAATATGATGAGCGTGGATAGAGACAATGCCGCGGCGTTTCAACCGCGCCATGACGACGGAATATCGATGTAAGAGCTTCTTTGACGATATACTGGCGTAGCAAGTCATTCTGACCTACAATTTGCGCAGACATATCCCAAGCAAAGTCTTTGGTCTGCTCTAGCTGTCGTGCAAACAGGGTGGACAGCATCTTTTGGTAATAGGGCGAGTTCGGGTCAGCTAGACCGGCAAGAGTTCGCCTGATGGTTTCACTCTCCATCTGCACTGGCAGCTTCCCGCTTTTCAACAGTTCCGCGCTTGACGGGCGCTCCTTTGGATTATGAGTGAGCAAGGAGAGGATTATGTCCATTTGCGTCTTCTCCGCAGGATCGAAGTCGACTGGAAGCACGGGTGGGGATTTGCGAAGAGCTTCTAGAACTATGGCCCTCTGCATGCCCAGCATTGGCGGGTATGACATTTCGAAGAATATGACTCCGAGAGAATACATCTAGAAGAGTTAACAAAAGAGTTGAAGATGCAAATCCAGATTTCTTACATCAACTTTCGACGTGTAACTACCGTTGACACCTGTTCGGACTTCTGGGGCAACGTACACAGACGTACCGATGCTCCTAGTCAGATCGCTCGCATCGGGGGCAGCAGGCACCCCTTTCTCACCAGCGAACTGACCACTTGTCGCCAGTCCGAAGTCTCCTATTTTGACATTGTTAACGCCATCAGGACCAACGCTGATGAAAATATTCTCTGGCTTGAGATCCCGATGTACGATGTTCAGGCTGTGAATATGGACCAAACCCTCTAGTACTTGTCTGAAGAGACGCCAAATCTCCTCCGTGTCCTTAGATAGATTTCGTGAAATCAGATCTCGCAAAGTCTATGATATGTTATTAAGCAGCTTTCAAGAAAGTTCCCATCACGGGGATTTGAGAGTCCAGTTCGAGAAAGGATAGTTCACTTACTCTCTTCTCGCAATATTCCATCGATATGTACATCACAGTTCGGAAGGGTCGAGTGCTTTGTCTTCGCAGCCGTCTTCGTTCCGGTAGGGCGACTTGACCATTAACTTCGCCGTTACCACCGGTTTCTGACTCGCTCTCTGAATCTGAGGAATCGTCTAGACCTTCATCACCGTCATCGGCATCGGATTCACCCTCCGTGTCATCAAAGCCGAATTCAACCTGAGGATATCCGCTCGAAGACATGAAGTCTAGACCTCCTTTACTTGTAGCGAATTCAATGTCAATACCTTGTGATAGTGTGCCTTGCGAGCCTTCGGTATTGACACCTTCTGTGGATGTTTCGCCTTCGGTATCCGAGTAATCTGGAATCTCTTCCAACCAGGTGTTATAGTATCGCACCACAGCTGGGTGACTTAGTTGCGACAAAAGACGGACTTCTTTCAAAATCTCTGTCAAGCCAGCTTGAGACTTTTGAGTGATTTTCTTGATTGCATATATCTGGCCATCGAGCTTCTTTCGGGCTTTGACGACTTCTCCAAAACCACCCTTGCCCAAACGACCCTCTTCCACGAAGTCTTCTCGGTATCTCGAAGATACTGTGCCACGAACATTCGTCGAATCATGTCTCGACCTCGATGGAAAGTTTTGCGGCAATACCAGTGATCCGGAGATGATGGCAGAACTATCCTCCACGAGAACCGGTGCATCTGTTGCCAAGAACTCGCTAGAGCTCAGCTCAAAAGCCCGAGGGCGTTTCTTCGGATCCGCTTTGAAAAATTTCGATACCAGTTCTTCCAATGGAGACGAAAGGTCCAGAGTGTCCATAAGATCCAGAGGAGAATGATACTTGTGGAGCACATCCAGGCCGAATATCATCTGCAGGAATACAACCCCAAAGTCCCAGATATCCGTCTTTTGAGTGTATTGGGGCTTTGAGACGCCAGCAATTTCAGGAGGAAACCAGTAAGCTGACTTTGCGGCTCTCATAGAAGTCACAGTTTGTGTCTTGGTGCAGATATTGTGCAACTCCCTTTGGTATCCAGCGTCTGCCAATTTGGGGACAATGTCTCCAGTTGATTCTCTGACAAGCAAGACGTTGCTTGGATGAATGTCTTGGTGGAGCACGCCGTGACTATGAAGAAACCCCAATGCATCTAGGAGGTCTGTTGTCCAGCTACGGACCTTGCTGACATCTAAGTGGCCGGCAAGATCCAGTAACTCTTCAAGTGGTCCCTTCTCGGCTAAGGGACAAAGTATACTGACATTCCAACTCGTTGGAGCCGAATTATCATTTTCCACAACGACTCGGTCAACCCTGAAGTCCAGAAGATCGAGGATATGCCGATGTCGAAGTTTCTTCATTGATTCTAATTGTACTTCCAACGACTGAAGTTGCTTCTTGAATTGAGCGGCGTCTTTTCCCGACGAATGAAGCCCCGAAAGCTTCAATGCTAAACTTGGACGATCCAGACGGACAGAGAGTACAGGACGGACGATATAAACGTCAGAGACCGGTCCACTGCGGAAATGAGACTTTCCGGTGACAGTAGTGAAGTACATCGTATTACCTGTGCTGTCGGTCAATTTGCATGGCTGATCGAAGACAATATGCTCAACCTCGGGGTCCTTGTAGTCCTCGGGCAACCGTTCAGGTGACAGATTCGTCCGATTCTTTTTCCTTGCATCTCGCGCTTTGGCTTTTTGCCGTTTGAGCTCTTCCTGGAGCATGTCTCCAAGCACGCGCTCTTCCTCTTTAGTCTCTTCTTGCTTCTTGCGTTCTTCCTGCTCCTTTTGATCTTGGGCGAGTTTCGCCAAAGCCATCTCGTGGGCAGCTCTCTCTTCCTCTAACGATGGCAACTCGAGACCGGCGGCCTTTGCTTGGGCAGCATCCTCGAGGATTTCACGAATGCCTTCAACAATTCGGTCAACCATCTCTTGTTCTTCAGTGGCAAACAGCTTTGGCTTTGTCTCCAGGAACTTTTGCACCTTGAACATGGTTGACTCCCGCAGGGTGTCATGGCGTTTCACTGTCAACAACGGGGGTGTTTTAGGGTACGTGGCGGTGAGCACTACCCCTAAAGTCAAGGCAACATCCTCATCTGATGATGCCTTGATTCTGATATCGAAAGATGGTTCAGATTTCTGTAACATGTTAGTCATATGAACGATGAGATAGGTTCAAAGAGAAGAAATTACCTTCCAGGCACTGTGGGCAGCTTCATGTTGTACAAAGTCCTCGCCATAGATGGCTTGCAGCACCATCACTTCATTCTCCTGGAGCTCTTCATACTTCGTCTGTGCCGGTGCAGTCTTGTCCCCAGGCTTGAGCCCAGGGAAGCTTGGATTCTCATTCTTCTTGGGGGATTGGGCGGCCTTCTTCGACGGACCAGGCTTCTTCCAAGCCATCTTGACCAGATCTTTCCTTCAGTGGCGAAGGAGCACTCGAAGAATCGCAGCCCGGTACGGCCGCGAGACTTTACTGAGGCGAGCCCATGGCGATAAACACGGCTATCAGCTAGAATTTACAAGTGAAAAGGCGGCAATCTGTTGCCTCAGTGAGCGAGAGGTCTGAGTCTGAGATGGATCAGATGAAATGTGACTCGATCGAAAGTCGGCCCTGTAAATGCAGGGCTGATGGCGGGGTTGTTACTGTAACCCCCCATTACGTAGGGCGTGGAAGCACTGGCTCACCCACTGGCCAATCACCAAGCTTCCATGTAGAGCAGCGAAACGCACTGACTCCCGTCGACCCTGGAAACACTGCCGACCCGTCCAAAGACGCGCTACAAGTCAATGCCTTTGCCGTTTGGGGCAACCAAGTAAACACAATACCTGCAGTCAGGCGGCCCACAACACGACTCTCAACGTCTCAGGCTTACTGTTCGCACACAACGTATGGACTAATTCGAACATATTTATGAGTTCTTACTCGTACTAGAGAGCACAGTCACAACAAGCAAGATGCTTGGCTGGGTAATGAAGCGCGGCTTGGAGGCCGCGACTGGCGCGCCGCCGCCCGTCAATCCAGGTGAGCTTGGAAGTGCGAACAGAGAAGCTTCAATTGCTGACATTGAGCGTAGATGATACACAAATCGAGCAGCCAGACACGCCCGCTCCCGTATTCGCCGCACGAGCTTTCAAAACAGCCTTGTTTGGAACGCCGGCAGCTCGCGATCAAGTACTCGAGGAGGCAGACAACAACAGCCAAGCGAAGACCGCCAAAGACGATGACGATGGATTCAAGTCTCCGACGAAACCAGCCGGCATTCTTCTGACGCCTGGCACTGGCACGACGCGTCGAAAACGCGTTTCCTTTGGCCGTGATGTCAAGGATCACAAGACTGCAATTGGGGCTAAGGACGATGGAACATCGAAACTGCGACCACGGACTAAGTTGACTGAAGCTCTGGAAAATGCACGCAAGCAGCGAAATAGACCAGCTAAGGCTGACGGCAAGATTGCAGAATCCCAGGCCAAAGATCCTGAGGACGCCTGGGAGGAGGTGGACGATTTGGAGATGGATGCTGATATCACGGTCGACCTCAATGAGCCTCATTCCCAATCAGGACGGTACTGGAAGTCCGAATTCCAGAAGTATCACGAAGAAGCCAAGGCAGAAATGGAGAAGCTGGTTAAGTACAAGCATCTCGCAAAGTCTTACGCTAAGATGAAGGATGCCGAGGCTCTAAACTTGAACCAGAAACTCAGGGAAGAGCAGGAAAAGGTCTCACGGATGGAAGGAAAGGTGACTGAACTCGCTGGACGCCTTGCGACTCAGCGGTTGAAGGGCTCGAGTAGCAACGACGAGGAAATGATGGAAGATCTCGCGCGACAAACGGCTCTGGCTGTTCAGTATCGAGAGCAGGTGGAGGAGCTGGAGTCTTTGCTCAAGACTGGCCAAATCGAAACAGGCGAGTGTGGTAAACGACGTCGACAAGTTGCTTCACCTCGCACCGCAAAGACGCTCCTTGACACGCAGCGAGAACTTAGAAAGGCCCGAGAGCAGGTTAAGGAGCTTGACAGACTTCGGGGAGATGTCCAACGTTTGAAGGCTGATCTAAGATCTGCAGAACAGCGAGAACTCAAGCTAGAAGTTGAGCATAAGAGGATTGCGGCAGACCTTTCAAAGAGTACGTCTAAAATTGCCGAGCTCGAGGGCCGTTTGAAGAGATCGGAGGAAGAATGTGAGAGAAAGGATGGCCACCTCCAGAAATTGAAAGCAGATTACAACACCTTGAAGGAGAATGCCAAGGCACGATACGCAGAGGCAAGAGAAGTGCTTAACCGGAAGAACGAGGAGATCGACGAACTCAAGAACGAGATCCGTTCCTTGAAAACAAGCGATGCCGAGATTCTTAAGCACGACATAAAGTCTTTGACTTCTAAGCAACACGACTCGAACGCGCGGTCAAAGAAACTCGTAGACTTGCAAGCTAAATTGAAGGCGGAGCAAGATGCGCGCCAGCGGGAGAACGAAGATGCTAGCATCACGATTAATCGGCTAGAAATGGAGGTCAAGGATAGGACTTATGGCCGAGCCTCTGATAGACGCGGTGCTGGAAAGAGCTCAAGTTTGAATCTACGTCAGAATGGCAGTCGCAACAGCAATGAGGGGATTGGTCGTGTACTCGCCGAGAAGGCCCAGCCCGAGGCACCTCGCCCTGCATCTTCGACATTACGCCAGGAAAGCAGGAAGACTTCAGCGGCAATCTTAGCTGATCTTGATGACCAAGAGAATCTAGACGCGCTTATAAAAGACGTTGATGCTAGAGTCGCAAGTCTTACAAGCGGCCTAAGACGGTCGGATTCTGCCAAAGCCAGACTCACAACGAAACCTCGGCTTTCTCGCACGTCTCTTCATGACGATAAAGTTGAGAGTCGAGCGAAGACTACTATTCCTGAGGTACAAGCTGCACTGGACGCATTGCGTCCATCGTCGGCCGAGAGTGAAGGCCCTCGAATCGATCTTCTGCAAGGCAGATTCAGAAAACTCGGAGGCCCTTCCAATATTGATAGTAGTAATCTTTGGGCAATGAATACTTCGCGAAGTACCCTTCCACCCAATCGACGGGCTGCTGCACTGGCGCGCCTGGAGCAGAAGAAGGCGGAGCGGAGGAAAGCCCAGGAGAGTGTTTTGTACAAAGAGAATGCCAGGTTCTGATGAGGATGAGGATAGTGTTCAAAGCATCGCGTGGCGTAAAGGCTGTCTTAGGGAATGGGTTTTGGGTTGTTCTAGGTAAGCCGAAGTATACGGCAGACGCTGTTTGGAGTTAGTTGTTGAATTAGAGCTCTTTTGCCCCGCAATCTACTTAAGTTCAGTCTTCTTTCAATTCACTTTTCAACTTTGACTTGACCACAATGAGTGCTCGCCATGAGTATGGACTCGGCAATTTCCGAGCGTCTTGATGATGTGTCTATTGAGGATATCGAAGCTAAGATCGAGGAGCTTGAGAGCAGGATAGCTCAGGCCAGAAGCCACTTACGCTCACGCAACGGACATGATAAATCTCATGAAGAGCCTAGACAGCCAGGTAGGTGTCTTGATACCTCAAATACAGAGATGCCGTGCAGCTGACAATTGTCGAGTCACTCCACAAGCATCCTTGTCAAATCACTTCCTTCTGCTGCTTGCAGATTCGGCGCTTCCTCTCGGGTCCTTCGCATTCAGCAGTGGCTTGGAGTCGTATCTTGCGCACACGCGCGGCACGTCTTCGTTCTCTGCCTTCCTGCCCGTTTCTGTCTCATCGTATGCCTCAACCACACTACCTTTCGTGTTTGCGGCGTACAGAAACCCTAGCTCAATAGCGGAGCTCGACGACTGCCTTGATGCTGCCATTATCTGTACGGTTGGTCGGCGTGCTTCTATTGCTCAAGGGCGCGCTCTCCTCGGTATCTGGGAGAGGTCATTTGCTTCTTCGCTCCCGCCCAGGGCAGTGGAGGCACTGAAGCCATACTCCTCCCTGCTTCGGTCCAGCTCCAGCTATTCCAGCACCAACGAGGCAGCAGATACTCTGCCGACGGTTTCGGCACATCTTGCGCCATTATTCGGCGCCGTATCAAATCTGGTGGGCCTGAGCTTACAGCAGACTGCATACGTCTTCATGCTCGGCCACATCAAGGCCCTGATATCGGCTGCGGTACGCGCAAGCATGTTTGGGCCATATCAGGCACAGAAAGTCCTTGCTAGCGCTGAAGTCCAAGGCATGATCACGGCGATGATTGAACGAGAGTGGAATACCCCTATAGAAGAGGCTGGCCAGAGTGTACCGGTTATGGATCTTTGGTTTGGAAGACATGAAGTACTGTACTCTAGGATATTCAATAGCTGATTCACATGTACATCTTGAAGCGTATAGAAAGTTTCAGACATCAATTTGAAGTCAATATGGTATCATTTTATAGTCGTCTCCGTAATATACATATCCCATGGCCTAATAATACACCAAACGCCTTAATCACTGTCGCTATCGTAAGATACTAGAGGCCCGGCAGATGCGGTGGCTTTAGGCTTTGACGCGACAGCGACCTTAGCTGAATTCAAAGCAGCCAGAGTGTTGCTGGAAAAGATGCCATTGCCCTCGACAGGCTGAGCTGGCTCGATCGCGAGTTGCTCCCCGTCGAGCTCGCCGCTCTCGATCATCAATCGCTGCTCGTGTTCGAGTTCATATCCATCCCTTCCCAGGGGATTGACAGCATTGGAGCCACGGGCAAAATGCACTTCATCTGGCGCTTCGTATCCTTCCAAGCCATAATTGCTCTCGAGCTTGCGGCGTTTCCTTGCCTCTGGATCCCTCCCTTCAATCTCTGCAATATACTCTGCAGGGAGTGCACGTCTAATCGCCTCTGCCGCCTGTTCCTCGATCCGTCTAGCTTCTCTTGCCTGAGCCATGGGATTCGGATCGGCTGTCGCCCAGCGCACGTTCAGTACTTCTTCGTGGTCCAGAGCCTGATGGGCCATTGCCTCCTTCGCAAACTGGGCATTCGCCTCGTTTGTGTATGTTATGAAGGCGACGCCACGGGTATTGAGGACTCTGACACGCTCAACCTGACCCCATTCCGCAAAGTGTCGAGACACAATCTCCTCGATATCGTCAGTGACATGTATCCTCCCCACGTAGATCGTTCTGTTCTGTCGCATGAAGCTTCCAACGCCACCCATATCATCTCGGTAGTCTGAAAACTTGTCCCGCCCAAAACAGTCAACGTTGGGATTGAAGATGTCGTGTATACCGGGAAGCCGGTGGAGGTACTCGCAGTCCTGGCCTCTCGGGCATACACCGCGCGCGAAAAAGAGACAGAAATAGCTCCCAGGGACCTTATCTGCCTTGGTATATCCGCTGTCCTTTGCGATATTGCATCGTCCTTTCGCTGGCGTCTTTGACAGATACTTGTCTTCGCGATCGCCACCCGACCATTTGTTATACCAGATATTGAAGATCGTACCAGTTTGCGGTGGTGGTTCCGACTTGATCAAGGCAGGGTCGATTTGCGGTCTTGCCGGGCGCTTCTTCTTCCGTATGATCTTCTTCACCTTCTTTTCCGTCGGCGCAGCAATCTCGGTACTCGTCGTGGTTAGCGCGAGCTCCTGGTTTTCCTCGACTTCGTCGGCCATCTTTGCACGTTCTGCAGTGTTGAGGTGCTGCAAGATCATTGCGCTGGCGGCAAAGAAAAGCCTAGGCCAAGACTGTGGCGTAAGCCGCTTTGGGTAGGCGGTGAGAAAGGAACGTGGCTGCGATTATGTGATTCTAACCCCACTACGAAATTCTGCCCACCTCGACGCTTCGCAGATATACTTTCAGGCCGTTTTCCCTCATCCTCATATCGCCCTCAAAGAGATTTGGGTTGCTGATAGCCCACTTTGATGACTTTTGTTTGCTTTTAGTTCGGTTGATATACCCCGTCGTCAAGATGGTGAACATTACAGAAAAAATTAAGGAGTATGTCTGCTTCTTGCGCGTTACAGAACAAGGCGGGGCTAATCTTCGTCTAGGATCGAGGATGAGATGAGGAGGACCCAAAGTAAGGAGTTCCTCAGTCTTACGAAGGGTTCAGTGTTATGTGTCATCACCAGAATATCGATGTGTTTGTCGATGCCTGGTTATAGGATCATTCTACTGGCCCCTGGTTTTTAGCTGGCACGGGCTAATGTACTGATTCTTTCATAGAAAACAAGGCAACCGGTAAGTTTCACCATGACTCAAGTAAAAATCATATCGCTTACAGTTTCAGAATATCATTTGGGTTTATTGAAAGGGTATGTTGACAATATCAACGAGGACAACTATATGGACTGACCCACCTCGCCAGAAAGCTCGCTCGTCTCCGTGCACAACTTTTAGAGCCAGGGCCAGGTGCTGGAGGAGGCGGCGGTGCTGGATTTGATGTGAGCAAGAGCGGAGATGCAAGAATAGCTCTTGTGGGCTTTCCTTCTGTAGGAAAGTCTACATTTTTATCCAAAGTCACCAAGACGAGATCTGAAGTGGCCGCATACGCTTTCACAACGCTGACGGCAATTCCGGGTGTGCTGGAATACGGAGGCGCCGAGATTCAACTACTAGATTTACCCGGTATCATTGAAGGAGCTTCTGAAGGTAAAGGTCGAGGTCGCCAAGTCATCTCAGCCGCGAAGACTAGTGACTTGATATTGATGGTACTCGATGCGACCAAGAAGGCAGAGCAAAGAGCACTGTTAGAAGCGGAGTTGGAGGCCGTTGGAATTCGGCTGAACAGAGAGCCCCCGTACGTCTAAGATGCGCCATTTTCATAATGATCTGCCAGCTTACAGTACTAGAAACATCTATCTCAAGCCGAAGAAAGCTGGCGGAATGAAGATAACATTCCAATCACCTCCGAAGAACCTGGATGAGAAGATGATCTACAACATTCTCCGAGACTACAAGATACTGAATTGTGAAGTTCTCGTCCGGGACGAGAATGCCACAGTTGATGAGTTTATCGACGTGATAATGAAGGATCATCGAAAGTATATCAAGTGCTTATACGTGTATAACAAGATCGACAGCGTCTCATTAGACTTTCTCGACAAGTTGGCGAGGGAACCTCAGACGGTTGTGATGAGTTGCGAATTAGACTTGGGGATCCAGGACGTTGTGGATCGGTGCTGGAAAGAACTCAGACTCATCAGGATATACACAAAACGAAAAGGTGTCGACCCGGATTTTGGTGAAGCCTTGATCGTCCGGAGTAACAGCAGCATCGAGGACGTTTGCGATCGTATACACAGGACGCTCAAGGATACCTTCAAGTACGCCTTGGTTTGGGGAGCGAGTGCACGGCATATACCGCAACGAGTAGGGCTGGGTCATGTGGTAGCAGATGAGGATGTTGTCTACATAGTTAGCGGGTGGAAGGCTTGAGTCAAAGAAGACGATGTGAAATAGGCGTTTTAGCAGCATATCACCGAGGCATCTTTGCGATTTTGAGAAGTCATGTCGTCAATTCGTGTCGTTACAAGGTTTTTGTCCTAGTATAGCCGGTTCTAGTGGATCCCAAAACGCCGAAACTTGTTCCCAGGTCCTTCGAAAGCAAGAAGACCTCATCATCAAAAAACCAGGGTGTGCCTGTGCTGGCGTATTTTGCGGATTAATACAACTCGTGGCGGTGGAATGGAATTAGGTAGAGAGAAGAAGGTGAGCCATTGGGTGATTTATAGGTTCTTGGTCCCGAACAATCCCTCGCCCTCGAGTTTCTTAGCAGACGCTTGGGCGAATAGAGACTTGGGCTTGACCCTGTATTATGATCAGCAATGTGGTACACTTCACGTAGCAGGTAAACCTACTTTCCGACCTGCTTGTTGCGCAGAGCATTGAGCTTTGCGGTACAGGGGCTCATAATGTTGTCGGAGGGAGAGATGTATTGCTTGGTCCTACAATATGGTGAGTGAGTACTGCGAGCATTGCACGATCTCAATATATCTTACTGGGCCTCTTCCATCTTAGACTGTAGAACCTGGCGATGGTATTCCATGCTCTTGATTGAGGACTTCGAGTTGGACTCCTGTGAGGTCATAGTTGCGTTGACGTCCTTCGCTGACAGCACGTTCGTAGACATATTAGCGATAGCAAGGATGCGTTCTGGAGGAAGTTTTGGTATGATGAAAGTGTGCAGCTAGAAGTGACTGATTCTGTCTCTGCAACCTTAAGATGCACAATAGAACCGGATCTTTGCGAATTGGGGGTTGATAGTAAGTGAGAGCTTGCAAAAGGTGTGCCTCGATTTTCCCATGAAGTTGCCAGTCTGAATTTAAAAGGCAGATAGACAAAGGCCTTGCATCCCAGGAATGCGCTTTGTTGGTAGTGTTGATTTTCCTGAGTCACATTGGCGGGGCAACCCAGGCTTCGTCCGCTGCCAGGTGGGCTTTTGATGGTGGGGCTACTATGCCCTCCGGCACACCTGATCCAATTATCGCAAACAAGAACCAGCATCATGTAGCATTCACCGTGAAACAAAAATTATATGTGCATCATGTCCCCTTGAAGGTGGTCTGTCCATTGGCCCAGAAAACATAATCTATTTGAACAGACACGTCTGTGGGTGTACACAATTTATCAATGTTTCGATGACCGGGTGATCTACCTAGGTATTACATTCTCTGCCGCTGATTGAATTATATCTTACAACTTGGACTTGGCAATATTGGAACCTGGTTCAGCGTACTTGACGCCGTACTGCTTCAAGAGCTGGTCGGTCTTCTGCTTTTGTGCCAGTATTTTGGCCGTCACTTCCTTACCACGCTTGTTCTCGTTACGGCCCATTTGTGCAAGGTGGACCTCATCCGGTCCATCAGCAAGTCTCAGTGTCCTGATACCTGCCCACATGTATGCTAATGGCGTATCCTGACTGACACCGGCGCCTCCAAATGCCTGCACAGCTCGGTCGATGACTGTCAGCGCCATTTGTGGGATCAGAACCTTGGCCTCTGCAATTTCCTTCAGAGCGGCCTTGGGACCGAAGTCATCCATCTTGATAGCGGCATTGAGTACAACCATTCGAGCAGCGTCAATTTCAATGCGAGACTTGGCAACCCACTCTAGAATGACGCCGTGCTCTCGTAGCTGCTTTCCGAAGGTTTTCTTTTTGGGATCGTTGATCCTCATGAGCATCCACTCAAGTGCTTTCTCGGCCTACGACAGGACATTAGCAAGCATTCTAATCTGTGTATGTTGTGACTCCTTACAGCGCCAATAGAACGCATAGCGTGGTGGATACGACCTGGCCCTAGGCGTCCCTGAATGATCTCGAATCCCCGTCCTTCTCCAAGTACCATACTGGTGACCGGCACACGCACGTTCTTAAAGGTGATATGGCCATGTCCATGGGGAGCATCATCGTAGCCGTAGACTGAAAGCATACGGTGAATAGTGATACCCGGAGTGTCCGCTGGCACCAAGACCACTGATTGCTGCTTGTAAGGGTCCTTGTTTTGGCCATCGCTCTTGCCCATCACGATATAGATCTTACATCTCGGGTCACCGGCGCCGCTAGACCACCATTTCTGTGGCAAAGGTGTCAGCCGTATGTCACTGGAGCTATATATGGGGAAACATACCTGACCGTTGAGAACATACTCATTCCCTTCCTTTTCAATGCTCAGCTCAATGTTCCTGGCATCCGATGATGCAACTTGGGGTTCTGTCATGAGGAATGCGGAGCGAATCTCTCCGTCCATCAGGGGCTTCAACCATTGAGCCTTCTGTGCATCGTTGCCGTACTTGGCAAGGACCTCCATGTTGCCTGTGTCGGGTGCCGAGCAATTGACTGCCTCTGACGCAATCTTGGACTTGCCGAGCCACTCGGCCATCAGGCCATACTCGAGATTGGAGAAACCGGGAGACTCCTTATAATGCCCTTTTGGGAGAAACATGTTCCACAAACCAAGGGACTTTGCCTTGACCTTGAGGTCGTCCACGACTGACGGGTGGTGATCCCATCTTGCGTCTCCTTGCCCGACCTGGGCTTCCAGGACTGGATCAGCACTGAACACAGACGTTAACTAGTCAGCATTGGATAGCAACGACAGGCTAACTTACGGGATGCATTCTTCCTCGACGAATTTGGCGACGAGGTCAAGGGTCTTCTTGGCCCGATCGCTGACACGACCCTGCACCTAGACAAGAGTCAGCAAGGACAATCAAACTGTAGCGACGTTTCGACAGAGGCGGCAACGCACTATAACTGGTATTTGGGAGGACATCCTGAGAAGACTGGGCAATAAAATGATTTACAGAACAGATTAAAGAGCTAACTAAATCACCCCGGGGTCACAAGTCAAACTTAAGAGAACCGTCGGGGTAGCTCCCATTGAACCATCATTCGATTTCAAGCTGGGGTGCAGGTGTTGCCGACGGTTGCTGTCTCTAGCTTATGAGCCTGCCGAGGTAAGGCGGATGGAGACAGCAATGGCAGCGGGGTTTGGTGCCACTGAGCAGGGTGACCAACGCCTGAAACGGCCTGGCTCGGGGGCCGCCAAATTGGAGGCGCCTGCATCTGGGGAACCTGGGCCGTGGTAATGCAATTCCTCCACCGGAGCCTGAGCGGAGACGGAGGCGGAGATAATTTCATCCGGGTACAAGGAAAAGGTCCCTAGGTTTGCAGGTGCCCAGTGCCCGAAGATCTGCTTCTATCCGCAAACGAAAGAGAGCGAGCTGGAGCTAGTCCTAAACGGAAGATCCCGTCGCACCTTAGACTCACCTACATTTCACCTGCAACGCGTGCATCACGGCGCATTTTGAGCCTCACTCGCTCCACCTACAAACGGCACACCTATCTTTTCTAGAACGTTCCGCATCACTCCTGTAGTGTCAGGAAATCGCAGTGCATCTGAAGCTGTTGTCGATGCCTGTATGATCGTTCCCTAGGTTTTTTGTTGGTGTGGCACCCTGTGCCTGGGCTCATCGATCACAATGTCTACGACCGGTCAGCAAAGTGCAGGTGCTGGGCAAACGGGAGGTGCTTATGGTAACCAAGCCCAGCATGCAAGTGGTGGGGCAGCTGGTAGCGGAGGGGCGGCGACGACATCAACACCGTCTGCAGCAAACCTCAATCAGATTGTGAGTAACTGATGATTTTGCGAAGCCTGTCGTTTATTTTCTACACCTGGCTCCTCTCCCACAACCCATCCCCGCCCCGTTCATTCTCACCACACCGATTGCACGACACTTTGTTGAGCTCTAAGAGGCCGTTTACCGGCAATATCTCAAGCCAAGAAGTCTCGTGGTGGCACACAGCGCCCTCCTGATTTCCATCTTCCCGGATTAGCTTCTGAAGAGTTCGATTATCAGCCAGCATCGCTCCCAGGCAATGGACAACCCAGAGCTAATGCGTCAAGCCGTTCTTTTGTGTGCCCTTTTTTTGTTCTTTTAAATATTGTGCTAAGACTCCGCCACACCACTTATCGACAGTCTTGTGAAGGCTGGCCATTGCAACCAGAGCTAACAGTTAGACAGGTTACGGATTACCTGCTTAAGAGGGGTTTCACTCAAACTGAGGAGGTTTTCCGCAAAGAATCATCTAACCTTGGCCCCGATGGGAAGCCAATCCATCAGAAGGTAGAGGAAATGGGACCCAAGAAATACGTAGAGGCTTTCAGTCTTCTGAATGACTGGATCGAGAATAACTTGGATCTTTACAAGGTCTGTGTCCCTCAACTCATCATTATACACGGCTAACATATCATCAGTTCGAGCTGAGCAAGTTCCTATGGCCTGTTTTTGTCTATTCGTATCTGGAGCTTGTGGAGAAGAAGTACACGGACGATGCCAAGAACTTCTTGAACCGCTTCAAGCCTCACTTTGAAAACATTCATGGGGATGACCTTCGGACTTTCTCGACCGTCACTCTTCCTCCCCACATCCAGGAGAATGGCACGACCAAGCTGTACAGATCGCACAAATATCGCATTCCGGTTAACGCGCACGTTGAGAGGATCTTAATGCACTTTTTGCACAGGGAGTTTGATGCCGGTGGCCAGGTAATCCTGTCCTTACTTGCTCGATTCTGCCATGTCGACGCTACTGCTCGAGGTCCTATCGACCCGTACAGCTTTGAAGCCATTTACCGCCGAACTCAGAACCTAGATTTAGATGAAGTCGATCAGCAAGAAGGTATTCCGGGGGTCTTCACAGGTGTTACTAACCGTAAAATCCTTGAGGATGTGCCCTTAAGATTAGGGCCTTTACCTATGGAGTCAGAGCTGAGGGATGACGTTCGAGCCGAGCTTGAAGAAGAAGACCAACGAAACCCGCCAGCTGACGGTCGGCCTACTCTTGTCGATGAGTTTGATCGAAAGATCAAACGAGAGGATAGTGCCGATGGACCGAGTCGTGCCGACCTCCCCCTCCCTCCATCAAGAGCCAGAGACGTCGTTATGGAGATGGAAAAGATTCGAGAGAATAGAGACCGATTCAAGATCGAAGGTCGGACTGGAGGTGTTGGCATACCGGTATCTGTATGCATGTTCACTTTCCACAACACCTTGGGGAGGTAAGTCTCAATCATTCTCACCCTAACGTTCTCCCATGCTAAGAGTTTCGCGCGATTATAGTGTCTCATGTATGGACTTTTCCAAAGATCACGAGCTGGTGGCGGCGGGTACTATGGACTCCTACATTCGAGTGTGGACCTTGGATGGCAGCCCCTTGAAATCAAAACTTGCGACCGAAAAAGACCTGAAGGTCAACAATCGCAAGTTGATCGGCCATTCAGGCCCTGTCTACGGCGTTTCTTTCTCTGACTCCATCTCTACCGCCACACATTCATCATACGGGGAAGACGGGAATGCCGTGGAGACTAATTCCAAACTACTCCTTTCGTGCTCTGCCGACGGCCAAATCAGACTTTGGTCACTGGATGTCTGGAGCTGCCTCTGTATCTACAAGGCGCACGACGGACCCGTCTTCAGAGTTCTTTGGGGCCCTCACGGACATTACTTTGCTACTGCTGGTTGGGATAAGACGGTCCGCATCTTCATGCAAGATCATGCATCCGCCCAGAGAGTTTGCGTTGGACACGATACAAGCATCTCAGCCATCGCCTGGCATCCCAATGGAACCTACGTCTTCTCAGCGTCAGACGAGACCGATAAATCGATCCGCATGTGGTCAGTTGTAACTGGCCAATGCGTCAGGATCTTTACAGGCCACACCGACTACGTCAGCGCACTAGAGTGTGCTCCAAATGGCAAAATTCTTGCAAGCGCCGACACTGGAGGAAACATCTTCTTCTGGGACCTGTCAAAGGGAACGCGCATCAAGCGTTGCCGAGGACATGGTAAGGGAGGCATCCCATCTCTTAGCTTCAGCGTAGAATCCAATATTCTCGTGTCTGGTGGCCTAGATGGCAGCGTCCGTGTTTGGGATGTTGAACTGCCCGCAGATGGGACCAAAACTACTGCTATTGGTGCTACTCCTTTGGCTGCACAGCCGCCGCAGCTGGATGGTACCGGAGCCGTGGGTGATACAGTCACGGTGGGTGGTCCTTCGGATCGATCTATCACTGTTGGCGGCCAAACTGCGCAGCCATCGACGACCGCCACAAGTGGAGGCAGCGGAGGGACTGGGAAGAAGAAGGGGAAGGAGGTCATGATCACACCGGATCAGATAAGTGCTTTCCCGACCAAAAAGACCCCTGTAATGAAGGTGAACTTCACGAGAATGAATCTGGTAGTCGCCGGAGGTTGTTTCGATCCAGAGAGACCTTAAGGCTTGATTTAAGAGAAGCATATATCGGCCAAGGTCTCTAATAGTCGGATGGATACCACCAACAAGATCGCGTGTGTGAGGGTTTTGGCGTATGGCGATGGTCGGGGACCCAAGTTGCTTTCTCCAGGCATTGAGAATAAGTGCTCGGCGTTGGAGAGCACAGCTGTTCGAGTAATTGTACGTCTACGGGGGCAATCAAAATTACTGCTGGTCAAAGCAGTATATATGGTTTTCAGAATTAGCGAGTAAACAGGAAATTGCATTCCTTTGCGAGGTTCTGACAATTGATTCTCATGCATGCTGTTCCATGCGATTCCTGCCATATTGCCTACGACCCCGACTATGGGTAGAGTGGGTGGTGCAGTTCCAAGGGTGCCCCACGTCACTGGAGTAGCGAATCATAAACAGCAAGCTATGGCCGCCTGCCCAGGTGCTCTTCAGCCTGCATTAGATCAGTCTACGTACGTACCACCCACCTACAGCTCTCATCGGAGCTCTCCCATCATCCCCCACCACGCAATTCTCGGGGTTTCAGTCTTGCGACTTCACCATCATCATCGTCGCGACCGACCACTTAGCACCGGTAGGATGGATCCTCTAGGTGAGAGCCCATGGGCGGACTCTGCCGCCCAGGCTTCATCTACTCAACCCGAATCCTCGGAACCTAGCGCAGCCAAGTCCCCGACCACCGCAGCCACGAGTTCAAACGCGCGCAGCTCCAGGCTCACCCCCCGACGCCTCGTCGCACAACCCACGAGGCTCCAAGCTGTTGAAGATGACCCATTGGGTCCTCTTGGAGGCGGTGGTGGTCCGCTGGGCGGTGATGTCCCAGCCGAAGCGGCACCGCCTATTCCTCCGCTCAAGGAGCAGCAGATGAATCTGCCAGTCCGCACCACCATGCCGTCCCAACAGCAACCTAGACCCGGTCCTGCGGATCCGCATCGAATTGATGAGGAGGATGGCGAGGGCTCGTTCGCTCGTGGGCCCCGCGTCCCGCCGCCCGTCCAGCCGGCGCAGCCGAGTCCCATACGGACTAACACTCTGCCCAGTGTCAGTGTCGAGCAGGCATCGAAGCCAATGTTCCATATTACCGTTGGCGACCCGCACAAGGTTGGCGATCTTACAAGCTCACACATCGTGTATGCTGTTAGAACACAGGTACGGTCATACTCGTCCCATCGTTTCCTTCATGCTAACTCATAAATAGACAACTTCAAAGGCATATAAGCAACCGGAGTTCGAGGTGAAGAGAAGATATCGAGACTTCCTATGGCTGTACAATACCCTACATGCAAACAATCCTGGAGTAGTTGTTCCGCCTCCTCCTGAGAAGCAAGCTGTGGGTCGGTTCGAGAGCAACTTCATCGAATCTCGACGAGCTGCTTTGGAAAAGATGTTGAACAAGACAGCAGCACACCCCACATTGCAGCACGATTCAGATCTTAAGATTTTCCTCGAGAGCGAGGCTTTCAATATTGATGTCAAGCACAAGGAGCGCAAAGAGCCAAATCTTGGAGAGAGCAAGGGGTTAATGAGCAGCCTAGGCCTCAGCGTCGGTGGTGGCAGCAAGTTCGTTGAGCAAGACGATGTAAGTTTTAATTACCGCGAGTGATGTATAGACCAACCGGCTTACTTTGGATAGTGGTTTCATGATCGCAGAGTCTATCTTGACGCCCTCGAAAGCCAGTTGAAGGGCTTGTTGAAGGCAATGGAGACTATGGTTGCTCAACGGAAGGCGATGGCAGAAGCTGCAGGTGATTTCTCGGCGTCTCTGCATGCCTTATCTACTGTCGAGCTGTCACCTACACTTTCAGGGCCTCTAGATGCCCTATCGGAACTCCAGATTACCATTCGGGACATCTACGATCGGCAGGCCCAACAGGACGTCTTGACCTTTGGTATCATTATCGAGGAATATATCCGTCTCATTGGCAGTGTGAAGCAAGCCTTTACCCAACGCCAAAAGGCATTTTACTCCTGGCATGCAGCCGAGTCCGAGATGCAGAAGCGGAAGGCCAACCAGGACAAGCTGCTCAGACAAGGAAAATCCCAGCAAGACCGCCTTAACCAGATCAGCGCGGAGGTAGCAGACGCTGAGCGCAAAGTACATCAAGCGCGTCTGTTGTTCGATGACATGGGGCGGCTGATGCGCGCTGAGCTTGACAAATTCGAGCGCGAGAAGGTCGAGGACTTCAAGTCTGGCGTCGAGACTTTCCTTGAGAGTGCTGTGGAGGCACAGAAAGAGGTATGTACGCATGTTGCCAAAGCATGACACATCACACTAACAAATGCCACAGCTGATCGAGAAGTGGGAAACTTTCCTAATGCAGTTGGATGCTGAAGACGATGAGACGGTCTTCTACAGGCCACCAGTCTTCCAGGCCTCTGACAAGCCTGCTGGTGACACAGCCGTCGACCGAGCACGAGCTCGTATTGATGAGGATTCTGACTAAAGAGATGGTTCATTGCGAGTCTTATATGTTAGCCACCCGTCATCGGAATCGGTGCAAAGTTGTATGGAGTCTGTTGAGAATCAAATGCCTTCAAAATGGGAGAGGTTTTGTCACCCCTGTATTGTCTCAGTATTGTACATAGCACAAAGTGCCGCTGCATGATTTCCTGCCTTCGCGGCCTAGTATTATACAGGACATCCATCACCGTTCTAATCGAGCCCGATACGATTATTTCTTCTTCTTTGTTGACTTGTCCGCTCTCGCCTGATCCTTCGCACTCATGCCACCAGCTTTTACATTCGGATCATTCGCCGCATATCCACTGATGAGGTCGCCTAGTATATCGATTGGGTCCTGTGCCTTCGCCGGCTCTGCCGACTCGATCTTCTTGTCTGACGAAGAGGTAGCCTCTTCTGCACCGGGAGCGTCCGCCACGTCCCAAGAGCGGCCGAATCGCTCACGGAAAGCCGCTAGCTTTCCTGCCTCGTCGACCTCGAGGTTGCGCAGCGACTTCTCGGTCGGCTGCCACATGAGATGGTTGCGACTGTCCTTGGTGGACTTGTAGAGCGCCATCGGCGAGGTCGTGCGCACCGTGTACGTGCTGCCGTCGCTGAGCTGTACGAGCTGTGTGAACTGGTACGGCCTCCGCGGGCGGTGGATCTTCGTGGCGTGTCGCACTTGTGAGCTCTGTATGGGGAGATTTGGCTGCGCCGAAGCGCTGGTGGTTGTTGGTCGACATGAAGATGTCAGGAGAGAGGTCGACCTCCTTGGGAGGAGGGAGGTCGGTAGTTTCGCCATTGGCAATCACCGGTTGGCAGTCCTTCTGTAGTAGCAGCAGACGTGTGGAGCGAAATCAGTTGTAGTTTCGACGCAGCTATAAGGCGGACATCGTCGCGTGCATGCTGATGCTGCGCATTGGATGGTGGTGGAGTTGCAGTTTGGGGAAGGTTTGGAAGGTTGAAATTTTGATACGGCGGACGAAACGAGACATTTGCGCTATCGTTATCGGAGCTCCTATAGCACCGTTGTAGATACAACACCGTCATGGTGTAGCCGAAAAATTCCCCAAGCCACCACAGACGATTCAAACCAACAACCGTGCGAGCTGCCTCTCAATTGGCGTGAATGGGCTGAGATGAGGGGTCGCCGCATCTTGGGCTGTACAGCCAGATGCGCCGGGTTGCAATATGGCCCAAAGAAGCCAGCTCTGAGGATGCCGCTCTTGCATGGCTTAGAGCTCGGTTCTACCATCCCGGGCATCGGCCGGGGAAACAAGGCCCTCTGTGCGAACAAGATCCCAAACTGCACAAACTTTCGGTTAGCTAACCTCATATGTAGACTCACAGTCAATCGCACTGAGGCATTCTCAAGATGGCTGGAAGTACAGTCCTGCCGAAGGACCCTCTGTCCACCCGCATTCCTCCAGTCACGAATCACTCCCGCTGCCCGAGCAGCTCCGCGGTTTAATGAGGCTCCTTACACATTCCGTTGTGGTCTGTACGGCACGGGGCGCACAAGATCAGTCTCCCCGAGCGATGACGATGTCCTCCTTCACCTCCCTGTCCCTCCGACCGACCCCTGTCGTGACCTTCAACATCGCTACACCGAGCAGGACGCTTGACGCCCTCGATGAGACTAAGGAGTTCAACATCCACGTGCTGGCGGGTGATGCATCTGGTGCCAAGGTTGCGGACTGGTTCAGGAGGGGGAACGCTCAGCCGTTGCATGTCTTTGACCACTTGGACGCTTGCGATTGCAAGCTTGACGAGGCTCAGGGGTCTACACAGTATCCGAGCTCGGTTGCCCCGTTACTGCGCGGCCCTGGCATCATGTATGTGCTACGCTGCAAGCTCCTAGAGGAGCCGCTTGGGGGCGTGGTCAAAGTCAAGGATCATGTCATTGTTCTCGGCGAGGTGCTCGAGATTCTCGAAGGACAGACGACAGATGAGCAAAACCAGGAGCGATTTTCTTTGATGTACGCAGACCGAAGGTATAGACAATTGGGAGATGTGATGACCCCCAAGGCATAGCATTTCAGAGGACTCTATAGAAAGGGACGTGGGGGGGTTACAAAGTCGAGCGAACATACTCCTCCGGACTGCATTACAAGGCGTTGGTGTATCATTAATCGGCTGGCGTTGGGACGTGGACGGATACACTCCAATCTATGTTTAAGTAGCTTGTAACATCTGATGACAAGTGGTATTTCATCAATTTGAAGTATCTGCCAAAAATGAAGAAAATATTCGCCTCAATTGTTTGTTCTCCTGACGACTAAAACTACCAAAGAGCCGTGCGATGAGAACGATGGGAATATGCGTCACGGTATATGATTTTACATACTAGTCAGAACTCTGCCTAGTATTCAACTGCTCTATGTACAAGCCATTTTATCGTTCTGTTTGAAAAATATGGACAAACTTCAACTTTAATTCCTTACTACTAAACGCCTGAATGCAATACAAGAACGGCCCCTTCTTTTGAGAGAAAAATTGTTTCAACCCGCACCTGTTCTCAGCTTGAAAAGCTTGATTCGGGAACGGAAGTTGAAGATTAATTGTGAAGGCAGGGAGTCGTAAAGCCAAATCCAGCCGTCAACCATACCGACTAGGATAAGGTGAAACCCTCACATCAGCATGTGGCCGCCTCGCAGCTTGCGGTGTAAATCGGATGGTGTGGACAAGTGAAGATACCACCCTCTTTGATCTTCTAATGCTGCCAAGATAGCCAATTACGTAGGACTGGCTTAACAGAAGGACTTTCCAGCACAAGTAGCCGTATCAATTTCAAGATGTTGACCATAAGGATTATCTAAGCTTTTCCAAGAGCAGAGTGAAGGTGTTTGCAAGAACGGCTACTCTGTCTCTCCAGTATCCTCCGTCACCATTGCAAATATCTTCTCCGACCTGTCAAGTTTGATGGCCCATTTGACGCCTTCAAATCCCGGTCGTGTCTTCACCACAACCTGAATGTCATCGTCCGGCTCCATGATCACCGTCGCAATATTGGTGTTGTTGGTAGTAGGAGCTTTCCATACCCCCTTAACTGGCGTCAAATCTAGCCTCGCTATGAATACAGCAACAACGGCAAGAATCTCGTTGGTGGCAAAGTGCCTGCCGGGACAGAGGGTCTTGCCGCCGCCGAACGCGCGGAAGCAGACATCGCGCGGGCGGTTCTGCTTCTCCTCGGGGAGAAACCTGCGCGGGTTGAAGTCGGTGACGTTTGCGCCCCAGAGGTCGGCGTTCTGATGGATGACACGGCTTGGCATTTGGAGCATTGAACCCTTCTTGAGCAGCCATTGGTCCAGATAGATGTCTTCCATCACCTCTCGCACCGATGTACCCATCGAGCTGTACCGGAGGACCTCTTGGTAGGCGGAGAGCAAGAGAGGACAGCCTTCCTTCAGCGCCGTTATGTCAACAGTCTTCCTGGTAGCGCCATTCTCCGTGGCCGTCTCGGTGCAGGCATCGATCTCTTTGCGGATATCTGCAAGGAGATCTGGGTGCGAGTTGAATAGAAACAGAGCCCAGAATGCTGCTGGCGCCGTGTTGACAAGGATCGCAAGTGAGCCTCCCACCTCATAGCGGGCAATGTCCTCCACCGGAACATTGTTGTCAACTCCTGATTGATAGCGGTCCCGAGCGAGAGCAGAAGCATCCTTTGCTCCCCCAGCTCTGTAGTATGCTTCGATGGCTTTAGAGACCTTCTTGAGTGCAGCAGTAGGCTTTCTACAGGTGATTGAAGGAAGGAAGCCGACCAGCAGTGCCATGAGCCCTTCTTCAAATACCCTAAGGATAGGATATCAGATTAACCCATAACTCTACTTCCATTTTCTATCACGAGCTCGTAATCCACTTACCAGAAAGCATCGGCAACGGACTTGTCATCATAAGGGTTCAGCGGACCATAGACCGACCTCGTCGTCGCAGTGGTGATGGCAGCCCTCAGCCAGGCGTACATGCCAATCTCTCGTGACTGACCTCTGGGCGGCTCCAGCAGGTCCAACGCCTTTGTGATTTCTTGGATCATGGCGTGGTTCAGATCGTCGAGCAGTGGGCCGGGCTTGAGCGCGTTCCGGATGGCCGCGGCAGACTCCATCGACAGGCCAAAGTCGCCCTCGTCGCCATTCACATTCACGCCCAAGATGGCCTGGGCTTCTCGGCTTGTTCCGCAGACCTTGGAGGCGAACTTGGCCGCGACAGGTGGGAACGCGAGCGTCTTGTGCTGCTTCTGGACCTTCTGAATGAGCTCCGGGGTGGTGGCCACATACATCTTCTGGCCCGGCAGTGGCATCGTGAAGAGCGGGGAGTTTACCCGCTTGCTGATAAAGGATGTCAGCAGATCTCATTATGATATTGATCACTTGCGTACCTAAGGTCGACATGGTAGTTGAATTTTGAGCGAGCCAGTCCTACCATATGCCCAATAATGGGGATGGACTGGGGAGCCAGCGGTGGCTCACGAGGGTCATGGCTGAATCTCTTACGAGCTACAACATAGGCAATAGTGACGACGCCGACGAAGAGAAGCAGGATGGTAGGACTTCCAGTGGTGAAGGCCATCGTATCAACTGGTTGAGAAAAGCGGAAGAGAATGCTACATGATGGTTGGGATAAGGCTGAACATGCTTTTGCCAGTCTTAGGATAGGAGCATGCAGCTCAACCCCTACACGGAGCGCCGAGCCTGTAGGATCCCCACAAGCGATTCGAATGGTGCTTTAGCTTGCGGCACGGCAGGGTTTGCGGTCAGATTATAGATCTTTGAAAGAACAAGGTCTATTGAGGCCATAAGGGCACGGCGATCTGGGACGCCTGCAATTGATCAACTTGTAAATCAGAGAATCTTTCCATTATGTCAGGACATGGTAGGTTGTATATAATAAGGATGACGATACTATAAAATGAGGTTTGCGATGAGTTGGGGTGGACTACGAGTTCCCTCTCTCTGGGATGGGCGTAACACTTTCGGCATTATCAAATGCAGTAACACCTTACTTTTTGATATAAACATTGTAGAAGTCATGATCAGCCTGACCAACTGGGGATGGGTTGTTTTCCCAGCCCCGAGGTCACCAAAAATGGCTGGTGGCTTATAGGCTGGGGAGAAGACCGCCCAATTGGAAGCGGAGTCAGCAGCCCTGAAGCGCTTAGGAGATTCCCAGGCGCCAAATCCACCCCAATCATTGCTGCCAACAATCTGCCATGATGGATGTGGAAGAGCGAAAGTGCACAAACTACCGAATGAAAGAAAAGACACAAAGCCATCGATCCGAGACAGACGCTGAAGAGACGCGCCAGGATGCAAGATGCAGCTGTTCAGGGGGTATTATACCGGTACCTCTGTGCGGCTGTTGATGGTGGACGATTGATGGCTGCACTAGTGAGGCTAAGGCCTGGCTTCGTCCTGTTTGACGGCTTTGTTACACTGTGCTACTAACTGCCTGACTAGCAGGTTAGCCAAGGAGGGAAGGGGACTTGTTCCCGAAAGCTTGCTCAATGCTCAGGGAGGGTCGGAAGGGGAAGGGCAAGGGGGGAGCCACGAGGAGGCTGCCGAAGGTTTGCACAAAGGAACGACACGTTTGGAACGTTTCCGAGAGTCTGGGACGGGAGGCTGTCGACCATGACGGAGTCGGCGCTGCTCCAGACTTACCTTGCCTTGCGCCGCAGTACTGTACCGACAGTTGTATCAGGTGAAGTATAGAGCATGAGCGGCATGTTTGGGATGTTCTTCCAGGCATGTTGAATCCATCCTTTGCCCTCCACCGAAAGTCAGATTCTGTCATGCGTGATTTTGAGTCAGCGGCGTCTCCAGATGTCTTGTCGCTTCCAGCAGTGTAGTTGAGTCAAGCCATGCCAGCGGCTGAGGCTGGATTTAGGATTATTAAGACGGGGGCGACAGCTCGGCTCGCGCGAGCTGCCCCAACGATTCAGGCAAGTCGGAGAGCCAGCCGGCCCAGTGCCACCTTCGTCATAACTGTCTCCAGACCTTTGTTTCGGAGGGCCTTCTCAGTCTATTCTCAGCTGCGCTCTTCGATGCTCTGTAGGAGACCCATTGAATTAGAGTCTTTCCCTGCTGAAAACAAAGTCGTGTCAAAAGTCCGAGTCTGAGAAAAGCTGTGTTTTCCTTGCACAGCTAATGCAAGCTGTATTGACCCCTCGTTCGTTTCTGCATGGATCCCTACAATTGGCTGACACGACCTGGATCCTTTTCCCAAGACGTGGCGGGTTTGCTGTACTCAAGTGGGGGATGCTATGCAGGCAGGGTAAAGAGCAGCAGCACCAAGCAAGCAAGCAGGCAAGCAAGCAGCAGTTCCAGGGCTGCCGGCACGCATGAAGAAGTGAAGTGCCACAAGGTAGGAGAAGCTTGCCCCATAGCTCCGAAAAGAGGAGGTTGAATCTGCGCTGCCGGGGGGAGGCATAATGCGATGGGCAACGCACATACCCACACTCGGAGCTGGGTTAAAATGCCATGATACAGCATCTGTCAAGGAAAGGTAATTAGAGGAGAGTCCAAGCTGGCAATCAGTCAGTCAGTCGAAACTGATTCGTATCGAAACGAGGCACTGTGCTGATTGAAAAGGGAAGCAAGGAGAAAGGCGAAGGCTAACGAGGTACCTTATTACGCAGGAAGTAGGTAGGTAGGTAGGTAGGTAATCACTATACATGTTTCTTCTGATTACTTGATTCAATAATACCGGTATGAGCGACGGGCCTCCGGTTCAAATTGACGGCGGCGGGAAGTGGCGCGCGCCAAGACAAAAAAACCTGAGCAAGAGAGCGAGCGTGCTCCGGAAGCGCACAGCTAAATCAGGAGCTCACATCTTCTTGACTCTTCAATGGCGGCCGAGCCTCTATATCGGAATTGACCAAGAATGCATGGTAGCACGCTGAGGTGGTATCAGGCAAGTCAGTATCTTGGTACCGCCGGACAGACTGGCCGGAAGCTGGCAGAAGGCGGCCTTTGGAAGTCGAGTTGCAACGTCAAGAACGGACGGGAGTCAACCGGCTTTGTGTGTCTGTGTGTCTGTGTGTCTGTCTCTCTCTCTCTCAAGCATCCGAGCCACCTTACCCAGGAGAGGCTATCGGATGGTTGCATGCGGGCGGACTGACTGGCCTGTGCTACCCTCTGCAGAGAGATACATTCTCTACGAACTAAGACTCTACTGCACTCCATCAAGGTGTGCTTCCACGCGATGAGCGGCAGGCACAATTCAACTCCCATACAGTTGTGCTCTGCAGAGCATTTCTAAGCACGTTTGCAAGATGAGGAGGTGATCCGAGGTAATTCCAAGCCATGCCATGCCTTTGTGCAAAGTTCATCGAGGCCTGCCTGCATTGAGCTCCCTTGCCAGTCGCTGTGTCTTTGCATTTAAGCTTACAGTAGAAACATTTTGCCTGCACCCTGGCAATAGAATACAACGCAACAATTACAAGACATGATATGGCTCGCTCCGACGGGAGATATACCCGCCTGCCTTTACTCTTTCTTACAAACACAACTACCTGACTACTTACGGGATACTGATGAGGGGATTGACGATGAGGTTGGGGTGGCGGCAACATCTAAACTCGAAGGGAGGTGACAATCAATTAATGTGCAATGTGCCCTTGGATGACTTCCGAACCAGCATGCCGAGCAGGCCTCATAAGATCGATCCGTAACACGCTAACGCACGTTCTCAGAAGTCAGTCAAGGGCAGGGGCCGCACTTTGCCCGAGGGAAGGATAGAATAGATACATATCGATGGATGTATAATGCTCCACGATGTGCATCCATTTGCAGCTGTAGGCAAGTATCTGTGTAATGTGGGCGAGCATGCCGAGAGAATGGCGCTATGCTCGCCTCCTCATAAAATAAAAATACAGACAGACACCAAAAAAAAAGGGTCGTTCGGGTTGGGCTGAGGCGAGTAAGAAAGAGTTTGGGGGTGATAATTCTTAGTCTCCGTACTGTACACTACCGAATGATAGACGCAAGCACAGGGGCAATGCCTCGTGCCACGACCGGATCAGGTCAGCTCAGCAAGGCAAATAAATCAAAGAGCATCTGATACTGGAGACCATGAGATTAGCAAATACACCTCTGCCAGGGTAATATTTGTTAATTCTGAGTGGGAATCGCGACTTCTCAGACAAGGAAGTTGCTACTTTTGTCATGACCAGCAGGGCTATAGAAATGAACAGAATCTTCGAAGCCTCAATGAGGTATTCTCAACCCTGGTTTTCTGGTATATTCAACTCGCCAAAATAACGTTTATTACCCTGGCGGAGGTGTAGAGTAACAGCAACAGCAGCAGCAAGGAGGCAGGATGAGGGGGGCCGATTTGGTGGGTTTCTGCCACAGCGTTGAAGTACCACGAGTACGTAGAATCAGATCCGCATGGATCATATCAACATCAACAGAACAGCAGCCGTGGATGGATGGATCCATCACACAACATTGGACGGGAAAGGCATGAGAGGTGAGGAGAAGCTGGACGAAAGAAGGTGACGATCGTCGAGCCCAGAGCAGCCTAGAAGAGCGGGAGTGCGCCACCATCGCAGCAGACATCCATCTCACTCCCCTGTGCCCAGCGTGCAGCGTGCAGCGTACACACCCACCTCCTCCTCTTGCTCCTCTCCATACCTAGTACCTAGGTAGGTAGGTATCATACTCGGGTACATAGGCTTGAAAGGCTGGCAGACTGACTGATGGATTATCTGAGTTCCCCTTGGGCCCTAGACATCTCGAGATCGAACTTCGCGTCCCGTGCCCGTGCTGATGCTGATGGCTGATGATGCTACTTGCCTCTCTCTCTCTCATTACACATGCCTGCCTGATGTACGCATGTATGCATCCCTGCGTCGTACTTTGGTGATAGCAAAGCCCATGCCCAGCTCTTGAGGTCTAGTGTAGGGAGCGGGTAGTGGGTATCGAAGGGGTAGCTTAGGGGGTGGGACAGTGGATTATGGCCAGGCAATTCCCAGCCAAGCCAGCCAGACCAGCCAGTTGTAGCGCTGCGCGGTACTGCAAGAAGAAAATCGGGGCATCTAGGAGCCTGTCTGGCTGGTCGTTTTCGGGGCCCAACCCAACCAAAACGGACGGACGAGGGAGCGAGGACCGGCCTCCCAGCAGCAGCACCAACCTCACTTAATACATGTCACCGTCCTACCTAGCAGCCTAGGTACTGTAGTGACTGCTATTAACGTTACTGGGAGTTAGGCAGGTAAAGGTGGTGCACGCAGGACTCACACTGTGCACTGCACCCACCACACTACCTACTGCATAGTAGGTACCTACAGTACCTAAGGGTAAGTAGGTAAGTACCTACCTGCCTTGCCTTACCTTACCTAGCAGGGCATCCCCCATCCCCCCATCCGTCGTCGTTCGTCCTTTTTCCTCCACTCCCGACCCCCGACCGACCTTCTCTCTCCATTCCGTTTCGGAAACGACCAAGGAAGGGGAAGAGCGCTCCCAACACTCCCATCGTCGTCGTCGTCGTCGTCGTCGGCCCGCCGCTCTCTCCATCCTCTCTTCTCTTGCGATATATCACGACCTGTTCTTCAATTCCATCATCTCCGCCTCAGCATTTTGCCCCCCTACCTACTACTTTGTTGTGTGGTTGTTGTGGCCGTGCTTAATGCGTCAGCTGAGCGTGCGGCGGTAGCGAAAAAGAAGCCTGCGAGCGAGCCATTTGCCAACGCCGGTTTCGAGTCAACCTCCAAACCGCCTCCTCATTTCAGCCCGGCCTTGGAAACCTCGACAAGAATCCATGCCAGCTACGCCCTCAACTCTTTCCCACCCCGTCGGATTTATACTATCTCATCGTCCAACATTACATCTCTCTGCTCAACGCCCAGAGGAAGGCTATCTGCACTTGCAGCCCTTCTCCTGTTCAGCTGCGGCGGTAACGAGCCCTATCGTTTTCACGCCCTTCACGCGCGGTGAGCATCAGCGAGACTCGCCATCCGAATTTTTGCAATTCCACAGCCATCCCGACCTACCTCGATCCCATCGCATTAAATCCAAGCATTAATCCTCAAACGCGTCCATCCACCGCTTTAACCCGGACAGGGGCACACGACTCCAACCACTACATAATACCGCACACCGCTCGCCAGGTTGTGCACGCCCTCTCCTCAACCCTCCTCATCTCCGGTGTGCCATTTGACCTGATCGGTGGCGGTCCAAGATGAGGGAAGTCAACTTCAGCATCCCCAACGTCAACAAGGCGTCGGTGGGCATCACCACCGCCTTGTATGACCGCCGGGCCCTCGACTGCACCTCCACCCTGCCTCTGATTAACTCGCTCAATCACTTGGCCTACCTCACCACATCCTCGGCACGCATTCGAGACATCTTGACCGTCGATGGCGGCATTGAACGGTTGGTATGCATCCTCAAGCAGGGCCGAAGCAAGGATATGATGGACATGTGGAAATGGAATCTCGCCTTCCAATGTGTTGTGAACATAGGGGTTCGCGGAACCGAAGCCGTCCGCACCAGGGTCGTCGAAGCCGACATGGTTCCTGTCATCGCCACCATCCTTGACAACTACATCAAAGTCATCGAGAAGTGCCGCGAAAAGGCTGAGGAGGCGAAACAGAAGCAGCTGCAGGAACATCACCGACACAGGGGTCATGATCACAGGGGAGGATCAAAGTCCTCGAGCTTCACCAACAGAGCAATGCGTCTCGATGTTGACCAGAGAACGTTCCGCAGACAAGCGCCGCCTCCCTCCATCGATGTATCCGCTGCTGCTTTTGGCGCTCCTCCTCCTCCCCCTCCTATCGACTCAACCACCGCCGACATGACACCTACCATCGCACAATACCCTGTTTCGGCTCCGTCGCCTCCGGAGCGACCTCCCTTCCATGTTCACCGGCATCATCACCATCATCACCATACCACTCGGCAAAGCGTCGCTTCTCCTTCTCGTCAAATCATCCAGCCACTCGCCTCTGCTTCGTCCTCGACCGATACCACAGATGGCTACATCAGGCCTGTGCGTGATATCGATCGGCTAGCATCAATGATGCCGTTCGTCCATCCCAGTATGACTTCACAGCCCACGTCGCCGACGACTCCCCTGCCTCCTCCACAGATTCGCTCTCCTACCGTGCGCCCTGTCTCCATGCTTGCACCTACTGGTAGATCCCGTCGGCGACCGTCGATTCGTCATCAGAACTCCACTGCCGACTCGGATGACATGAATGGTGACAGCATGCAGTCAGACGAATCTCCTGATGCCGAGATGTCTGGGACAGCTGAAATTCAGCCAGCCGTCGGAATCCAGGATATCGCAATGGAGGAAGGTGAGAGCATTCTTGCAGGAGCGGCTCTAGACTTGACCACCCCTACGGTCTCGGAGGCCCAGGATGCTGGGACATTCAACATCACACATCGTGCACCAATTGATGGTAGCATCGTCAACACCACCGCAGCTCCGACACCTGTACCAAACATGGGCTTATCGCCGAACCGGCCCACGATGGTCAGCCCTCCACAGCCGACAATGCCGAACGCGAGCGTCCCTCGTTATCTTCTCGAAAGGCAGCTGACTCCGAACCCGCAAATGCTGGCAGCCATGCCTCGGGAGGAGGACGTCTTGATGTCTCTCCAACTGCTTGCCTATGTCTCCAAGTACTGCAATCTCCGCACATACTTCCAGAAGAGTCATCTCGTCCCCCGGCTCAAGATTGGCAAGGAGCTTCAGCTTCTCGATGGAGATGATGTCGTCATTGACTCTCCAATCGATGACGAGTATGAAGAGGAATACCTTCTCCCCAATGACCTGAACATCTTCCCTCTAGTCGAGAAGTTCACTGTTCGGTATCACAGCACCGACATGCAGTACTGGGCCGGAGTTGTCATGAGGAATCTGTGTCGCAAAGATGACACAAGAGGGGGTATCCGCCAGTGTGCTTACTACCAATGCGGCAAGTGGGAGGAGTATACTCGGCAATTTGCCAAATGCCGACGCTGTCGACGAACGAAATATTGCAGCAAGGAGTGCCAGAAGAGTGCATGGGCTTTCCATCGTCACTGGTGTGTTGCTGCAACGCAATGATTGATTGGAGCATATTGAGGGCATCAAGCGGTCCTGATTGGACTTGCTGAGGAGCGGGGCGTTGTTTGAATAATGTCTATTGCAACTTTCACTCCCGGTCGACAGCATTACTGAGCAACAATCGGCATGTGTAGGCGTCTGCGTCGTGATACCATGGTCTCGTCGGTGCACAGGCTCAGCTCTGGCCTGTCCCGCGGCACCAAAACAAATTCTTTTTTCGCATCAAGGGCAGAGTTACGCACTCTAGTTCACTATACCCCGATGGACTCGAGAGCATCCACACTTTCGGGCTCCTCTACTACTTTGACTGACCCCGAAGGTCAGCATCGCAACTATTCCCACTGGCCTAACTCACCAGTGGGAACTCGTCTCGTTTCCTTTTGTCATGTCGAAATTATACAAGCGTGGAGGCAGCTGAATCCCAATTCGCTCGACTGCAATGGTCTCGCAGGGGTGGACATAGTTCACAATTATTATTACCTCGAATTCTCTTCTCGCCTCCGGCGGGTTGCCGTTCTTCGGTGACATTGGATTTCCCCAATTGGGCCTAATCACGATTTCCAACGATAGCTTTGACGGCCATCGTTTTTTCCTCAAAATCCTATCGAATGTCTGCATGGCTGTTTGGCTCTTCCCTTTGTGGCATGGATACTGGAGTCGTTCTGGGATCACTTATTGGGCTCAAGAAAGGAAAGCTTGCTGCCGAATCAGAGGATGAGAATTGGAGACGAGCATGAATATTTATGAGTACGAATACGATATCAACGTCATACGTCTTTCCAGGTTCTCTTGAGGGGACACTCGTTGGGCGTCGAGAGCAAAGAAGGGGGTGAAGAACGAGGGCGAAGATTGGTGGTGCGGTTGGAAAAAGAGATGGCTCGACCCAACTTGAAGATATCAATGTGTATGGAATGTAAAGGAGCTTTTGCAACAACCTTCGGGTGTATCTTTATCAATAAGAAGTCAAAGATCATAAAATGGTGCTTGGTGCATATCAATCCCTTAAGTGACACAGACAATGCGAATAATAAGGTCTTCAAGCAAGATGTTATCACGAGATGAAGTCACTGTATGTTTGCCGAGTTTCCTTTCAAAACATTTTTTGGCAAGCTTTTGATGACTGCAAACCGACAAGAACCTCCTTTTTGATCACGGCACCAGCTTGTCACAAATATCATAACATCCCACAAATCTATTGACTGCATAGAATACAAGGTACGGGCACCAAAAGCTCTCTCACCCTCGTCCTCGTGGCCTTGATTACCATGGCAGCAAAAGTAGACCAAAAGCTTCCAGTGATAGGACAAGCAACTTCCTATTTCACTTTGTGTGGTATCTTATATACGCGTAAAAGAGCATCTGCTCTACAAGCCTGCACTTTCGATTTGAATACATCACCGCCCTTCTACCTCTTCGATGCCACGGCCTTCCTACGGCTCTTCCCTAGCCGTGAGGTCTTGGGGATCTTGCCCTTGACGCCGCTCTTATTCCTCTTGACGCTGAAGCCGCTCAGGTCGCCCGCGCTGGCGGCATCTCCGGACTTGGAATGACGCTTCTTGCCGCCGAAGCCGTACTTCTCGTTCTTCTTCTGCCGCTTGGCGTTGGGCGCGCCGTGCTCCTCTCGGCGCCTCTTGCCGGGCTTGCTGAGCTCGCTCTCGACGCCGACGTCGAAGAGGTCAGCCTCGTTGATGGACGTGTCACCGCCGGACTCTTGTCGTTCTGTCAATGGGTCAGCATAGAAGACGGCCACAGGGGTGCGCAACTTGAATCTTACTCCTCTTCAGGGCCTTGATCTTCTCTAGTGTGTCTTTCTTGGCCTTCTGTCGCTCCTGTAGCTTTGCAACCTGGACTTGCTTGCCAAATTTCTTGAGGTCACGCAACTTGCGCGCCTCGGCGGAAGCCTTCTTTGCGGTTGCGTCTTCAACGAGCTTCTCCTTCACCTTCTCCATGTGTCCATCATCCTTGACCTAGTAGATTGCGAAATCAGTAAAAAGAAAACAAATCAAGCAGAACCATGGATTGGAGCATACCATCTCCGCGAAGTAGTCATTCGGTCTAGAGAAAGGCACGCCCTCCGCCTTCAACAGAGTACGGGCCTTCTTCGCAGCCTCCAAACTTTGTGCATAGAATTGCACTTCTCGCTGCAGATCATCCTGGATGTCTTCGATGGATTCGGCTGTGGGCTTGGAGGATACGACGGATTGATGTGTGGCAAATGGAACGCTAGAGTCGGTCGGTATTGCTATCCTGTTGAGAGCGGCAAGGAGGGCTGTGGTGTTGTTGATGCGGAGTTTGGTATGGGGGATAAGGTCCTAGAACACGCGTATGATAAGAATGAGAGCATTACGGCCGTCTGCTGGAAATGACATACTTCTTTCTCTTCATCGTCAAGATCCTCGAGATCCGACATAGCTACTGATTCCTCGTCGTCTTCCTCCTCCTCTTCCTCGGCATCCTTCGCGGGTGCCAGTGCTTTCTTCTCAGCCTTTTTAGAGGCTTCTTTTGTTTGTTTCTTGGACTTCGGGACACGCTCAATCTTCTCCTCCATCTCGACTTCGGAATCTGATGACTCGCTGTCGTTTATCGCTTCGAGATCGTACTGGGTAAATTGTCAATCCAAGTCCCAACCGCACATGTCAATGCAGCATCCAACTCACTGCTTCCTCATCTTCCTCGTCCTCGTCACTCTCCTCGGCCTCAATGTCTAGCAGACCATTTGAAGGCTCCTCATCGTCACCTTCGGAGTCTTCCTCGTCGTCCAGGCTCTCCCAGTGCTCATCGTCGTCCTCGGGGGTCTTCACCCCGCCATTTGCAGCACGGCCCGATTTGCCAGGCTTCTCTTTCTTGTGTTGCTTCTCCTTCTTCTTTTGTTTGAGCTTCTTGTAGTACTCCTGGTCTTTGCCCTGCTCGGCTTGCAGGGCGGCTCTGAGCTTTGATCGCCCCATGTTGTGTTGTGGTGGCTGGCTGTGGTAATTGTCGGGAGGGGAATGCTGCGCGGATGTTCAATTGGCAGCTGTCGCAGACCAAAGTCTTCTGCTCTCAAACTCTGCAACTTTTTTTGCGGACACAGAGCCGCTAGACCCGAAGGGTCAATTCTTTGGGCGGTGGGAGGTGACAGAAACTCTATCATATCTTATCGGTGGGGTTCTCTTATCGACTTTAGGTATCACTCCGTTTGGTTGTTTGCGTCTAAGCTCGACGACACCCGGATCCCCAGTTCCGTGTTCATGACAGCGATCGACGATGACGACAGGAATAGTGGCATTTTTCTGGTCACTACACCCTATTATTGGTCTTGCTCCCTGTCCAAGGTTTCTGCTTATTCGCCTGGGCAGGCGCACGGTCAGCCAATAAAGGCAGATCAGAATCGGTCGCGCTCGTTATCAGGCACCTTGTTGTACTCTGCTTCAGCTGCAGCGCCTCAACCTACAGAGTGTTGCTCCAATGCTCAACTTCGATTGGCTATCTGACTCTCATTCTTGTTCAAGTTCTCTATTTGTGTTTTTATATAGAAGCGAGCTCCTGCTTAGTGGCGGGAACAAGGCATAGTCTCGATGCTAGGCGGTTCTGCGAGACCTGTCCTAGTCTCGGGACATCAAGGAGAGCTCGAACTGGGGACTCAGCAAATCTGAAGAGCCCTTTGAACTTCTCAGCCTCAGACTCTCCATAAATACATATCTTTGCAAGATGCTCCATCTGTCTCCAAGGCTTAGATTGGCGCTACCCCGCAAACCCCAGATCTTGGTGGTGAAGTTTGGTCTGGTTATGCTTTTCCGAGCCTCGAGAGCGCGCCTACGGACCAGCCCGTCAGCACAATCTGCCGGACAGGTAGCAAGGATCATGCCCCCAAGCATATTCCGTCAATGGCTAGTACAATAACGATCTGCCATTCACAAGTCCTCATGCTACTTAGTGCTGTGTCAAATCCCTTGAGTTGGATGCTCATCTGGGAGAATGACCTTGGTATCTCGGTAATAAAACTCCATTCTGCGTAGGGCTGCTGACCCCTTCCGATGCCAGGGGTTGGTCATCGTGAGTACATCAAGATGCATGTACCCCCGGTCTTCGGCGGCCATTTGAATTCCTCTCCCAAGTAATTTCCATCGCGCATTGTATTCTAAACGCGAGAGAAGACGCAATGGCGGTGAATAATACCGAAACCGAAGTCCAGGCTCCCAAGGAGCCAAATGCGGACCAGGTCGAGCATCTGACAGACAGCGAGAAAGCGAACAACCCAGATACAGTCCAGACATACATTCCGTCCGAGGGCGAGTACAATGTCACATTCAAAACTTGGATCGTTGTCGGCATCCTGTCATGGAGCTATGGCGTCTCTTTCTGGATTGTGCCTAGTCTTTCCAACTGTATGACAGTTGTGGCAACTCAACTTGGTGACCCGACAGCTTCTGCCTTCTATGTGGCGGTCTACACAATGACTGTGACAATTGCATTTATGGTCTGCGGAGGTAATGCTCTCTTTCACACCAATAGTTGTCGGCACTTAGCTAATCTGACATCGTGTCATTAGCAAATAGCGATCTGTTCGGAAGACGCTGGTTTATAATCGGTGGAAATGTCCTCATGTTTATTGGCTTCATTGTCGGAGGCACAGCAAAGAGTAATAAGGCTTTGATTGCAGCAATGGCTTTCATTGGCTTCGGCGGAGGAAATGCTCAATTGGCAGCTTTCGCTCTACCAGAGTTGCTTCCCAATAAATGGCGGCACATTGCCATTGTCATCGCTGATATCGGAGTGTACTTCGACGTTGTCGTTGGACCTGTTGCTGGTCGCTTCGCCGCAGTTGATGGCGACTCAGTAAGTTGACGAGACGCTTTCATGACAGTTCAGACTGACAGTTATTAGTGGCGGTGGATTTTCTACGCGCCTGCCATATGTGCTGCGTTGTCTTTCGCAGGACTGTATCTATATTACTATCCCCCGGCACACCCTCGCGGCTTGCCGTTCAAGCAAGCCCTCCGCGAACTGGACTATGGTGGAGCAATCTTGTTCATCATTTCGGCGACGCTGATCCTGACCGGCATTGTCTACACGACTACACTTCCCTCCAGCGACCCCAAGGTTATCGGGACGCTTGTCCCAGGCTTTGCGCTGTTGGTCGTATTTGGGCTGTATGAGACGTTCATGCCGCTCAAGCAGCCCCTAACTCCAACACGCGTGTTCACTCGTGGCCATGGCCGAGAGCTCACGGCCCCATTCATCGCCGCCTTTGTCGTGACTATGTTCTACTATGCCATCAACGTCATTTATCCGACCATGATCTCTGTATTCTTTACCAACGAGACGACTGACTTCCGATATGCCGTTACGCTCACACTCCCGGCTAATCTCGGTCTCGTCTTTGGAGCGGTTCTGCTGACTCTCTTTGGCACAAAGATCGGTCATTGGAGATGGACGTTGACAGGATCTGTTACAATCATGGTTGTCTTTGGAGCTCTGCTCGCGCTGGGCACACCAACCAGGAAGGGTCTCGTGATTGCGCTCGTATTCATCGAACAAATCGGTTTCGGCTGGGCTCAGTACCTCTCAATCGCGTTTGTCCAGTTTGGAACAGATCAGACTGAGCTAGGAATTGCTGGCGGTCTTGCGTGAGTACCAATACTGAACCCCGGACTTCGATCACTGACAAGCATTCAGGGGCGTCGCTCGGTTCGCTGGCGGAGCTGTAGCAATTTCCGTCTACACCACCATTCTCACCAATGTCCAGACTAAGTCAGCAGCAAGCCTTGTACCCAAGGCGGCCCTTGCGGCCGGGCTGCCCTCGGGCTCTGTTCAGGCTCTTCTGAGCGCGTTGCCACTCGGCAGTGCAGCACTGTCCAAGGTCCCTGGCATCACCACGGATATCATTGCAGCTGCTGGTGCCGCCTTCCAACAAAGCTATGTCGTCGGATTGCGTACAACGGCCCTCGCTTCGCTCTCATTCGGCATTGTAGGCATCATTGGTAAGACGGATATAATCATCATCAGAGAACCAGTCATTGTTGCTAACTATCTTGATAGCCTGCATTTGCTGCCAGGACATTGGCCCCAAGATGAACGAGAAGATTGAGATTTTCTTGGAGAATGATGTCAATGCTGACAAGAATAAGTACCACTAAAGGCTCTTAAAAGGAATAGAAGCGTCTTCAACGGTGCGTCAAGTAAGTTTGTGCAGGTGGAGAGCTGGTCCAAGCAGGAGAGTAGGCGGTTGTCTATATCCTTAGAAGTAGTGCTCCCAAAGAATCAATATGACATATCACCTAGTGAACTTGGCTTAGAGACTACTGTATACAGACTTGAATCTGCACAACGTAATCAACCGATGTCTGTGTAAGGAGGCACCTCCTGTCCCAGGGACCCCCATCAAGGGATTAGGATCGATCGTCCGAGTGGGCCAAGGCAAGCTGAGACAGGGTCAGAACTCAATTGGACTCGATAAATTTCAAAAGAGACGTATTTTGCGCATTCTGCAGACTAGGTGCCCCTCAGGAGCCGGAAAACACCCACCGAGCTGTGGTCACAGGAGCTAATTTTGGTCACAGGAAACAATTCTGCAGGGGTGGCGCATTGGGAAGTGCACCGGGAGTGTGCTTTATATGCATGAAGACAGATAAATTCGACGAGTATGCCATCAAGACTTAACTTGAGCTCAGCAGAAAATCAAAGGCACAATAACACTGATTCATTGGATAAGACATAACAAAGTCGGAAAAATGTTTTATTTGTTTGCCTACGTCAACTTCCTGCCAAACGGCTACGATGAGGTTAGTGAGCATTCGTGTTATCCTATTGGCTGAAGCTCAATGCTGACACTGGCTATTCTACAGTGGCAGGCAGCCTACGACGACCTTGCGGCCTACGTATGGAAGGAGGAAAAGAGTACGCAGACTTATTATTTCGGAATCCCATTTGACTACAAAGATGACGTCTCGGCGACGGACGTGATGTTTGCCTTCGAGGTATACGATAACAGAGATGTGCGTCCATGAGGACCCAAAAATACCACCATCTTGTCTTGCACATGCTAATGATATAACCCAGGGTCTTTACAAAACTCACTTCACGTCCCCTGCCATGGGCAAATTCACCAAGAAAGCCTTGCCCGTTATGTCCACCGGTTTCGACCTTGCCCACTACAGTGACATTGGCGGTTTCCTCGATGCTCCCGGCGACGGCCGACAATGTGCCGTGATGCAAGACATCAGAATCATCTGCAAGTCCTCTGAAGCTAAGAGGATAGCTGGAGAACGGTTGGCCAAAATTGCCAAAATCCTGGAGGGCGAATCGGATAAGGCCGGCGTACAGACATGGATGGCCTTTGAGAGCCTAGACAATCACTTAGACCTTCGGATCTTCGGTCGTTATGAAAGTCAGGCGGCTTTGCAGAAGCTAAATGCTCGCAAGGAGCTGGTTGACTTTTGGACGGCGAGCAGGGAGGACGACATTAACAGAATCGACCAGAGAAACTATGTACCCAACGACAAGGGCTGGTTGCATCGCTGAGAGTAGGGATGATCGACCTTAGTGTAGATGCCTTGACATAAATATGATCACGGAAAAGAAGACGTTTATTTGAGATTGTGTACGAGAAACCGGTTTGTGATTGATTTGTTATGTAACTAAATGAAACGAGCGTCCAAGCCCTCCGTTTAAGATTATATAAAAGAACCTGCTATCCGACAACCGAAAGGCACATCGGCTAACAGGCCATCCAATATGTTTGATAATACATTTGTCCTCTCAGATAGCCGAGGCATCGTCGAGAACGAGAAGAAGAAGCGTAATTGCTATCGTGTGTGGAGGGACGTAATGACGGCAAGCTGTCTCCCTCAACCATCGTCGATAAAGGCTGATGGCTTGTGTGAGAGAAAGAAGACATTGTGTGAGTGTGCGTATATGAGACTGGTTAACTGTGCACTCAAAGTTGCCCAGTTGGAGTTGGACTTGGAGTAGCCGGGGGGAAGATTTTGTGCCGTCTTGAAGAGGTGAATCCGACCCAGATTATGGGCAGCTTATCCGTCTGTCTCATTTGCCAAAATGAAGCGTTTTACATGATAACGCAGTAGTTGGAGCCAACGCCGGCGACGGGCTTGGGGGTGGGAGTCTGCTTGGTGGTGGAAGGCATTTTGGTTGGTTTTGTTGGGTGGTTTCGAGACTATAATGTTTTGAGGTTTAGAAGTTGGGGTTGAATCGAATGATGATCAAGGAGACTCGAAGAGGATGGGAAGGTCAACAATTTATACACGAAAGGATCCTCACTTCGCTGCGGTCGAAATGTCAGTCTGTCGAAGTGGCAAGTCGCACTTCATTAAGCAAGCAAGATAATATGAGCATTCTGGTTAGTCGAACGGTACCCCTTTGATGCACTCCTACGTAAATCAGCCAACAAAACGAAAGATGGCCTTGCGCTCCCTGTGCTCAAATCTTCATGCGGGTTTGCATAATATTGGTTCGTTAGTATTGTGGTTGAAGAACAAGGCAATGCTTTGACAGAGCAGCTCGGATATTGTGACTACCAGTCGAGGTGGCTGATCTGCGACGACCTAGGACGATCTAGTTCTCCTGGAAGGCCTCAAAATCCCTGAAAGAACAAAAAGAGCACACAAATGGAGATTACGGCGGCTGGCTGATATAAAGAGCGATCATATGCAAGATGTTCGTTGTGATGTGTTCGAGGAGTTTAAGTGGGTCCTTAGTATTGTGCTCTTAGTATTGTTAACCCCTGAACTGCCACCGAACGCCACGAGATAGTCGGTGTATGACAAAGACCAAACTGGCACGCAGTGCCTGCTCCAAATCTATCTCGTAAAGGATTTTGTACTTTTCAGCTTTGTGCCTGACTTTCTCCCAGCCGATGGCTCACTCTGTGGCGCACACAGAGCGGGTTGCCATGTGTGCGGCATGACTCTCGGTTGCTGGATTTGCCGAACGGGGCCAACGGTGCATCATTCACCTTCTAGAAACGAGTGAACGGTAGCCTTACTTCGTGTCAGCTTCTTGAATGGCCAAACGTGAGGTCGGGAGGCCGTCTCGGGGAATACACACCATTTGCCCTTGAGTGTGATGACCACCCATGGAGCGCCCGTCTCGTCAATCTCCTTCTCTACCTTGGTGTTGAAGCAAATAGCACTCATAATTCCGTCTCCAAACTTCTCGTTGAGAATTGCCTTATACGCGTACCCGTAGTTCTGGACAATTTCATAGAGTCTGTAAATAAGGGGCTCCACAGGAGGCATGGGGCCAGCTCGGCCTCTGTCTGGGAAACCCATTAATTGAGGTGCAAGAATCTCCTTGGGAATAGCTAAGAGCTCAGAAAGCTTCTCGACATCTTCGGCGGAGGCTGTGGCTTGTCCGTAGAAGATAGCAGCAACAGCGACTTCGGACCTGCCCAACTTCTCAGCGATAGCCTCGAAGCTGAGACCAGCCTGGGTCTTGGCAGTGAACAATGTCTGTGAGTAGGCAGGAAGACGGTCTACAATGGAGCTCTGTATGTTCAGTCTTAGTATTGTGTCCTTCAGTAGCTGGGTTTGGACGTACATCGAGGCTCGCGAGTCGAGGAGCCTGTGCCATCTTGGATTGGGATTAGTCGTCAAAAATCTGTTGAGAATGGATAGATCTGAAGCTGGTTAATAACGTTTCGCCTCCAAATAACAATATAGAGAAGATGTCCGTTTTATTCTCTCAGAAACTCGGAGCATTTGAAAAGCCAAGATTTCGATGAAGTAATGCAAGCGCTGTAATCCGCGCGGTAGTTGTTCTAACCCCGCGTTGGGGCAACTCTGCCGGAGAAATCCCGGACTCTCGGGATACCCGATCGAACCAAAGCCTCGGGAACCGCCAAGATACGATCAGAGCCCTATGAAGACACACCAGGACAGTTGAGAAAGCATAAATAGACGCTTTATTCATCTTTACTAAGTTCGTATGTCTGTGACACCCAGGAGTCACATATCGCTGGTGCGGAAACCCCGTAAGGGAACACTTCAGTCGCCGCTCTAGTATTCGGGATTTGAAGCGTGGCCCCCGAGTAGAAATATAACATGCTGGTCTAATCTAACATGCAAATGACGCGGAAATACAAATTCTGCTCTCATGAGTCATCTCAAAGTACTGTAATATGTCGTGACCAGTCCTTTCTTGCCGCTCCTCTCAAATCGTCAACGTTGAGGAGATCGACACCTTCTTGAACAAGAAGGCTCCATATGTGATTTCTGATGCTGATAGGCCACGATGGCAATTCCCAGTATCGGACTTTCAATCCTTGTTCATGGGCCGCTTGTATCTGGGTTTTGACTGTCCGTAGTTGGTCCGGGTTGAAACCGTCTAGCCATACCTGACCAACCGCTTCCTTGAGAGAGACACTCGCGTACCAGGAGTTGGTTGTGTTAAAGTTAGAGTCAGGTAGACGGTCGAGTGGCACGTCATAGAAAACGTCTCGGTAGGTATCATTCGCAACGATCTGGTCGAATGGTGTGTTACCAGAGCCGACAACGGTAACAGGTCCAAGCTTGAGCTCGCCATTATCGAATGTAGTGAGCCACCCTCTCGATCTCAGGGGTTCAAGCTGCTCGACAACCCAAGGCCAAGTTGTCTCTCCATCAGTCTTGACATCGACAAGAAGAGTCAGGGTCTGGTCTGGATCCGCATCGAAAACACCTCGCCTCGAGCCCTGATAAAATGCGGTAGAGGGGTTTTGTCGTTGAAGAATCTCAACTATGGGATTCACATAAAGAGACTGGAAGGTTCGGCTTGGCTGTAGAGCGGCGAGATCATGACCGACAAATAAGTCGTCTGTACTGTTGTAATTCTCGAGCCAGACATCAGCCTCGACGCTGATGCAACCTGCGTGAAGCGCAGAAAATAGAGGCACCTTGCGCCAATAGTCATTATGAGAATGTATTGGCTTGGGTATCACGTCTCGGAGAAAGTTTGTCGGGTACCATGCGAGTGCTTCGGTGCCGGTGCCTTGTTCCCCCCAGTTGAGGAAGAAATCGTCGGTGTGCTCCTCTTCTTCTGTCCATAACCTCCGGGACAAGAAAACTAATATGTTGACTGCTAATAAAAGACCACTGAAATCTGTTAGAAAAGACTGATAGGTTTTAAGATCTGGAAGCACTCACAACAGCGTGAACCCACACATCCTAGCACAGACTGTCCACCTCCGTACCCGGCGTCTTGGGCGGCTGGGAAAGATATCCTCTCCATCAGTCGTGAGGGTGACGGACTCAATGTCAATATCGTCTTTGTCTGAATATATTTCCCGGTCCTCGACGTGAGGCCCCTTGGCCCCGTAGTCTTGGATTTTGTCAAGTGAAGACATCGCTTGGCCGTGGCGTAGTACTGTTTCTCTTTGGTAGATTCAAAAACTCTATCCAAGGAGACTCAACCGATGATAAAGAGAGCGAATGGCTCTCTATGATCTAGAAGAGGGTTGTGGCTGCGGTCAAGCGAACGACAACAGATCATGCCCAGGACTAGTATAATTCCAGCGGAGACATGGTGATTATCCTTAGTGCCTCAGTCAAATGATCGTCGAAGGAGCGGTAATGGAGATAGCGAGCAGTCTGCCCTAAGTTCCCCGTTGAGTAGATGTAGTATCCTGTGATTGGATTTATAAGCCTCTCGAGCAGTCGTCAACTCCTCAGATCCTGACGACAGCACTGATGGTTGGAGGACAGAAGATGGGAGAGGCCCGAGGCGCAAAGAGGCGCACCGCTCCCTATATGACCTGTATGTGGGCGCCATCGCGAGCGAAGCTTGAGCCATTTGGGGAGAGTCACCGATACCTAGGTAGTTAGCTCGAGATAGTTATGCTTAATGAATAGACCAACTCCTGCAACGAGTGCCGACCACACCCCTTAAGGATTGGACGAGAGCGCTTGTTAGCCGGGATCGGCGGTGATTGGTGGGATGTGATCTGGGAGATCAATATTAGCTTATCGCGCGATAACATGGCTTGGTTGGGGAATTTTCACTGGTCGACCGCCGACCGGCCTAGACCTCCTTGGCTTTTTGAATCTTTGCTCCTTGTATTCTAGCAACACCATCACGACTTCGCTAGGACATTTTCTCTAGATAAGCTCGACTCCACAAAGTAGTCACGATGCCTCACAAGCACACTCGCAGGGAGAAAGACCCCTCAACGTGCGTCGCCACTACGCTTCCTTCGCGCAATGAACTATTGAACTGACAAACGCCCGCGTAGATTCGATCTCCCTCCATCGCAGATTGCAAAGCCTCTACCGGTCACCTCTTTGAAGCAGAAAGCGCAGGCCGCAAAGTCCGACGATGCAGACCACAACAAGGCGCCCAAGCGCAAGAGAGGTCAATCCACGACCGACGATGTACCCCGCGCCTTTAAGCGGCTAATGGCCTTTGCTGGGGGGAAGAAAACGAGAAACGGACTCGACGACGGCAATGGTGCAGGCGGCAAAAAGCAGAAGAAGACCCAGAAAGAATCTTCCACGACAGAAGAAGAGGTCAGACCTGATGTACCCACCATTCGTCCTGGAGAGAAGTTGGCAGACTATTCTCGCCGTGTCGACGCTGCTCTTCCTCTCAGCGGTCTGGTCACCAAGACGGTCAAAAATGGAGTAGACCCTCTTGGACTAAAAGTACGCCGAACAAGGAAAGAGAAGAAGATGCACAAGCTCTACGACGAGTGGAGGGAAGAGGACCGAAAGATCAAAGAGAAACGGGAAGAAGAGTTGGAGCTTGCTGAAGAGCGCGAGCTGGAGAATGACGCTCTAGGAGTCTCATGGAAAGTGGCTTTTGGAGAGGAGAGCAGTGGAGGCAAAAATAAGAAGAAGAAGAAGAACAAGAGGGGCAGATATGTTGGCGAAGCAGCTGATCGAGAGGAAGATCCTTGGGAGGAGATCAAGAAGAAGAGAGGAGAGAGCAAAATTGGCCTACACGATGTCGCTCTGGCTCCCCCAGAGTTCAGCAAATTGCCTCGAAAGAAGATCACTATCGGCGGAGCGGTAGTAGATGTAGGAAGTGTCCCTAAAGCGGCTGGTAGCTTGAGACGACGAGAAGAGCTTCAGGAAGTTCGTGAGCAGGTTGTCGCCAACTACAGGAAGAAGGCCGAAGAAAAGAGATCGGCACTTCAAGGATAGGCAGCCGAGCGCCCATAGTCAGAGAAAATCAGTTGAAAATTATAGCAATTGATAGATTTTTAGCTACTCTACCTGCTTCACCAACACCCAACCTCTCAACAAGAGCGCGACCAAATCAACTGCTCTCCCTCAACCCCTCAGCACTTGCCCTGCTCTTTTTTTTTTAAAAGCAAAGTCCTTGACCTAATTCAGCGTACTTAATTGCATACAAAACTTGGTCGGATGTTAAGCATTCCTAGCAATAGTGCGTTGAGCATCTTGTCGGGAGGCTTGAATTCAGCACCCCAGGGTGTAGCCTTAGTAAGGAACCCACTTTTCACCAAAGTCAAGTCAGGCGCGTCACATTTACCATTCCTTCCACTCCGAGGTTCTTGGTTCGAGCCACTTCTTGACCAAACCTCACAGCAAATTTTACCTCCGCCTAAGAATGAGCAAGAAGTTGCTGCACAATGGCGAGGGGCCTCGATGAGTTGGTGGAGTCGCTGGTGGGCGAAATTTCGTATTTCGGAAATGGTACGTCACAAATTTTCGCTTCTCAGTCAAATGTCATCAATACCCCCCTGCGTGTATCAACCGTGACTCTATCTCGGATGATATCCAGGGGTAGCACACATTTAGACGCCTATTCTAATGAGTCTATAATCTTGTCGGAGCTTACCCTAACACAATAGCCCATCTGTGACGGTGCGGAGAAGAGTACTGGCTTAACAACTACTAATTGATGATAGGTTGCACCGTTGCTGAACTTATCGCGGCAATCAAGAACTTCCAGGCTACTGGCAATGGCGAGGAAGATTTCGTCGATGATGATGTACCTGATGGCGCAGATCAAGTTGAATCCTCTACTCCAGTAACTGATGCAGACCTCAGCCTCGCGCGTATAGCCTGGGATTGGCTGGTACGTCGAGGGGAGGTGCGAGTTGGACCTCAAGGAGAATGGAACCACCTTTCAATCGACGATGTTCTTGCCCTACCAGAAGAAGTTGTTGGCGAATTGGCGGAGGCTCAAAGCGACCACACAGTCTCAGATCCTATGCCTAGCAATGGGGGTGGCTCTCCTTCTAAGACCCACCCTGCTGCTAGACCACGGCTATTCGTCGACGAAGAGACGATATGGAAGACCCTGACAGGACACGGAGTTGATTACAAGCGTGTTCCGATGCTCGAGTGGAAGGCTTTGGTCGGGATCGCGTCTGCGAAAGAAGCCGGGATACTTCAAGGCGATCTCGTACGATTGACAGGACAGGACAAACGCTCAGTCCCGAAGAGAACAGACTTTCTAGCGCAGAAAGGTTACATTACAAAGCGCACCACGATGGTCAGGGGATCCAAAACCAGCAGATTATGGCTGTCTAAATTCGCCCCGTCTTTGATGCAGAAGACCGATCCGTCCGCAAATCGGTCGCAGGGTTTCAACATGTCCAAGGATGCCTTGATCAGTAATTTGGACCCGGTACCTTGGTGTGACAAATGGAACGGCGACAATATCGACTACCTGGCATTTGGACAAACCTTCATGGCTTTGGTCAAGGCTTGGAACGTCATGAGATTCCGAGATCTAAAGCAGAAACTGGGTATCTTGGAACGCCAATGGCAGATGAAGATCCTTGCCAAAGAGTCTCGTCGTTTTGTTGCCATGGGAGTAGTCAAATACACTGCTGCCGTTTTTCAAGATAATCGACAAGTCTTCAAGGACTGTGTCAAGTACGTAAGAGACTTGACCGATGAAGAATGGAGAAAATTCCTTGCAACTGGCAAGAGAACGTCACAATACTCGGACCAGACTCAGAATAGGCAGCCCAAAACGGCTGCTACTTCAACAGCGAAGGAGTCCAAACGAGGTCGCGACGACGTTCCGCTGATACCTGTGGAGACAGTGGGTGAAGGACCTCCCCAGCACAGCAGCCGGATCTCGAATACATTATCGGCATGGGTTCCTGAGAAGCCCTTGTCGAATACCGTATACGAAACTGTACGACGAGCTGGCCGACGAGGAATTTCAAACCCTAGGCTTAGCGCCGCGACAACTGGTTTCTCATTCCGCCGGTATATGTTCACCAACCTCAATAGCATGACCACTCCTGGTACACAACCAATCCACCTTCGAGACTTTCAATTGGTAAATGAGTTGATGCGAAGCGGGAAAACCTCGGCATACATGTATTTTGTAAAGCAATTAATCACTCCATCGCCAGCCCCAGATGCTAGATTGGAGGATAATGGCGGCGAAAACTCAGTGGATGAGCCTGAGCATGATCGGATTGACCAGGATGCTTATGGATTCCCAAAGGTTTCCTCTAAAGTATTCGGGCGTGACGTCGCAAGTTTGTCAGATCTCGGCTCTGTTAGACGCAGAAACCCCAGGCCTCGGCCGCTGAAAATCCCTAAAACTGAGAATATTCAAGAAACTAGCACTTTCGAAGCTACGACTGCGTCTATGGCTCAAGAAATGCCACCTCGAAAGCCAAGAGGCCGACCAAGAAAGCGAAAATTAAGTCAGATTGAGGAGCCTATACAGATCGAGCCTCCGACACCTGCTACGGGGACATTAGCTAACCTATGGGACATGAATGGGGATGTACCGGCACCTCAGGCATCTCATCCCGATGCTGAAGGCCCTCCTCATTCCCAAGAAATTATCCCTGGGGTGTTCATTGGTCAGCCGGGGTCTCTCAACCCGAATCCTCGAGGGAAAGGCCGAGGACGCCCGAAGAAATCTCTCGTTGTGATCTTCAAGTCAGCCAGAATCAAGGATTTGAGTCTCTCTAACCGACAGACATCAGTGGTGCAGTCGCCACAAGACCCCTTGACGAGTGCTGGTCAAGATGGCCCGATTACCGAGAATGATCCCGCCTCAGATATGCTCGTTGTCGTTACTCCAGAACACGACGAAGCCAGATCTCCTACAAGGCTTGAGCCCGAAGGCGAAGACCAAGTGATAGCCAACAATGAGCCCTCCCCACGCCGCGGCCGGGGCCGTAAAGGCGCTGGGTCTCAACCTGGGAAATATCGTTGTGAAAAATGCGGAAGATCCTGGAAGAATGATAATGGCTTGGCTTATCATTTAGAGAAATCCCAAACAAGTTGCAATCCAAATCATGTACTAGGACCGCCAAGTATAAGTGAGGACAAACCACGCAAGCGAAGGAGGATTGTCTCGACACAAACAACCTCTGAGCCACAAGAGCCAGAAGCCACGCCTCCTCCCATCACCCCCATAGCCTCAATGCGGTCTGCGCGAGCGGTGCCCTCGCCAAATGTCAAGAGGTTCGCCCGACGACAGGTGTTTCCAGCAACGGGGTTTCTCGCCCCCATGGGGCTCCAATCCAGCGTGGAATTAAGCAATCATGGCGAATACTTCGACAGCCCACAGTCTCTAATCGCCAATAATGATATAGCGGCTGTCGAAAAGCCTAGACCAGGATCACCCCGAAGAGAGGGAGAGGACAAAAATCCCGCTATGGACACTCAGGCAACGAAGAACGAATCGGCGACTGGTGAAAATATCTCTTCAGGCAAAACCTCCAGCCAAACCCATGTTCATTCCGCGGTATATTCTGCAAAGTCTGATGAAATATCTGAACATGGCTTGGCTAGTCGTATGGGTCAAGTGGAAAAATCACCACATGGTCAGCCTGATGCAGTATCAGAGGCCAATGAACTCGATTCGATTTTCCCCGTGGGAGTTCCAAAACCAGTAGGACTGTCTACCTCCAGACAGGCGTCTCGGACCCCTGCGATAGAGCTGGCTCCCATCTCTCCTGAGATTAGACCTCGGCAATCCTTGGATGTTGAAGACTCCTCCTCTCCGGTGGAACTTACTCCATCTATCGAGTCTGCGGTGTCACATCCTAATGATGATGATACAATACCTCGATTTAGGATGCCCGAAGACAGAGACACTACAAAACTACCCGAGTCGGCACTGCGGACTTACCAGGCCATGGAGATCATAAGATATCTACTTCACCATAACGATGGAGTTTTCCCCGCAGAGAAGGCTCTCTACACTGCTGTCTCCAAAGTATGGAAAGATGACATAGGGGGCGATGTCCCTCCTAGTTCATACTCATGCGGCGTTGCAGTGAAGAATCTCACAAGGGAAAAGGAAATTAAACTTGAGACATACAGTGCTCGCAATGCTCAAGGTGCATTCGTCATCTGTCAGCTCATCATGAAGGTTGGCGTGGAACATCATGCTCCTGCTGCTGTCGCTATGAAAAAACGAGTTCTTAGTGCTCATCCTGCGTTATACATTCCTCAGAGGTTTTCGCCATCAACAATCGAGCACCAGACATCTCAGGAACATCTACCAACGACTCCAACGAAAGGACCGGGGAGGCGTGACTTGAAGCTTGCCGAGGAGATCGAAGTCTTGGACGCACCATTTTACGCAAGAAGGGGCCTCAGGGGGGTACGTGCTGGGGGCAATTTCCGAGAAGACACTTTTATCGACAATGGTGATGGACGGCGCAAGAGAACTGGCTCTGAAGATGGAGTTGGCAGCTTGCGTGTCAAACGTCAGAGATCTGACTCGCTGTTGCCGACTAGTGGTCAAGATGAACAACAGTTCATACATATAGGCAGTGACCCCTCGCAGTTGCCTCCATGGACTTCACACAGCAACCAGCAAAATCATGTGGGAGTGTCCGATGACGATGCCCTTGTCCGACTTGCTTCGTTTGGGACATCGCAACGGCAGTTTAGTTGGATAGATCAGAGCCCTTATACTCAGACTCCTATCTCCGGAGATGGGCGATCGCAGCGTTGGAGGCGGTCTGGTGTTGAAAACCCCGGGTTAAGCAGTCTCCCATCAAGCTTCTTCACCTACAATGCGCCAGCAACAACAGCCTATGGATATCAGCAATCTTTAAGCCTCAATTTCCTCGAGCCAAACAAGTACTTGTATGAGGAACCAGAAGAGGAAGATTACGTGGATCCTGACCTTCCATCGTTTAACCCGCTTCCAGACAACCTACCCGGAAATGAAGTTGAAGACCTCGAGATAAGAGCCAACCCACACTTCGAAGATTGTATCGTCTTGACCAGCATAGCATCGGCTTCAGATATTTGGCCCGACTACAGTGTCGCATTCTTTGAGAATAATTCGAAAAGCTTCACAATGCAAGATAATATTTCTCGTCAACAAACAATACTAAAGCAAAGTTTACCGCAGACAGTCGATGACATGGCAATAAGGACAATGTGCCATTTCAAACCAGAGGAATGGGCTGACCCAGATTGGGGTAAATTTGCCGAGACAATCAACGGCTGTCTAAGATACGAAGTCAGCAGAACCGGACACAATCGTTTGAGCATGGGATCGGTCGCACCAGACTATATCTTCATAAACGCATCGACAGCAGAGTCTGTATCAAGTTTGAAAGCCGTCAACCCGCAATGGCATCCCAGCCGGGACTGGACGCTTGCAACCCTCCCATATAATGACCTTGACTCCGACGACGACCGAGCGACGGATGCTTTCAGTAAAGACATCAACAAGACCAACATTGATCCGCAACTTTATCGTAGCATTCAACCTCCCTCTGAGCCCTCCGGTGATTGGGTGTCTCCAAGGAAGAAACGCGCATATACGAAGCGCCTTCAGCGCGAACGACCTGAGCCCTCGAGAAGAGCCCGTGAACACACTGCTTTCCCGAAGGTCTCGGAGGATTACGTTCGTGAAAAGAACGACAAACAAGGGGACGTCGACTGGGCAGCTGATGACACCAAGATTGCAGCTTTCGTCTGCGTCGGGGTCCTCCTTGGCGGGACAAGCAAGAATATTGATTGGGGTTTGCTATGCCGACTTTTTCCAGAAATGAAGGTCTCGGCCTTACGACGCTTTTGGAAAACAGTGAAGAAGGAGCGGTTGTCTTTCATCAACGACCTGACGGATAAGTTCCAGATTTCATTCGTGGAAGCGTACGAGAAGAGGGAGTTACCACCTATCGATTTCGACGATGTTGTGTCCTATGACTGGCCGCTGTTGTTGAAATGGACCGTCGGCCTTACAGTCCAAGATATTGTCCTGCCCGGCACTCGAAAGGAACTAGGCGATGACTCTTGCATACAGACTTTTGCTACGGAAAACCGAGACTGGCGCGAGTCGTACCATCATTGGCAGAGATCTGTCTTCAACAAGTTCCAGGACGCAACTTCCGAAGCGGCCACGGTCACCTTAAATCGGTCATCGGAGCAGCCGTTGCCGAATTTGATGGGCATCGCCCAATCGTGGATACGGGCTCTCTGTTGCACTCCAATTCATCGGTACACTGCGATGGATATCAAGAACAAATTCCTGAGCCTTGGCGGGCAGAGCGAAACTTATATCAATGAGCTCCTAGAGAATGCTATTATCGATCTAGAGCGAGCTAAAATTGCAATCAAGAACAAGAGCAGAGCTCTTGCGACAGGCCGGCCGTATAGACTCAACGACCACTTTCTCAAGCATCTTGATCGGTATGCTCAGGAGGAAAAGTATGCCCTGGCGAGCAGCTTCAAGGCCCAACTGGATGAGACATTTCGTAGGGGAGAGATTTTCAGTGTTCCCTACCTGACCAACGACGGAATGATTTTGGCCACCTTGAATCTCCAGGCATATGGTCGAATCAGAGTTAACTCCGTTGGCCAGCCAGACGTTCCATTCGGCTTCGAACCTGGGAACTATGAGACTAGAAAGTTCCCGAAGTCGTATTTACACTGGGGCCTCGAGATCTCTCCAACAGAGAATTACCTATTTGACGAGGACATAGATGCACTGGGTGTCGCCAAGCAGTCTGTGCTCCCACGCGAACTTGGCGATAGCAGATTGCCATTGTGGTGTGATTTCTTCGGTGTCTTAGACAATGAGCGCTGGGCCAAGTTCCTTGGGTCCGTCTTCTTTATGCTCGCCACTCGAGGAAACATGGATGCCGAGGCTGTCAGCATGGCCCTTCAGCCGTGTGTTGAGGTCTTTGAGGCTGAGGCCATCATGGGCTGGGCGAGGGAGGTTGGGCTTCTGCAGGAAGTGACAACTGGTGGAGGCTTGACTGTCTGTGAATGGTGGTGGTTAGTCGTCGGGCGCCAGATTGACAGAGAAGGTGCCAAGTATGAGGGAGGAGAAGAGTTGCAGGATGAGATGTGAAAGGCAACTCGGTAGGGTTTCTTTTGGCGGGGTATATCTCGACAGGGAAAGATTCGCTGATGCAAAGCAATTCTGCACTAAGATACCCATTTTTGCTATAATGCACGCTGAGATGCATGTGTATAAATTATTGAGAATTGAATGATGCTTAAATAATACAGCCTTATATGTGCTACGTGACCGACGAGCATTCCCCTCGAATAGGGGTTATGACAGAACTCTCCAGTCAACTTTCCTCGGTGTTCCTAAAGGGCGTCGCAGCGAGAGCTTTTGAGACAAGGAGACTACTACATCTCTATGATCGTGATGAGAAATTTGGGTCAAATGTGCATTCTTACTATGTGCATATTCTAACCCCTGATTCTATCTGAAAACACGCCTTCCTGAAAAAAAAGGTATCACTGCCAACGCCAGACCGTTTCGTAATGCATTCCCAGCTATCTTAGACTCATATACCCAGCATGACTTTGAAGATCATTCCGATCAAGAGGATCGCGAGCGCGACGATGGTGCGGTCGATCCATAGCGGTACGCCATCGTTCGAATGCCTGTGGAGCTGCGCTTGCGCCAGAGGAGGCACCACGGCAGCCTGTGGATCTGGAAGAGGTAGTGTTCTCGTCGGCTGCGGGACAGTCTGGCCCGGCCGCGCCGGTAAGGACGCCGTGTCAACCGGCACTTCCTGTCGTTGTATGGGAACGGTCTGCACGAAACCCTCTGCCAACTCCGCGCTCTCGGCATCGTCGACCGACGCCGCGACCGCCTCTGCCTCTGTGCTGACTGCAGCCGCCGGGCTCGCTGCCTTTGGCTTCTCCATCTCGTCCCTCCAGCCCATCTTTAGGTCCTTGGGTATCTCGACCTCTGCGCTTGGCCCCGCCTCATCGCTCGCCTCCTTGGCGGCGTCCTCGCACTCCTTGATGATTTCCGCATTCGTCTTCCCGCACGCTGAACACCGGAAGGCTCCGCTCTCATTTGCCAACCTTCTGCGAACGGCATCGCTCGTATCGAGGCCGCCGAGCTGGCCCTTAGGGTCCGTCTCCATGAAGCTGCGCAGGGCCACCAGGGCCGTCCGCACACCCCACGCGGGCTGCCACGTCTCCTCGTGGTGGCCGCTGATGGAGAGGCAGATCTCACGGTTCGCCTCAAAGCGGCCGGAGGGTGTGACGAAGCGGAAGGAGGGTGGGCGCAGGGGGTATGAGGGCGGCAGCACGATGCGCCCGTGGTAGATGCCGTCGCTGTAAACGGAGTTGGGCGGGCCGCGCAGTGTGAAGTGCCATTCGAACAGGTCGCTCTCAAGCGGCGTTGCTGTGTAGTCTGGGGAGGGAGCGGACGACAATTCTTGCGCTTCGCGAACTGGAGGGATACGTGTTAGTCTTCTGGGTATAAATGAGGTTGGGATTGGGGGAATGAGACGTACGAATGCGCCGGATGGTGGGCGACTTGGAATTGAACTTGGGAGTTGCCATCCTCGCGGATGCGTGGGATCTTTGGGTATCAAGGTCTGGAAAAGCAGAGGAATTACGACTGTAAGTAATGCTGCATGGTTTTGTTGTATGATACAAGAATAGAAGCTGGCTGGCGGATGTGCAATGTGTCTTGTTAGTCCAGCAATCAGCATGGAGGTGAGAGATGCTTAAAGCTGGGAGGTGTAGAGGCGTAAGTACCTAAGTAGAGTGGTGGTAAGGTAGGTAGTACGTAAGGCAGGCGATAAGACAACCAGCCCACCTACTGTCTACTGTACGCTGACCGGGCGGGACTCAAGGTTCAAGGTGTCCACTTGGCCACAAGCGCCACGCCAGCCTCCCCCGCCTCAACTCCGTGACTTGGGCGCTGTACTGTACTTACTTACCTAAGCATTTTCTTGCCGTACCTCCATCAACCTGACTAACACGCCGCCGGATTTAGAACCGTCCACTTGCCGTTTTCTACAGCGCCTCGATATTAAGGGAATGGAGAAGTTATGACTAGAATCTTTGGTTTTCAGAATACCTGTTTCCTGTTCTTGCATTTATAAACAAAAGGCATGTGTCAAGCGGTGACATGAGCGAAGTATGAGGCTGGCAACCCCTATTCGTCTCATAACTGTCATAAAGGCCAACGTTGCAAAAGGGGTATGGGCTATGAGAGGAAATTTGCCATTTCTCGCAGTGAATGATATGCAACGTTAATTCAGCGACAGTATCACTAGGCAAAAAGAAAAAAACAAGATAAAAAACCATCTCTGTAGGGTGTTGTTGCAACAAGCTGTTGGGTTGATCATGTGTCTTACATCCTCTTTCAGAAGCCAAGGAGAGCTAGAAATGTTCTGACCGCTCAAGATATCCATTCAAAACTACTACATCTAATGAATAGAGCATTCCATCGTTTTTCTTTGTCAGTGTCTCTGCTATATTGGACCTGGGCCATGCAACTGTGTGTTGGGAGGTTTCAAGTTAGCTAGTTTCGTAGTCCTATGCTGTATATCATAGTTTAGTGAATTTAGGAATACGAGAGCGTGATCATTAACCATCTCTCCTTCCGATCATCTAGACATATCCTATATTTCCTTGTCCTTGTCAAGGAGACCTGATGTCATCCAGGACTGCCTAGCAAGTCGATGTCGACATGTTCGTCTGATCAATGACCCCGTAGGTAGACATTTAGGACTTCTCCTGTCGAGCACATGACCACTGTCCACACAAATACAGCAGCAGGCAGGCTAGGCCGAAAGATTTTTGCTCCTACCTTTTCTTCTACTTGCAACTCCCACAACTTCCCCTTCCCTTGATTTTTGGTGTTGAGATCTTGACATCCCTCAATCTCAACACCAATCCTGACCAACTCAGGATAAGAACCAATAGGCCTCTCCTGTTCTATGATTATCAAAACAGTCACCGTCTTTACCTCGACTCTTCTTCAGTATAGGATCATAGAAGAAGCCAGGGGTTTTGTTCGCCTGATCAGGAAACCACTGTGATTTCTCTGTGGTTGAACACATTTCTGTCCCCTGACTTTCCCACCTCTTGCTCCTCCCTCCAGAATTACCACCCATCTTGCACAAATCAGGCACCTGATCTGGAAACCACCGCCAACGAAGCCTGACTCGTCCCTTCCTCTGATCCCCATTCCAAATACCTTTTGAGTTGGCGTTTTGAGGCATTCTCCCACCGAGAGATAGGCAACTCCGAGCAGTCAATCCATCATCCTATGCCACATCAACTAACATCACCATGGCAAAGCTCCAGCCAATGTTCCGCTGCTATTACTGCAAAGCTACTTTCAGCACTGAAGCAGGATTGCGATTCCACAAGGCCCAGGCTTTGGAGCAGGATAACCCCGCGAAACCACACTGGTGGTGTCGGCTTCATGACAAAGACTATCACAGTCAGAAGGCCCATGCTCTCCACATGAAACAGGTATGCCAATCTAATCACTCATAATAAATTAACTACACAGAAGCAAATACTCACAAACTGATAGCACCACCCCAGGCCGCAGGACCTGGAATGTCCTGGCTGTGGTGGGCACTTCCAGCGTCTGGGCGGCCTTATCGGTCACATCGAGGCGGGACTGTGTTCCAAACTTGAGATTGAAGACATCCTCAACCGTCGCCATGAGATGACCGAGTTGACCCGAAGACTCAATGACCTGCATGGCATGGCGGCCCTCGCATCTGACAAGCTTCAATTGAGCCTCGAAAAGTACATGATCGAGCCCATCGCCAAGATGCTCGCTGTCCCTTCCAATCAGCGAAGCACAGGTTGTCTTCCTGCCGCCAATGCCGTGAAAGTCCTGGAGGCCCCTGGGGCCAACCCTGGGGCTCAGCGTGTCACGCCCACTGAGTCTGGCATCGATGAATCTGAGACTACAGACCTCCCCATGGGAGCAGAGGCGAGCAACATGCATGCGACTCAAGACAGCGGCTGGGGCAGTGAGTCTTCGTCTGCCAAGGCCACAACTGATACCGCGCATGGCATCAAAGAGACTCGTTACAAGGCTCCGATTCTGCAGAAGTCTTCTACTTCAGAGTACAAGAATCCCTGGGCTGTCGATGACGGAGGCTGGTACGGAAATGCCAAGAGCACTCCAGACGAGGACCATAAGAGAGACAACACTCAGGCTAGTGATGTACCGGGCAGCACCGAACCCTCTCTTATTTCCGTCCAGTCACCATCGCAGGCCTTGCAACTTGTGCCGGATGCTCCTGAGAAGGTCTCCATCGACCCAAATAGCCCGGAGTACAACGAAGAGAACTTTCGAAACCCGGAGTCAGATCAATATTTGTGCCCACACGACCATTGCTGGTAGGTGATTTGGTAACATATACCTAGCAGAAGAACGGTGCTGATTTATGTCCAGGAAACTTTTTATGACGCCCGAGGGTCTCGCCATTCACCTGAGGACCGGCGCCTGCACACAGCCACGCTACACCTGCCCGGCCTGTGGCCATCGATTCAGGTCCACCACTGCCCTCACTCAGCATACTGAGACGACAACCCGATGCATCATCAGGAGCACAAGCATGTACCGCAATGTCCTCAACCTCCTGACCGGAGGAATCGCCGACACTGACGGCTACCTCGAGGACGCCACGACCAAGTACATCGTCCAGCCGCTGGCTGCGGCGGCCCTGGCCCCTGAGCCCGAAGAGGAGCCTAAGACCCTGGAGGAGCAACTCCACCGCACCTCAGAGATCATGGAGTGGGCCGAGAGAACTTTCAAGGAGCGAGCGGCCTCACGAGCGGCGTCCGTGAGGGGAGAAAAGGTTCCAGAAATGACGCTCCAGTGGCATGGCCAGAACTGCTAGTTTGTCTTAGCACGTAAGGTGGCACATCCCAACGAGTGTTGAGTCATCTCCCAACAAGCCGCTGCAGTTGATGGTTCTGCAAGATCGTGGACCAAACCTGAAAGATCACTAATGAACTTATTTCCTTTTCCTATGTTTTTCTTTTGACAGATTATCTCTTTTCTTTTCTCACTTTTCTCAACGGACATCACCGACCTGATACTGGCCTCAAATTATGAAGGAATTGGCAGAACTTGCAGCGGGTGGTTGGTAATAGAAAGGTCAAACTGGACATAGTATCGGATAACCAGAACCAACAAAAAGGGAAAAAGGGGAAAAAAGAGCAACGATCAAACGAAGTTAGCTTGACGCATACATGAAAGTAGAACTATGACAGAAAATCCAGAAAGGAAGCTTTTCCACCAAATATCTGATATTGATGCCGTGTTACATACAGGACAGACGACCAGATCTCGGCTGCTCCAGATTAGCGGCCGCTCGCTAATGTTACCGTTAACACGGAAAGCACCTACACCTGCAGGGCCAATTTAGATTGCCGACCAAGTCTAGTATCTAGGAACCCTGGCTGTCCCCCGCCGATTGATTGCTTGATAGCAGTCTCAGAACCATTGTCCATGAGAGTGTTTTCATTCTTCTTCTCAGTGTAACAATACGCCGACCCTCGGCCTTTTTATATTATGGTAGCGATTACATGAAGGGTCTGGTGCGTTTAATCATCCTGGTAGGAAGCCTTCCTGAAGGATCTTGTGACCTGCTTTCATCCCGAAGATCACAATACTATGCTATGCAGTGTTGTGATTTTCTTGAATTGACATTTTCCCTAAAACAATTCTTTGCACATGAAACTGGCAAATTGACTGTTTATACAATCATTGCAAGAATAATGTTTAAAACTAAGCATACATAATTATATATAGGTTGAAGATGCTGTACGAGTGGTGGGGGTCCTGGTGGACCAACACTTACACTATGTATGCACTGGTAGACCAGCTTACGAATCTCAGCCTCCTCCGGCAAGCTGCACCGCCACATTTCTGGCACAGAACCCCTGATCAACGACATCGACCTGGAAAGCCCGGCTTTCTTTCTGGTGTCTCACATTAATACACCTCTTCCAATAACCCATTCACGTTTCTCACCGCCCGAAATGCCATGCTCTCCTCTTAGCTGATCTTCTGCGATTCCACTCGATGGACTCGCGGTCTCTCCCAGAACCCTCATCAGCCATGACACGCCGGTGGGCTCGGAGAGTCGAGCGATACTGCTGCACCTGCGCGACCTACTTCCCGCTCGTCTTCGTCTACGGCCTCACCAGCTGGGCCGCCTTCGTCGTCGTCCACCTCGGATCCTCGGTCACGAACCTCAAATACATAGGTATGATGGGAATGCCCCGTGCGGCGAGCGAGTCTGGGCCTGTAAATCCGGCGAGCATGCTAACCTCGTATTGTCAATGTAGGTCCGTGGTCATCCGCGTTGAGCTTCACTCTCTACCTCCTCCTCAACTGGTCGTATACGACGGCCGTCTTCACACCGCCCGGTAGCACGACGAATTACGATGGATACAGCACCCTGCCCACACACGCACCGCCCAGCGCGACGTCCTTCACAGTCAAGTCCAATGGCGAACATCGCTACTGCAAGAAGTGCCAGGCCCGGAAACCGGATCGTGCGCACCACTGCTCCACGTGCAGGCGATGTGTCCTGAAGATGGACCATCACTGCCCGTGGCTTGCTACCTGCATTGGGCTCCGAAACCACAAGGCCTTCCTGCTATTTCTCATCTATACCACGCTGTTCAGTCTCTCCTGCTTCGTCATCGCCGGAAGCTGGGTGTATGGAGAGCTTGCCAACAACAACACCTACGTCGACAGCTTGATGCCGATCAACTACATCATACTATCAGTGGTGGGTGGAATCATCGCCCTGGTCGTGGGGGCCTTCACAGCTTGGCACATCAGCCTGGCGGCCCGGGGCCAGACCACCATCGAGTGTCTGGAGAAGACGAGGTATCTCTCGCCGCTGCGCAAGTCGATGCAGCACGCCTACATCGCACAACACAACGGACAGGGCGTGAACCTCCCGAGATATGGCCAGCAGCTCCTCGACATTCACCAGAACGCCATCCCGGGAGTGACCCGACCAGAGGAGGGCGAAGAGTTCCGTTCCGCGACACCCACGCAGGCTATCCCTCTGAACGGGTCTGCCGACTCTAGCCCGGAGCCCCGACAGCTGTCATACGACGAGCTCGAGAGATACCGCGCACGCAAACGCTATGAAGAGTATCTAGACGAGCAAGACAGCGCCAAGCTCCCCAACGCCTTCGACCTCGGACCGAAGCGCAACCTGCTGCATCTGTTCGGGCCGAACCCGTACCTCTGGGCGTTCCCGATCTGCAACACGACCGGAGACGGCTGGGCATGGGAGCCGTCGCCGAAGTGGATAGAGGCGCGAGACCGCATTCGCCGGGAGCGCGACGAGCAGCGGGAGCGGGAGCGCCGGGCCGGGTGGGGAGGCGGCGACGACACGCCGGCGCAGACGCCCACGACGACGACGACCACCTTCGCCACGCAGCGTGTGGAAGCTACGCTCGGCAGGCAGTACCATCCGCCGGGCCCATCGCCAGGTCCCGCAGCGCCAGGCTCGCGTAAGACCCCGAGCAAGGCGGACCGCGTGCTGGGCCGCGACCCGAACCTCTACGCCGATCAGGAGCCGGAGGCCGTGAGCATGAGGCGTTTGAGCCCGAACGGCCGCAACCTGGGAGGAGGAGGAGGAGGAGGAGGAGAGGATGACGACGACGACGACCTATTCGACACCAGCAGCGACGAGGAGCGAGACAGCAGGGCAGAGGCGGAGCACAAGGCCATGAATCTAGTCACGAACGGTGGGTGGGCACGCAGCGGCGCCAGCGGGCTCCTGCGGAAGCCGTCACGCAACAACTCCCGGAGCAGGCTCGTGAACGAGGACGACGGGGTTGACTAAAGACGCCATGTCTAGACATTAGTTGGGTGGGAGATGTCGGCTTTCCTCTGCCACGATATGCTTTGTACGAACTGTCCCGAATGAAATCTACTTCTGCATGGTCTCGGCGTTTTCTTGCCGTTCTGTTGGATTCTGCTACAATATATAGATAGCTAGGCTACGCATACGGCCGGTTAGGGGTATATGGGGTCCTGAAAATCTCGATCTCAGGTTTAAACAAATTTTGACTTTTGTTCTTCAAAATACTGGCTTGCCTTAACTCGTTTCTCCCTTTATCAATATCGTGAACATGATGTTTTCGCTTGCCTGTCACCTCCGTGCACGCCGAATTGGTTATGCGGTAAGAGAAGTCTAGCTAAGCTCCTACAATTCATAAGGCACAGCATGCAACTGTTTCACGGTATGGCGATGACTTGAGTTCAAGTTGCTTCAAGGGTATGCTCATAGATTAATGATTGATTGCAGCGCGAGCCACCAGTTAAGTTTTATATCTCATGTTCATGCCTAATGCAATGCTGCCCTGGGTGAGAGAAATCCATGCAGGGGGGAAAAACAAATTGGGCAAGAAACGCCATTTCCCAAGACCCATTCCCAGGGTTCAAATGCGAGGAAACACGGTGGTAGAGATATGCTCCGGCGAGAACACAAGGAACATATCTGCTCGCTCCGTCTGCGAGACTACCACTGTAGTTATGACAACACAATGCCTCTCCGATGCCTGCCGGACCATGAGACTCAGATAAACACAACCAACCTGCGATGCATCCCTTTCTCCGGCTGCTCAAGGCAAGCCAGGAGGCCCATATGCCAAGTGTCCCACAACTATCAATACAAATGAAATGATCAGAAATAGCTCCTTTTCTTGCTTGTCAACAAACAACCCTTCCAAATCTATGCTGTCGTCACGGTCATGAGAATCAACATGCAAACGCTCGTTTGGGCCAACACCCTTGATACATTCAAGTTGCTCCGCAAAGATAAAATCAAGACAAGATCACACTCAGATAGTGACTCCCTAAAACAAAAACAAAACAGGTCGATGTCGGAACTATCGATGCCCTGTGCCCATATTGCGCCATTCCATGCCTGTCGCAGTTGGGGGTATATCACAGCTTAAGCCAAGTCGAACTGATATCAAATATAGAATTGTATCGGCCCGGCCGTCATGCTGCTGAAGGATCCGTGCCATCAGCCAAAAAGGAAGAGGCGCGTGTTTGCACAAAGATCAAATATCGTCAAGAAGCGAAGAGAAGATGTTTGTATGTGCGAAAGTCTTTTCAGATCACGAAATATTTCATGACAGCCCACTGTCCATGCTGGACTTCGGGCTGATGTTTGATGATCGGTTGAAGACAGTTCTGCCGAGGCTCCTCAATCTGTTGACATTATCACCATCCTCAGTGTAGTCAACGAATACGCTGGTGATAGGGTCAACCTTGATACGGCAGAAGAGCGTAGAGAAGAGGTATCGATCTCCATTGTGGTCCAAAAGAGGGAGTGTTCGATAACCTTGCTTGAGACTGCTCAACTTGGCCGTGAAAGTTGCCATTGGAGGGCTGCGATCCTGCTGGTTTTCGCCCTGCGAAAGTTTCACAGACCACCTTATAAACACGAGGTCCGGATATTTAGTTGTGAAGTTGAACGTGAACTTCTTATCGAAGATCGGGTTGAAGCCATTCTCACGGATGACCTGTGTGCGACACTTCTGTGGTGTGCGCGATGGCTGAGCCTGGCCATTATTCTCTTTCTTGTCGCGTTTGTCGTCTGCAAGGTAGACTTCGACCTCCACGTATGGATCAAGAGTCCGACGTTCTCCGAGGTTGGCAGGGCGCATGAGTTGTTGGGCTGAAATAACATCGATACTGAAGCTGACATTCTTCCTTTCACGCTTACCAATCCATTCTCCAGGCAAGTTGGGCATCACTTGGATCTCACGGAACTCGCTTGGCTTCAGCACGTAACCTGATTGGTCCGTGCCACCATCAAACATCGCCCGGTTAAGTTGCATGCCAAAGTCGAAAGTTTGCCAATTGAGAGCAGCCATTTGGACACCTCTTCTCCAGTAAATCAGAGGGTCGAAATTGCTGGACGTTATGCGAGTCTGATTGGGGTAGACACGCATCAAGTGGCGCATGTTGTGCCGGTATAAAGCTCTCTTGTCCACCTTGCTCTCGCTGTTCTTCAAGAATGTCCTCTCCTTGAAAGACAAGATGTGGTTAAAGGACTTGCACTCGGCATCATCGAAGCCCCTGAACTTGATTCCGAGACAGTAAACACCAAGATCACCTAGCACCTTGGTGATTTTGCTTTGTTTCGCCTTAGTTGTAGGTCCTCTTTCCTCGCCGCTATCATCACTGGTGCTGCTGCTTGCAGGCTCTTGAACCTCGCCCTCAGTAATGGTGTCAACACGGGGATGGTTGCTGCTGGATCTTCTCATTGTCGAGTAGCTCGGGCTTAGCAGAGGACTGTTCGGGATGGGCGAGTTATCCATCGATACTGGCTTGGTATAGGGCGATGTCAGGCTGTTTCCCCTCTTCCTCCCGGCGACAACGTCTCCATTCTTGAAGTCATCAATTGCCTGAGGCTTCTTGACTTTGATGAGAATACGTCCTTTCAGGGCAGAAGGGGGAGGCAGCTGGTCAGTGAATCCGTCTAGCGTTTCGCGAACAAGTTTATCACCAAATATCTCAACCATGATACTTGTCATGACTGCTTGCTGAACGGGATTGCAGTGGACCTCTAGGGAGATCCACAAGGGGAACTCAGATCTCTCGAAAGCATACTTGTTGATGGCGTTGATCACCTCGCGAAATTGGATTTGGGTTGTGAGAGTCCTGCCATGTACGACAATTGGCTGGAGATCTGGGCCATCCCAGCAATCAACCTCAACGCAACGGCAGCCACGCATCAGGGCTGAGATATAGCCTTCAACACTGGAGTTCCCAGCAACTTGTCGACCCAGAAGATATGTATTGTGAGAGCTGGAGATGAAGTACTCGTTCATGGGCCGGTCGAGACTGTATTCTTGTGGTGCTTTCACCAAGGGCGGGTTATAAGTTGATGTCAGATATCCGGCCAAAGCCGCTTCAGACATCCTTGGAGTCTCGTCGACGCCATTGTCGAGCTTTCCAGCATCCTTAGGTCTGTAGCGACGACTGAATTTGGCGAAAACGGCTTCCCACGGAGCGGAATCATCAATAACCTCGCCCTGAACGTCCCGCAAGAAATCCAGGAATTCGGTCCAGGTCATGCCACTATCGATGTCGGAAGCTACTTCGCGATAAAGGGCGCGAACGTCCTCGCGCCGCTTCATCAAGCGGACAAACTCCTGGAATTCGGCGAAACTCAGTCTTTTAGTTCCGCTTCTGTCGGCTTCGTTAAATTTGGCCCGGAGGCTGCCTTCGGGTACATGTATGTGGAGATTGCGGCAGACTCGTTCCACTCCAGAGAAGTCGATTTCCTCTTCCGGAATCACACCGAGTCTGTCAGAATTGATCTTGCCCATCTCCTTTTGCCAGTAGGCGCGGATGGCTTTGTCATTGAACGCCATGAGAGATGACATGAGATCCTGCCGATGCTTGGAGATAGCATCAAGCGTGGAAACCCAGTTTGTGAAGGTTTCCTCGTCATCGGCGACAAGATGCATGGTCTTGCTCATGGACTTGTCGGGGATAGCGTACAATATGGAGAAGAAGAGGTGTTGATCGGATTCTGGAATTCCGCAATCCTTGCGGGATTGTGAGATATCGGGATATACCCGAATCTCTTTTATATCATCAATGTAGACACATTTTGAGGGGCGGTTCCTGTCCCATGAGAACTTGCCTGCCTCAGGTTCGAGGGACAGCAAAACACGCTTCCGGCTCTTCTTGGACACTTTTGAAATCCAAGTGCCCTGTAGGAGAGCGAGTGGGATGACAGGACCAGCAGTGACATCCACCGCTGTCGCGGGGGTAGTTACAGAGACTGCAGCACTGATCGGAGAATAGTCCTTAGGTGTGTCGCCGCCAAATAGGGAGACGCGATCATCTTTTTCATCGACGAATTCTTCCTCGGAATCGGTACAGCCGTGCTCAGGAGCGGTAACATTACTGCCACTTCTGCCACGGCGGATGATCCCAGGGCCAACACTTCCATCTCGGCTGACTGGATGGACGGAAGACTGGCGACGACCCGGTCTAGGGATATGCGCCGCGCGATTCTTCACTTTGTTGGACACTCGTCTTATGAGACCAGTCTTGGGGCCGTTTGGACCCATAATCTCGGCCATGGACCCAGTGACAGTCGATGTTACACTCTGGCCCAACGATGTCGTGCTCGTTTTGCGGGACAGGACTGGCTCAGGGAGCTGGAACGCCGCTGGAGGGAACCGCTCCATGTCTCGACCTCTCAGTGGCTCCGGTGACGCCTGTATCGAACTGTTGGTGGTCATGCCAGTCGTTTCAGGAGACAAAATAGGTGAGCACTGCTGCGGACTGGACGTCACGGAAGAGTTGCTGAAGGTCGAGGAGGGAGCTGATGTTATGTGTGACTGTAAAACAAGGTTGGTCTGTACATGACTGGGGCGAGGCCGCTTCGCCGGAGTAGGTTGGGAAGCCATGACAGGCGTATTCTGAGCAGAGGGAGAGGAGGAGGAAGAGGTTTGGTGATTTGAATTGGTAGTGATAGACATGTTGAAGGTGGTGCGGCACCGGCCGGCAGACACTCTCCGTGTATAGCGATCCGGGGCTATGCGGACGGAAAGGAGCTCCGACTAGGCTTGGAGGTCCAGCATCTAGGAGGAGCGAAGGCTGGTCAATGGCCGCATTTTCTTGAAGCACTCTGATCTGGTTCGCCCTGTCAAGAGAATCAAGTGCGGGGGAGATATATAAGAGGTGTTGATCTTTTGATCGCAGGACCTGATGAGAAGAGTCGATAACTGGGACTCTCCGGGGTCAAGGCTGCAAGACGACCGATTCCCTCGTCAGCCAGCAGGCAAGGCGATGGCGCCCCAGTCACCCAGATCCAGTAAGGGCAGGTACAGGTCGTGTGGAGGTACCGCGCGAGACACAGGTACAGGCATGTACGGGCACTGGTTTTTGGGAGGATGGGGCGGGTATGGGCCAGCCCGGGTTGTGATAGCCCACGGCAAAATGATGAGGTGGCAGAGCGTATGCAAGTCGCTGGATTCGGGCGAGCTCCAAGCCTGGAGAAAGATAGAGTCCCACAGGATGTCCACCGTGACAGGTGCAGGCTCGAAAGATGATCTCCCCGTTTCAGCGCCGGGCCAGTTTCGCTTCAATGCGCGTGTGAACCGGCCGTTTTCGTTGCCCCCTTGGTGCAGTATAAACGTCTAAGCCGGAGGGCTATGAAGCCACGGCTTTGATAGCAGCGTATAGCAGCGCAATTCCCGGCGCACAGCGAGCGCAGCACGAGGCGCAGGGAACTATCTTCTCCTCGGAATGAATCCTTGCTCTGCACTTGCTTGCACACGGCGCCCCGAGTTGCTGTGGTGAAGAGAAGGCCTGGCCTAAGTTGGTGACTCTAGACAAGGAGCCACACGAGAGTTGCGCAGTAGTAGCCAAGATGCCTTGTACTTGACGGGCGGTCCGGGCCTAGGTAGAGAGTTGCCTAGATGAAGTGTCCGATGTAGAGCAGATAGAGATTATTGCTGAGGCGGTAGACGGCAGCGCAGGGAGGCGACGGTGGTTGCAATTGCGCGACGAGGTGTCTGTGTCCGTGTCTGTAAGTGTGTGTGTGTGTGTGGGAAGGGATCGAAGATGGGTGGTTGTGGTTTTCTTAAGTGCGTTGCGCGATAGAGTACGGTACAACATGATGGGAAGGCATGGCCGGGAAATTATTGGGTGACGCCGCGGGAGGAACGGCCAAGACAGGGAAGCTGCCAGGCTATACAAAGCCAGGCTAGGTCAGAACGAGCAATAATAATGAATGAATGAGTGAGTGAGAGAACGAATGCGCTTGCAAAGTGCTGGGGCTAGTCTGCCACGGCTCTGCTCTACGAGGTACACGAGGAAAAGTACCTGCTCTACTCTACGCCATCATCGTCTGGTGTAAGTTAAGTTTTGGTGGGTAGCCCTGCACTGGTAGCTTCGTCCCAAAAAGACTGAGCGATAGACAGAGACAGAGAGCGAGAGATGGGACGGACGGGAGACACGGCGAAGAGAAACTAACGTTAGGTTTTGCAGGTACCAGGTACGCCCGCCGGAATATGGGGTGCGCGGAGTTTTGCAGCGGCGACCAGGGGGAGGGGCTGGTACAAGAGACCAACGAGGGATACCGTTAACGGGGTTCAGGGTTGCAAAGTGCTGCGGGTGTGGGTGACGGAGCACTGGGAAACACTGAACCTTTTTTTTTTTTTTCCTTCTCTCGCGCGCTCGCTCACTCTGCTAGGTATTCCATCCATGGAAAGGGGGGTGACATGGACATGGCAGGGCAGACCAGACGAGTAGCAGGGCGGAGACTTGGCTCAGGGACAAGAGACACCAACCAGCCCAAATCCACCCTAACGCTACCTGATGGTGCTGTACCTAAGCCAAGCTCAGGCAAGGCCCAGAAACAAGACGGTCAAGTCTTTGACGTGGCGGCCAAGCTTGCCGAACGTGACGACACCGAGAAAAAGGAGACGACCTCGAGGGTACTTTGTGCTGCTCTCCCGACAGGGATCATCATTACGAGTGGAGAGGCTGAGGCGGGCGCGGAATCCCCCCAAACATTCCATCCATCTGCCACCTTGTACTCTGCAGTAGCGGGAGTCCTGGGAGTGAGCACTCAAAGCATTCGAAGGCCGGTTCAAACGGCTCAAGTACCGCGGAAGTACCACCGGCACCAAACAGAGAGCAGAGCCATTCTGTGGAGTGAGGTCAGACTGACACGACTGTTCAGGTACGGGTCGCTTGCCTGCTTGCTCGGTACGCCCAACGTGGAGCTGTCGGGTAGCGGTACCTCTGTCCCAATTCTCGCTGCCTACGCTTGGGGGACAGTAGGCTGCTTGCTCCATCCAAAGCTCAAAGCTCCATGCTCCATGCTCCATGCTCGCGCTCGCTCCATTCACCTGGGACTCTCGCGCGCATCCGTCCGCCCATCTCATCCCTTCGTCCAGCTCAGGCATGTAATTTGCTGGGGAGACAGGATGGTGGGCTTCCATTTGCGTTGCTCGTCAGTGATAGTCAGTCAGGAGTCAGGTCTGTGTAGGACGAAGCTGGATCCCATGCTAATCATCATCAATCTCATTGCTGTTGTGACTGCATATCTGCCCCTTCCTCATTTCCATCCCGGGGTCGGAATGTAGATGAATGAACATCACAAATCGCCTTCCCCAGTGGAGTCTGCCTCTGCAGTCAAGATGTGTGAGATGATGGGTGACGGACGGGCGGTTACCAGAGGCCAATGTACCTAAGTAGGTAGGTAGGTGGTAAGTTAACGGCCCTTTTCCTCGTCAATCGTGTTCTGGCTTGGATTGCCCTGCTCAAATTGACTTTTTCCCTGAGTGCCTCGGCGGGCGGAGCTGGCCAGGTGGTGGTTGTGACATTCAGTGGCCCTGTCCGTTGACAATGGTGAGGCGGCGCTAATGGCACACAAATCCCTCTCCCGTAGCGGACTTTTTCAGCCAGAGCCAGCACCCTCCCAGCAAATTTTTCTCAATGCAAGGGACGGACCACCGCGCTGGTCGCTTGACCAGCAGAATCTAGAAAGGGGGAACAGGAACAGGTACAGTACAGGAGGGAAGTAACCGAAAGAGGCTCGCTCTCGCGAAACGAGCAGACATGCCAAAGCTCCTCAACACAGGAGCAATTTGGCAATACATACAGAACGCGATTTGTGTGAGGAAGCACACACAAGCCGTCAAACATAGCCCTCGTATCCTTCAAAGGTGACTGGGTTCCCCAAAAGTGACTCAGGGGGGGAAGAGCAATAGGTAGCTTAGCAGCTTAGACAGGCAGACAGGTATGCCCGCTCAGCAGTGATGAGCGGCAGATCGGCATCTGGTTCCAAGAATTACGTCTTTCTCAGGTAGGCTGATCCCACTGCCCTGTTCTGAGGCAGCTGCAATCACAACATGAGGGCATTCCCTGGCTCCGTGATGAAGGTCTGTGTCTGGCGACGCAGGGTAAACGTCCAAGGTTCGTGCTGGGCTGCAAATTAATCAATCAAAGAGAACATCGTATCATGTCATGGTTGATGCTTTCTTTGTGCGCCACCGTTATCTCTCGCTTTGTTGCCTCGACCTGGCCCGAAACCCCCCACTCTCACCCACCACAGCGGCGCGCTGCTGGGAAATTGACCGTTTGGCACCAACGGCATCTCCACAGGCAATGAGAGTGAGTGACTGTAGATGGTCGGTCCCCTTCGACATACAGTACGTGTTGGATGGAGACTCCCAGTGGCCGGTCACCATACTGTTTGAAACACGCCATTTCGTGGAGCATCGACGGCATCGACGGGGCGTGCAGGGCTGGCGAAGTCCCTGATCTTCAATCCTGATTGCAGTAACAAGATGAGATTGACCGTTGATCGACGGCAGAGCAGGGCTCGCTGTCCTGCTTGCGCACTGTCGTTCATTCGCTTGCCAGGCGAGCCAGGCCAACAACAAAGAACGGTGTGTGCGAATATTTGGCGGGCAGGATCCCAGTCAGACCGAAGTACCGGTACGCGCGACGTGACGAGCCCTCGTTCCCCTTTACGCGTGGAAGGTTTCTGGGAAATGCAGCCTTAAAAGCAACCCCTGTCGGTGCCAACTCCACACTTCGCTTTGCCCACATGGCCCAGCAGCCGGGGCCCTCGCCGCCAGGGCGTCATCTGAGACACCGTAATTGGCTTGCTGGTCGTCGTGACAGACCGATCCATGATCCATCCTCGACAGCGACACTCACCTACGTGCTCTGGTCCAGTCCAGCTTTTTGCCCTACCGCGCGTTTGCAAAGCACCAAAGCACCAAAGCACCTCATGCGACACATCGGCAGTGGAACGCACTGGGGGCGTTCCGTATCACCCGGAGACATCAGGAATGAGAGATATGGGTAGGTCGGTATGCACATGTCGTGCGAGCATGCTTGCGTTGCGTTGCGTTGCGTTGCGTTGCGTGCATGCTCTGGCTTGCTGAGAGATAGGCGGTATCAGAGAAGAGGGGCAGCTGCGGGCATCAGGAAGGCATCGTCAGCTCCCAGCATCGCGTCACACAAGCGATCCTCCCGAGATTCACCACTCTCCGAGCTTGGAAATTGGGAAACATGCAGATTGCCCAACCAAGCGACAGCATGACAGGATGCGCCG